CCTACCTATAAACCTTTGCTGCCCTTGCTTATGCAATTAACTTAGCCTACGCGTGACAAAGAAGTAGAGCTAGATATTAAACAACGCAACGCACTATAGAAAAAGGACTAATTTTAGTAGTTATACAGCCTAACAATCTATTACATTAAGGGTTTACTAAGGCTACTAAAATTATATAGATCTTTTATTGTCTACAGTCTAAAGACACTTAAATTATTCTTCTACCTATTTATTAAGAAGTCTAGAATAGGTCTAAAGGAGGTTTATTTAGCTACTATTACTTTAATTTTAGCAAATGCTTTTTATTTTAACATAAAAAGAAAAAAGAACAAGTTCTTTTTAACTTTTATTTATAAAATTAAGTAGTTAATTAAAAACAAGTAAGCTTTATAGTTAAACACTAAACATAAAACTAAAGTATTAGTAAACCTTTAATTACTATCTAAATACTATTAGTACTAAGATGTATTTAGCCACACAGCAGCTTACTAGCTACTAGTACATTGTCTATATAACTACAAGATTGTCTTTATAGAGCCTCTCCCTAACAGTTACAGTCTGTTGTACAAACAGAACCTTAAGAAGCTAGAGGCAATAAAGAAATATATTATAGATAATCTAAAATATAGCTTTATTAAGTAAAGTTAAAGCCCTTTTATATCTTTTATCTTTTATGTATAGAAACTAAATAGTAACTTATGTATCTACATTAATTACTGCAAACTTAACACTTTTACCTACAAGGATGTGTATCTAATACTGCGCATAGATAAACTCCTGTTAAGACCTACTAAGGTAGCAATTTTTACTAAGTTTAATATTCACGCAGCCTTTAATAAGATTAGGATAGATTTAAGCTTTAAGAAGTGTACTACTTTTTAGACATAATATAGAACTTATAAGTGTAAAGTCTTGCTTTTTAAATTATGCAATAGTCTAGTAACTTACTAGCGCTATATAAACAACATATTAATTAACTATTTAAATAATTTTTATATTGCTTATCTTAATAACATCTTTATTTACTTTAAAGATAAGGCAACTTATATTCTCTATGTTAAGAAAGTCTTAGAAAGGCTCTAGTAAGCAGAATTATAGGTAGAGATTAAAAAAAGTAAATTTTATGTTACTTAAATAAAGTATCTTAGCTATATACTTTTAAATAAAGAACTAGAGGTTAACTTAGAGAAAGTAAAAGTGCTACGCAACTAGTAGGCACCTACTACTATAATAGGTGTGAAATCTTTCCTAAGCTTTACTAGATTTTATTAGCAATTTATTTTAAAATTTTTTTATGTAGTAAAACTAATTATTACGCTTTAAAGCCTTACTACCTTTTTTATATAAACTTTAGAGTGTAACATAGCTTTTAAAAAGCTAAAGTCTACACTACTAAGTATACTTACACTTTACTATTTTAACTTTATGTTATAAACTAAAATTAAAACTAACACTTTTAATAGGGTAGTAGTAAGAGTTCTTTTTTAGAAACAAGCAGATAGAAATTAGTGCCTAGTATTGTTCTATAGCAAGGTCCTATCTAGTTTAGAGCTAAACTAGGAGATACATAATAAAAAGCTATTTGTAATTATTACTATGTTTAAATAATAAAGGGCTAAGCTTACATCTATAGCAATAAGCACCTTAGTATATACTAATTATTATTTATTAAAGTACTTTATAATAATAAAGGTGCTAAATGCTTATTAGGTCTGTTAGGCTAAAAAGTTAGCTTAGTATTGCTTCTAAATTAAGTACACCTTTAGTAAGAACAACACTAGGGCAGACATTCTTAGTTATTGCAAATAAGATATAGAAAATTTAAGAGTAGCTTAAACTAATAATAAGTTAAGGGTCCTACTAAGACTGCACTAACTACACCCCTAAATTAACTCTAAACTAGCCTAGTACTACATTACTTAAATAATAACTTAAGTAGCTACACTAAATGTTATAGAAGAACTAAACTAAGTTATGTTTTTAGATTTTTTAAAATTAATTAACATATTACTTTAAAAGAATTAAGCCTTTTTTATGTAAAAGTAAAAACTCCTACTCTGCTATTATTAGATAGGAAATAGACTACTCCTTTATGCTAACTGCTTATGTGTGCTAGCAGACTTATTGCTGTGTACCTAACTTATCTAAAAAGTCTATAACTAAGTATCTTTAGCACATTCTAGTGCTACTAAGACCTATTAGTTACTAGCCTAAAAGTACTACTAGAAAGGTATAGAGGCTACTTATAAATAATATGTACAGAATTACCTTCTTTGTTATAAGGCTTATCTAAAACAGAACTAAACTCTAGGCTTTATCTACCCTCTACTAATTCCTGCTTAACTAATGCAGCACTTATGCATTAACTTTAAGGAGTTTTCTAAAGACAAGTTTAGATATAATTAGATTATAGTTATAATTAATTACTTATCTAAATAAGCTATTTTTATCCCTTGCTATAAAATAATTAACGCCTAGAAAATAGCTACTTTATTTATTTAATAAGTGTACTATTTTAGCTACACACCTAAAACTATTATTTTTAATTAAGGACTTTAGTTTGTATCTAGTTTTTAGTCTAAATTTTATTAAATTTTAGGCGTAAAAGTTAAGCTCTCTACTGCTTATTATAAAAAAACAGATAGCTAAATAGAGATTATAAATAAGTATATTAACTAAAGACTAAAGCCTTTTATATTTTTTTACTAAGATAACTAGAGTTTTTTACTACTCCTAATTAATTAGGCTTAGATAACTTTGCCTTATATAATAATTAAAATGTTTTTATATTAAGTTTTATACAAATCTAAACTATGTTAAAGCTAGGACTAGAAACATTCTACAGAACCTATTACAGCTACAGATAAGCTAAATTATAAGGATGCCTTAGCATTAGCAACCTACATGCATGCAGCCTAGGAGTTAGCTAAGACCTATATAGAAAAAGCCTAGGATTAGATGTAAACTATAGTTAACTGCTACTGCTAGCTAGTTAACTAAGAGGTTAGTAACATAGTCTACTTAGACACTAAGAACTTTGCTGTTTAAAAACCTAGCTAAAAACTATCTAAATAATAAAAAAGCCTTTTTAAGGTACTTAAATAAGTTAGAAACTTATACTACTTAAAGCTACTTTTAAAGTTAAAGATATATAACATCTTTGCACTAAATATACTTTGTAAAGACCTTTAAAATCTACTTTTAAAACAAAAACCTCTAAAACCCCTTAGAATTACTATTAATAAAGTAGAGGAGTAAGAAGTAGAGGAAATACTTACTAGTAAGCTTTACTAGAAAATGCTTAAGTACTAGGTAAAATAAGTAAAACACAACTCTAATCTAGTCTAGTATAAGGCTTTAAATTTTATAGGTTCCCCCTATAAATTAAAAGCTTTTTATAATAAGCATCTAAATTAGCTAGGACCTTTAAAGGCCTTATAAAAGTAGATTAAGGCTTTTAAAGCTAGTATAGAAGGTATAAATTACTTAGTAAATAATAAGGTATAGAAGTAAGAAGTTAGATTATATTTTTACATAATATTATTACAACTCTATAGACATGTTGCTTAGGAGGTCTAACAGCAAGCTGTTAGACACCTCTAGACTCTCCTCTTCCTCCTCCTCTGCCCTTCTTCCTCTTCTCCCTCCCCTCTAGACTCCCCCTAAACTCCCTCTGCCTTGTCCTTAGCCGCCTAAAAGCGCTGCAATGTCTGCCTAAAGGTCAGACACTAGAGCCTCTAGGGCTAAAACCTAACAGAGCAGCTTAGTGTTTTAGTAGAATAAGGCCACCTAAACACTAGCTGTAGGAAGACTAGCTTCTTAACTCTTTATAACCTATGCTACTTATACTAGGTTTTAAGCAGACTTTAAAATAGCTTTAAAAGCTCTTTTTTTATCTACTTTACTCTTTATGTTTTAGGCTGCTGCCTATAGCTTAAGATAGCTCTAAAGGACTAAAAATTTCTTCTTGTAATATAAGAGGACCTACGCGTGTGTTAGTAAACTATACTCTAGCAGTATTAAACTATATTTATATAAAGTTGCATTTTTTATTGCGTAAGGTGTAATATTTACATTTTTTTAATTTAAAAAACTAATAGGAAAACTTAACCTAAAGGCTGTAAGTAAGGGTGTAGGCAGCCTAAAAGCAGATAACTTAAAACGCCTCTAAAGAGGCTCTAGAAGGGGGGCAGAGCAGCATAGTAATTTTCTTTAATGCTATAATTAGTTAGCAGACTAAGCTATAAGATGTTAGGTGCACAATAATACCTATAAAGTAAAGATTTAGATAATAGCTAAAAAAGAAACTAATAACATTAACTAAACTATATAAGTAAGGTAAGTAAACACTTATTACTATAAATAATAAATTTGCTATATTAATAATAACTACACTACTAGTTACTACTAAACAAAAACATTATAATAAAGGCATTATATTAGTATTAGGTTTTTAGTCTATTTTTTAGTAATAGAAAATTTTAGTTAAGATAGTTATACTTATTATATCTTATCTAAATTAGTTTTAAATTAGTTCTAAATATTTTCTACACACTGCAGATAGGGACTATTAGCCTATAGAGGGGGGGGTAGTGTAACAATTCTACAAATTGTTCCATCTCGGGTCGCTTAGATCCTATCCGAAGGGTCCCCGTATCGGCCCCGACCATGACTTGACCTAGTCCCCTGCAGTTACCCCTATTCCTGCATGTATTTAGTCGCACCTTGCCCCTGTAGCTAGCTTGGTAGTTTTCTGATATCCTACGTACAAGGCCTATAGGTGTTATTGGTATTCCCAGGTCTCTGAGTCCCCACGCACTCCCATATGCCTCTGAGTGGATTCATACCGCATTCGGACCCATTGTCTTGCCTGCGCCGTTACACATAGTAGAGGAAGTTTAGAACTATAATATTACCTAAAAAATTATAAAAGTCTCTTAGATAGCTAGAGAGAGAAAGCCTTTCTTACACCCTTATTAGCTAGAGAGTGTAAGGCCGAGATGGCGCTTACGTGCGACGGGTATATATACTATTCTGCACCCGAAAATCAACTGTTAGGTGATTATTCGTACCTTTTGGTTGTATTGGCGGAGTGGTGCGGAGCCCCGTCCTTACAGAGAGAAAGGGCTTGCGCCACTAAGGCTACTAGCAGGGGCTTGCCCCTGTCGAGGCTCATGCCCACAATGACACAAAGTCCTATTTGGCAAGGTGTGCCGGTCACCCCGGGTCCCACATAGACCTCGGGATTCCGGGAACTGAAGATACAGTAATACAACATGTCAGCCTTTAAAGCTTCCTTGCTGGTGCGAGTAAGACGTCCTTCTCCTCTCTTTAAAACTTGGCTTGACCCTTGATATTCTTATTCATTGAAACCCCCCTAACCAACCTTCTCCCTGACCCTACCTCATCTACCTAGAACCATCGCGCGGACGAGACGAACAATGGCGACCGCAACACCAAAACGCTCGCCCATCTTCGAGGCGCTGGCAGCGAAACTCTCCTCTGGCCCAGCCCAGAAACTCGAAGATGCATTCTACAACCCCCGGCCGCAATCTTATTGGTACCACGACGGTACAACATGGGTCGAAGCAACATCATCCCCACCTCCCACAATAACCTCCTCTTTCAACCCCACAAAAATCCGCCTCATATCATGGAATATCGACATCCTAGTCCCTTTCAGTGTGGAGCGCATGTCCGCCGCTCTAAATTACCTCTCATCCCTCGTTTCCCAGACCCCGGCCTCTACCCCCATTGTAATCTACCTCCAGGAAATGGGACAATCAGATCTAAGCCAGATACGCGATACGCGCTGGGTACAGGAGAAGTTCTATATAACCGAGTACGACGAGCGTAATTGGTTGAGTCCGTTGTGCGGCACGACCATGCTGGTGGATCGGCGGTTGAGGGTTCAGAATGTGTTTCGTGTGCCTTGGATTAGCAAGTTTGAGCGGGATGGACTATTTGTTGACATTGGTCTCATCCCACTTTCTCCCTCCGGCTCCCCCTCCGCCAGCGCTGGGGAAGAAACCCCCAAGCCGAATGCCCTCAGGTTATGCAACTGCCACCTCGAATCCCTAATCGCTGACCCTCCAATCCGCCCGCTCCAACTCTCGGCCGCGGCAACCTATCTCCGTGAAGACGGTATCAGCGCTGCACTACTAGCCGGTGACCTTAACGCCATCCAACCCTTCGACCACACACTACATTCCTCCAATGGGCTCAAAGACGCGTATCTCGAGCTCGGCGGCGTGGAAGACAGCGACGACGGGTATACCTGGGGTTATCAAATTCCCGAATATCTGAAAGGTAAATTCGGTTGTAGTCGAATGGACAAGATTTTATTCCGTGGAGAGGTTAAAGCGGAGACGTTTGAGCGGATTGGAATGGGCGTAATGGTGGCTGAGGAGAAGAGGGAGGAAGTTAGGGAGGCGGGGGAGCTGGAGTGGGTTACCGATCATTATGGGGTCATGGGGGATTTTTCACTTGAGGAGTGGAGGTTGTTGGGTGTGGGTGCGGGTGTGGGGGATGGGGATGGAAATGGGGAGGGGAGGGTCTCAGCGAAACTTTCGTGAGACGGATATGTTGGTATTCCCGTGGATGGAACATGCTATAGTCTAATCTGTCTTAGAGCAAAACTCTGCACACCCCTATAGCGCCCCGTTATTCTAGCAAGGCACTGAATTGATTCAATCTAACCGAATCATAGTCAATAATCTCGGATAACAAACTATTGCAGTGTTGATAGGCATAATTGATACCAAGTTAGATACTACACATACAGCCACTGATCAATGATCTATTCCAATCTAGCAAAACCTAAGGTCGCTACCAATCCTTTTTTTTCCTAAAAGGCGCAGGAATCCCAATCCGTTTTCATAGCTATGTGAAATAAGCCAGCCACCCATTCAATCAATCAACCCCGGAAATTAAACCATTACCAATACAAAGACAGATATCTCTGGATCTGGAATTATCTGCCACACTAATCGTTCTCCAATCCACTCACCATATTCCTTCCTCACACTAACCATTCACATCATCTACACTTACCGCCTGGCCGGCGGCCTCGCAGCTCCCATCGGATTCTTCGAACCAAAAAGCAGTTTGAACCCATTTTTCAACGCCGTCATATCCGGATACTGATGGCCCTGGAGCTCGAAAGCGTTGGGTATGACTTTGACTGGCCAAGCTCCCGGTTTCGCTGCAAAGCCTGCGCGGTAGCAGAGCCAGAAGTAGCCGGGGTATTTGGGCATGACGCAGAAGGCGTACATAAAGCGTTTAGGATTCGCTTCGGTGTAGGTTTTAAGCCATTGTTCTGTGGTAGGTGTTGTTAGTTCTGTTTTGGTTGATAGGGGGGCTGGGACAAGGGAGGGGTGCTTACCAGTTGTCTCTTTGCTGCCTTTCTGGAACCGCTCATCTCGCATCATCTCAGCGATTTTCTTGGCCATGGCTTCGACATGGTTGACGATGAGTTCGTCGAGATCAGAGTACGTGTGCTTTCCGACACGGAGTTGCTTGCCGAGCGAATATTCGTTTGCTTTGCCCAGTTCCAAGACATCGATGTGCTGATATGAATTGTCGGCGACCTTCCAAGTTACAGCAAGATGATCGAGGCCCTTGGAAGACGGTCGAATAACAACCTCACCAGGGTCTTTCGTGCCAAGATACTCCTCAGCTTGGGCAGAGTTAAAGGAGAAGAACAAGGGATGATTGACAACACGGTGAGGCCGGCCAGATGCAACCTCCTTCTCCCTCTCTGCTGCCTTCTTGTCTTCGGCTTCCTGCTTCTCATCCCACTCGCCAGGTATACGGTCGAACTCTTTTCGAGCGGGCTGGCGAATCAGATCCTCGCGGAAAGAGAGCTGAGCTGTCAGAGCTTTGCGGTTGAGGTACATGACTCTAGACCGAACGACTTGATGAGGTTGATAAACATGGCGAGGCTCCATGCCATTACTACCCACACCTTCTGGAAACTCAGACTCGGAAACACCCCCCTCGATACCACACTCAAGCCTGACTTCGATATGGTCGGGGAAAGTCCGCTTGATTGTGACTGGTATGACCATTCCCTCAGTCAGGGACTCCTTGGTTTCACCCGTCAACATAGTGAAGATTTCATCTGACGACATCAGTGAGAACATCTGTCGAATCTCCTCGAACGGTTCCGCCAATTCTGCACGAATAGTTTCCAGGGTGGCTCGCTTGCGGTTACCAAGCTTCTTCTCAATCTCAGAGGCATAGTCTTCCAGAATCAGATCCTGGATCTTGTCGGTAGCGTCTTCTCGAACCATCCTGCGGATCACAGCGCTTGGACCGCCTTCGTCAACTTCTTGCTTAATATCTTCCTCGTCCATCTCCATAGCATCAGCGACCATTTTCCGAGCAAGATCGTAATCTTCTGGATGCACTCGGGTATTGTCCAAGTAGTCTGATGCTTCTTCGCTGGAGTCAAAGTTGAGATAGAGAAAACTTGCACAGTTCTGGAAAACCTTGGGACCCATTGCTGCTTTTAGTTCGCGATTATCCTGTTCCGAAATACCAATCAAGTCGAAGCGCGACAAGATTTCGTCACCCTGATGCAATTGGTAAGCAATTTAGTAGATGGAGACAATTTTTTACTCACGTTCGCTTGAATGGCTTTAACAAGCTTATCAGCTTTTCGAGGTCCAAGACCGCAAATGTACGGCAAGAGTTTCGATAGATACGGATCGTCGTAGGCTTCTGGAAGGTTGATGCCAACCAGGTTGACCATATCTACCATTGCAGTCTCCAGACGCTCCAAGAGCTTGTCCTGTGGGATGAGAATCTGATTCTGGACGAACGGGATCGACACAATATCCTTGCCCAGAGAGACGTACTCCGCAAGAGGATTTTGTAGGTATCTGGCCAATGCGACGCAGTATCGAGTAAGAACGGGAAGTTTGGGGTATTCGGCTGCTGCGCGAAGGCTGGTATAGTAAAGACGCGCGACTTCATCGTTAACCATAATGACCTCGAGTGGATCATTCTTCTCGATGCCATCATCTGGATCCTCGTAGAGGGGTCCTGACAGATGGTACGAGCTAATGATTTCTTGGACATCCTTGTACAGCTTTCGCGTCTCCACGGAGAATCCGCTGATACCGATCACATCCGGTTTACGGCGGCGGCAAACACTCACAAACGCCTCAACGTCTTTGCCGTCAGGAATGTCCCTCTCGCGGTTGCCAAGTCGGAACTCGACGAGCTTGCCATTCTCCAGCACTCGACCGTCGTTCTCGACGTAGGCCCAGACGATGGCATCACCTCGACCCCCTTTACCATTCGACAGCGTGATGACATTGGGAGTGGATCCAACATCTGCGCCCTTTGGCTTATACGGAGCTTGGTCAAGCTTGTTGTAGTAGTTCTCGCGCGCACGACTGGCGAGCTCCTTTTCGCATTCTGCTCTCAAGTTTTCCTTGACGCCAGTGGCAATGATCAACTCCAGTTTCGCCAAGGCGGCGTCAAGAACTTCCTGGCGGAGAGCATTCCAAGCATCGGCAGATTCGCTCACGTTGTCGGAAACAATATGCCCCTGGAGCTTCTTCCTGAAATCTTCTGAATCGCCCATCGATATCTTGACGTTGATTAACCCCTCTTCTTCAGCTTTCAGCATTTTCAGGAAAAGGTCTGGACGGCCGCTAAGGTCGAGAAACGTCTGCCGACGAAGGTACTTGAATTCGTAATAAGGGTGATCATCCGTAATTTTACGAAGGCCTTTGTCCGTTCGGATACAGTCGATTGACGCCGTCTGGTAGAAATGGCCCCTGAGGACTCTTCTAAACCGAGGGCTCATGACTAGCTCCTGGACGTACATGGCCTTCGCCGCCCTCAGTACTTGTGTCCCGGTTGAATATTCAGGAGGATCAATAAGGTCTTCCGCGAGCTCATCGGGTTTCTTGTCCGGGTCATCGAGGAATCCAGGTCCAATGGAACCTTCAGCCTTTTTGGCAAAGTCATCCGGTCTGATACCAATTGCTTGCACCAAGCTGTAGGCACTGCTAGCCCGTATTCTATCGTAAAATGTTCTCGCGTTCTGAGCACGTTTCTGGATACCATTGCTTTCAGATTCCATAAGACGAAGATCTTTCATCTCAGAGGAGTATTGGAAGTGCAGGTAATCTTGAAGTTCTTGGACCTCCTCGATTGTGACTGCCCTGTGGACGAGATCTTCGATGACTCTATCAATTATGCTGATGTCGACGCTCTTGAGGTTGTCGTAGTTCTTTTGAAGCGCATCGCGCTTCTCGGTGAGCGCTCGAAATCTCAGATCCAGGTCGAAAACTTCCCAGAGATCATTCTGGTTCAGCAATCGCTCTGGTCGAGCGTCAAGAGGCGGTTGCGTAACGTTGTCGGGGTCGTCGTATGAATCGGAAGGAGCATGGATCAGGTAATCTTTGCGATGGTTGAAGATGAAAGGGACTTCGTAGTCCTCGATGTTCAGGAACTCGAGCACCTTTCGAACGGCCTTTTGGAATGGCTTTTGGAAGTACCCGGGGAGCGGTTTCTTGGGCCAGAGGAGCTGAGTGATCCATGCGGCTTCTTCACTCAGATGAAGTTCCATTTCATCAGCAGAGAGCTCTAGGTCCTTGAAAGGTTTTCTCGCTAATTGCACGCGCTCTGGAGTGTCGGTTTCGCGGATGACATTATCCTCATCCGTTAGCATGCGGTCGGTAAGCTGCGAGGGCTCAAAGACGTCCTGAAGTTGCAGCTCGCGGCCTTCACCGGTCTCTTCCTCTTCCTGTGCATCTTGCATCTCGAGGGCCCAGTCGTAATCTGTGCCGTCACCGAAAGCGGCTCTGTAGTCTTCCTCTGCGCCTTCATCCAGGCCCGCGGCTTGTAAGTTCTGGGTGATGAGACCGACCCCGGGCTGTGCGATCTCACGATCATCCTCGATATCATCTTCAAACTGGTCCTCTTCGATGAAGTCGGCGAACTCATCGAAACCCCGACCCCCGCGCCGGCCGTCATCGACGTCTTCAGCAGCTTCGTCGTCATCAGAAAAAATATCGTCAATGCCGCGGGCTCGAGGGGGTCGTTCTTTGTGGCCGCGCTTCAGACGCTTGTACTTGGACTGGGGCCGGGTCAGCTTGTAGGCTGACATATTGTGCAGAATGCTCTCACCTGAGTTGACTCTCGCGGTTCATAGTCGACTCCAATCAAGTCCAAATCCTCTTCATCGAGCGCTTCATCAGAGCGATCCCGATTCTTCCGCTTCTTCTTCTTCTTGCGCGAAACCCGGTCCTCCTCTTCCTCCCCTCCTTCGTCTTCGTCTTCGTCGATGATAAAGCCTTCGCGCACCTAGGCAGCCGTCAGCGACAACAACAACGACAATGACAACGGACAATCGCAGGCCCACTTACAGCCTTCAGCGCATCTTCATCGTCCTCCTCGTCCTCTTCGCTGGAGTCGTCGAGGCCGTTCATGCCATTTGTGTTCTTGTGGCGGGTTTCGCCGGTCTCCTCATCATAGTCCTCGTCATCTTCCTCGCTACCGAGCTCAGCGATGGTGTCAATAAGAGACATGTCGCGGTTGGTTGGAGACACAGGGGGGACCGGGGGTTTGAGGGTGGAGATATGTGGGAGGGTCAAAGGGAGAAGCCTGCGGCTGGAGAGGAAAGCAGCGGCGGAGAAACGTGCGACACGAGCCCACAGGATTGGTGGTGAGGGCACGACGGGGGCAGGTGAAAGTACTTGGAGTGGATCAAAGAGAAGGTCGTAAATTCCCAGATGAGTAACATCTTAGTCATGTATGTTCACCAGCCACATCTCTGAGGCGCACCCTTCCAGGACTCGCTTCCAACTGGGGCCAGGCTAGCGCGCATCCAAGCGTAATCCGGAAATAGCCCAATCGCACCGCCTGCATCGACACCCAAGATGCAGATCCAGACCGGATGAGCAAAAAGGAAGTGAATGTATGCTTGCGTGTCGAGGTGCTCTGCGCTGCTGGATGGGTGCGCCCGTCATTGAAGGCCTGGGGATTGGGCGGGAGCAGCCGTCCTGGCCATACGCTAGAGGACAAAACGTGAAGCAGAGAGCGAAGGTCATGCCAGTCTGAAACCCTCCTGAATAAAGACAATAGCAGCCGTCTCCTATAACAATCGCTCCTGTGTCCGTTGTCTCTTCGCCCCACGACACGGCAAGACCAAGTATCCTCTTCTGCGGACCTCGTAAAAGCTCGTCGACGCCGCCGGATCCTGCAGCCCTCTCCCCACTAGCACCCCCCCCCCCGCTCCCTCGACTCCACGGCCCTGCATCCACGGCTCCATCTACTACCACGACCGCCCAGCGACCGGCCTGTCTGCCGCATATATTGATAGCTGCTAGATCGGGCTTCTATATCTCTGTCGCCTTGCGTGCTTGCTCCAGCATCTATCCCGAAAGAGTTCATCCAATAGACGCTGTGGCCCTCTGCGACTATTTTCGTCCTGATTGGCGAAACACGGCGGTCGCATCTTCGGGCTGCAAACTCGAACCCGGGGGAGAAGCTGCTCTGACCTTCTCTCGAATACACCAGCGCCCATTCCGACGCCGGTGACTCTCCGCACGGCCACGCTCGCTGTCAAGTAATCGCTGTTGCCGCCCCCTCAGTCACAGCACACGGCCCCTGCTCCCATACTTCACCATGGCCGAATCCGCATTTAAGACGAAGACGATGAAGAGGAAGAATGTGAAGGGTCTGGCTCTGAGCGCACCCCCCAAGGCTCCCGTACCCTCTGCCGGCGACGCACAAATACCTGGGGCTCTCGGAAACGACGAGGGGCGCGCTGACACACTTGAGATTGGCGTGGAGTTCCGGCTGGACCTCAAGGCAGAAGACTTAATAGTTCTGCGCGAGCTTGGCTCCGGAAATGGCGGGACCGTGAGCAAGGTGCAACATGCTGCTACCAAGGTCATAATGGCGAGAAAGGTGAATGCCATGGACGTGCTGCGACTCTACCCAGGACGATATGCTGATGGGATTCCAGATCATTCACGTAGAGGCAAAGAACGAGGTGCGGAAGCGCATCGTGCGTGAGCTGCGTATTATGCACGACTGCAACTCCGACTACATCGTGGCGTTTTACGGGGCCTTCCAGAATGACACCGGAGACGTGATAATGTGCATGGAGTACATGGACGTGGGGTAAGTCTGAGCTTCTACCACATCCACCTCCGCGTAGACTAACGCAATTCGCCTACAGTTCGCTCGATTGGGTATCGAAAACCTTTGGTCCAGTTCGTGTCGATGTCCTGGGCAAGATCGCAGAAGCCGTTCTTGGCGGCCTGTCGTATCTCTATCAGACCCACCGCATTATGCACCGAGATCTCAAGCCCTCCAATATCCTAGTCAACTCAAAGGGCCAGATAAAATTGTGCGACTTTGGGGTTTCCAGCGAATTGGAGGGCTCTATTGCCGAGACCTTTGTTGGGACAGGAACATATATGGCCCCAGAGCGAATACAGGGTTCTCCATATACGGTCAAGTCGGACGTCTGGAGTGTCGGTCTCACTCTGATGGAGCTTGCAATCGGCAAGTTCCCTTTCAACAACAGCGACAATGATGGTGATGAGCCAGGAGGTCCGCAAGGTATCCTGGATCTTCTTCAACAGATTGTTCTGGAGCCGGCGCCGAAGCTACCCAAGAGCGATGCGTTCCCTTCCATTCTGGAGGATATGATTGCGAAGTGTTTGTTGAAAGACCCAACCGATCGGCCAACTCCAAAGGAACTCTACGTAAGCTTCAAGCCCCACAAATGCACGGCCCTAGTATTAACAGTCTTCCAGGAGCACGACCCATTCTTGCTTGCTGCCAAACGTACTCCAGTCGATCTTGAGGCTTGGGCCATCAGCATGTTAGAACACAACAAGCGCAAGTCACATCTCGCTCCAAGTGCACCTTCGCCAGCAGTCCGCGAGAAGCTCCGCGAACGATCTCCCCCAAAGAATGTAGAACGAACACCAACAAACATTGATTCCAAATATGCCGATACAAACGGTTCGGGTGCCGCTCCAGCTCGACCAGCATATCCAATCCGAACCTCAAGCGCATCAAGCGGACAAAACATCATGGCTCTTCCAATCAGACCCGCGCCACCACCATCCGCCGGTTCTCCTCAAGTGAGGGTCCCGCCTAACGGAGGCCTGCCAGCCGCACCAAGGAGGTGGAATAGCGAAGTATGAGCAGAGATCATCTGGAGATTTTTTGTAAAGTGAGCTCGGTCATATTAATGGGGCATCTCCGCTATAACTCTCCATCTCCGCGTGTCGTCCGCATGTCGTTTGTGCTATCTTGGGTTATCCTGTACATGAAGAAAGTTGGACAAAATGAATGGAATGGTAGGCATAGTACAGTACCCGGATCTTTTTATTACCCCGTGCGTTCGCTTCTTTGGCGGATTTTCCTGACGATTCTTGCATTCTACGGCGCACACCCTGATTCCGAGCGTCTTGGGGCCTGGCGCCTCGAACGCGGACGTTGGTTTAGGAAGAGGCGGTGAGGATTTTAAGCTGCGTGTACGCTGTTTGAGCATTGAAACGGGCATTCGGGAAGGTTTGTAGTTAGTAGAAGGGTGCCATATTTTAATCATCTTGGAGTGAACCGCTGATCTGTGAACGCTTTGCCTTCTATCGGTCCTTCCAAAACTACCCTTGTATCTAATTCGAGCAACGGGCACCTTTGAAAGGTTCGGATCTGCTGTGTTTCAGAGATCGAGTCATAGTTGTACTCTAATTTCAAGACCACAGAGAATCCTAGGGATGCTCTCTACAAGGCAGGAGCGCCGTGCACATGCTTAAGCACTTGCCTCGGAGAAGCCGCTCGTCCGTTCCTTCGGAGAGTCGGCCTTCAGGAGAGCAAGTCTGCATCAATCTGCAACACCTCGTCTCCCATGCACCCCGCAAATTTTGCAGCCGCACGACACCACGACTTCTCTCCCCTCCCCCTCCCCCCCAAGACGGCTCCCGCGGACCGGAACTCGATCAAAGCTTGTTTCGACGCTTAGAGGCACCAAGACCCGGGGACTTTCACATGCCAAACATCCTTGACAACCTTCCAAACTCAGCAACCTCACCGGGTTCATGCTCACGCGCACATCTGACCTGCATGTTTAAGGCTCTCTACTCGCGATCTTCTTCATTTTTCCTTCCAGTAAGAGACCAAAGCTGAATGCCTAGCGCTGTCGATGCTAGAGAAATCCCTCTTTGGTTCTCTGAAGTGCGATCGTGTGATACAATGCAATGGTTGTGGTACGTTTATGTGGTCGTGGTATTGATGCGCGAGAAGGGAAATATATTGGCTTAGGTAGTGGGTGTTGGTAGGTGTGGTACGAATCGGTCTGCTAGTTGCACAGGATTTTCTTTTATATATACTTTCCTTTACTTTCGTAGTATTCCCAGGGTTCACAGTTTCCTTGTCCTCTACACAACCCATTTTCGCCCTTCCTCAATTTTACTCGGAATACACCTTCTCATAATTTCAAAATATTATCAACGTCTCCAATAAGATTCAAAACTTCCCTTTTGAGACACACCATCTATCCAAATTTCTCATTTCTTTGCTGTGAGTGGTTCACCATCGTTTCTATCCGCGCGTAAAGTGGATCAAATTATTAACGTTGATTCGCGGACGGTGTCGACGCTAGCAACAGGTTCAGGGTCTGTGAATAGATTAAGGAACATGATGGCCGAAGTACTGTGAGTGCCTTGAAACGACATTCGAAAAACAGAAAAGGGAGGTCATTACCGGGTCAGCTTATTTAATTTTTTTTTGTTTTTCTTTTTTCCATTTGACAGCATCAGAGGACCGTTTCGAGGAAGTTTTTGGAAGTTTTGACGACGCCCTTTCCCAGTGAAGCATGAAGTTCGATACTTTAGTACAAGCCACTGTGGCTGGTGTTGTGGCGAGTGCTGTGAATGCAGCGACGGCAGATCAGTGGAGAAGCCGGTCGATATATCAGGTTCTTACGGATCGGTATGCCTTTCTCTAAACTGTTTGAAGGAATACTTTACCGACCTTCTTAGGTTTGCACGCCCCGATAGCAGCACAACAGCATCATGCGATACCAGCTTAGGCCAATACTGCGGAGGAACGTGGCAAGGAATTATCAAACAACTCGACTACATACAGAACATGGGATTCACAGCGGTGAGCGCATTTTGTCGCCTAGATCGTTTTCAATGTAGGAGGACCGGGGGCTGATAGTGATGGCAGATATGGATATCCCCAGTTACATACAATATTCCGGACAAAACACCGTACGGATATGCATGGCATGGATACTGGCAACAAGATCTATACAAGCTGAATGACCACTTCGGAACAGCGGATGATCTCAAAGCGCTAAGCAAAGCACTGCATGACAGAAATATGGTACATCACCTCTTCTTTCCTACTCCTGCCACCCAACTTTCCTCGAGTCGCTGATGAGATTCTAGTATCTCATGGTCGATGTAGTCGTAAACCACAACGGCTGGAATGGAGCATCCACTACCGTCGACTACTCTAAATTCCACCCTTTCAACAACGCAAAGTACTTCCACAGTTTCTGCCCAGTCGACAACTATAGCAACCAAACCAACGTTGAGGATTGCTGGCTCGGCGATTCCAAAGTTGAGCTTCCGGATCTGAAGACTGAGGACTCAGCTGTAGCTGATGGGTATAATACGTGGATCAAGCAGCTAGTTAGCAATTACTCGAGTAAGTCTGCCAAAGCAATGCTCCGCCCGAGGAGTTTGGTGGTTAGCCTGATACTGACGGATGTGCATAGTCGATGGGCTGCGAATCGACACTGTAAAGCATGTAGAAATGTCTTTCTGGAAGCCTTTCAACTCCGCGGCTGGCGTATTCTGTACTGGAGAAGTCTTCAGCGGTGATCCATCGTTCACTTGCAATTACCAGAACTCTCTTGATAGCGTGCTAAACTATCCCATGTACGCTCCTTCCTCTAGCCCTCTTTTCATATTTGCCATATTGCCCTCTCTACCTCTATTTCCTCTCCCGAACCCAACTCCATCACCGCCTAACTTCGAATAGCTACTATCAAATAATCCCCTTCCTAAACTCCACAAACGGCTCGCCCACGGCGCTCCTCAACGCCCTCAAATCTGTCAACTCTTCCTGCCGCGACTCCTCAGTCTTAGGCACTTTCACCGAAAACCACGACGTCCCACGCTTTGCCTCCATGACCTCCGACCTCAGCCTCGCACAAAACGCACTCGCATTTACCATCCTTTCTGACGGTATCCCGATCGTCTACGCTGGCCAGGAACAACACTACTCCGGCGGCGGCGATCCCGCAAACCGTGAAGCCACCTGGCTTTCGAAATACAATCGGCAGTCGGACTTGTATAATCTAGTAGCTGCGGTGAACCAGGTACGGAATGTCGCCGCATTCATCGATCCGAAATACCTGACATATAACATCTACCCCATATACTCGGACGCCCATACTATCGCCCTCCGAAAGGGGTTTGATGGTAAACAAGTCATCTCGATAATAACAAACCTTGGCTCCTCCGCCCCATCCACAACCCTCACACTCTCTGGCACTAGTCACGGATTGCCATCTGGTACCGTCGTTGTGGACATCTTATCCTGTGCTCAGGTCACGGTTTCCTCGGATGGAAGCCTGGCGGTGCCCATGCAGGCGGGGGTTCCCAGGGTTTATTTCCCAGTGGCCGCGGCGGTAGGCCATGGAATTTGTGGTATTGGTACGAGTGAGACGGCCGCGCCAAGTGCGACGAATTCGAAGAAGAGCGTGGGCGGGTTGCAGAGGAGAGGGGACAGGAGGAGGAAGGTTGTCAAAGCGGGTTTGGCGGCAGCGGCTGCAGGGGCTGTTGGGGCGGTCGTTTAGGTGGCGCTGCAGGAGGGAGGGGTTCCGTTGTTTGCATTAGATTTAGGTCGGCGGATATAAAATCCCCGAGGTAGGGAGTGGGAGCTAGGAACAGGAACTCAGAGAAAAAGTGCCCCCTTTATTTTCCAGTTATACATATGCCTTTATTTCCATCTTCTGCTGTCTTGTTCTTACCTATTTTCCTCTATCCTACTCCATCCTGCATTGCGGTTTCCTCGTTAGCGGGCCGAGCTCTATTTATTTATACTATTGTATGCATTTCTATTGCCATTGAGCTTTCATAGCCTGGATAGATATAATACCACATTCGCTTTGTTCGCAGATAACCCTGACATTCATATCCCTTCCCTCCCATGAATTGAAGGTAAGAATTTGATGAGCACATTGCAGGATTTGCAAATACTGGGAGAGAGGAATATGTCTATTCTAGAGGGGTCCTAACACCATACAACATCGAGCTCATTCCATCCCACGCCAACAAAATCTACATATCCTTCAGACATATATAGAATATATGAAGAGAAATAGCAGCTCCGAAGTCTAGTCTATAGTCTATACCGACTTCTGCCAGGCTATGCTGTTGCTTGAAATTAGAAAAGAGACCCCTAGTATTGACACCATTTCGATTGTCGTCCATTGATGACATGCAGGGCCTCCGCCCTCCTCCCCTAACCCTCCTCTCCCATGCACTGAATTTTGCGAACCACATGGGGATTTCTAGTAAATCTCCCCAAACCCCTTTCTCTCCCCCTCCTTCAATATCTCAATCTCCTTCTCCCCAATCCTCCTCTCCCTAACAGCAACATCCAAATCATCCTCCATCTTCCCCCCTCTCTCCTCATCACTCCCCCCCTCCTCCACAATCATATCCCCTTTCAACGCCTCCCTCAAAATTGGCTTCTCCTCGCTCCCACTCTCGCTTGCGTCCGCCCGAAACGCAGCATCATCGCTCGTCCCACCACCAGCGTCTCCATCACCGAGCGCGTCAGCTCGCGCGCCGAGCCCCATGCCCGACTCTTCCATCCAGTTCTTCGCGCTCATTTTGCGGGCTGCGGCTGCCTTGCGCTCTTTGCTTTGTTGGCGGTGTTTGGACGAGGCCCGGAGTCTGCTCTTCCCATTACTACTATCGTTTTTGCTTTTCCCCGGGCTGCTATGGTGTAAATTCGAGTGTGTGTAGCCATGATGGGCGTGAGCATGAGCGTGAGCATGTGCATGCTGCATGCCTGGGAAATAATCCGAATCGTCCGAGAAGCCTTCGCCGGGCGTGCTAGGCGCTCCGCTTCTGGTGCCGCCGAAATCGCGACCGGGGTGGAGATGCCGGAGGATTGCGGCGGCGCGCGGAGCGGGGTTTTGGAGGGTTTGGGGGGCCGAGGCGGCTGCTTCTTCGCCGTCGGAGCTGCCGATTCCTTCGTCGGTGGAGGAAGATGCGTCGTTGGATGCGTCGTTGGGAGACGCAGGGGTTAGGGGCATGGAAGGGATAAGGGCGTTTTTGGTGGCTGTGGTGCTTGGTTTGCGGGGGAGTTTTGGCGGGGAGGGTTCGGTTATGATGGGGGTGTGGTCGGCATCTTGAGCAGCGATGGGGTGGTCATCCTTTTCGCCGTCGAGGTTGCTTGTTGCAGGTGGTAGCGGTGGAGCAGGAAGCGCGCCGGATACATAATCTGCGGTATTCTTGCGCATGGTTCTCCTAGGCCAGTTTATCTTATCATGATTGCAGCCATTCGCACATCCCCCCCAGCGACGGATGGGGATGGTGGGACTCGAACTAAAGTTTCCAGGAGCCGGGGGGGCGCCTTTGCTGCTTGGAGTGACTGCGGATCCATTAGCAGCGGTTGCGGTAACGGCACGACGTTTTAGATCGGACCATGTGCGTAACTCGTTCTCGAGGATGTATTTTCCGTTGGTGGGAGATTGCTTCATGACAATGAATTCGCAGTGGTTGACGTTACGCAGGTCTTCGAAGTATTCGACGGACCAGTGGTACCTAGACGACATCAATATCTCAAAATGCATATTTCTGGGGGTTGACTGAGGTTGACGTACCATTTCATGAGGAACACCCTCGTCATTAGTCCATGCGTAACCAGCACACACACGCTCGCAAAATTCTCCTCCCCAAACTGCCTCCACATGCTTTCGTTAAACCCGCTAACCCTATCATATGCATCCGCAGCACTCTCACCGTTCGGGATGCGGTAAAAGAAGTGACCGTAGTCAGCCCTCTCCTGCCACATCCTCTCCATTTCCGCCGAACAAGGCTGGAAGTTTCCGAAATCCTGTTCCCTCAGGCGGGGCTCTTCAAAAACCTTTATCTTATGACGAGGAAAGGGGGAGGGTTTGGGGTCGTCGGAGGTCAGAGAGCGGAGGATGCCTTCGGTGGTTTCGCGAGTGCGGCGGTAAGGAGAGGTGAAGAACTGGATGGTGTCGTCGGGCTTGAGCATAGAGCGGAGGCGACGGCCTGCTTCCTCGGCCTGTACGAAGAGGGCAGCTGTTAGCCATCGGGGGGAGGATGGGCGAGGAGGGCCGAGGGGCACAACGGCGGACGTACTTGATTCCAGCCATCGGGAGTTAGCTTGACGCGGTGGTCGGGAATGAACTGGTGAATGTCGCGGTTCTTGTTTCCTTCCGACTGTGCATGGCGCACCAGAATAATCATCTGCACCCATATCAGCAAACTGCATTGTCTTTGGCCAGTGCCGCGACTACTCACCCGCGGTTTGCCCATGGTGAATTCTTTTTCAAGATTCGGGATACTCGTGATTAGTGGGGAAATGTAATAAATGGAGTCGAATGCACAGGCAGAGAGTGCGGGGAGATATTTTGTCCCAGGCGAAAGTGCGGCCAGAATGGGCCAAAGGATGTTTCATGATTGATAAGTTCAAGCGCCCACGGTGCCACGAAGGCGACTTCGCTGTGCGCATATGGCGTGTGTGGCCAGCTGTACAATTCACTGTATTGGCCTGAGCGTTTGCCGCGACTCATCGTGCTACCGCGTTCTCCGATGCAAGTCACGGGCTACGCTCACCTTCACCTTCACCCTCCTTCATCCCAAGGCATTACAAAGGCATTACAAAGGCATCTATAAGCACGCCAACACGGCCAACACCTCGTACGAGCACTCCTCCTCACTCATCGCACCTGCTCCCGCCACTCTCTTTCATCTACACCATGTCGGAGCCTATTCCAGAGTCCATCCCCACATCGGCAGACCCGCGCTCCAAGCGTCCTACCAAGAAGCGTGCCCTCACTCCTCGCTCCGCTCTTGCAAATGATGTTGAGGCCCTCTTCGCCAAGCCTGATCGCGACATCCACATCCCAGGCTCCGCGCCCAAGAGGAATTCCCTGGCGCCCCCTCCAGAGATTGTTGCCAACGTCCAGGGCTCCAGCGCTGGTGCAGGCAGTGGCGAGTTCCATGTCTACAAAGCGAGCAGGAGACGGGAATATGAGAGACTGAGGCTGATGGATGAAGAAGTAGCGAGGGAGGAAGAGGAGAAGGCCTTCCGGGAAAGGAAGGAGGAGATGGAGAAGAAAGACAGGGCGAAGACGGATAAGAATAGAGCGAGGAGAGAGAAGGCAAGGATGAAGAAGGCGATGCAGAAGAAGGGGGGAAAGGGTGAGGGAGCCGCGGGGAGCGACGGGGTTGCCAGTGAAGGAAGGGCCAAGAAGCTCAAGCCGAACTCGGCTGCTCCATGGCCCATTGGGCAAGACGACAGCCCGCTGCCGGATGGAGGGGAGGTTAAGAGTGCCGACGAGGTCGGCCTTGTCATTCATGACGATGACTGAGACTCATCGAGGCTGGACCTCTTTCGTGATGAAGTCAATTTCAGTTACTCTGGCCTCCTGCTGCAAGCCTCCGACTTCACATTCCGTGACATGGACGGGAATTGCATCCCAGAGTCTAGAGATTGCATTTCCACACCTAGAGAAGAGTTGAAGGAGGGGGAGCTGTCACCTTCAAGTTCTGAGGCTGCTTCATTTCGTTGTGGCCCCAGGAGGTATGGCTTCAACACATCTACCTATTTTAGGCTCTTGCTTACGTATTGGAGGTGACTTGCTACTCTTCGCGTCTCTCCGGGTTTCCTCTCGCCTCTTGTACGCGTGGTTATTGGCTTTCTCCAGGCTTTTCCTCTAGCATTCCCTGGATTCACCATGGGGGAACAAAAACAGATTTCAGGTTTTTGCCCTGCAGATCTATCCAGTGCTCGATCTTCGATCGTCATTAGAATGCTTTCCTGTACAACGTCGCCTACATGGAGAGGTCCGTTGAACCCTATCAGTTTAATTGCTCATCTCCGACCTGAATATCTGCGAATTGCTGCTCCATAGTTTGCATCTCAGTACCCCACATCACGTTCGCATCCAATGCTACCCCAATATCGTACGCCTTGGAGATTTCCCCACACATTTGGGCTCCTTGAATTTCGTGGCGTTAGGTTATCAAGGCTTTTTCCGCTTCGCTGTGCTCAGGGTGCTTATTCTCCTATCTTCATTAATCGGGTATCGTAGCTAGGCCTCGCATCTACGCTCCGTATTACGGTAGATCTACATGATATTTCCGCCACGACATCTGATATTGTGGGGAAGTAGCAGGTGTTCGGCAATGTTTGCGGGAGAAGTCTGGAACATTTTGAAGTTTCAACCAATCAACATTGCTTCTCACAACGGTCCCACTTTTTATTCCGTTGGTCTTGTTCGGAGGGATGAAGCTTAATTCTACCCCATATTGCCCTTATATTCGTCAGCCCCTCACGCTCCAGCCATTTAGTACTACGCTTCTGACCCACCTGGTCTCAGATATAATAACGCTATAGCCATGATATAATGACGCCGGTCTTCGAACCAATTGCCACGCTGACGCCCGATCACTTCGCATCCGCTCTCAATCGCCGCACCGTGCTTCCGAAACGAATTGCAAGTAGCAAGGCTGACGGAAGAGCCCGAAGACTAGCCATTCGACGTAACGCATCTGTTGTCTAGAACCTCTCAGTTTCGAACATCATGTTACACTCGACAGCCTGATTTCTCCGTCGGCGACGCTCCATCGATGACCCGGTTCCCTTCTACCGCAGATCACTTCGGCGTCTGTAACGTTCGGCTGGGCATGCGTAACACGGCTCTATGTTCAATCCAAACTTGGTCGCAATTAATCTACCGAATGCTTTTTCCGTCTGCCTTCTCGGTTTTCGCTTTCTTAGCATGAAGAACCCAGGGTCGAAATCTTAGGTTTCGCTGAGATGCCTGGTCCACCACTGTCATCATCATAGTTAAAAGACGCCGCACAAAGTCAAGTATTTCGACTTTCTCTCTATAACGGGAAACTTAACCTGCGCTAGTACATGTCCCAAAACATCGGGCGTCGGCTGTAGAAATGGCTAAAATAACCAAGGAAGCAATAGGGCCGACGCCCTTCTCTACCAAATGCGTTCCTCGATTCTATCCTCTATCAGGTCATGCTCCGCTCCCTGTAACAGCGAACCTAGGATCTGCAGCAATATCAATCCTACTAAGGGTCACAGATTAAAACAACCATAGATTACCCTAACGTCATCCCATGCCACTATCCACTACTGTCACCCAACCCTCATTCGACACCGATCCACGATCCATTCGCTTGGCAGGTACCTGAATTAAGCAACAAGAAAAAGCTTGCTCTCAGAATGGACCCGGCCTGTGTTTCAACCAGCATATGCGGCCCATGCCGTGCAGGACATTACGAGCCGGTGGCTGTCTGCAATAGGTGCAGGTGTAGTTAGGCGGTATGCAAAGGGACTTCCCCAATCTTTCCCCGCACTTGGGCTTGGGCTTGCACTCCGATTGCAGCATTCTGTTCTTCCGATGAGTGGTAGGCAGGTTGGTGACCGTCAAATTACTGCATATCAGAGGTTTGCCACTTACAGGCCTCACTCGCCCGCCCAGAACGAGGGCTTTTGAGACGGAAAGACATGGAGGTGGACAAGGACATGGGGCACGTATATTGAGCCTCATCTAAGTACGTTGAGACGGGATCAACAGAATCTGTTGAGATTCCAGGAGCCGGAAATTAGGGGTGGGTGATAGCCAATCGAGTGAAGGGGTAGCCATCTCAGGAGAGGCAAGAGGATGGAAGGAAATATAGCGATATAGACGTCTCAGAGCAGGCAGGGCAAGGGGCTGAAGTAGATATATAAATATGTCCTGAGGACGGCCCCAGGGAGGGTATCGGAGCAAGTGCATTCAGACTTCTTCAGCCTACGAACTCAGATCCATATATCATTACTTACTCGCCGTCAACGTAAGCACCTACGTCAATACCATCAACATGAAGCTTTCCATCCTCGCTATCTTTGCTGCTGGGTAAGCATACCTCCTGCTTGGATATCCTTTTGGTGTATATACTTACTATTTCTAGCGCCCTCGCCGCCCCCATCATCGAGGAACGCCAGATGTCAGGTATGCCTAGTGGTAAGCTCCCCCCCTCCCCTCCTCCTCCCCCTCTTCTCACACCGCTAACACTCCACCCAGGCTTCCCCATGCCCACTGGCGGCTTCCCATCCGGTGGCTTCACTGGCTTCCCATCCGGCTTCACCGGCTTCCCCAAGCCCACGGGTCCTGCACCTACCGGTCCCCGTCCCACGCACTCCCGCGGCCCAAGGCCCTCGGGCTTCCCGTCTGGTCTGCCATCAGGCTTTACCGGATTCCCAATGCCGACAGGTGGGTTTCCTGGCATGAGCATGCCACCCGCGCCGGTGCCGACGGTTTAGGCTGTTTGAGGGTTGGAGAGATGGGAGGATAAGTGCAGGGAAAGGAGGGAAGTGGTTTGTGCTGTGTATATCTTGGACTAGTTGGAATTGAGCGGCCTTGCTTGTACTTATGGGATTCAAGCTCGCTCTTTTGGTGTTGTGGATTTTATCTGATGTTGATCTAGAAAGAAATGGAAAGATACAACTATCTTTCACATCCTATCTTTCCACCGGGACGCCGTGTCTCATACTGTTGTGTGATGTAACATGTTCTACTTTGATCCAATGTAGGGCCTGCCTTTAAACTAGAACCCAAGCTAGCAAAGTCCCACAGTTGGTTGCATGCACCGACCTCGGGATTTTCCAACCAAATGTTTATACAGGACAGCACTTCTTACAAGGCATGTCATACCAGCCATCCTCGTGCTATACCATAATCGCCGCCGGTTAGCACAGCATACGAGATTGAACCTTGGATATCCGAAAATCTTCTCGCGATATCGTTCTCATCAGTTAATCATTAATTCAAAATAAACTGCAATTGTTGTGGGAGGTCAGCCGGGGGGACGAGAGAGGAGGCGGTGGTATTGGTGGATGCAGATGTAGATGAGGATGTGGGAATTGAGGGGTGGTGTTGTAGAAGTGTTTATGAGGCGCTATGGGATGGATTCTAGTTCTGATTCTGATTGCGATCAGAGTTAAGAGTTTGTGAGACTTTTCGTGTTCTTGAGGAGATCTGGGAGGGCTTGGTAAGGTGGGGAACATGGCGTGAAGTCGGAGTTGAGTAGTTTAGCGCGGCTCTGGGGATTGGGGAATGTTGGAAGGAGATGGCTTGGAGATGATGGTGTGACGTTGTACACATTCAAGAGCCTAGAGGTCTAACGCTTAGAGGAATCGTTTCCTAGAACTTCCACCATTCTAGCTTCCGCAAATTATATCCTTCGAATTTAGTAAGTGCTCTGGGAGAGAAATGCAAAGGATAAAGAAAGTGATGAAGAATTAGACATACGCGATTCAATTCTTCACTGCGGTGACACACCCTTGCATTGTAATTGAACGTCGCCTCCTCAATTCCTCGTCTGAGCTATGCTATAAAGTTCCTCTGCAAAAGAGCGGACCGCTTACGTAAACAGCTCCCAACCCAACCTAACACTTCGGATAATCGCCCAAATGAGCCTCAGAAATGAACGAACCTTTCAAGTGCTCCGGACTGCCACCAGAGCAATGGGGAAAATTCACCCAATTCATCGCCGGCGATTTATACCTCTGGGGTGTCCTTCATCACATTTACAACATTCTCAAAGCAGAGGTGGAGTATTACTTCACTGCCTCTTCACCACCTGGTATATGGCGAAAGGAGACCGCAGCACAGTGAAATTTCCAGACCCGTGGAATAAGTCAACCCCCTCCGACAAGAGCCGTGCCTACTTTAACCCGTCCTACATGGCTTATAAACGGAGCGACGTAGTCCCGTATCAAGGCAGTTTTCGAGATTGGAAAGAAAAGGGAAATCGTGATGAGCTTGGCGACCCTGGCACCAAGATATAAAGGCGCCTATGTGGGAGTATTTAGAAGACCCAAAGGATTCGGGTGGCGAGGTGTTTGATGTTTTTCCATCACACCAGGTTTGCTTGAGAATTAATGCCAATAATACCGAGATCCTGGGCTTTAGTTGTAGAGAGAAGAATCTCGATCCCGCAAGGGATAGTAGTTGATGTATCGTAAAGTCCCCTTTGCTGGGATGCACACTCCAACCAGAGCGAAAGAAATCCTAAGTTATTCCCGTTGCCCCATCAAGACATAAGCGTCGAGCGGCGTCTTAAGCCCCGGGACGGCGTGAGAAAAGATGAAATCTGGGAAATAATCGTGACAAGCACCCTCCTAACCTTGCGAAGAGTTCTCTTTGTGAGATTCTCTGACCCAGAGACGTTGAGATGGAGCACTGTCCAGGTACAGGTGAGGATAACGGCTAGGCAGGACCAGATGATGCAGAAGCTCCGATGGGACTTTTTTGCCAAGGCAGCCTCTCGGGGAGATCATTCAGATCAGAGACAGGTTGTCCGGTTGTTGTTTTAGCAGACATGATGAAAATGGAAGGGTGAGGATGATGGAGGAGTTGAGGAGATGGGACGGCCTTCAACTTGAGGAGTTCTTATGGAATCAGGCACTGCGGAGTGGGATGGATGGGCATCCCAGGCTGACCAGATTTCCTTGTAGAGAGAGGGTCGTTTATGTTAAAACTCGTCACTTTCTATAAGGATTGAACAAGACATAATACACGGCAAGAGTCCAAGAGCCTATTTTTGGGTCTTTCCGCTTTCAACAGCTCTACTTTCGATAGTACCATTTTCAACAAGATCTGCGTCTCAAAGTTAACTCCACGCTCTTTCGAAAAATCCATATACATACCGCAATCAATGGCTACCCCGGAAGATGTCTAGAGACAACTTGGTATTTTAAACCTCTTCCTGGAAATTGGGTTCGTGTTAAGAGGAGCACGACTTCTGTCCCAGATTAGACGCCGTTGCATCTGAGCTGAGCTTGACTCAATGGTGTCCACGGCATCAAGGAAAGGTCGTCCCGCAACGACAGAAGGCCCCAAGGCCTACTGAAACTAGTATATTCCCGATGTCTTCTATAATTTTGAGTATCCAACCAATTAAGATAACTCCGTGTCCCTTACCTTCTGCTCCCCTCTCTTCCTAATTCCCCTTCCTGCATACACCGCCCCTATTTCCGGACGCTCCACCTCCTTAGATGAAAATGCACAGTGCCCGACCCCATCGCCCCCCTTCCCCACAACCCCCCACTGCACTATTTCACACACCGCTCTCGCTCCCTCAACCCCATCCCACTCTCCACTATGACACGCCGCACTAATCGCTGCACTACAACTCCCCGCGAGGGGAATACCGGGCTTGAACTTCCAATACCCAAAGCCTACTCCCGCGGCCACCATAAATATGCCAAAAATAAGAACCGAGATGATAGCAATGGGGCTATAACCGCAGGTCTTCCAGCCATCAGAGTCCGAGAAAAGGGTATCAGGCCTGCCTTCGGAATCGTAGATATCGATAGCTACGAGGAATATGGATTGTGAGACGAGCCAGTGTAAAATGCCGCTTAACACCATCAACGGTAGTGCAAACCGATACGGGAGTTGCAAGAAATATGTGCTCCGCTGTGCCCCGCTCGGAGTTCGAGATACTCGTAGACCTTTTCTTTGGTGGGCGTATTGTGACCATTCTAGCCCGAGCAGCATGCACGTGAAGAGCCCGTTGTAGGAGAAGTATAGGAAGGAGAGGATGGGTTGGGCCAAGTTTGCCATAAGGATGTTGCCAGTTGTGGAGCTGACTTCCCAAGAGATAATGGCACGGGGGTCTACGGCGCCGTAGCCGAGACGCGCGAGGGCGGGGAGGGAGCGGTCGTCTGGGAGGCCCTGGATAGCGAGGTTTAGGAGGATGCTGACTAGGACTAAAGCAATGATGTACCTGTGTGGTCATTAGTTCTCTATCTGAAAGCAGAAAGGGGATACTTGCATCGTAAAGGTCGTAATCCGCCGCGTTTTGCTAGTCACATCTTTCCAGCGATACACCTTTAAATCCCACTCTCTCGGCCCGGCGGGAAAATACCCCTTATGCTTTTTCGCGTCTTTCATCGTCAATATACACATATTCCTCGTCGTAGGATCCGTCTTCTCTATGAACGAAGCAACTGCATCACCCATTGTCATAAGCGGCTCTTCATTTACGTAAAACACCGTGTAGAGAATAACTCCTCCTTTTAAAAAATTGAGAATGGTGACGAGAATAGCGATGCCAACGCTGAATTGCAGTTTACACACCGGCGGCGCCTTTTCGCTGAGGCAATAATGCACTGGGTATCCTCCAACCTTCCACGTACTAGGACTCTTTTTGATATTAGCCATGAGCGATCCGCACTTCGTATTGCGGGAATATGGGATACTGTTGCACATCCACCTGTACGAGTCAGAAGCCTCATCCTGGACTTGGGCGTCCATCGCATAGAATCTATCGTATGAGTACACATTTGTGCCATTGAGAGAGGTAGTGTTGCTTATAGCAGGGAAATTTTCGTCACTAGCTACGAGGAGAACGTTGCGACGGAAGCTTTGAATCATCTGCGCGTATTTGTTGAGACAGTCGGCGGGTTCGAAGCGGTCCAAGGTCCCGTTTCGCGCTTTTTCGTGCATAGTTTGTAGTAAGTTCGTGCCTCCAATTGGCGCTGAAAAAAGGGTTTTATTGCAATGTAGGCATTCGGGGTTGTCAATGAAGGATTGGCTGACAGAGAAGGCATAGTAGTTGTTGGAGACGATGGAACCGAACACTGCGGAGTTATAGCTGCTCACAGTCAGCACTTTTGCCCAAAGGATACGTAAGGAAGCTCACAATAAATGCAACGGCAGCGAAGATATCCCTAGTGCTACCCACAGGCCCACCCTTTTCTGACTGATATGCCTTAGATTCCGCACACTAGGCACACCGATATCCAGCCAGATCCCTTTCGCATGTGCCGCATCGATCTCGCTTCGGGTTGGTGCAGAAAGGCATTGCATGCAATAGTTGCTGGAACCGAGTAATATCGTACTCAGCAAATTAATTAGGAAATGCAATCCTGTGTTGACCTGATGGACTTTGTCGCAGTCCCCTTCTAGTAAAACCCCCTTATTGGCATTCTTGTGCGCGGACCCCCAGATGGTGACAATGAAGTTAATGAGGAAAACAATGGATGCTGATATAGCGCAGTTGATGGCACCAAATCTCCATCCTTCCGTGTAGCGCTTGAACCTCTGCGGCTGGAATTTGGTGTCGATATCGTTGGCATCGGTGTTTCCATACTCGAAGGTAATGTCACCGGGCCGGTAACTCGTATCCTCGTTTCCATCGCGAATTTGTTGGTACGGTCCTCGTCTAGGTGTTAAACCCCATAGTTCCGTCTCACCTGCATCTTTCCATTGTTGCTGCTGTATTCTGTTTGTGCCAATCTGCTTAGCCCAGCGTGTGAATCCGTTGTTAGTCCAGAGATCCTTGATTGTCGTCATCTGCAATCATGCATCGTGTTTTCGGTCGCCTGAAACATGGGAAGATGGGAGGTTTCAGAAGAATTAAACAAGTAGGGAGCACGACATGTTTATGAGAAATCAGGAGATTACTGATGCAGTCGGTTCTGCACCTGAAAACGTCAGTCGGAAACATTCAAACCAGGCCAAGCTGTGGGGGCCAGTTGACGGGGATGTGGTTGGCTAGGGGCTGGGGAGATTTTATGCGAGGCTGAACGAAATGAGAAATGTGGTACCTCAAGGAGTCTGCAGCTCCAAAATTGCCCTACCGATTAAAGGAGCGTCTTTAGTCAAATATGGAAGCATGTCGCAAAACCATTCTTCTAGCTGCAAGCAAAGAATAGGATTCAAAGAGCGATGCGAAAGTGTTGAAGATGGTGGGTGCATGATCTATCTTGAGCTGCCGTGAACAAGGATGCAGCTAGTTCTTGTGGACCGTTTCCCGTGTCTCTCCGGGAACGCCGTCGTGAAGCCTCAGGGCCCACAAAATACAAAAACATACGCCGGAAGAAGATCTCAGGAACCGCAGAAAACAAAGCTAATAACATCCACAATCACTCAAACGTTCTCATCCCTTCTTACTCTGCCCATCTCAATTTCTCCGTACATTGGCGGGGGGCTATCCACCTGCATCAACCTCACACTATCTTCCCTCAAAATCACCTTCTTCTGCTCCCTGACCAATCTCATCGGCCCTCTCACGAACGCCGACAAAATGTCTAAGAGATTGAATGCGTCGACTAACGCTCGGATCGGACCTTTATTAGAGGTAATTTTTTGTCCTTTGTAAGGGGATGCGGAGTATGCGAAGATGAGCAAAACGGCAAAGATCGGCATTTCGCAGGCTAAGAGGAGAGAAGGTAGGCCCACAGTGAGGTCATCGTAGGTGAAGTATTTAGAGGGGTTAATTACGTTAGAGGAGACAAGGATGCCAAAGATGAACTGCCAGATATTAGCGATCTGCTATATGATGGTAAAAGAGAATTGAAGAAAGCGAGACCTACACTTTGAACGACATTGAGACCGATGATGCCTTTGAAAGCAAAGAGCTTCGTGAAAACTTTATGTGGTGCTAGACTTGGCTTCATGCGCTTGTAGAAGCGTAGAATTGCCACGATTGCAATGGTTGTTCCAATCATTTTGATGACTTGAGTCCAGATGTGGACAAAGTGCGGGCTATTTGACGTAGAGCAGTACGTGCCAGCTGCCAATGATATAACGGTCGCCAGCCAGATGATGATGCTAACTGGAATGAATTGGAGTACTGCGTACCAGGTATGCTGCAACGAAGAATTAGTTTTTGAGTTGATTTGTGGTTGTTGAATCCGTACCTTCAGCCACTTGGGACTGTTCGTCGAAAATTGCCCTCTTGACCAGGCTCCCTCCCCAAACAGCGCATCAAATCCATGCGTATCAGAAAGAATGATGTCGCACAAAAAGAGGAGGAATGACGACAAGGCGATTGAACACCCGAAGTCAAGCGACTCGAAAAGGTATTCGCCCGCTCCTTCAAGCCACACACAAAGAAAGGCAAAGACGGCCACCCAGGGGACAAGAAGAATTATTCGCATAATTTGGCGTTGCTGCACTGGATTCGAGTAGTTTATTGCATGTTGGAGGATGAGGAAGGAGCACATTAAACAGCTAGCAATGGCACAGGCGCCGGATAGTATCGTTGCGAAGGTGTGAAAAGTTATGTTGCCAACGAAGGGAACGATAGCTGGGCCGGCCGAGTCCTCTGCTGGACACACTGGATCGCTACCATCATTTTTGAAGAGTCTTCGAGCAAGGAATATAGATCCCATCGGGAAGTCGAAAACAGACGAGCGATAATACGAAGTAATGGTGGGATGGACGTTCTAGATGAAGGGAGAGTGCTGGAGTCGAATAATCTCTTCGAGGGAAGATGAGAAACTGTTTGGATGATAGAGAAGTAACTGGGACTTCGTAATGTCCTATATATCCCCTTAGCTAGGGTTCTGTGATGCCCGAATATGCTCCCGCCCCAAGCCAACGCAGCTGTTATCACCATCAATGGCCGAGCATCCTTTAAAGTAGCCAATCACGCTCGATTTGCTGCATACGGTTTAGTAGAGAGTAAGACTCGGCGAGGAAGAATAATTTTCCATCGTACACTAAGCCCCATTCGATCCTACGATTGGTATTAGCTTAGCTAGCTTGGCGCCCTCGCTGCAATTCTCTCTAGGTTTCGTGAAGCAACTGGCTTCACCGCCGGGAATCATTCAGAGTTGCGAGTCCGGTGCCAGAGCCATCGAAAGCCACATCAAACAGCCGCAGCAACATGACATCAAAGCTGTGTGTAAGGCTGTGAAGTGCGTTAAAATACCAGCCACAAAAGCTCGCGCGATTGACTCCATTAGTATGGGGCGGTGCAGAACTTCCCGGAGATGCAATGATTGAGTGGAAGCAGATGGAGAGGGCTCCTAGGAAGGAGAGATGGGTGGATTGATGGTGGGCAAATGGACGCGTAGACCCCGGATCTAAAGAGGCTGCCCATCAGGTCCCTCGGAGGGTCGGAGTCAGAGAACTCGTCCGTGCATATAGTGATGAACAGTGGAGGGGACAGGGCTGGGTTTTTTGACTTAAGCTTTCAAGATGGCAATCCGAGGTGTTTACTTGTTAAGTGGTGCTCTTGGACGACACTGGATATCCAGAAAGGTACAACTCAGACAGGAACCCCCTTGATCGTGCAGGGAGGCGCCTCCGAAAGATGTAGTCTATCGGACCGTCCCCGAAGAAGCATTTTCCTGCATTGAAGGTTGCTGTACCGAACTAGTCCATCTTTGTAGATGAAGCTTATGATGGATGGTTTGGTATGCGCTGTCTGCATAATATTTTAGTGTTCCGGCGTGCTCGTTCATGCTGCTAAGATGTGAGTGGGCTGGCTTGCCGCCGAGGCCGCATTTCGGAAAGCACCAATTAGGGGGAAGTGCAGCGTTTAAAACATTTCAAACTGATTTAAAACAGGTTACATAACATATCGGCTCATGAAAGCCCGTGCGCATTCGTGAGGCAGGTGCAATTCGGTCTTCAATTTGTGCGTCGAGTGTGCGAAATGCTTCCAAGGTTGGAGTTGCTATTCCGTAAATAGTTAGCCTTCTGTACTATATTTAGTTTATAACACTTATAGGGTCCGAACAGCTAATTAACTGTATTAGCGCTCATTACACTTCTCTAGCATTAATGAGGAAATAATGTGCATCTCATCGCTTGATGAGTGAGGCTGCGCGCCACGAGTTGGCCGCCTTGATGGATGGGATGGTGGAGAAAGTAGGAGCAATTACAACAACGTGAAATTTTGGCCGACTTGACCATGCCTCACGCCTTTCAGCACTACTTGAGACCTATCTGATTGATGGCCGGTCTTCAGTCGCGCGTCACCTCAAAAAAGGGGAACAAAAGCATAAAAATATTTCTTTTTCATTGTTCTGTTGCTTACTGTGTTTAGTGCGCAATGGAGCAAAGCGACGCGATCGAAGAAGGGCGATCAAGCTGTCGCAGGAGAGAGCATAACTAAGATACATAGTCACTTGAAATCCGCCGCCAGGGAGCGAATCCGTGTCCACCGTCAAACGCCAAGTTCCCTAAGAAGAATTCCCAGATGATCACACCGAATCGAGATGAAGAGCAGAAGCAAAAGTAAACCGAGAGATGAGTTGCCGTACATAGCCCGAGGAGGAAATCGTGCAAGATAAGAATTGAGAGAAACGAAGAGTTGGAGCGGTTACATTTGCATCACATCGTCTTCGACAACGGTAACGGACATGTCGATATCCTGAGATGGAGGCGTAGCTGGCTCAGACGGGGTTCGTTGACGAGCATTGATGCGTTCTCCCTCAACGCGAGGGACAGGTCCAGACATGAGGTTTGAGACAGCTCGTTGAAGAGACCATCCTACGAGTTGGCACCATTGGAGACTATCAGAGAAGAGCCAGTATCCTTGGACACCGTGTTGTTTGGCGCGGACAAAGTAGGCAGACAGCGACTCTTTCTCCAACATGACAATGGCTTCGGTGAGGTCGAAATGGTTTTCGATGACGCGAGAGTAGGCGCGGGAAGCTTCGAGCAGATTGGGGTTGGTCATAATGTTCTTCCAGCCTACACCAAGGGACGTGATGAGAGTGTTAATGGTGTTGCCATTCTCGTCAATAATGCCTTCGGCGGCCATGTCATTCAACGATGGGATGTTCACTTCAGTAGCAGAGTCCATTCGTTGCGATTTACGTGATACGGCGATGGGTCGGACAGGAGGTGCTTTCTCTTCGGTTTCGTACTTCTCTTCGCACCATGTGCCGGTTTGCGATTCGGCACAGATGCTCCACCCAGGCTCGCCGGGGTAGATGAGGGTCATCCCAGGGCCATAGATGGGCTCAGGCTTCGGCTTGGGAGGTAATTGCGTCGTGACGGATCCATCTGGTGAATTCTCCTCAGGGTCGTCGACGTCGGTGATGGACCGTTTCCGCCCAGCTGTGGCATTGGACACGGCAGCGAGGTAGTTGAGTGATGGCGGAGTGGGATACTTTGGACGGAAGTTGCTTGGTGAGTGGGCGCGCTGGTGAGAGGAGAGGTAGCTGGTGGGCTGCTGTGGTGGCAGCACGACAGTAGGTGATGACGCATAGTAATTGAGACCCATGGTTACTGTGTGTTTAGTAGATCAAGAGTGGGGAGAGAGGTAAGTGAGTGATACAAAGGCCTGCTTGAATATTTAAGCAGACGGCAAGGCTTGCGACTATGTTTGTCACGGTCAGTCACCGAGGGCGACGACGAGGTTGATAAAGGTGGCGAGGAAGCAAGGCGGGATGGGCGATGGGATGAAGGTGAAAGAGATGAGATGGATGAAGGAGTGAATGAAGGTGAATTGATAGGAGGAGAGGCCAGGGAAAGAAAAGGGTGAGAGGGTGAACGCTTTGGAGGGAGGGGGCGATGAAAGTGTGATGGAGGAAAGAGGGTTTGGAGGAGCGCGAGACGGCAGTCTTGTAAGCTCCGTCCAGATCCCGTGAGAGGCTGGGGCGTTTGCGGTGAGGCCTGGCAGAATGGGTAAATTGGCCGCGAGTGGGCGATGCGCAGATGCCAAGAATTCGAGCCGCATCTGGTCAAGTGGCTTGTCTTTGCCCCAATGTGGAAGGCCGGCGCTATGACCGGTGAAACAGAAGCGCCGAAGTGGGATGACGGGAGTTGCCAGGTAGTCACGCTTGAGAGAGCTCTTGGCATGCCGGCTATGCGGAAAAGCTCTTCTCTGTGCTGACACAGCACGGAAAAACTTTTGCTGACACGGCACGGAAACACTCAGCTGACTCAGGGCTGACATAGGCGGATTAACTTCTGCCGGCGTCGGAGAAATTCTTGCCAAGCAAATCGCGAACGCGTTTAGAATTTTGGTAGAGCAAAGTGAGTTGCAAGGCACCAAGATACCCTCCCCACGATAGCTTACCTTATCTACCCGCACTTTCTCCTTGCCTAGTTCTCTGCCCTTCCCCCGAATATGCAGGCACCCGTGGTTGTTATGAGTATGTTTGGACGAAGTTCTGATGTTTTCAGAGAGCTAACGTCAAAACAGATACCCAGACGGGTGGGGAGCGGCAGTTCGGACGCAAAGCGCAGCTCTCCAACATCACAGCAGCGAAGACGGTCGCGGATATCATCCGGTCATGTCTAGGCCCCAAGGCTATGCTCAAGATGCTGCTTGACCCCATGGGGGGCATCGTTCTCACCAACGACGGCCATGCTATCCTCCGAGAAATCGAAGTTGCACACCCAGCAGCAAAGAGCATGATCGAGCTGAGTCGGACGCAAGATGAGGAAGTCGGAGATGGTACAACGACCGTTATAATATTAGGTATAGTAAATTGCGCGAACGACCATGCCACTGTGGCGTCTAATATCTCACAGCGGGCGAGATCCTGGCACAAGCTCTCCCCCAACTCGAACGAAATATCCACCCTGTCGTTATCATCCAAGCCTTCAAGCGCGCTCTCACCGATGCCCTCCAGATCATTGGCGAAATTGCTGTCGACGTAGACATCAACGATGATAAGGCTATGTACCAGCTCATCCAAGCTTCAATCGGCACCAAGTTTGTGTCACGGTGGTCAGAATTGATGTGTGGTCTCGCTCTCAAGGCAGTACGGACAGTATCTCTGGACATCGGGAGTGGCAAGAAGGAAGTAGATATCAAGAGATATGCACGTATCGAGAAGATACCCGGAGGTGAGATCGAGGATAGCCAGGTACTAGACGGTGTCATGTTGAACAAGGACATCACCCACCCGAAGATGCGGCGGAGAATCGAGAACCCAAGGGTAATGCTTCTCGACTGCCCGTTAGAGTACAAGAAGGGCGAGAGTCAGACAAACATCGAGATAAGTAAAGAGGAGGACTGGAATAGAATACTGCAGATAGAGGAGGAGCAGGTCAAGGCAATGTGTGATGCCATCATTGCACTGAAACCTGATCTCGTCATCACGGAGAAAGGTGTTAGCGGTTCGTATCAGATCTCGCACTCCAGAAATAGGATCAGAAGCTAAACTTGTCTGGCAGACCTTGCCCAGCACTTCCTCGTCAAACAGAACATCACCGCCATCCGCCGCGTCCGAAAAACAGATAATAATCGCGTCGCTCGGGCGACTGGTGCCACCATTATCAACTCTGTCTTCTCCGCTACTGCATCAGATATTGGAACTCAATGTGGCCTCTTCGAAATCTCGAAGATCGGTGACGAGTACTTCACTTTCTTGACGAAGTGTACAGATCCGAAAGCTTGTACCATCTTGCTACGAGGCCCATCTAAAGACATCTTGAACGAGATCGAGAGGAATTTGCACGACGCGATGGGTGTCGCCAGGAATGTGATCTGGAATCCAAAGCTGTGCCCAGGTGGTGGTGCGACAGAGATGGCCGTTGCAGTTGGATTGGAGAGGAGAGCAAAGTTGATCGAGGGTGTGGCGCAGTGGCCATACCGAGCTGTGGCTGAGGCAATGGAAGTTATTCCTCGCACCCTCATCCAGAATTCTGGAAACAGCCCAATCAAAGTGCTCACGCAGTTGCGAGCGAAGCATGCGGAAGGTTACGAGGATGGTAAGCAGACTGGGAGCTCATGGGGCATTGACGGCGATTCGGGCAGGGTGGTTGATATGCGGCAATACGGTGTGTGGGAGCCTCTCGCAGTCAAGGAGCAGAGCATCAAGACGGCAGTGGAGAGTGCATGTCTGCTATTGAGGGTAGACGACATCGTCGCAGCGAAGGCGGCAAAACAAGCATCCGGCCCGATCGGTGGTGCAGGGGAAGATTAGAAATACTGGTTATGTTAACAGCTTTTGAGATCAGTCCATGCATTAGATAGATCCTGATTTCTCGGGGATGCTATTAATCCATGGAGAAGATAATAAAACAATGTTCATGAATACTGCTGGTTAAGTGCCGTCTGGCCTGGTTTTGCCCTGGAACAGTGGTTCTAATGAAAGCATTGGTAAATTTTGTGTTTGGTACAATTTTCTGAGGTTCCCTATCACCAACGTAACTACCGTCAACTTTCACTTGTCCTTTGCGACATCTTTCTCTTCAATTAGTAATTTAATTTAACGGCCAAGGCTCGCCTTCACGTCTAACATTCATCTGTTAGCGCTGCTAGACACATCTGACCAGTACACATTGAACCGACGCCGTTGCCATTTACCCATTTACTAGTACACTCCTAGCGAACGGTCACAGACCATCAGCTTGACAGGCTAGGCGATCCCGCCATGGCAGACCACGCAATCCGCAGTATTGATCTTAATCTGGCAAGGCAAATTCAGGCTCGCTAGGCTAGTATTGGTGATATCGAACTGGACGCGAAAATTGTCATTAGATCATGCAACCTGGGGTCGTCCGAAGTCTGAATGTCCAGTATATCAAGCGTTAGAGCTCCATTGTATATTCAGTGAAGGAATGCTAGTCCTAAAGAGGTATATGCTAGTCCCAAACAGGCTACTAGCGTCCTCAAGGACCTTAAACGTAGGATCACGTGAAATTAAATCACGCGATATTGCGTTCTGCCACTGATAGCTAATGGCTGATGAAAAGCACACCTGCAGTTAAATCTCCTTCATCAACGCTATTAGAAATGTGCCAAGAATCCGATTAGGATCCATTGCTTGAAGTAAACGCAGAACTTACGACTGTTCCGAATAGTGTCTTTCGGAAATTTGGAGACACCCATGTCGCCAACTGGATCTTCGAAGTGCGGCAAGACAACGGTAGAGACCACCTCTCGAGATCGGAATTTGAGTCCATCTGCCTTCGCATTCGCTTCCAAGACATCGTAGACCCCACCGCCCATTATTTTAGGGCCTGTAGGGATGTATTTGATGATTAAGAGCTTGAAACGACTGACCTAAAAGTTAACTGCGGACATTACTGTCAGAGGGAATGCTTAAACTAGCTTGTAATAAGCGTCCAGCTGAATCGAAACTAGAGTCCTTCGGTAGCGAAGAGCTCTACCACCAGATGAGGCAAATCACCCGGAGAATGATCGAAATGATTCAAATATCCACCACAGTGCTCCTGGCTCTTAAAACATATACCGAATCTTGATAAGAAGGAAGACCCGTTTAATGGAATACGATATCTGCCAGCAGCCGTATCACGATTGAACAGTTTTTAACTATTCAAGCATGGTGCTAGGTCTAGCCAGATGCTGAAAGTAAAGTATAATGTAAGTTACATTAGACAGTTTACATTTCCTATTCGGATTTATCTCTGTAGCCATACCAAGACACTATCTATGAGTGCCGTACTTCTCTATCTACCATGGCTGCCCTAGAGGTTCCATCATCAATACAGCACACTTCCTCTGCACCAACACCCAGCCTTACTATCTCTTTCTCTCCTTGCGATAGATTTTTCGTCCACTCCACTAAGCAGGAACAAGAGAGCAGTTGATATCAAAACTCTGGCGAGAACATAAAAAATAAAAAATCCGTAGCATTTTCCCCACAAGTTTTGAGCACTTGTAAGGGTGTTTACAAAGATTAGTAAAGATTTTCTCACTTGATCTACCCATATCATCAGAGGTCGAAGATAGAGAAAGGACGGTGGACCCGTTTCCCTACCGGGAGGAACAAGAAGGCTTCGCTCTAGATAAGCTTATGTCTGTCTCCTCGTGATGTGGCTTTCTCCCCCATCATGTACCTCGTATTGTATCGCTCTACTTCGTTATCTCTACAACCCCACATTCTTTGGTCCAGCTTTCAGCTTCATTTATTCGCACGCAATTCTATCAGGCCTAGACCGTGATAATTGTTGCCGTTCCAGTATAAAGTGCTCTTGAAGACTTCAAGGAGTGGATTGGTACTCCATCGAAAGAGCATACAATTCAACTTCGTGTCCCACCACACTAAATACACACCATACACGCTGAATATAGTTCGTACACACCGAAGACAGTTCATACCCGGAATATAGGCGGTGCGAGGAGAGACAAATACGTACTGTATTGGCGTACTCAACTAGCCCACTACGAGGCCATTTATAACTCTGACCATCTTCCTATTCACCCTGCTGTCATGTGTCCATGCGCAGAATAGCATAGAGCTCATCGCAGAAGCTATGAAGATTTTATCGGAATGCGCAGTCAGCATTACGTATTCCTCGTAAGAACTTAAGCAAACCCTCTCAGTTCACATGCATGGCAACATCAGTACAAAAGTCGTCTTGCGAGCTGTCGGACCTCTAATGCATATCCCGTAACAGGCCACTCAATTCCGAGATGACTAGTTGCATCAAAGGTTCTTGCACCATCAAGGAGGCATTAAGTACGTCCGTAACTTCATCGCTGTAATTTTAACTAATGACTGCTAGCGACAAAAGACTTCTCCGAAACTGCCTTCGGAGGGCCCATTCGCGACCACACGAAAGCGGTATCTTACACTAGACTAATATCAGTCGGAATCGCCATCATATCTGTCATTCTGCGCCCTTTCGCTCGATTACCATGCTGTGGAGGAACCTGGGGGTTGGACGACTGGGCGATTCTCGTCGCAATGGTACGTACAACTCTCTCACCCCGAATACGAGCAAGGCTAAGGTGCATCAGATGCCTGTGCTACCTCTTACCGGCCTTACGGTAGTTCGTACGTGCCGCGTCGCATATATATAGATATAAAAATAAATAAAAATGAAAGCTAACTGACCGATAATTGCGAACGATGGCCTAGGAAAGGATATATAGACCATCCCTTTCCACAAAATCACGCGTATTCTCTACGTACGCTCACACCTCCAACCCCCTAAGCATTCGCAAACCTAACGCGGATTAATAGATATACTACTTCGATGAACTATTATACCTTTCATCAATCGCCCTAAGCAAGATATCAATCCTTCTATTCTACCTCCGAATCTTCCCCGAACGCGCATTCGTTGCTGGGTCTATCTTACTCTCGGCCTCTGTACTGCGTATATAGTCACCTTTATTCCAGTCACAATTTTTCAATGCCTGCTTATTCATCTCGCGTGGGAACGATGGGATGGACAACATCATGGGAGGTGCTTCACTTTGAATACTGAGGGTTGGACCAGCGCTATCTTCAATATAATCTTCGACTCGATTGTTATATGTCTACCGAGAGATGAGTAAACTGGCTATGAGTAGGTGGAGAAAGGTGGGCATCATGCTCATGCTTTTAGGTAGTGGATTGTAGGCTTCCTTCCCTAATGGTTGCGTCGAAGCTAATGCAAGGTTATAGCGCCACCGTCGTCTCTATGCTCCACCTGAAATGGCTAATCCAGTTCGCAAAAACCGAAAACGTCACCTGGGACTACACGCCGGTAGGCTACTGGTCGACCTTTGAAGTCCACGTCAGCATCATCATCGCCTGCTTACCTGCACTCCGTTCCCACACCGCCTCTTTCCGTCTACCAAGCATCCCTCATCTTACTATGAAGGCCCGTCTGCCCGTTATGGATACAATTCTGAAGGCGGAAGTCCCTTTCCATGTATTTCAAAGTTTAAGAAAAGTGGAAGCCATATCACAACAGGGGCGAGTCAAGCAAGGATGATCAAAAGCCGCGACCGAACAAAAGGCGACAAAGAATTTATTCAACTAGATGAGTACGAAATCCGGCTGGGTGGTGGAATGGGCGATGAAGGACGCCGCATTGAAAAGCACGCTCGGGGGCATAAACACCACAGCTGTTGAACGTGGATCCATCAACAACGACGACATTGAACTTTTAACCTGCCCACGTTTCATCGCTCTCCTCCCTAGCTCGCTATCTAAGAGTAGCGGAAGTCCGCTTAGGTCCGCCGCCCTGCCCCAGGTTATTATGGTGAAGAGAGAGTATAACGTTAAGATGGAAGAAGGGCAAGAATCATTGAGTTTGAGTTCCTCGCGTTTGAGTGAAAGGGGTGGAAGGGGCAGGATAATGGAAGAGCAAGTGCTGAAACGGAACCAGAGTTTTAGTTTAAGGAAGGAGAGAAGGAGAAAGAAATAATCGTGGTTGTCCTTTAGTTCAGTGTTAGGTGGCATTGTGGGCTTGAGGGTAAGATACACCTAGATGGATTCACTCAATTTCGGGAAGAGGAAGGGTTTGGTAACAGGAGTAACTCGCTAGATACTATATTCAGATAGCATGGTCATACTCTGGATTGCTAGAAGAGCTAGAGTTCTATTTATCGCAAAAAAGCGCACTTACTCCTTAGAAATTGCTGTGAAAATCTTGCTACTAGGGTGCAACACATGATTCACCACCTTCCGTGCACTCTCCAGTAGATAGTATATGATCACTCCACGTGCTGGGATGGCAATGCTCCTGATTTCCTTTTACGTCTGAGCTTTCTCCACCACCCTGTATATAATCCCTACTAAAAAAAATATTGGTCATTGTTACCCATATGTGCAGATTCCGGGCATTCTAAAAGTGTGGGTCAAGTTTCCATGCTGTTGCTCCTTCATCGGACAAGGGAATACCAACAACAAGCCCATAGTCTGGTATTCCCCTCCACATTGCGTATTCCGCCAAATCGCACCCCCGAAGCAGGGCAAGAAAAAAAAAATCCACAGGGAACGGTTACGTAGCCGATGATCTTCCTGCACAATTATTTATGCCTTCGTCCCCTTTTATCATGATCGTTCTTCCCGGAACAAAATAATCCTCGCAAAGAGGACACGGAGAGAGGCCAGTCTGGGATTTAAAAAGAGCTTCCGTACTTGCTCACTCTGGGCGTATGAAGTCTTCATGAAAGGGTTGGATGTCTTTCCCCTACTTCCACCTCCAAAATACCTACCTGGGCCTCTTAAAAATCGAAGATAGGAAATGCTAAGGCCGTCATTCTCGCGTCTTGTAAAATCACCAATAATGCCACAAATGGCCAGCCTCCCAGACTCGAAAATATCGGCTGGCACGCAGATGTGCGGATGTCCGACCTTCAAGGGACATGAGGAGAACATGTTTTAACATCAGGAAAGGACGTATTTCCTCCACTTCCACCTCCAAGCCACCCAGGGCCTATTAGAATGACAACCGCGGAATTCACACCAGGCGCTCCAGTGACTGATGACCAGTCTCCTAGTTCTTGCCTGTAAAATATCGTCTAAGAAATAGGGTGGCAATCTCCACTGCACCTTCCAAAACTACCACGGAACGTCTGGTGACTAGTCTCCTAGTTCTGACCTTTAAAACATTGATGGAACCACTAAATGGCAGTTAATCCGGGCCTTCTAAACATAAAATAAAAATATCAGAGGAGCGAATGAGGACCCACTCCTAGCTCCAGGCCCTAAAATATAGAATCACCAAAGGCCTTGCGGATTCCGCGGATTTGTAAAAAAAAATTGACGGACTCGCAGACATGTGTATTCTAGATCATTCTAAAGGGAATTTTTTTTGCTAACTTATTTCGGCTCAAGAATACTGGCATGTCAGAATCTTGCTTTATCTGGCACCTGGCAAGATAAACCCTCCGTACTAGAAAGATGTGGCTCTGCTCTTGGTCTCAAGTATGGATGACATTTCACTCGGCCTCTAAAATCTCGATGGCATTTGTTGCATGCCGTTCGGACTTCCGGGACATTTAAAATCCACTCGAAAAACGGTTCGATGCCAGAACTACAGAGTTTCCGTCTAGCGCCGGCAAAATATTCCAGCAGCGATTCTCATGGTAAAGATTTGTTGTTTGAACATAAAATCTGTCTTTGTCTGTCCTGTTTGGAACTCGGGTTTCGACATATATAAACTCATTCCGATTTGTCCTATGTGGAGTCCGCATAAATAAATACGCGATCGTTTAGGTGCCATGGCTCTTGGTATCGCAGTTTGGTGGTGGTTACTTCGAAATATTTGAATGCCTCACCCTCGTGTTGATGTAGGTTGAAAACCCTCGCCGATTGGCTGCATGGTTGGTTTACGATTGAGGTAACGGGAACACAAAAAGTGCTTGTGAGTTAGCGACCTGGTGGTGAGCATCAATCAAAGTGGCTTACAGTGCTCAACATGTCACTCTCGAGAAGAAAGGAGAATGTAGAAACTATGCGTGACGAAACGAACAAATCTACAACTGCTTGTCCCAGAACGAAAGAGTATCTAGCGAATATCCACCCTTTTATCTTCTCCTATAATATAGTACACAATTCTTAGAACAGAAAATGTAACGTGTAACATGCATGCAATGGGTATCTTGCGAATGTCCGTCCTCAAACGGATCAAATCCAATACAACAAGCAGCCAGACGGACCTTTGCAATAAACACTAGCGCCACACACCAGGACGCTGCACGAGGTAAACCCACGCTATAATCTCCCTTGTAAACACCTTCCTACCCCTTAAATCCGTGCCCCGCCTCTTGACATTCCCTTTCTAATTCCCCCCTCCACTCCCCCAACCCAACTCTCTTTGTAGCATCCCTAACCAACACCCGCCCCAACCAACTGCAAACTCCCCACCCTAACTCCCTTTCCACGGCTTTCAACCTCGCCACATTCCTGATTCCTTGATCTCCATACCCCGTATACGCCAAAGGTGTCCCATGTTTGACAATTTCGCGTCTTCGGAAGACGTTTGAGCCTGCGCATTCGAAAGGTGAGGAGCCAAGGATGAAGTACAGGAAGGTGAGAGCTAAGGACCAGGTGTCTGATTCCGGGGTCGGGGTTGGAGAAGGTGAGGGGGAGGTGGGTTTGAGGAGAAGAGAAGGGTCGAGAAAGTCCCATGTGCCGCCACCGAGGGGGGCTGAGGATGAGTTCGTGTCGGTGAGATGGTGGTTTAGGGTCGCGGAAGAGAAGTCCGAGTATAGTGCTAGCGGCGGCGACGAGGATAAATCTATTAGGATGTTTGAAGGTTTGATATCCGCGTGCACACATCCGTTCTCTATCATCCATTCTAGGCCCCGAATCAACGCTACTGCGATCTGAGGAAATACTCCTGCTAACCTCCTTGCTCTTGCCCCTTCAGCTAAGGCGTTTAAATCTGTTTGGATCCAGCACTCAAGCGTCACATCCATGGCTTTCAGCACGAGAGCAGAGGTCCGAGTGTCCTGGCCGTAGAAAGGCACGATGTAGTGGCTGGAATCCGGGAAGCGGGAGAGGTAGGAGAGGACTAAGGATTCGGCGGCTAGAACGTGTTTTGCGGAACGGGAGGCTGGGAATTTGATAGCGTAGGCAGATGGGAGTGTTGGGAGTGGGCGTTTTGAGACTGAGGAGTTGCGGGAGCAGGTGGGTGTTATTGGGGGTGTTGGGATTGAGGGATCGTTTATGCATCCGTTTCCGGTAATCAGGGAATGGTGGGAAGTTAGAGGATATGATGGTGTGGCAAGGGTGGATACCGATGCGGAGGGCCTAGGAAGTGTTGGTCGAGCAAGATACACGTCGCTCCATAGTCCACTTCCGAGCGGTTGTTTCTTATCTAATACCTCGTAGTCTGACAGCCAGTACTTGAACGTGAGCAACTCAGTATTCCCTGGTTTCTCAGATTCGTCAATCGATATTCCCCTACACCAGGAAGTGAGGGATGATATCGAGTCTCCTCTCCTTCGACTTCTAGTCGAAGACACCGATTCCCCTCTCATCAAACCCAACATTGACCTCGCGCTCGACGCCGAGCTGGATTTTGAATGCGAAGCCTTCGTCGGTGTAGACGGTGGCGTAATAGCATCGCTGTCATACATTCCCTTGGGATCAGAATTCGGCATCGTATTTGCTCGTATCCTCGTCGGTGACTCCGGCGGCGAATTAATAGTCCTTAGGGGTTCCTGTCTCGAGGGCCAGGGAGTCGGGGATGTGAAGCCTGCGTCGCGGGTTTGTAAATTAATATGTGGCCTTGTTGGTTTTGAGGATGTGGAAGATGGTAGCGAAGTTGGAGGGAAGTCGAACTTTGGTAGCGAAACCATGCCAACGGTACGCGAAATAGGTCCTTGATATATGGAAATGCGACAAACAGAGAAAGAAAGATGAAGAGGAAACTGGACGGTGAAGTGCAGTACAACAGAGCAGAAGGGAAGGAATGTGAGGGATAGGACCCAAATCCTAGGAATAAATATGCGCCAACTTGAAGCTGTGCAACGGAATCCGAATCTTGTAAACAGTTGAGCAATGCACGGGAAATACAAAGTAGTGAACCCGGGAGGCCGAATGCAGCGTAAAGCGGCTGGTGCTGTGACACACGCGCGTCCTATAATCTAGAATAGAAATATGCAATTGATAATCCTACACTCGAAATTCTAGAACGCTAAACAGAAGCTCGAAGATCAAACACAGGAACACATAATTTGTCAGAGTGCGCGGTAATAATAGAGAAAGAGGAGAAAAGACAAGACGAGAAAAAGGCGCAAAGCGCAAAGATCCGGATGCACGACGGATATTGAAATGGTGATGCAGATGAAGTCACAGGAGTCAGTGGTCGAAGAGGCTAGTAATAAGGCGCGGCGGACAGATAATAAGCCATGTCAATGAACCGGCGCCGCGGATTGCCGCAGCGAGCTTTTATATCGACTTTTACGAGCTGCGAAGGGGGCAGAACAGGTGATAAGTCTTCGCAAATAGCCAGTCGAAAAGGCCAAGGCAACACGGTCGTCAAATGTTGGATTTTCGAGCTTCTCGCCATCGGAATCCGTGCTCAAAACCAGAACATCCACGGCGCCCCAACCCGGCTCCTCTCAAACCGCAGCCTCGTCAACGTGGGAGCACCTATTGGACGTCCGGCCTGTATCTTCGACCACAGCCGTGGAATGCCTGCTTCTCGTACGTCTACTGTGCCACGGCTCATCGAGGCATGTGGCACACTACCGCCGCTGCGCAACGTCTCCGGAACCAGAACCAAAGACCGGATCCTTCTTTGAAGACACCGCGCTTGCGGAACGGATGGGCGGGAACAGCACTGAGGATGTGAGACGTGAGACCGTGACTTCGCGATTCCTGATCTTTGGGAGGCTACCATGGGAAAGCTATCGGGACTTATCATGCAGTAGCGCACAACGTGCCTTTTAGTGGCAACCACTACGATGAGCCTGCGATATCAATTTTATCTTAGTGGGAGGTTGATACCCGATCTCAGGGCTCGATATGCTTATCTGGTTTCTGGGATGCCTCAGTTGTCCTCTCCCTGCAGGAACAGAAGAAGCAAAAATTAAAGAAGTCTCACAGACGTCCGCTGCCTGGCATTCTTCGACAAATCAAGCCCACACTTGTCAACATGCCATCAGGAAACCCAGGAAGAAGAGACCGGCATTCCGTCGCTTGGAAGAAACGCCCTATGTACCTACTTGCCCATTCCGTGACCATACAACCGGAATTTGCGTCCTCGTGTTGCAAAATGGTTAAGCGCAAATTTCATGCCGAGCTCATCAAGATATTAACCTTCACCAAAATCGCGCACAAAGATATCCTTTGTACTCAGCTGCCATTCAAGTCATCTACAAAATTCCTTGCCTACGAATCAGTCCACAGAGCCCATTATCCTATCCTGTTCAAACAGAACGGAGTCTTGAGTCTAATCCATCACCCAAAGATTGCAACCCCAGCGTTTTCCTCCACTGCTGTCAAAATATCCACCTCTGAAATCTGCAGCGGCCGTGTAGTCCAGCCTTGCAATGCAGCTAACCAAGGTTAAAGGGAAATGTTATTCATCCGAAGTGCTTGCGCCAAACAGAGGAAAGCGCCTCAAATAAAAATCAAGGCGAGCCAAAGTAAACCAAAAAGAGAACGCACACACGAGTGATTATATAGAAAAGTCCACTCTCCAAGAAGAAATCCACAAAATGGTATATGTGGAGTGGACTCGAATCTGAAGAACGCCACCTTTCATGTCCCAGACATTCCATGCAAAGGGAGATCATTGTGGAATTAGTGTACTGGTTGCTTATGCACAAAACGCAATTCCATTAGAAATCAGAGACTCAAAACTTCTCCGATTGACGATCATACATGTCGATGATGTTTTCCTGCTCCTGGCGTCAATGGTCGTACCCTGCTCCACGTTGCCAGGGACTCGAGTTGTTTGCTGATCGATAATTTTGCTCGCTTCTTAGGCTACCGGCACGTCCATATTGCGCAGGCGGGGCGAAGCCACCACCGCTTGACGCCGGGCTATTCCGGCCGTAGTATGATGGTGGTGGGGCCCCGGGTGTTGGTGTTTGTCCCTGTCCCGGATAGAGGGGCATTGTCGGATCAACGGGGCTCCGTGGGGGGTTGGGTTGGTAGTGCTCCGCGAAGCTACCCTCCTTTGCAGCTAGTTGTCGTTCGTGCGAGTTTGATGAGAAGGAGTCATCATCGTCATCAATACCGGTTCGAGGCTTGTTGTATGGGTGAGTTCCCTTACCCTCGCCGCGAGCAGTAGCACCCAGAGCATCGAGTTCGGTCGTTAGTTGGGTCTGGGACTTGATGAACGACCCCCGATCATCGCGCATGGGTTGATAACGAGTATCGGGGTTCTTGGTGAACAGTGCAAAGCCGGAGGAGATGAGGACCATGAGCAGAAGGACGAGAGCAAAGGCAGCGTTGTAAATGAAGAAGATCACGCCCATAACACCCGTTACGATACCCTAAGCGTGGTTAGCAAGCTGGCCGAATATGGGAATGGGGGTTCAGAACATACAGGTTGGTTGAAGACGTCAGTGAATACAAGCAGGAAGATGGCACTAAGGAAGTTGACGGCGGCAATGGCGATGTTGAAACCGTTCGTCTTCTTGTCCATATAAGGCCGCATCACTGACACACCAATCAAGAGGCCGGCCTCGATCAAGACAAGAGCAATCGCTTGGGCGGTACCACTTCCTTGAGCCAGACCAACGAACATGCCCTTGATCATTATGTAGCCGAGGACTGGGGCAATGAAGTAGTACGCGGCGGCCTTGAATTGCACGTAGAGGAAGCCCCACTTGTTGAGTGACGCAGGGTCGGAGTACAAGATATACGCGGGGTTCTTGTGCATCGTAATGGAGCGTTGAGCGATCCGCACGACCTTGGACGTGGCCCACCCAAGAATGCAAATCATCGTGACCAACGTGAAGATAGCCAAAATGACCTCGCCGGCCGAGTCGCGCTGCGTCAGTTCCCAGAAGCAGAGTACGACCATCTGCGGGAAACCGATGAGAATGACGCGGAACATGATTCCCTTGAGTACCGTTTGCCAGCCGTTTCGGAAGTCGAGGAACTTGTCGCTCTTCATCTTGCCGGCTTTAACGAGACCTTCGCAGATAAACTTGAAGATGATGACGCCGAGAGCGACCACAATAACAAATACGATGAAAAGGCTGTAGCCAGTAAAGAATATGTTGGTTGTCTCAATATGGGCTTTGAAACCGACACGCTGGATGCCTTTGAGAACGATGCGGCTCTGGTTCTGAGCTTTCGTAACCCCACTGTTGGTTCGCCCAACGAGGCGTCCAAGGGAACGGGTCGCAATGTTTAAGGCTCGCTTGACCTTCTGCACTTCGACCGAGACGGTGGAGAGTTGCGAGAGATATGTCGTTGGAGTTCCGCCAGTCGCGCGCTGGTACCAAGTTGCCATCTTTTGCAGGAAACCGACACGAATGATGCCCATGCTCCATTGGAAGTTCTGCGTCCACGCGGAAACGACGGGAGGGAGAGGGACAGCGCACATGCCGATGAAAGCCTGAGCCTGGAAGTATCCAAAAAGCGACATGGCATTGGCCGCGACGTGTGCGGCCGTGTTCGAGTGTCCCAAACCGGAAGTAATGGCAGATGCTACCAGGCCAAGGCCTGCAATGACAGCTGTCGACCAGGCCACAGCCTTTTGGTCGACAGAATGACCGTTAGACAGCTCGGCTTCGACGCAAGCAAGCGGTTGCTGCGTATCGGAATCATTGATCTTGATGCGGATTTTGGCGTCGAGGTCGGGAATGGTATAGGCGATTCCTAGCGGTCGTTAGTTGCTAGCCATGGGAGGGCCGACGGCCTGTCTAATGTCTTACCTGGGATTCTACTCATGACGTCGGGGCCGATGGCAATGTTCGACCTGATCTGGATGTTGACAGCGTTCATGGGGCACATGCCCTGCTTGAGATCAACATTCTCGCACGGGTTCAGATTCTGCTTCAGCGCTGAGAAGCCGTAGACGAGCAGCTCGAGCTCCGCATTAACCTTTCCAGAGATGGACGACACGCCCTCGATGTTGAAGGCCAAGCTGCGGTTGCTGGGTGTGAATACGACATTGAAGAGGGTGGCCGAGAAGCTCGAGTTCGCCTGGCACGGGTTGAGCGACTTCGACTCTATTATACGTTCGGCGGAGGAGAAGGGAAGGGCGGCGGTCGCGAGGAGGATAGACCACCTGACGAACGAGGATAGCATGTTGGGTAATTGTTCGTAGATATTAAAAGTCGGGGAGGGATGAAGGCGGGCGGCCCCTCAGGAGCAGCGTGGGTGAGTACTCTGTCGGGGAGTACGCAAACGGGGGGGGGGGGGGGGGGGGGGGGCGGCCAAACCAGCAGGCGGCGATGTTACTCCTTCAGCGAGCGAGCGGAGTGTTGAGTGCTGTGTAGACTGCCAACAGGCGAGAGAGCGGGCGTGAACGAGTGAAATGGCCGCGATGACGAGGTTGGTGAAGGGGCTGTTGCTGCGACGACCTGGGCTGGAAACGGGGAAGTTGCGAGGGCGCGGCTGCTTGCGGGTCCGGGTGTGGGACTGCGAAGGGCGATTAACGATTGTGATGGGTGCGATCAGCGGACCTTCCAGGCACTCCGCTGCACCACAGCCAGTGAATTATTAGATATTGAAGAGTCGACAACGGCGTGTTTGAGCGACGCCTGAGGGTATTGAGCGAGTGTTGTTGTGTCGTGGAGGATCCTGGTGGAGCGGCGGCGGAAATGTCGATGCTCGTCTCACGGAAAGGGGGTCGAGACAGGACAAGTCACGGGCGCTGCTAAATCTGTACACGCGGCTTTCGTTTTGGCCCAGCGCCAACCGGCAAGAGTCCACGGGACGGTTCTTTCAATGATGCAAATTGCTTCAGATGCTCGCCACTGGTTACCTTTGCGCGGGTTTTGTTCTGTTCTGCCACATTTCTTTGTTGCTTTCCACTGCCAAAAATAATCGCCTTGTCTTCGCGCCTCCGTTCGCTATTGCCAACGCAGCGAGTCTCGCCTGCCAGTTCGCCATTTCCGGCAGGCCTGAGAGGGAGCGGCGTCTGTCCAAGCTGCTCCGCCACAGACCACGACGCTGGGGCTCACCACCACGAACCCGTCCCGGCCCTCCATGCTCCAGCTTTCAGGCACAATTTCGCACGTCAGCCGCCAGCCAATAATGCCTGCGCCCGAAGTGGACACAACTTGACGCTCCGGCGCGCTGACTGATTAACTGATTGCCCACCCACAGCCTATCGCACCCCCGCCAATGCTCGGTCCAAGACGTTGCATCGTGTTCGCGATATTACGAGCCAGCCTGTAAACTTCTCAAAGCCCGCCTCGCTCCTCCGGACTGCCTCTTCTGCATGGGCGCTGTTGGCAGCGGCGACGGTCTCTGCAGTGCTGTTCATACTGCTATCCTCTGTCCACAAATCCTGTGACAGCCTCGCCGAGCCCTCGAATTTCTCCTGAGGCACCTTGAGTTTGGGACGCCCAGAGCGACTTCTCCCCATCCGTGCCCCGCGCCTTCCTCGCTTGGGCAGTGACCTGCAGCAGTGAACGCAAAGTCTCCAACCGACCTGGTGAATGTACAGTAGACTCGCCAATTAGCCATTGCGGTCACCACTTGGCGGCGACTTCGACGTCTCATCGACCTTAAATTTCGGGCTGATCGACGTCTCCAACCCACACCGTTACGTTGGCGTGCACCACCAGTGTTCGTCGTCATGATGGCGAGCAAGAGACTCCCAGCCACACCCAATGTTGATCGCGAGATCAAAAAAGTCAGGTGGACGTCTCTAACCTGTCCGCCCGCAAACCCTTTGTATGCCTTTTCGTAGCTTGTGATCCTTTATCGTTCATTTTATCCAGCTCATCTGACCATGGTCGTAGGACTATGCTCAATGCGGAAGAGTCACCCTTCTTGAAACTGCCAGCAGAGCTTCGAAACCATATCTATGAGCTTCTCCTCGGTGGGCATTTCATCCATGTGGAGGGAGATAAGAGAACAGACTCCTGCAAAACTTCTAGACCGTACAACGAGGCTTCCTGGGCCGAGTTTGCGGGTGGTGGTTCTAATCTTTTGAGTAGCTGGGGTCATGACTTTTGCCTGCATTTTTATTCCTGTAAGGCCCAAATGTCTGAAGATGAAGCTTTTCGACGTTCTCGAGACGCTTCTTTGAACGAGCGACTCTCTGGATCGGAGGGAAATTTGAACTACTGGAGGCTAGGAGACCCATTCCACGTCGATTCCTGCACATTGCGACACCAAGCCTGCTATCCTGAGGATGACTATCAGAAGCCAGCTTGGATGATGACACCAAGAGATAGCAATAGCCGAACCAGACCAAATGTGAGCCTTAACAGGACTCTAAATCTCACCTTTCTTCAGACTAGCCGGCAGGTATACCAAGAAGCCAAGAAGCTCCCCTTTTTTCTCAATACATTTGGGTTTAGAAATGTGCTAGCTTTGCTGTTCTTCCTCTTTCGTCTTGAGCCTTTCCAGGGCAATGCCTTGGCTACGCTATGGATTTACCTAAGAGCTGGTCGCTCTTTCCACTCTTCGGACGCCAGGAGTTGGAACCAGCGGCTCTTCGCGCCCAGCCTCCTTTCCAACCTCCAAGGACTTCGCGTTGTTCACATCTCTATCAGTATCGCTCACACTGGAATGGGCGATAGAGGACCTCTCCGTAGCGAATTCTACGAACCGCACCTGAATAGCTGGGTTCTTGGTCTCAGTCGCCTCCGAGGTCTTCCTTTAGAGCGTGTGACTGTGATTATCTCTGATGATCCAGCCTCGAAATTCGGAATTGACGGGTACTCAGATCGTGTTATGCAGTATGGATGGAATTTTAACCCCGAAACCTGGCTGTTGTTGCGAGAACAGGAATGCTTTAGTGCAGAAGAGAAGAGGCAGTGGGCAGAGCGATTACGACAACATATCTTAAAAGAGACCACCGATATGTAGATGGCATCGAGTGTTTTGGGCCAAGTAGAACGTTTCAACCATTGCCCATCGAATAATTCTTTTAGATAGCAATCCTCGAAACCCCATCCCTTTGCCAACCCATTGCCAATGTCTCAGAAAGTCTCAGAAATAAGCTCAAACAGCCTCCATGTTTCTTCGTCAGCCACATGTTACGCTTAATATCTCACAGGCACAATAGACACAGGCACAGGTACCCGCATTCCACTGCACCGCCCCGATCTCCAATTTTCATCTCCTGCGCACTCCGATCTCCGATGCCCGTCACATCCGTCCCTGAACATCTTCATTTTGCGACCCACGCGTTCCAGCCCAACAACAATTGCGACACATAACATGCGATGAGCATGGTGGATTCATTCCCACCATTTTAGTCCGCTCTAATTGAACGTTGTAGGATCTAATGTTTCTAGAGGTCGTGTGAGAATATGAACAGATGTTGGACGCCTTTCCCGAAGCCCGCCGGTCTGACGGTATGCAGTCTGTGCACGCCGGAACAGGAACCAGGAACGTTGTGTGAGGAGGTCGATACGGAGATGTGTCATCACGGATGTTTCGTAATGTTGGGACTGCGTAGGTGAAGTGCGCTGTGGGAATCGTGTGTCATAGGAATGGGCAGTTGATAAATTCGGACAAAGTAGCATGGAGGCGGTGCGTTTTGGGTTAGTTGCGCGGGACTACTATTCACTTACCTACTCCAACCCCCTTTACATTTTTACATTTGATGCAGGTCGTCTGTAGAGGTGGAAGAACTTATTTCCTGTCTATTTACCCAATTCTAATACCATTACTAGAAGATCCCCTTTTGCTCCATGATCTCGAGCATAGCTTGACTTGCTGTAAATATTAGGTCTGCTACGATGCCTATCTCTTCAATTTTCTTTGGGGATCTAACCCCTTCAATTTAGTTATCTACCTCTCCCCTCTACCTTGCTTAGATGAAGAAGTAGCTGAACCTTCTTTCACATTGCCGGGGAAACCTTTCGATGCTGAAAACATGCCTCGCACTGAAGAAGAGATGGCTCGTGAACTTTCCTTACACAAGCGAGGAGTATTTCACGTCGCAAGTTAACTGCTCTACCTGCTGAAAAGCACGCGAGGTAGTATTGCTTTGCCCTGACTCCTATCCTCAATATCGATCCTTGTAGCCGCGAGGTTTCCGTTGCAGAGATGGCGTAAAAATTCAGGCCACGGTGACAGTGAAAGCAAAGCTTGTGACTGCGGCCATTTCACCATCACATTCTCGTCTCTAGCACTTCTACGGCTGAAATGGGACCTTGCAACACACTACCCACAACATGGACAACCTCTCCATCACAGAGCAGAACCAACTCAAGCAGCTCCTTGAGCGAAAGCTCCAGGGCATTCCCTTCGGTCACGTCGACATCACCTTGGAAGACATCGCCAACTTATCCCTAAAAGCTCTCCAGCTACCAAAGTACTTTTATCCCCCACCCCAGCACTGCTACTAATTACCCCCCAGCATCCCGCCCGACATCCAACTAGACTACTTCCTCCGCAACCGCTCCACCATGCTGCAACACTTCGATCTTCCCCACAAATCCATCACCGAGCAATCCCTCACGCTCACGCGGGCAATATTCTTCTACCGGCTCTCCGAGCGCCACCAATTCTGCCGCTACCATGACCCCATGCGCTGGAACACCCTTCTCTTCATAACCCTGCTCACCGTCTCCCCATCTTCCTTCCGGACCCTCTCAGCGAAGGAATTCGCCATCTCGTACCTCTTCGCAGTTCTCGAACACCATAACAACCCGGGTAGGTTTGACATGCGAGAGAATTTTATCAGGGTATGGAAGTCTGGGAAGTATGAGTTTTGGCGGTTTACGGCGAGTCAGGCGAAGGTTTTAAAGAGAGAGAGTAAGAGGTTACATGAGGACATGGAGAGAGAGCTAGATATTGCGAGGTATCAGGTTGGGGAGGCTGAGTATATAGATTTTGTAGCAGGGTTTGTGGGGAGTTTGGTTCCAGGGAGGAAGGATCAGAGGGTGCGTTGTTATCCGGGTGGGGAAGAAGCTAGTGAAGAGAATGGGGATGATGCTTTTGGTATAAAGGAGGATGAGGATGAGGAAGAGAAGATGGTACATATTGCGGATAACTATATGCTGAAGGCGCTGAGGGTGCCGATTCAGGAGCATGATATTGGGGAACCGGAAGAGTGTGGTCCGGAGAATAGGGTCGCGAAGATTGAGACTTCGATTGACGCCCTGAAGAAGGTCAAGGCTAGAGATATCTTGCTAGAGCTTCTGAATCTGTTTACTTGAATAAGGGAACTATGGCGGAATGTACTATCTTTATTTAAAGTGCCTCCGCTGAAGTGCTTCATTCATAACTGAGCCTTTGGGTTGTGAATATGCAGTTATAGGTCTAGGTCCTCCAAGTCCTCACCTCTCATACTGTGGAATTTAATATTAGTATATCACTGTTTGGCTCGCAAAGACAGTCTCACAACGTAGTTCTCCGCTGCCTTTTATCTTATTATTAAAGTAGAAATAATCAAAGTTGCTTGCGGAGAAACTTCCAAGAAACTTACGTTACCCGAACTATATTCAAGCCTGCTTATGAAAACCCTCAAAATTTGCCGCTATCTTTTTCACTTCTGGTCGCTTTCTCTTTTTTACCTAAAATGCAACTCCTAAATTCGAATAAAATGTCAAAGCGAAAACATTCTAATACATTACGGGACCCTCGAAATACCACGATTTACCTTTCTAGTGTCCTTACATTCTCTCCTTTCTACGGTCCCGCTCCCTTATGCCTTCCCAGGGATCAAAACTCCCCTGTACCTCATCCTGCCCCTTTTCAGCGTTTCCATTGCTTCTGTGATCCCCTCCTCGGACATTGGAAACTCCATCAAAATTGGCTTGATCTTATGCAATGATGCAAACTCTAGCATATGGCGATGGACATTGCGGGGCGCAACGACAGTACCTTGTATGCGGATACCCTTTTGAATCATAGGCTGATATGGAATACTGAAATCCCCTCCGGAGACGGCCAGAGGGAAGATAGTGCTGTCCGGGGCCATGGCTGGGATCATTAGAGGCCAGTCTGCATTAACGCTAGCATCTATAAGTGAAGGCTGAGGTATGATTTGGGAGATGTACCAGGCTGTGCACTGGTTGTCACCAGAAGAGCATTTATTGGACGACTAATATTGAGTTCCTTTTGGCCCTTCACTGCGACAAACTCCTTCGCACCCAGCTTCAACGCTTCCTCCTTTTTGCTGTCACTCCCCGAGAACACGATTACATCGCAGCCCATCTTCGCCGCAAACTGAATCGCGAGATGGCCCAGACCGCCAACACCTATTACCCCCACATGGTCAGTTGGCTGAATGTCGTACATGCGTAATGCATTGAACACAGTAGCACCGCCGCACATCAAAGGCGCGGCCTCTGCATCCGTCATACTGTCGGGAATCTGGAACAGGAAAGATTCCTTCCAAACCGCATGGGAAGCAAAGCTGCCCTGGTCGAGGTCTGCAACACCGTAAAAAGCGCGATCAGGGCAATAGGTCTCTTTTCCACTGAGACACCATTCGCAATGGCCACAAGAATCATGCTCGTAACCCCATCCGACGCGGTCACCTTTCTTAAGATACTTGACGCTAGGCCCGAGTTGTTCGACGATACCGGCGCCTTCGTGTCCGAGGGCCATATCGGAGGTCCGATAGTGCTCATCGGTGCCACAGAGACCAGACGCGGTGATTTGTATGAGGACTTGGTCATCTTGGAGGTCGGGCTTGGTAGTTTTCGATTTGACGATTGAGCCGTCTTTTGATCCCTTGTAGACTGTGAAGGATGGCATGGTGGACTAAAGTTAGAACTTTGGTTCGAAGGTCGTGAAATCGGATGCGATGGAGATATGATTGAAATGGTGGGCTTCAAAACACGAGAAAAGCCTGCCGATTAAATATCAAAACCCCTTATCCTGGTATCCAAACGGAACTAAACAAGAGGCATTCCACGATATCAATAACGTCCGCTTAGATAATATGCAGAACCCACCGCATTGACCACTCACAACCACGGTTCCAGAATTATCTCATGTGTTATGACGCCATCCTCGCCCTCCAAAGATTCGTTCGCAATGATAGGACGTACGAAGAGCCCGTTAACCCTGTGTGAGAGGAGATAACGCAAGGTGAATTGTCGTTGCTGCGGGGAGTTGATTTGGTAAGCATCCGCCCTCTTCATCAACTAATGCATGCATTTTGGAATTCAGGTTTCGCATATACCCCACATTGGCGGCAAGCGGCCTCATCAAAGATGAAGAGAGAAAGAGGAAGATATAGGGAGAGTCGAACGTGGAATCATGCAATTACAAAGCGCAGATAAGAATTGACAGGGATACCGGGAGCAAAGTTCCAAGTTTCGGAGGAGATGGTTCGACAAAGCTCCATCCCAGAACGGAGAGAAGTGTGATTTCCTAGTTGGTATCTATCTAAGCAGGGTTACTTCATAGAGATATGTAGAGGAGCTTAATTCATGGTCCTGGCTCTTGTGACTGTGTTGTGGTAATAGAATTTCTTCCTGAGAGAGCATCCAGGGATACAGAAAGGAGGCCAGTCATATATCTATGTAAAGTCAAAGTGGTCCATGCACTTGCACAGGACACACGTGACACCCGCATCAATCCTACCATAAAGTGTTTCTTTCAAATAACGGATTGCTGTTCCTTGAGAAAATATCTACGTGGAAATACAATGTGCGGCGTAATAGTTGTCCCAAAAATATTAGACTCACGGTCTTGAACTCAGCACCCTGTGAAGATGGGTCGTGCTGTTTCACGACATTCAGTGGGTCATATGGCGTCTAAGTAAAGGCTTGATGAGTGTTTCGCTAATGATATATTTACAGAGCCTGCCTAATAGAGTGGAGACTTTATTTCTTTATACGGCTCAGACAATCCATTTAAGAAGGCTATGCACCCTCGGCGACCATCAAGTTCTTCCCCTTCACACTCACCCACTCTGGCCCCCAAGCAAAGCACCATGCAGTAGCTGTAATTGCAGCTCCCAGATAGAAAGGGCTCAAGATGGCGGAGTTGTAAGATTGAATCACACCAGGCAACTGCTCAGGAGTAACCGCAGATCTAATAGCGGTAGTGCCCGCGGCTAACAATTTCCCAACATCGACGCCTGGAACATCCTTCACAAGCTCCTTAACCAATCGTTCGTTAAATATTGTCTGCGAAATACCGGCGAACAGGGCACCCCCAAACATTTGGAAGAATGTGACAGTTGATATACCGATCGGGGTCTTCGCGGCGTCGAGAACGGCCTGTACTGCAACTAGTGGTGTTGTCATGAACATTCCGGTGCCGAGCCCGTAGATTACTTGATAACCAATCCACTTGGAATTTGAGGTGCCGGCGTCAAAAGTTGTGAAAAGACCGGAGCTTATCGACATGAGAGCTGTTCCGACGAGGAGCCACGGATTGTAGTAGCCGAGTTTTGTAATCAGCGTTCCAGAAATGATGCTAGAGACAACTTGGCCGAGCATGGTGGGCAAAAGATTGACACCAGAAGTCGTGGGCGACACTCCCTTGACTGCTTGAAACCATTCCGGTAGCCACACACCCAGGATTATCTGCGCGCCCATTGCAAACATAGCGCAAAGACTTCCGGAGAGGACTGTTCGCTGGAGAAGAATCGAAGGCGGAAGCATTGCTTCGTCCCCGCGTCGCCATTCCCACACTGCGAAGATCACGAGAATGACGCCGGCACCAACAAAGAGACCGATAATCCTGGCGGAGCTCCATGGATATGAGACACCTCCCCATTGAAGAGCGATGAGGATCATGACGATTCCTGGTATGAAGAGTATAGCGCCGATGATGTCGAGTCTTTTGATTCTCTCGCTAATTCCGGCTTCCTCGACAGCTCTTACCGGAGGGTTGAACACGAAAACAAGCGCAAATATTGTCACGGCGCCAACGGGAAGATTAATGTAGAAAACCCATCTCCATGACACGTGTTCCGTGAACCCTCCGCCAACGAGTGGACCTGCAATTGTTGCGACACCAAAGAGGGAGTAGAGAACGCCGGTGTACATTGGGCGAAGACGAAGAGTCACAATGACCGCGAGGATAGAGAGGGTCCCAGACATGAGTCCAGCTGATCCCGACCCAGCTATTGCCCGACCGATGATGAGCATGTTGGAGGAGGTGGCCGCCGCGGATAGGAGGGTACCAAATTCGAAGATGAAGAAAAAAGTCAAGAAGGCCCACTGAATTTCTTAGCTCGGGCTGGTAATAGTAAGGTGGAAGAGTACTTCATGTTGGCGCCTACCACGGAACAAGACAGGGTTGATTGAGGATAGAAACCTGCATCACAAGATGTTCCTCTTGATTTTAGGAGGAGGATTGAGGGTTAAACCTTTTCTTGCTAATGTCCCGTAGTATATGCTGACATGTCGTAATGAGGTACACACCTTTAGAGAGAAGTTCGCATAAAGCTTCCCAGAAAGGGGCTGTAGGGAGCACCTTACACAAAGGTTAGTTGCATTGAAACAAACACCATAGACATTGAGACTTACAATGTGAGCATATAGGCACTAGTGTACCATCCTATATCCTCAGTAGAATGGAACTTCTCCGTGATCTTTGGATTCGCTGTGGTTATGACTGACATGTCTAACGCCGTAAGGAAGACCGCTACCGCAAGACCAAATATAAGGATGTGAAGTTTGACGCCTGACATAAAGTGTCCCTCGGATTTTTCGCCATCTACAGGAAGGTTCCCAGCGATGGAATTGGGAGTAGATGGACTCTTTACTTTCTCATCCACGAGAGACGGTTCTTGTAGCTGGGATTCCATGGTAGACTAGTCTTTAGCTTGAGAAGTAGCAGAAATAATAGAATGATTCAGAGCTAATGGAACACAAGACAACACTTAATCTGGAGAAGATATGAGTAAAGTACAGGGCACTGAAAGAAGCGTGATGGAGAAATTTTCTTTAAGTACTGAACGATTCATACCTCGGAATCAGGCCGGTGTTCTTCGTCCGCAGGATTGAGAGAAATAGTACAGCCGATAACTGCGGCCTTACCAGGCGCCACGCCATTCTTGATACTTTGTCCAGTCCACTTTACGGCTGGGACCTAGGGTGAAATGGGGCCGGAACGGCTTCGGAGGGGATATACGTCTCCAGATTCCGCTAGGGACGTGCTGAAGGCAAAAAAAAAGTTTAAGCACTGGTTGTGCGGAGGTATAGAATAGTCTCCCAGTGCCATTGTACGTGTTCCAGGTTTGAGGAAGTAGGACTTCAGGGGGCATTCTTGGAAGCTGAGACGGAAGTCGGGTAATTTTGGGTTCCGTTCCCGTCGGAGCTTTGGTAAGTGGACCGTGCAATCTGCTTCTTCACCATCCAACAACCCACTCATCCTCCCACCTCATCCAGAAATGCTTCGCTCACATTCCCCCCGACGGAAGTCGGGCCACTGTTCTGTTCAATCGAAACGTTCTTATCTCGTGCTCGTTAAGGATGCCGGAAGAGAGTGCAAAGAAGCGCAAAGCCTGCCAAAATTGCACACGGGCTAAGGCGAAGTGTTCACCATTCGAAAACCGGTCAGATCTTTGTCATAGGTGTCAAAGATTGAAGAAGCAATGTGTTTTTGAAGATGCTGCGAGAAGGAGGGGCCCAAAGACACGCTCGTAAGTTTAAATTCTATTGGGGATTCATCACTGTGTTCCCCGCCATCAACCAAACCAAGCAAGTACCATGACCTGCTTGCTTGTTGATGTAGCTTGTCGGCATTATGCGCATCCCAACAAGGGTTGCGTTGTTTCTCCACCAACGGAACATTAGGGGGATTTGATTTGCAACAGAAATCAGCATCCTCTTACTATCCTCCCGAATTTTGGTATGAAGGTTGATAGATCTGATATTCCATGCTTTTGATCCGTGGTATGCGATAATATGCTGCGGTCGGGGGTCCCGTTAGCCTGAACCTTTATGAGATAACGAGTGCTCATTTGATGCTCCGGTGGTTCTTTGTGCTGGTGTCATCTTTGGATGTCGGCTGATTCTCGAGGCAGGCGTGTCAAGCAATTAGAGGAACGCGTGGCGAACCTTATTACCATTCTGGAGGCTAATGGACAAGCCACACACAGCAAACCTGCTATATCCACGTCCCCTGTTCTAAGTGGCATCTTCGCCGACCCAGTGGCCTCAGCGGATGCAAGCAATTCTACCGCGGATTCAACAGGCCAAATGGAGACACCAGAGACCCAATCCGTCAGTGATGATATTCCCGACACATTCGATCCTATTGAAGCGGGCCTTCTAGATCAGCGAGGTGCTTCGATGCTTCTCGAGGAATTCCGGAACGTATGTTCATGGTCATTCCCGTTTGTTATAATTCCAGAGGCGACAAATGTAGACGATCTTCGTCACCGCAGACCCTTCTTGTTCCACGCCCTCATGACAACAATGACCTACAAAACCCCCGCGATCCAACGTGTCCTCGCCGAGGAGCTAAGAGCGCAAATTGCTTCCCGCATTATTACGCATTCACACAAAACGCTGGAAATCCTTCAAGGCTTATTGGTCCACGCTGCTTGGTATCATTTCTTCTTCCGTGCATACAATCAGCAGCTAGCCATCATCCTACAGCTCTGTGTTGCCATGATACAGGATCTTGGACTCTCAAGGAATCCGAAAGAGAAGTCACGGAACTTGACGCTGTCTGAGCACCACACTGGGATGCCCTTCAAGACGCAGCGTTCTGCTGACGAGAAACGGGCCTTTTTAGGAACATTTTACCTAGTTAGCGCGTAAGTGCGAAGCCCGAGAGATACAGAAATTGAATTATCGCTGAAACGTTCCCACAGGTTTGCACACGCATGGCGGAAACGTGCGACCATGACACATACAAAATTTATGGCACAATGTTGTCACTCTCTTGCAGAGAGACACGAAGTACCTACTGATGGAATGATTACCCCGCTCGTTCAGTTGGGCGAGTTAATGTGTCGTATTAATGAGTACTACTCATACGACGACATCGAAAATGCGGAAATTCGAGGGGAGCTGTTTCTTGACATGTCAACGAAGAGTTTCCGCTGTGAACTTGAGCGGATGAAAGATGCTATACCTGAGGCGCTTCAACAGAATAGTGAGTTGCCTTCGATTGCGGTACGGTATCAATAGGCTGATGTTGAGTGACAACCAGCAACATTAAGCCTTCAATTCCGTCTACTCGACTTGTGGATCCATGAATGCTCCCTCCACAGCTTTCTCTGGAACTCGTCGGACCAAAAGAGCCCCCTACAGATCTCTCAACTCAGAATCAAAATGCTCAGCCATTGCGTCCAAAATATCAAGGGATACCTTAACACCTTGCTCGACTGCCAGCAAACGGCTCTTTACCCCCTCGCATTCCCCGCCTGGTCGGGCTGGTTCTACGCTATCATCGTTGTATGCAAGCTCGTGTTCTTACAAGACAATGAGCGCCAAGGCAAGACAACGATGAGCTCCGTTCCGCAAGAATTAAGTAGCCTCCTACCCGGGCATTTTGGACCTGGCGCACCTCACGACTTCTGTGCCTTGCCAGCCGAGGACCAGCCTACGTCCCCATGGGATCCTGTGTCCGTGGCAAAAGAAACACAAATTCGAGAACTCTTCGAGAAGTTCATCGACAAGTTGGAATTCACGTTCCCGTATGATGCTTTTGAGTTCGCTACTCCTGATGATGCAACGGCAGAGAAAGAGAAAGAGGATCGCGACCCGCTGTTCAGTATTGCTTGGCTTCAACGAAGTCTGCTTTATGGCTTTTCCAAGAAGATGAAAGAATATACAACGAGGACTGCGTCAAAGCCCACGGCTAATCCCGTTATAAGCCCCTCCTCGAACCCGAGCCTGCAACCAAACCCTTCGTTTGCACCCGCTCCGGCCCCCGCGCCGAGCTCTTCGTCACAACCCGGGAGTTATCTGTTGGAGCAAATGCGTAGCCACCCGATCCCGCTAATCCAGTCCCTTCATTTCAACACCATGAACTTTGATAGTGTAGCTTTGCCTATGGCTCCAATGCTACAGGAGGATGCCTTCGACGATTGGATGTGGGATTCTATGATGGAGGATTTCAGTTTCCCAAATTTGTAGTATAAGGCAGTAAGGAAATTAGACTTGAGCCTAGCACAGCTTGGACGTTTGGGACAGACAGCACAGCATCACAGTCTAAACCCGGAACTTACTAGAGATGCATCTAGCCTTCAAAATAGATCAACTATGGCTAGGCTACTGAATCCACATTGCAATTTAAGCCGTTAACCTGTTGCTGAGTTTAGGCATCCTGTAGCATGCATGGTGACCTACTAAGACACAGGATGCCGTTGCTGAAAGTGAGTACCCCGAAGCGGCAAGGCGCCCGCTTCACGTGATGCGCTAACGAGCTAATCCCTGTCTGCTGCTCGCGTTGTGAACTATTCGCGACTTGAAACTTCGGGAGCGTCGAAACATGCACTCACCACCATAGCAGCGCCTTTACCTACAGCTTCATCGCCATCTCCTCGCTTCTTCCTAGGTTTCTCCGCGTCTCTAATATACAGCTCCACCCCACTGCCGCCCTCGCAATGGGCTCCCGACTTCACAACGCTCCCATCGTGCTGGACAACGGCAGTGGCACCATCCGAGCGGGCTTTGCAGGACAAGACGTGCCTAAATGCTTCTTCCCTTCCTTTGTCGGCCGGCCGAAACATGTGCGGACAATGGCAGGAGCCCTGGAAGGCGATGTTTTCATTGGCCCGCAAGCGCAGCAGTATAGGGGCCTGTTCAAAATCAACTATCCACTAGAGCATGGCATAGTCACAGATTGGGATGATATGGAGAGAATATGGCAGTACGTGTATACGGAAGAGTTGAAGACGGTTAGCGAGGATGTGAGTAGCGAGTCTGTCTCCAGAGCCGTGTGACAGCCCAGTCCAGGATGCACGCTAACAGCTTCCTTCATTTGACAGCATCCGGTGCTCCTAACAGAACCTCCATTAAATCCTCGAGAGAACCGGGACACGGCTGCGCAAATACTGTTCGAGACCTTCAACGTCCCCGCTCTCTACGCCTCTGTCCAGGCCGTCCTCTCACTATATGCTTCCGGGAAAACTACTGGAATAGTCCTGGACTCGGGCGACGGAGTGTCACATGCGGTGCCTGTCTTCCAGGGATTCGCTATCCCCAACAGTATCAGACGCATCGACGTGGCAGGGCGAGACGTGACAGAGCACCTGCAGCAATTGCTCAGGAAAAGCGGGCGCATTTTCCACACCAGCGCAGAGAAAGAGACAGTCAAGCAAATCAAAGAGGCAACGTGCTATGTTGCGTTGGACCCCGCAAAGGAGGAGAAGGAGTGGTCTGGCACAGCGAGGACGGACGGGAAGAGCGTCGAGTACACGTTGCCAGATGGTCAGAAGTTGAAGGTAAGAGAATTATGCCGTACAACATCGAGCGCATAAGCTAATAACATATTCCTAGGTTGGCGCTGAGCGATTCCGGGCACCGGAGATTCTCTTTAATCCTGAGTTAATTGGACTCGAATATCCCGGCGTCCATCAGATCGTCGTCGAGGCCATCCAGCGGACCGATATGGACCTCCGCAAAGCCTTGTACGGAAACATTGTGCTGTCTGGAGGCTCCACGCTGACGGCCGGCTTCGGGAAAAGGTTGCTGCACGAGGTGCAACGGTTGGCAGTGAAGGACATGCGAATCAAAATATTAGCTCCACCGGAGAGGATATACACCACGTGGACGGGGGGAAGTATCCTCGCTGGACTGAGTACTTTCAAGAAGGTGAGCTCTGGTGCCATCGACAAGGTTTCTGATGCAAGGCTAACAGTTCACTAGATGTGGGTCGAGAAGGACGAATGGCAGGAAAACCCAGATATCATCCACACCAAATTCGCCTAGAGACCCCGTTGTGGCACTGCAGGCAGCGATTCGCTTCATCTGCGGTTCTCCACCGGCGTCCGCCTTCCCGCCTCCGCAAAACTCAAGACAGGTTCGGAAGGCTGCATGACGCTTGGGCTCCGCTTTAGTCATGGAATCGGATCTTCAAACCCGGGCACCAAACACGACGAAGCTACTTTTCCACTCTGGGGACGTCCGGATATTCGAGCGGATCTACGTGTCAGACCAATTTGCGCCGCTTCTCCTGAGCCTGTGCAACCTGAATCTGCGGGTACTTACATGTCGTCTAATTCCCCGCATTTTGTTGAGCGTTTGTTTGACCGCATTTTTCTCGTCAGGGTGTTTCTGTTACTTAAGTTTTCTCACGGCATGAGCATCTATTGTTGCGTGCGCAGTGTGAGGATAAGGATTGAGCGCTGCAGAGCATGCATGGCGTTTTAGTGCTGAACGGGATACCCTATAATTTGGAGGCATGTATGATTCAGAGAAGTGATTTGGGGAATTTGACAACGTGTACAAAGAACGGTGAGGAAAGGGGGAGTCGAGAATCCAGTCGATGCCAAGGATCGTGAGTTTTTTTTGGTCATAGCACATCGGGTGACTTGGTGTTGGAAATGAAAGTGATGCGACGCTGCGGGGCGAGGAGCCAGGCACGCCGCACGCAGCCCAGTTCCACGACGCTACTGGCTGGCTGGCCGATATTTTCAGCGCTGAATTGTTTGTTAAAGCACCAATGCAGGAGCGACAGCGAAATGGGCTCATGCCGCATGCTTTGGCGATGGAGCCGCTGTGCTGGAATTGCCGCTGAGGTCGTTGTGCCTGGTGACCCGTTCCTGTCTTGTGTTCGCCGCCTCGTCCAACTTTTCGGGCGCCGACGAGCTCACGATGCTCGACGTCATGCGCTGACTGGGCCTGCTCGGCTGGAAGAATGCTCGAGACTGCTTGCTCAGCTGTCGCATCTTCGGCGCGTCCTGCGATGATGGTTCATGGCTGTCTAGAGGAGCTCAGCTCTGGTTCCTGCAGCGGCGACCAGCGGCGGTCCAACAGCCTTAACAGCTCCTCCTTGTGAGCCTCAGAATGTACAATTGGCGAATCAATGAATCAAGGATTCAGAGGGATATCAACATTGGACATGAAAATCGACGCAATGGCAGCGCTCTTGGGCTCCTCTTTTCGCAGACTGGAAAATTTTCCCGCTTCTAAGTGAGCTTGGTTTGCGACACCTGGCGACATTCCAAACGACGTCTGCCTCAGCATCACGATCGCGTTTGATGGCGGCATCATTGCAAAATTTGCAGCAATATTTTCAGCGTTTCTGTTACCCCCAGGAAACCTCCTCGGACCACTCGCAGCGCTGAGCTGCAGTCAGGTGGCAGCCCGACAAGGCACACTATTACGCGATGGATACCAGCGCCAAGTCCGGTCGAGTGCTGGACCGAAGCGTGTCGCCCAGCGCCGAAGCTCCTGTCTGCTCTTCGTCTGCGTATCCGAGTGGCCGCATGATCATGGACATGCCGTTAACTGCAAAGCGCTGCCTCGTCCCAGGGGCTGGCGTGCGTGATCCTGTGGTGCTGTGTCATGATGATTTTGGATCATTCCGTTCTGGCGCAGAATTTTCTAGGCTGGTCTACCACAGCCATGCTGGTGCTCCAGCTCTGGGGAGAAGAGTCAGATGAAAGGTATATAAGAGATCCCCCAGACCAGGAGCTGTGCTGTTTTTATCCATCATACCATCAGTCACATCATCAGATCCTCGAGTTTCCCAGATCACACTACCAGAATCAGCGGCACTCTATAAATTCGCCACTCGTCAAACTTAGCAACTAGGTCAACACCAAACATCAGCCTCAACAACCAACCACAAAAACAGATCTACAACTCCAAAATGCCATCCTACCATATCACCGAGCCCCACCCATCCATCCCCGCCTCCCACTACTACCACGCCGGACGAGGTGGTGCCGGAAACATCACTCGTGTTAACCCAAAGCACGTGACTTCCGGCCCTGATGCCTCTGGACCCGCTTCCCTCGTCAAGCTCACTCCTCCTCCATCCAACGCACTTTTCACTACAGGCCGTGGTGGTGCAGGAAATGTCCATCGCGAGAAGGAGCGCGCCATGTTCAGTTTCGACGAGGAACTTGCCCAGCAAGAGCGCTTGAGGGAGCACGCAGCCCCTGTCTACCACATCGGCCGTGGCGGCGCAGGAAACCTCGTTGATGAGATGCATCCACGTACTTCACGCCAGAACTCGACATCCTCTACGGACTCGGCTGAAAGCGGAGTCAGGCACTCGATCGAAGGCGCTTGGCACCGGGTTAGCAAGCAGTTCTCTCGCCAGTAAAGTTTGACTGAGCGATAAATGAATCTTGCATTGCATCTCGACACAGCATGTTGCTTACTTTATCCTCTGGTTCTTTCGACCGGATCATGCTTTCGCGATTTTACGGACGGACGGGGTTGGGGGAGTTTTCACATCAACGCGATGACGAGCTGGTTCTGATTCTCGACATCGGCATATTGATATCATGAGCATGCATGGCGTCTGGAAAGTTTTTACATTCCTGTTTTCCGTACCTTTTTACCCGGCATCTTCGCTCTCTATTCCATGTAAAGCATCTTAGCCGCCAGCCAGAAAAGTGGGTTTTTGTCATTTTTCTGTTTTACCAACACATCACAACCAGCGAGGAGTATGGTTACGACCAGATCCTCGGAAGAGGGCTTAACATTTTTACTGCACAACCAGCGGCGGATATACCCTTTAGATGCCGGTGAGGGCTTGGACTTGAAGTCCCATTTCAATTCTCCTCCGCATGGATTTGCTTAGGGACGGTGGGAGGTCTTCTGTATGAGCGATAGGTTTTAGTGTATTGGATAAAATACGTAGTAATAATGGACGCGACTACCGTTCTTGCACCGTTCAGATTTCTTTCTGCATCAATTGTCAAGGGTCATACTCACCACTCTACTCCACATTGTTGCCTTGCTGCTTAAGAAGGCTTGATTCAGAAGATGTGTGCAACCCTTCATTCCAACTCTATGGTTCAGGTCTCCGTCCTCTGAGGCTACAGTAATCCTATTGTTGAAAGGCATCTGCATGCATGCTTCCCCGCAGATCTCGACGCTAGGCTATGTAGTATCGACAAGCTGCACGTATTTGATGAGCATGAGTACAGTAGATGTCGGCCATCATTCTGATGCCGATCTCCACAAACACATCGCATACAATTCGGCATTGAGCGGTCATAGTGACGGTGATGCAAATGGTGAGACAGGGTTGGCGTGAGGAGATATCTCACCACAACGCCACAAGCGAGCCGCGCCACACTCTGGAAGTTGGCTTTGGACCTTGTGACTTCTGGGCGGACAGAGCTTGTTGGTCACGATGCCTGACGTAAACGCTCCACTCGGATCGGGAAATCTGACGTGAAAGATTTTAATGAGGAACCATGGATTCCGTTATAGTACCCATGCTACAGCATCTACAGTATGCACGGTCTAGTATTGCCTTGATGACGTCATGAATTTTGTCAAGCAGGTTGATAGAAAGAATCTTACTGTGTTGATGTGCCGAGGTTTGTGGTGGTCTATTGTAGCATTTGCAGTAAGGGATGAAGAAAGCTTTGCTTTGAATTGCACTGGTTGCTGTATAAGATAAAATGCCTTTAAGATTCTGGGAATATAAATCTATATATAGATAGTATAGGACATGATTAAACGCTATTCTATGGGCTATACAGGAAGTCAAGAGGAACCTAGCTTCTGCTAGAATTCACTTCCTTGCTATTTTCAGTCATAACCAACAACATATCAGTACTACCACCAACTAAGAACTCCCGTATGGCTGTGCGTCTGAAAATCCATACTCTCTTGCTGGGAGGAGAGCTCAGGCTGAAAGCTCTGAATCCAAGTATCCAACTGCTCCCAATTCATCTCATCACCGAATTCTGTCCCGGAGAACAGGAATGGATCTCCTAACAAACCATCTTCATGCGGCGCCGACTGCGTATGCTCCTCAACTGGGTTGAGGCCAGTATTCTCGTAACCTGAATCGAACGTAGAGGGCGCATCGCTTAGTTCGCCTCTCGACCCCTGACTAGCCTCCAGAGCTTGCTTTCTCGCATGGCGGGCTCGCTTAACTAGTTTTAATAGCGGCTGCAAGATTGCACTCTTTTTCTCCTTCTGCGCACCCGGAAGACTTCCAGCGTCTTCGCTACTATCATGGCCCCAGTCACTAAATACCACATCAAGCACTGCCCAGGCTCGATCCACAGCAGGGCCGCGGGTGTGCTTACAGAGTTCGATCAAGAGGTAGGCTATAGCGTGCCATTTCGTATCCCTACAACGGAAGAACCATCCGAATTGACGAACATCGTCGGGAAATTGATGCGTAATCTCAAGCACGTCGGCGTTATAAAAGAGAAGAGGCTCGTTTATTCCTCCCTGTTCCACTTCATCATTTTGTTGGGATGCATCGTACTTGATCTTCCACAACTTGGCAATGAGAAGTCGCATCCCACGATACAAGAGGTAGTGGAGGTGTGAATTTTCGTTAGGGTAGGTGAGGTAAGTTTCTTCGTAACGGCGGATCTGGTCCCGGGACAAGGTTTCGATCTCACTGGAATTTAGGGGTGGGTTTCTATACCGACAACGTTTTACCTTGAGTATGGTATCGGCCATTTCAATCTTCACCAGACTTGCTGTCATCTCAGTGAATTCAGTCCTTGGAGCGACGGTTTCTGTGTTGCCTTCATTGAGATCCGAGTCATTGATGTGCAGGGGATATCTGGTATCCATGGCTAAAGGCACATGAGGTTCAAGACCACAGTCTTCGGAAATACGAATATCGAGCTGGCAAAGATACCACCAGACACGGCGGCGCACTTCAGTCTCAATAGCACCAAGAGAGAACGAAGAGCTATCGGAGTGCATGCCCATGGCCTGGGCGACACTGAGGGCTATGCCACTAACCATCCAAGTTGAACGAGTATTGTTCCAAGGAGTGCAAACCTAACTCCGTTAGTAATATAGCGGAGAGTGACTACTAAGAGATGTGGAGATGCTAGGGGTGGATTGGTATTACGGATATAAGAGGTAAAATGTGTGTTAAATAGGGAGTAAAAACTATTTCTCATTTTCTGAGAATTCACTACAACGCGCGAGAGATAGCACTCAGGGGACAGGAGAGTTGAGACGTACAATAAATAGAATGAGGGCTTGTAAGACAACTACTTCTTGGGTTGTCATCCATCCTGCTTGAGCGAGAGCCTGTTCGAGGGCGTATCGATATTTTTTAAGAAGTGTGCTCTTCTCCTCCTTGTGTAGTTTCAAACATTCTTCCGCTGGCATGGTCGTAATTGTAGCAAACCAAATAGCGAATAGAAGCACTTCGGAGGAGGGACTTAATCCTTCCAGGTCTCTAGAAGCGCTTATAACGAAAGTTTCCACTGTTGGCTTGTACAGTATTTTGACCAAGATGTCCACATTGAGAACGTAGTACTTCCAAAGCGTGTTCATTACTTCAGGGGGTGGGTGGTAAGTTCGAAGACTTTGCATTATGTGCGACGTGCCGAGTAGGGAGCTGTATTCAAGTTTGGGTTTCGGCCGTGCTGATGGCAGACACTGTGAGCTCGCTCCTTCATCTTTGGCGCTAGAATCAGCAGCAAGGACAGATTCAAGGTCAGCCACCTATTGATGTTAGCTTCGGTTGAAAATACGGAGGGTGATCTGGAGCATGCTGGCACCCGCCGTGAAACCTAACAGGATAAATTTGAATTGTTGAACCTCTTACTAGAATTAGAGAGAATAGGAAGCGAACGAAGATAGCTGCAATACATGAGATCCTCAATATGTTCTAGGACTTGCGCTAAAATGCAGTGGTGCATTTTGTCACTCAACGTAGAGCACAACAAATTGATTTAGGACAGAAATTGATAGTTATCCTGTTAACTTTCCCTCTAATCCTAGCAAGGGGTGTAACTGCTCAAATCTTCTCTAATACAGAGGGGTAGGCGATATTATGCGGGGAGAGCTCCTACCTGATTCGCCTTGTCGCTGTTGATATATCGCGACTTGCCTTGAGCCACAAATAGTCTTCCATGATCTTCTGGCCCGGAGTCAAAACGGGCCTCGAACTTAGAGTCACGCATCTCTCGTGGAATGACAAGATCATCTTCATCGTCACTTCTAGATTCATCACGTGAATCGAGGGTGTGTTTTGGACCGGGACTCGCCTCTCTCGCATCATGCGCAGTTCTTTCAGCGGGAAGAAGCCGTCTTTGCGGTGCTGGTTCAGGGTGCACCTTCTGACTGTTCCGCGGCCGCCGAGCTAAGTAGGTACACTGAACGCTAGACTCAATGCAAAGGGCACAAGCGGGAAGTACTTTGTCGCATTTGACCTTGCGCATCCGACACCTCTTACAGGCATATTGATGGAGCCATGGCACCTGTGCTGCCGGATGTGCTGTTGTTGAGGCTTGTCGGGACATGTAGAGAAAATGGTAAGAATGATTAGCTTTGCTCGTGCTAAGGCGATTAATGCAGGTGCAGTATGAGAAAGGGATGTTCAGTGACGAAGGTGTGGAGGTGCGGCACAGTTCGCAGATTACTAAGCGTCACAGTCTGTTATCTCCGGAGGCTCTACGGTCCTTAACCTTCATTACCATGTGCTTCTCAGTGTCAGGGTCCTTCTAACATTCCATTATAGCATTTACGTACCCACCGTGGACCATGCACAGAGGAGGTTCAAGCTTTTATCCCTATTGCTACGATAAGAGGGGGGCACAGATGCTCGCTCTAAGTGCACTGCCCTTGATTTTTTCCTTCATCTATAGAAGGCCAAATGCATCTTTGTCGACAAACTTCATGGCTCCGATTGGTACCTTCATACTCAAAGATCTAGGACACTATGTCGGTGGAGTGGTCTGATAGCCCTCTATAAAGAGCATTGTGGACATTGGACTTGAAATACCACACCAATGACGGATATCCGCACCAAAAGTCACGACGGAGAACTTTCAGCGATTCCTTCGCTCCCTTTGCAAACTGCGTGAGGTGAGCCAGGACCACATGAATGGAGATATGGACTTTTACAGCCAATCACAGGCCCGCACCCTGTATGAGTACTCCCCGTGCTTAGACTTCGGATTCTCGGTCTTATAGATCCTTTCGCCGTTATGCAACCAATCAGGCGCTTGCTCTCTCCCAGATCATTTCCTCAGCCAACCCACTAGACAACTAAAATGGACACCTTTAAGCCAACAATGCGCAACTCTGAAAAATCAAATTGGCCCTCGACATCCTATCCAGAAACATGGAGCAAGATACCAAACCAGAAGTTGTCGACGACAACCTTATCGATTTCGATGGCCCAGACGATCCATACCTACCTCTCAACTGGCCCTTCCGTCACAAGGTAGTCGTCACACTCCTTTATAGCCTCTGCACCATGGGAACGACTTGGGCGAGCACAGTCTACAATTCCGGGCTCTCGCAAGTGCAAGAGCAATTTCATGTTGGCAATGAGGTTGCACTCCTGGGCATGGCGCTCTATCTCGCTGGGTACTATCATCGATCTCCTCATCACTTCTCTCGTTTGCCCCAGTAACTAACTCATATCTAAGCAATGCCTTCGGACCCCTCCTCTGGGCGCCTATGTCCGAGGCCTACGGCCGCAAACTTTCTGTCTTGATACCCATCTTCGGCCTAATGGTCTTCTCATTTGCCTCTGCTGTCGCCAAAGACCTTCAAACATTACTCATAGCGCGCTTCTTCGGCGGAGTTTTTGGAGGTGCACCGCTCAGTAACGTCGGAGGCGTATTGGCGGATATCTGGCCGCCAACTCAAAGAGGTGCAGCGCTTCTCTTCTGGGGCATGGCTGTCATCGTAGGCCCACTCCTAGCTCCCATTGTCGGTGGGGCCCTGGTTATCGCCCTACCTCACACAGGTTGGAGGTGGACGGGATATGTATAATATCCCGAGATAATTCACTGGGTTGCTTGCTAACTCTCATTGAACAGCTTACCGGGACTATGCTCGCGGCTATCCTTGTCGCCAGTATGCTGTGGATTGACGAAAGCTTCCCTCCCGTCTTGCTTGCTCGGAAAGCCAACAAAATCCGCCTGGAGACCAAGAACTGGGCCATTCACTCCAAAAGTCAAGAAACGGGTACCTCTTTTAAAGAAATGTCGCGAAAGTATCTCATCGTCCCCTTCGAGATGCTCATCGATCCCATTGCCTTTTTCATCAATTTATATGCTGCGTTTTGTTATGCTATCGTTTACTTGGCCGTCATCGCCTTCCCAATCGAGTTTCAAGCGGTTAGTTCTAACCTTTTCACATCTGAAGGCTCCACTAACACCGCAACAGGTTCGTCGCTGGAACGAAGTGGTTGGTTCTCTTCCATTTCTCGCCATGACCGCTGGGGTCCTAATCGCTGCCTGTATCAACTTTTGGGGCCAGCTTTACTACCGGAAGCGCTTTATCGCCAATGGCAACAAACTTGTCCCCGAAGCTCGCCTAATGCCAATGATTATTGGGTCTTTCTTTTTTCCCGCTGGCCTCTTCATCATGGGCTGGACTGCGAAGAAAGACATCCACTGGATAGGGTGCGCATTCCTGCCATTCTCACCCTAACAGCGATTGATGCTGACCTGAGCAATAGTTTCTCCATAGGCGGTGCGTGCGTTGGCTTTGGCTTCTTCACCATCTTCCAAAGCGCTATTAGTTATCTTGTCGATACCTACCTCATGCTAGCGGCAAGTGCGCTTGCTGCGAACATGTTCATGCGTAGTATACTCGCTGCAGCATTTCCCTTGTTTGCGAAAGCCTGTACGCGACACCAGGCCTTACCTGTCTGTAGATGTATAGAACTAACTTAACTATGTAGTGTTCGATAAACTAGGCTTAGATTGGGGCATGAGTTTGCTGGGCTTCATTGCAGTAGCCATGATTCCGATTCCCTTCTTGTAGGTTTCGTTTTCAGTTGGGAACGTTTTGATGGTACAAATCGACGCCAGGGGCTGACTCATATAATTCAACAGGTTCTACATCTTTGGTAAGAGGATTCGAGCAGTGGGAAAGCGATCAAAACAGACTTTCATTCCTTGAATTATCATGTGCTTCTACCATCATCTAAGCCCATTCTAAGGAGATGGAAAAAGTCTTAGGCCGATGCAGTTTCATATTTACATCATTGAATGGTAGAAGAGCGCATTAAGAGATAGGCTGTACGAGAGAGTGTAGGCAACCATGTCATCGCCATTTTGGTACATGAATAGAATTGGTTTGGTTTCTTGAACCTCTTTCTAGTGTTGGGGAGGATGTTGAGGCGCGCTGTAATTTCTCTGTGAAGTCAGTTATTAGATTTACAGCCCCAGTGATATTCGTGTTGCTGGAGCTCACAGAAACATTTCGAAAGCCTTTTATTAAATTCATGGTTGATCGGGTTTCCGGTGGAGATGAAGAAAGATAGTTTAAAGCATTTATATACCCTCCTACATCCGTAGCCACAACTCAAGGTCGTCGAAAGCTATTCGGCTTCTACAAATGCAGTTTATTTCCAGCTCGACCGATAGGGGGACATAGCTTGAACCCTAGGGACCATCGAAACATCAACTCCATGTCCAGGAATTTCATTCCAGCAAAATTTTGTGTGTGACTCGGTTTTTAGCCCGCATCACTTGAACTCATGCACGCGATCATTTTTTAGTTCCGAGGCATCCGGTAAAACAAAAACCCCAGATACCAAGGGGATTATATACCCTCCTCCCCATACGACAACCACAGCTATAACCGCAGCCAAATGTCCTCTCAAGCCCATGATTCCTTACTTCTTGGTTTGTATTCGTAACTGACCCCAGTTAACTACTCTCGTGTAATGGCCATGGGGATTTATTCCAGCACTCAAACGCCAGAAGCGCAGGGGTATTGAGGTCCGGGTTTATTGCCCCATTGAGATCGATGCTCGCGGTATAAAGAAACCGGACACCACGTATACGCCTTTTTCTTGACAGTTTTAGGTGTGACAAACTAATAGAACCACGTCCTCTTTGTTCACAGGATTTCTTCCGGCTCCAACTCATAGCACGGCATATTATTTCTGCTCGCCACTTGTTATTACTCGCTAATATGTTTTAGACAACCAAGGTTGTGAAGCCCACACAGGCCACTTCTTTTTCCGATTCATTTAGGTGCGAGAAACTAGCATCTTCTTTCTAAGGACCGGCTATCCGTCAGTACACCCAGCCGTATAGTACTGGTTAGGAAGTATAGAGGTAGTTGTTAGTTAGTAACTGTATGTGAGGCCCCTTTACTAGCCGTTTACGGTAGTCTGTATAGATTTTGGGTGGAGTATAAGTGCCTGCGCGGCTGCAGGAGGCGCAGAGGGCTCAGAGGGGCCTTAGGGTAGCTAGAAGTAGTGCAGATTATGCAAATCTGGTGTGTTTTGTCAGTTGTTTGCTAAGAAACTCCACAAAACTATAATCTAGCCCCTTTATTCACCTCATAATGTTACTTTCTAAGTACATTACCCGCCAGCCTTAAGTCTCGTAGCGCATTGCCGCCTCCTAGGTCATAGGTAGTTAATGTGCCTATAAGGAGGCGCCTTCGCACTATCTTGCCGTGTTTTACACACACCAATTCGGGCTATAAAGCTACAAAAGAACTAGCTATGTAAAATGGTAGTGAGGAGCCAGTTAACTAAGCTAGCAGTGTACATTAGACAGTATGAAGTGCAGCTTAAGAAGAAGATTAATTTACTTCTGCTCCTACCATTCTGTAAACAGCCTGTTATACTCCGTACAGTACAGTACAATTTATCAATTCCTCCGTTACGGAGTACTGCTTGTTACCCCCCTCATCTACTCAGTACAGTACACCATACAACCTCAAAACTTCTCCGTTACGTACGTATGGCCACGCCGCACATTAAGGTTCGAATGGGTTTTATCAGGTGCAAGAACCAGCAGAGTCATAAACCAGTGGGCGTCGATTTTTATTCCCAAACGCCAGGAGGGACACCGTGGAAAGCCGTCATGGGTACTTCATTCCGCAACAGCGGACAGACATGCATTTTTTCTGCTTCGTTTTTGTTGGCTATTTGAGTTGTCGATCTAAAATCTAAAGAAGCCTGGAAAGTGGCTACAGATTGCCATAAGTTTTTAGTAGCCTGATGTCTGCAAAAGTGCGTCTTGGAGCCCAGGCGGGTGGGGATGCCGGTTTATTTAGTATGGAAGGGAATATGGACGTAGATTGATTAACATGGAACGCTAGGATAGATGGAAAATCACCCACGGGTTACAGGAGGCTTCACCATCTGTATCATGAAATATATCGAAAACTAAAATCTCACAAGCCACCAAGGGATTTGGACAGCTGACTGCGGTGATTACAAAAGGAATGACGAACGGACTCTGGGCCTACAGTATAACCAAAACAATATCTCCCAAGCCCAAGCCACGGCCCAAACATTAGAATCTAGATCCAAGAAATGAGGCCTAAGGTGCCCCTTTTCCTCCTCCAAGATCTTCGCCATGATGTCAGTCTATTTCAAATATGTCCCCCTTCTCTTCAACCTCATTCTCTTAACCAAACTCCCCAACCCACCCTCTCTCCTCTCCACCTCTACCCTTCCCCCATCCCGCTTCCCCTCCGCCTTCTTGCGCCCCTTCTCTCCCCATGGTCCCATACTCTCCTTCTCCACCTCCTTTCTCCTCTCTAAGGCGAGCACCCCCACCATCTCCACAAACACACATTTCTCGATTAGATCCTCGACTCGGACTCTCAGGCCCTCTTGATCCAAGATACTAGCTACCTGCGCTAGTCCCATAATATCGCCTCCCAGTTCGAAGAAGTTGGAGTTGAGCTCGACTTGTGTCGGACTGCCGCGATTATCGCGGAGAATTTGCTCCCAGGCCGAGCGAAGGGTGGTGGCAAGGATGTTGACTTCGTGTTTGGAGAGACCTGTGTCAGTGGGGAGAATCACTGATTGCTTGTCCATAGATTTCTTGTGCGCTATTGAAGATAACGTTGTTGAGGATTGTGAGGCCAATTCCGAGGGTGATGGAAGAAGGGCGTATGGATCCTCAGCGAAGGTGATGGTCGTCGCGCAGAGCATGTCGAAGACGTTTTGGGCATAGCTTGCTGTGATGGTGCTGTTGGGCGCATACGTCAGGGTGACTTCCAACTGATCTCCGCCCTTGAAGGCTGAAAGAATGGAGAAGTCGGCAAAATCTTCTTGCGAGCCAACAGCGCCGACCTTGTATTCGATGCCACCTAGTTGTAGTGTCGCACCGTCTTCATGAATGTTCTGGTTGTGCTGGAGAACACTGGAAAAGGTTGTCCAATCTGGCCAATCTGTACAATTTCGCGTGATTTCTCTGAAGCCTAGCGACTCGTATTGCATGTTCGCGATTTGCTGATCTTGGATGTAGACAAGTAGATTAAGTACCGTCCATTTGGGCCGGTATACAACTCGCACAGGTACCATGTTCAAGCAAGGACCTATGATACTCTCGACGTTCGGAACACAGCCATTGCGACCGGAAATGACATGTCCGAAGACAATGTCGGATGAGCTGGCAATACGAGCGAGGGTTGATGCCCAGGCAGCTTTCATAACAGTAGCTATAGTGATATTGATATGAGATAGAGTCGGGACTGTGAGCATCTGCTTTAAGGTGACCGTTCGGCCAGCAGATCGCTGATAGTTCGGACCGTAGCGATGAACAATTTCAGTCATCTTGGAACCTCGAAGAACCTCTCTCCAATGGCCGTGGGCACCAACAACTGTCTTGGCAGATTCCCGGACATAGTTTCCGAAGCTGGGAGCTGACGAAATAGGAAGGCCGTTGTATCCATCCTGAAGAGACCCGAGAATCTTCGGTAGGCAATATCCATCATACTGTGCATGAGACAATCGCATGAAAATGCGATTATGCTCAGTTTTCTTCTGCTTAGCGACAATGAACTGGACGAATGTCTCACCAAGGCGGGGGCCGTGCTCACGATCCTTCTGCCGCAAGTCTTCGGTGAACGTATCGAGATCAAGATCCGTATCCTGGAAGACGAAGTCAGGTTGGAGCTTTCGAAGCACAACCTGAAGGAATCGATCACCACAGGGCACAAAGACCGTCCGGAGGATGTCAAACGCTTGAACAAGACGGAAGGCAGCCTGCTTCAACTTTCGGAGATCTAGGGGCCCTTGGCCATCGAGGTAGAAGTAGTTCAGCATCCACTTAGACTCAAGCAGCGTACCAGTGATTGCGAGACTCTGGAAGTCGGTGACAGCTAGGACATCGGATATCCCGCCTTTGAAAACTTGGACTTTGGAAATGATTTTATCTACGCTTGGGTCTCCAAGAAGCGAGACCGACTTGCTTGCCGACGGATTTTCTTGAACTGTCTGCACTGGTCGAGCTATCTGGCGTTTCTGGCTAGGCAAACGTTGCGGCGGGACAGTGGATTGAAGGTTCGAAGCAAACCCTTGCCATTTTTTTAATATTTGGTCGGTTTGCTCACGACCCTTTCTATCAGAAGGCAACCTCCCGCCGTTTTCATCGTCGTCAGTAATGGCTTGTTCAGAAACAAGAGATTGAAAGTCTTTCCATGCCGAAGTAGTTCGTTCCGGTAGTTGAAGGGACGGATTTAAATTGCCGGCAGATGTATCTTTCGCAGCGGACGGTTCTCCACCAGCTTGGGACATCACTTGGTCAATGACCTCACCGGCTACTCGAACCACCTAGCCTCGTTAGCAATAGGACACGAAGTGAATCGAGAAATGTACTCTGGCCATGTCTGCAAATGTAGGATTTTTAAACACATCCGCTACCGTCATAGATAAGCCCTCTTCTCTTGCGGCTCCTACAAGCCTCATCGCGATGATACTATCTCCGCCTAATTGCTGGAAACTGTTAGCACTAAACGTTTACTCTATATTGAATGACTTACGAAGAAACTATCATCATTCCCAATAGAGTCTTCCACCATATCTAATAACTCACTCCACAGTGTCAACAACTTCTTCTCTACAAAATTTGGCGGCACACTCTTCAATGCTTCGGTGGCTATAACACCAGCTGCAGCAACCATATCAGCAGCAAAGTTGATCCGGCTCTCAGTATCACTAGCGACGCTCATGCGCCGAGATCGGATTGAACCAGTCTCGAGGCTTGGTCTAGCGCGAAGTGACTGTGATGTTTTTCTGCTAAGAATACCAGCCATCTGGTTTGTCATTTCCGTGACAGTAGCAGCAGTGGGCGCTGGAACAAGCTTGTTCTTTGAGAGAACCTGGTCGACAATCTGAGGAACCATTTCGCTGACAATTTTTCTTACAAGGCTGCTCCAATCAGGAGTATTAAATGGCATGGGCTTAGATACTGAGGGCGCTTCAATCTTAGGAATTGCTGGAAGCATCACAGGGGGATCTGAGTCGATCAATGAAAGCCGTGGTCTACTTAGTCTCGGGGCCGGGGGTCTGAACTCAGCCCTTGGCTTCTCCGCGATCGCTGCGTCAAGTTCAGAGATTGTTTGGTTCGCGTCATTCAGAACCTCGCGTAGGATCTTCGCCATCGTTGTTGAGATATTTTTGGCTTCGCCGTCGGAGATTGAATCCGTCCAGTATGTAAAGAGAACCGCCTCATCACCACGACACGCTTCTATGTTCACCGTAATCACAAATTCGGAGGCATCGAATCCATCTATATGCTCAAATTCGATGTTTGATCCCCGGGTGGAGCTGAATTCCGCAGCTCTATGATTTTGGATAGAAACAGCAGTGTTGAAGAGAGCTTTCCCAGAAAGTCCGAGATCATGCTGGAATTGTGCCAAGGAGCAGTGTTGATAAGGCAAGCTTTCAATAAAATCACTCTGGACTTTCTGAAAGACATCTAGTAGAGATTGGGACCGTGACAAACTAATACGAGATACCAACATGTTGATATAAGCTCCGACCGCGTCCTGGATGTTGTCGATTGGAAGGTTACGGCCAGACGTCAGGTAGCCGTAGCATACATCGTTGGAACCGGTGTAGGTTCGCAGCACTACTGCCCAAGCGGCGAGCATGATGTTCGAGAGAGTAACGCTGCTTCTCTCTCCAAGCTTTTGTAAGTCAGCATATCGGTCAAAATCCAATAATACCGAATGCAACTGCCGCTGCTTAAAAGAATGCTGTGGTGCGATGGGGAAGTAGCAAGGCTGAACTCCACGCAGATGCTCCTTCCAATAGGCTTCAGCCGTACCAGCCGGCAGACTACGAAGATATTTAATGTAGTCACTGTAAAGGGGTCCTTCGTCGTCCGTCAATCGACCTTCATACGCAGCCTCGAGATCCCGCCTGATAACATCGTGAGATCCTCCATCTATCACAGAGTGATTAATTTCCATCTTCGCGACTACTCTTCCGGATGTTGTTTGGATGATGGTGAACTGATGAGGTAATCGTGGCCGTTTCTTGCCATTTAGCTGATTGTATTTGATCGACGTCAATTTCGCTGTCAATTCGGAGTCGTCACAAGAGTAAATGAGGATGCCGCTATCCGGGTTCTTGATGACGAGCTGGTCAAAAACGCCGCCACGGCAGACGCTATCGATAAAGACTGTACGAAGAGCCGGATGTCGATTGACGACCTTTTGCCAAGCGGTAGCTACCTTTTGCACATCAATTCTGCCATCCTTGGACTTGATCTCGAAAGTGGAAAATGACTGGTATGAATCCGGATCTTTAATTTGGCTCAGGATCATGCCTTCTTGCATCGCTACACAGGGATACATATCTTCGACTTGCTCGTAGGAAAGAATTCCAGCAGACGGGAAGGTCTGAACGACGCGTTGTAGTCTGTCGTACGACTCTAGAGGTAGCAATGGGAAATCTGCTAGTGTTGGCTGCGGATTTTCAATCCTGGTGAGATTGTTCACTATCTCCTCGAGCGTTCGTTGGCACTCAGCAATCCATCGACGAATGCCTTTCTGGTTCTTCATCCAACGGTTGTACATGAACGAAAACTGAATTTGACCGCGGATGACAGATGCGGAAATTTCGAGAAGCGCTGGGCGTCCCGTCTTGGCGCCAAAGTCAGACATCTTGGCCTCTTCGTCTTCACTGAACTGTGCGAACTGGAACAGCGAATCCTCAGACTCAAGGTGTTGCATCTTGCCAAGATAGTTAAAGAGCAATTCCATGGGCATGTGGTTCATGTATCGCTTTGTGCCCTCCTCCGTAAGGTAGCGATGAGCGAAGTAGGGGCGGCCATTGCCAGATATCTTTCTCCGAGAGTCTTTAACCTTGCGTACGGTTTGGATCACGTCATCTTCGTCCTCTTGGATGGGTATATGCAAAGGGTACATCGTAGTGAACCACCCGACGGTTCTGGAAAGATCGATATTGCTTGACGCCCATGGTTCGCGCCCATGCGTTTCATTGAAGACAGTCGGAGTCGGTCGATTGATGAATATGCGAGAGAAGGAGTGGATGATGGCAGCAAGGAAGAGATCAACAGCATCAGTCCGGAAGATTACGTGATCATTGAGCACCATAGCTGAAACGCGCTCGTCCATTAAGAAAGAGTCTCGCTCAACATCGCCATACTGATTCTGGCGTTCGTCCATGCCCCAGTATGACAAGTCTGTTGGTGGTACAGAATATTGCTCAGTTTGGGAGCCATCGATATGTACTCGCTGGAGAGCATCCTCTTTCTGCTTTTCCAACCAAACTTGGAATGAGAATGCGCTTTGAAGAGAATCAAACGATCTCGTATTGAGGCATTCTTCCAGATCCCCAATAATGGTCCTCCAACTCACAACATCAATGACAAGATGATGGGCTGCTAAGAACAGGATCTGATCTTCAGAAGGGATGTTGAAGAGATCAACAATAAAGACTGGCCCATTTACGATGTCAATAGTCTTCTGTGTACTTGAGACTAGTTCGGGAATGCGGGAAAAGGATGGAACGTCGTGGGATTTGAATCCGTAAGCGTTTTCAGAGTAAGCTGTAATGGTTTGGTGCCATATTCCAATCTCATTCTTGAAGAAACGCGCACGAAGCATGGTGTGGCATTTCACAATGGCGCCCAATGCCATTTTAAGGCTCGCCGAGTCCAACTTGCGCGAAAGGCGAAGTGTAAAGGACTGGTTGAAGTGCACGTTCCTTTCGTCTCCAATGGATTGGAAATACATGTGTTGGATGGGTGAAAGATCGAATGACTTATCCGTCTGCTCGGCTGGGTGATCTGCAGAGCTATGAAGGTAGCCAACACTTTCGGCAAGCTGCGAAATTGACTTGCTTCGAAGAACTTGGTTTAGGGTGAGATTGATACCTTCTTTTCTGCAGCGAGCTAGAAGCTGCATCGCCGTTATTGAGTCTCCACCAAGCGCTGAGAAGTAATTAGTAATACGAAGTAGTGATTGCAAGGTTATAATACTTACATAGCCAAGACTTGTTCAACTTGATCTGTTCGATTGGAAGGCTGAGAACCTTGGCCCAAAGGGTTTGGAGGAGATTAGTGGTGTCTGTCACTGGAATGATGGATTCATAGCCGCTTTCCTGGTTTAATATTTCGCTGTAGCTCTCATCACTCATGTCTTCCAGCCATGCACCGACTTGCTTCCGATCCAATTTGGCCGAAGCCAAAGTGGGAATATTGGAAACCGCGATCCATATGGAAGGCACCATATACGATGGCACTAAATCCGAGAGTCGACTCTGCGCTTCGTTCAATCGGCGGATGTTATCTGGGTGATTCAATGGCGTACTCCAAGATTGTTCCTGAATCGCAGGCTCTGAAGTTGGTCGGTGAATGGTCAATACCGCAGTCAGCTTCCTCTTTCCTGGCCCTAACTTCGGTATAATGACGACAGCTTGCCGAACATGCGTATCGGCCTGCAAGTGATGCTCGATCTCACCGAGCTCCATTCTTTGGCCCGCGAGCTTGACTTGGTTATCCTTCCGTCCAATGTAGCGAAGTGAGCCGTCCGGTGCGTATTGGACAATATCTCCAGTCCGATAAATGCGCGACTCTGCTGTTTTTGAAGACGTGAACTCCTTCATGAACGAAGGATTCTCTACAAAGGCTTCCGCAGTCTTTTCGCGATTATTAAGATAACCTCTCGCGAGCAGCGGCCCTTCGATACAAAGTTCGCCTGCAGCTCCAAGTGGAGCGAGCTGGTGTGGGTCCTCTGGGTTGACAATCCAGGCCCTCCCACTTTCTAATACATGACCGATGTTCGATGGATCCTTGTGAGTAACCTGGTCATTCGCAGTCCCAACAACAGAAGCCTCTGTCGGTCCCCATGCATTAAACAGTCGTAGACCGGAGCTCCATTTCGCAATAGTCTCTGGAGTCATAGCTTCGGCGCCAGCAGCCAGAGTCTCGAGAGTGGGGACAGACTCTGGACAGTCGATAACATTGGCGACCGAGGGGGTTAGACAAGTCCACGTCGCCTTCAGGTTATTGATAGCGGAAGTAATATCTGCAGTCCGCTCCTGTTCAGAAGGAATGCATATGGTAGCGCCACAGGTCAAGGTCGTCAAAATCTCCATGACGGATGCATCAAAGGCGAAAGACGCAAATTGGAAGACCCTTGAGGACTGGTTCATCTGCAGGGCTTTGCAAATAGCGGCTGAGCTGGATGCAATAGCTCGGTGTTCGATGACGACACCCTTTGGAGCCCCCGTGCTGCCAGATGTGTACAAAACATAGCAGGCGTTGTGACATTTTGCTCGTAATGGGACGCCGCCGTGGCGAGGGGGAAGCTGGCGAATCGAGGTCTCCCCGACGAGCAGGACTTTGCTGATAATGCTGACAAAACGACTGTTGTAGGAAGGTGAGCATAGCAGTACTGAAGCACCACAGTCCTGGATGATCTGGTGATGTCTCGAAGTTGGATGGTCGGGGGACAGCGGCACATATGCCGCACCTGCCATCAAAATACCTATCATGGAAACTACAGCCCATTTTGACTTGTCTGCGCACAGCGGCACTAGAGTCTCAGGCCCGACGCCCAATTTAACAAGTTGCAAAGCTAGCCTAGAGCTGAAATCCTTCAGCTCTGCGTATGTGAATTCTCCATCGAAGGCGGACACAGCGGTGGCGTGTGGCCTCGATGAGGCTTGCTTCAAAAACAAGGAGGGGATTGTCTCGTCAACCGCTACCGGCTCGTGAGAATTCCACTGGCGTAGAAGGTCCTTGTCCTGTTCGCTGAAGACCCGTATGTCGCGAAGGCTGCTGGTGGATGCGAGCTGCTTTAGGACCGAGTCAAGTTGGTAGAGCATGCGCTGCACCTGCCACTGCGATATGACGTTCTCATCGTAGTAAGCCGTGATGTCAACGCTGGACTGCCCTGCTTTGCACTCAACTACTAGCGGATATGTAAAGTAGTTCGCTTGAATTCCGTTGTTGTGGAACTTCCATATCTTCTCCGCAGGCTGCTGGCCACTAGTCTGAATCGCAAGCAAGTTCTGGAACTCACACCCAGCAGCCGTGTCGGAGTCAATTTGCTTTATTTCTGCGAGGCCGGTGTGCTGATAGGGTATTCGGTCAACGGCAACTTTCGCGATGCTATGCAGAAGATCCAGCGCAGTGCTTTGGAGATCAATTTTGACTCTAGTTGGCACGGTGGTCAATGTGGGACCACAGACCTCAGTGATTCCTGGCACTTCAATGTCTCTCCCTGTAAGAGTCTCGCCGAAAACGACATCACCCGTACCGGTGTAGGCGGAAATGAGGAGTGCCCACGCAGCTCGAATGACTGTCGGCAGAGTGATATCGCTATGGCAATTGGACGGAATGTGGGCGATATGGCTCCAGACCTGACCATTTGGGGACTGATCTATGACAGAGTGAGGCTGCTGTGGAAATTGATATGGGGCTGCGCCTGCCAAATGGTCCTTCCAGAATCGTCTCGAGTCATCACGACTTGCGTCCATGAGGTATCTCATGAATTTGGTATATGGAGTCCTTGGTACGGTAGAAAAGCCATCATGGTAGATTTGCTCTACCCGGTGAAGCATGGATGGTATCGACCAGCCATCGTAAAGTGCATGGTGAAGGGTCCAGACGAAGTAGCGCTCATTCCACTCGGTGTGAATGATGGTGTAAGCTGAAAGCTGCCCGCCGAGTTGTGACGGAATCTGGGTTACCACACCTTGCGCCTCTTCAAGTGTAGAGGCTTCAAGCCAGCGAATGGGATCCTCGACGAGCACAGTTTGAATTAAAGCACCGGACTTGGTCTGTACAATTCGAGTCCGAAGAAGATCAATTTCCTGCACGGCCTTCTCCCACGCCGCTTTAAGTTTCCTAAGTTCCACGGCTGCGGATAGTGCTAGGATGTGTTGAGCGACGTAGGCACCAGGCTGCTTGGTAGATAGGGTAACGAATGCTTCTTGTAGTGGAGTAACAGGATATGCATCGTGAATCTTGATACTGGACACACAGCACTGCTCAGAAAGCTCGTCTAGAATTGAAGAATTGAAAGGACCTTTGAGAAGCTGGAACGGCTCGATTCTTAGTGTAGTATCTGCGCCTTTCTTAGCGAGTTTACATCCAGCAGCGAGGTCGGACAATTTCGGGTGCTTGAAGATATCGATGACTGATATGTCTATATTATCTGCTTGTGCTGCTGAGGCGAGTTGCATTGCAGCTATAGAGTCACCGCCCAGCCGCTGATAATCATTAGCTTTTATCAAAGAAGAAGAATCTTGTAGCTTACGATAAAGTTGTCGTCGATGCCCACAGATGCGACTGGTAAGTTCAACACCGAGCTCACCAGCTTTTGCAACTTCCTCTCCAGTTCTGTCCTAGGTTTCTTTTTATAAGCAGAGTTAGTGAGTCGATATGGTGCCAAAGCATCCTTTGAAAGATTCTGAACGAGATTTCGGAGCCTAGCACGATCCAGCTTACTGGATGTGGACCATGGCATTTTTGCGATTGGTAGGAAAATCGACGGTATCATATACGATGGTAGTACGCTAGCGAGAGAATTCTCTAGCATTTTGCAGAGATCTCGCGAATCATCGCTCATAGGAAGCAGGAGTTCATCAGCGGCTGGAAGCTCAAAGGACACAGGTTGGATACCATCTGTATAACCTCTTTGTCGATTGCCTTCTAAAGAGAAGAAGATAGCTAGAGCTTTGCTGGAATTTCGGCTTGCTGGAGCGACAAGCTCCACCGCAGACTGAATACCTTCTGGAAGTTTACTCTTGACTTGGAACTCAATTTCGCCGAGCTCGATTCGTTGGCCGTTGAGTTTAATCTGAGTGTCTTTTCGACCGATGAAGTTAATAGAACCATCCGAATTGTATCGTACTAGATCTCCAGATTTGTACATTTTGGCTGTTTCGAATGGACCGTCATGTGGAGAAAGGGTAGCTGCCCAAGCGGGGTTTTTGATAAAGACACTGGCTGTCTTTGTGTCATCACTAAGATACCCACGAGCAGCGGTGTGACCTTCAATGACCAATTCACCGACGCTGCCAATCGGCATGAGTTTGTTGTGATTTCGAGGATGGACAACCCACAGGCGACATCCGGATGGAGTACCGATATTTTTACCATTAGTATCAATAATCTCTTTATTGGGCGTCGACTTAGAGCTGAAGGTTGCGAAAACCGTAGTCTCAGATGGTCCGTAGGCTAGTATCATGTTAGCAGCCGATTTACCATAATAGAAGAGTATCTACCTTCGATGAAACATGTGGTCTTGCCCCATTTTGTGATTACCGAGTCTGGGACAAGTTCACCGCCAACAACGAGAGTCTTCAGAGAAGGCACTCGCTCGGGCTTCATCGTGCCGAGCACTGAAGGGGTTAAGAAACACCATGTAGCGTTCATCCTGTGAATAGCGCCAGCTAAATCATTCATCCTATCGTCCTCGCTGGGAACGCAAACTGTAGCGCCAACAGTGAGAGCAGCAAGGATTTCTGCGCAGCTTGCGTCAAATGTGTAACTAGCGAATTGGAAAGTGCGAGAGTACGAGTCAATATGCACGAGTTGAGTAAATGCGTATGCGCTTGTGCAGAAAGACTGATGCGTGATAATGGTGCCTTTCGGTACTCCTGTAGTTCCCGACGTAAACAAGCAATAGGCTGCATTATCTGGTGTAATATTCGATTTTGGCTTTGGTCCTCTTGCTGCAGGTAATCTTTCAACTGCTCGTTGGTCAATGATGACCGAATTTGTTGCAATCTCGCTCGACTTAGGGGCGTAGTTTCGGGAACATAAGACAATCTGCGCACTAACATCCCTAATAAGTTGCCTTAGGCGGTTTGGTGGATGTTTCGGATCTAATGGGACATAGGCCCCCCCAGCTTTCAGGATGCTGATCATGGCGATGATGGCCCAAGAAGATTTCTCGAAGAGGATTGGGACAAATGTCTCTGCCGAAATCCCAAGAGCATTGAGGTGAATTGCCACGCGAGTCGTAACTTCGTCGAACTCATGATACGTGAAAGTCCCGTCCCAACCTTCCACTGCATTTGACGAGCGAGGTTTCAGTAACGCTTGTTCTTGGATTAGATCATGCACACAGCGGCGGACTGGAGTTGGAAGTTCGGAGTTCCATGACATAATCTGGTTCATACTCTCAGGCGTGGAGAAATCCAAGTCCCCAACGGCGATGTCTTTGTGTCCACAGCCCACGATAATCGTAAAAATTTTCTCAAATGCTTTGACCATATTTTCAGCTTGGGCTGGGCAAATCTTGTCTTTCCAGAAGCCGAAGTCAATGCTAGTTCTTTCCTCGGAGACATCAGCGTTAACAGTAATGTGATATTCGCCTGGGTCTGCGGCTTCAACATTTTCATATACAAGTGACATTTTCTCAGGATCTCGTGATAGCTGTCGCCTCTGAAAAGTGAACACCGTGTTGAAGAGTGATGGTAGTTGGAGTTTATGTTGAACATCCGCCAAGGAGCAGCTTTGATGCGCCATTGCATTGACTGAATCAGTCTGAAGTTGTTCCAGGAGCTGAGAAACCCGAGTGTCATCCGTGAAGTTAAGGCGGCAGATGAGCATGTTCACGAAACAACCCACGGCCTCTTCGATATTGCTGACGGCGATGTCACGACCTGACGCCACGACTCCAAAAGAGACATCTGAAGCACCGATATAGCAGTGAAGAAGAAGAGCCCAACTAAGCTGAAGTACATTAGATAATGTGACGCCTTGCTGTTTGCAAAATGCCTGAACACTAGCAGTATCGGTGATGTGAACTTCAAAGGATCCGAGCTCGTGTGGTTTGGGCTTGCCATCTGTTAGTGTGGGGAAGTTGCAAGGCTCAACCCCCGATAAGTACGCCTTCCAGTAGTTAATATCGGCATCTCTCGAGCTGGAGAGGATATGCGAGATGAAGTTGCTATACAGAGGGCCGGAATCAGACCGAGATAGGGTGCCATCATATGCACGAGCCAGGTCGCATAATATGTTTGGAATGGAACTTCCGTCACAAATCGCGTGGCTCATTTCTAGCTTGACCCACACTTTGTCTTGCTTTGTTTTGCAGATTGTCAGGTAGTGAGGTGGTCGGAATTCTCGGTAGTCGACGGCAAGTTGAGTCCTTAACAGTTGAGCAGCGTCAGCATCCTCATAATCCAGAAGCCATGAGACCCTTCCTGACTGGTCCTTGAATACGATTTGGTCTACAAGGCCGGTTTTAGAGAGGCTTTCGATGAATACAGTTCGCAATGCTGGATGTCGATGAACAACGGCCTGCCACGCATCTTCAAGTTGTCTAGGATCTACCTGCTGGCTTAGGTCCGTTGCTTTGACTTCGAAGATGCAATGATATGCATACATTTCGGGGTGCTTCAATTGAGATAGAAGAATGCCTTGTTGCATTGGAGAAGCAGGATAGATATCCTCAATCTCATCTAAAGATATTCCAGATGGCAGCACTGCCGATAATTTAGACATGCCGTTATATGAGAGCGGCAAGAGCCTGAAGTGGCCGAGGCTGGGTTCTGGCCGAAGTTGGAGAAGCTGATCAACAGCATCGACGAGCATCTGGTGGCATTGGGATATCCAGCGTTTGATCTCGGACTGTCGCTTCATGTGTCTGTTAAATCCGAAAGATAGCTTGAGAGTACCCGATGCAACTGTTGCTGTGATCTCAAACAGAGAGAAACGAGGCACGTCTGGCCCCACATCAGTTGTTGAAATTCCATCCATCTTCTGAAGTAATGCATCCTTGCGTTCAAGGTTCTTCATCCTCCCAAGATAATTAAAAGTCACTTCAGCTGGCCAGTGTCCCGCAAATCTTTCTTGGCCTTCTTCAGCTAAGACTCGATATGCGAAATATGGCCGACCCTTGTCCGGAATCCTCTCGCGAAGATCTTTCACCCATTGAATAGTGCTGACGATGTCGGTGGGCTCCTCAGGTGCTACTGGCATATGAATTGGCGTCAGGGTTGTAAACCAGCCTACAGTTCGAGAAAGATCATGATTAGTATCAATGGGTTCGCGACCGTGCCCTTCGTTGTGAATTACCACAGTATATCTATCAGTAAAGACCATCCGGAAGGACTCGAGCAATGCGGCAATGAATACATCCAAAGGCTCCATTGCAAGTGCATCGTGAACCCCTAAAAGTAACATTGAATACTTTGGGCTGAGTTCAATGTCTTCTGTGATGACATCTGAGTTTATGTTGGCTTTATCATCCATTCCCCAGTATTCCAAGTTAGCAAGCGGAACACCGGAGATGGGAAATACTTTTAGTGCCGTCTCTTGCTTAGCTTGTTCTCCTTGTTGTTGCGCCCAGGTATGAAATGGAAGACTTTGAGGTGGTGGAGAAACACCATTCAGTAGATTTTGGAGGTCCTCCAGAACGATTCCCCAGGAGACGACATCAATGATAAGGTGGTGCGCAACAAGTGCGATGGCCTGAGAGAAAGTATCACCAATTTCGAAAAGGTCAACTGAAAAGGTAGGGCCGTTGGTAACATCTAACGTAGCCTGGCTCTCGTCTAGCACGGGTTGTAGGGCGGTGCCGGTGCCGGTGGAGGTGGGTATGCGATGATGTCTTAGTCTGAAAGAATTCTTCGTATCACTCTCGATGCGCTGCCGCCAGGCCTTCGACTCATCTGTAAAGAAACGCCCTCTAAGCATGGGATGTATAGCCACCAAGGAGGTGATAGCAGTTTCAATTTCATGGAGATCAAAGCGCCGAGAGATGCGGAAAACCACACTTTGATTGAAGTGGTTGTAAGTTTGGCCCACTGAGTCGAAGAACACTCTTTGAATAGGCGTCAGGTTGAAAGGAAGATTAAATACCACATCCTTAGGTGTGCCCACCACGCTCTCACTAGTAAGCAACACTTTAGACGCAAGTTCGCCAATTGACTTGGAACGAATAATATCCTGGACGCTGATTGCAAGACCCTGCCCGCGACACTGGGAAGAGACTTGCATGGCGGCAATGGAGTCGCCTCCAAGATGCAAAAAGGACTGGTTGAGGCCGATGTCTTCCGGCGATAAATTCAGAGCGTTCGCAAAAATAGCTTGGAGCTTGAATTCAATGGAGGTTGTTTGGTCCCTGGGCTTTCTTAAACCGACAGTGGATATGGTACGATATGTCTTGTTATCCATTTGTTCAAGCCACTGGAGTACGCGCCGTCTATCCATCTTCCCTGAAGGCATCAAGGGGAATCTGGAGACAGCAACCCAGAGAGAGGGAATCATATATGCCGGGAGGCGTTCGCAAATGTGGTCCCGAATAGTGGCGATATTAAGTGTTGAGAGTTCCGGAGGAAGGATTTCTAGGGTAGGATGGTCTGGAGGAACCTTATTAGCGATTTATGAACCTGATATGGGTAACATATGACATATGCTTGTATGCTGTTAAACTTCTTGCCAGCCCTAGTAGTGGACTCAATAGATGGATTACTCCCTGTTCGAGTTGCGGGATATGTCCTGGCATGCTGTAATAACTGGAAACAGTCAGACTTACCCATGACACGAACAGGCTTCACAGTTTCCTGTAAAACCACAACGCCGACGAGCCGCTTTGCGCAAGGTCCAATAGTTGGGACAGACGCAAGCGCATTCTGAACCAGAGAATCTTCGATGAGGTGATGCTCCACTTCCGATAGTTCGAGCCTCTGGCCTCGGACCTTTGTCTGGCTGTCCTTCCGTCCAAGATACTGGAACAACTTAGCATGTGCACGCCAATCAATGTAATACTGAACCTACCATCATTGTGCCATCTTTATTGTATCTGACTAGATCGCCAGTTTTGTAGAGTCTTCTTTTAACTCCTCCCTCTTGGTCTTCATCACCGAAAGCCCATTTCACATTGCTGATGAAGGCTTCGGCTGTCTTTTCAGGATTGTTCAAATATCCAGTACCTACGCCCCCTCCTTCAAGCAAAAGCTCACCAACTGCACCGAAAGGGGCTAGGATGTGGTGATTATCTTTCGAGACAATCCAGCCTCTTGCAGTCACAGCTTTCCCAAGATTATTTGGCTCCGTATTGGGTGTCATGATATTAACCGTGGTTATACAACTAGCTTCAGTAGGGCCATACCTTCACAGCAGATTAGTTACGAAGACAATCATTTACTGAGCTTCCAACACTCACCCGTTGCCTAGCACGACTCGATCCGCCCAAGTGATTAGGTCTTGTTGCGACATAGCCTCTCCAACTAGGACTAGGGTCTTCAGTAGTGGTACTTGAAAGGGTTGGATTGTCCGAACCACAGACGGGGTAAGCGTAGCCCAATTAACATTAAACTTGTTGATCACGCCGGCGAGATCGTTCGTTCGAGAAGCTTGGTCAGGCACACAGACGCAACCACCAAGCATCAAAGTGCTGAGAATCTCAATCAAGCAGGCGTCGAAAGTGTAGGAGGCAAACTGGAGAACCCGAGACGTGTTCGAGATCCCCATAGCTGGGGCGAAGGCTGTCGAGCTAGATACGAACGAGGAGTGACTTATAACCGCTCCCTTCGGCTTTCCAGTAGAACCGGAAGTAAATATAACATACGCTGGCGTATTACTTTGAACGTACGGGAGAGTGTAGAGTCGGCCGGAGTGTCGTTCGGTTGCATCTCGATCTACCCGAAGGGCTTTGCAGGGAATCAATTGGCATAATTCTTCGTACTGTGGGGCGCAAAGAATCAATTTCGCTTCGACGTTCTGTACAATCTCTCGGAGTCGAAGTAAAGGCGATTCGAAATCGAGGGGAACGAAAGCCGCTCCAGCTTTCATGATCGCTAGCATCGCTACCACTGTCCAGCCAGATTTTTCAAAACATATTGGAACGTACGAGGCTTTTTTGATACCCAAGGACATCAATTTGGAAGCAAGTCTAGTTGCGCGCTCATCCAGCTCTTTGTAGGTCATGGGTGCGGTATCCCACGCCTCGAGAGCTATTGCCGAGGGGTGTAGAATAACTTGGTCCTGGAATATCATGTTGTGAACACATTGATTGATGGTGTTTACAGGTCTCCTGTTCCATGCCATTATCTCGTCATGATCTGAAGGATTTAGGAGGTCGAAGTCGGCTAGAGTTTGCGGCGCTGCGTCAACGGAGTTGAAACGCTCTAGCAAGAACCTGAATTGCTGAAGAAGGCGTTGAACTAGCCACGTTTGGATAACCCTTTCATCGTAATGAGTTTCGATATCGACACCCTCCCGCTTTACGGTACAATTGAATATGAGAGCATAGTTGAAGAAGTTGGTGCCAATAGTTCCAGTGCTTTGAAGATCCCAAAGACCACCTTCGGGGTCTTTCATACTATCGCTGGCCACGATGGCGAGGAGGCTTTGGAAATCGCATGCTACGGCGGTGTCGGAGCTGAGTTTGCGAATGTGTTGGAGGCCGGCGAATTGGAACGGCAAGGCAGCTGAAGACTGGCGTTGAACAGCCTCCAAATATTGTGAGATGGTTACTTGGCGATCCAGCTTCAGGCGCATCGGTGAGGTCGTAATTGTAGCTCCGATAATGTCTTCAACTCCAGGAACGGGAACATCGCGACCACTGTTTGTTTCTCCCCAAACCACATCGTCAGAACCAGAGTATGTGGCCAGCAGCAAACCCCACGCTGCCCTAATAATTGAGGGCATCGTGACTTCTATCCTAGATTTTCGAGTGATGGGAATATGATGCACGAGCTGACTCGAAGCCTGAACTTGATAGTCTGGATCTGGAAGCTGTGGAAATTGGGGAGCAGAAATACCCTCGAAAGTAGAGAGCCAGAAGTCATCAGACTGCTTCTCATCGATAGAAGAAATATATTTGATGAATCGTGAATACGGAATAGAAACCAGCGGGTGAAGCGCTGTCTGGTGGTAGCAACTTTCCACCTTGTGTAGTAACGCTGGAAATGACCAGCCGTCGTAAACACTGTGGTGAGCAGCCCAGATGAAGAATGGGGATGAGGTTCCTTCACCAGCAATAGTGTAACGGGTCAACGGACCACCCTGCTTTACTGGGAGTTGACGATCGATTTCCTTGATGTCTTGTAAGTCAGCGATCTCGTGCCAGACGATACTATCACGAACGACCACCTGTAAAAAGCCATGGTCGCCCGTGAAGATGATACGAGTTCTGAGTATAGCCTCAGTCGCTGCGACTCGATTCCATGCATGCCGGAAACGGTTGATGTCAATATCTGCCGGCAGGCGATACACGGTTTCTGCCACATACGAGCCTGGTTCCTTTGTCGAAAGCGCGATGAGACCTTCTTGCAATCGACTGCAAGGATAGACGTCCTCGACCGAGTCAGGAAACACTCCGCATTCGGCCGCAGCAAAGTCAAGGATGCTTCGGCGTGAGTGTTTGGGAAGAAGCTCGAACGGCACAGCGTCCCCTGGTTCCGCCGACAGCGCATCCGATGAAAGAACCACGGCAGTCCGTGCCATGTCCACAAGCTTTGGCTGAGCGAAAATGCTTGCAACATTTAGCGCAAAACCCTCCTGGCGGCTTGCTGCGACTAGGCGCATGGCCCCAATTGAGTCGCCCCCGCGCCGGAAGAAGGAATCTTCCACGCCAACAGAATCGGGCTTCAGATTCAGAATGGTCTCCCAGAGTCTTGCAAGCGCGCTCTCCACATGACCGGATGGGGCTCGACCGCTCCTTCCTGCCAGCCTGTAAGTGAGAAGCTCATCTTCACTGACCGACTGGATAAGCAGTCGAAGCGCTTTTCTGTCCAGCTTCCCAGACGTAGTCATGGGCATGCTGGTTACCGGAACGAAAATTGACGGAACGTAATACGCAGGGAGGGTGCTCGATAAGGCCCCCTCAAGTTCTTTCGCAATTTCCAGTACGGAGTCAGTCATAGGCCCTATATTGGCCTTCGTATCGTTGACAGGGTTGGAGGACTCTTCGGCAAGACAGAGGAAGCCTGCAAGCGCCTTAAAGGGCGTAGGACTTGAAAATGCGACTAGTTCGACCGCTGACTGTGCTTCAGCGGGTAGGTTGAGCTTGAGATGGTGCTCAATCTCACCAAGCTCGACGCGCTGACCATTCAACTTCACTTGGCTGTCCTTCCTTCCTAGGTACATCATCTCTCCTGTCGACGTGTAATATACTAGGTCACCAGTACAATAGAATCTGCGCCCTGAAATGCCTCCAGCTAGAGTCCACTCGGGATCTTCAATGAATGCAGCAGCAGTCTTTTCTGGATCATTCAGATAGCCACGACTAAGGATAGGCCCTTCGATTAGGAGTTCTCCTTTGCACCCGATAGGCACGAGTCGATTCCTATTCTCTGGGTGCACTACCCAGGACACGCTTCCGATGGCCCGACCGATATTGGTAGGTTCACCACCATGCTTGAAGTCTTTCCACGCCGAGTTTATGGATGCTTCACTTGGTCCATATTGCCCATGAAGATGCACATGATTACTCCACTGGTCAACAACAGCTTTTGTCAGAGCTTCGCCACCGAGGGCCATACCCGTAATGGTTGGTACGTCTTCTGGGTTCAGTAAAGCGGCCACAGTTGGTGTTAAATCCATAAAGTTCGCATCCAACTCAGCAATAGCATTAGGGAGATCGTTCATCCGTTGTTCTTCAGAAGGCACGCAGACGCAGCCGCCTCTCTGAAGAGTAGTGAACATCTCTTCAAGGGAGTTGTCGAATGTGTAACTGGCAAACTGGAGGAATCGCGAGCCTGGCCCTATACCAAGATTGGTGCCGTGAGCATTGGCGCTTGTTACCATTGCTGCGTGCTCCAGAACGACACCCTTTGGCCTCCCAGTACTACCGCTCGTGAAGATGACAAATGCTGGATTTTGCGGTTCGACTGATGTGCAAGCCGGCCCATTCTCGTGCGGCAAATCATCTAGAAGAATCGAATCTACAATAACAACGTTGGGAACTATATCTTCGAAAAGCTCCGAGCGAGCAGCCGACGTCAAAACTACTTGTGCTCGAGTATCTTCGATGCGAGATTCTAAAGCGGGCTTCGGGTGATTAGCATCAAGAGGGACAGCTGCACCCCCAGCCTTGAGAACTGCCAGCATAGCGATCACCGCGAAGGAGCTCTTGTCGAAGCAGGTAGGTACAAAGACCTCGGGCTCGACGCCAAGCTCAACGAGATAGTGTGCGAGGCGATCAGCAGCCGAGTTTAGCTCAGCGTAAGTGTAATCGCCGTCGAACCCTCGAATAGCAAGCGCACCAGGAAACGCCTGAACTTGGGAGTCGAACCTGTGATGTACACATTCGTCCAGAGTTTGAGGCAAGATATTCCAATTGAGAATCTGTTGCCAGTGCTTAGTACTTAAATAGTCTAGGGAAGAGAGATCCTCGTTAGCGTGGAAAACGATGATTTCCAATGCCCGAACAAAAGTGCTTGCAACATTTGCTGCCTGGCCCTCGGAAAGATGGTCTGTCCAGTAGTCGAGGTCGGCTATAGTAACTTCTTCAGTGACTTCGATGTTTAGTGAAACAGGATATTCTGTAGGATCCTGCAAAGGTACAACCTCTATGAGCCGGAGGCCTGCGCCCTCAGCATCATAATTTGAAGAAATTCTTCGATATGACAAGGCAGTGTTGAATAGAGAAGCGCCTGATAGCTGCATAGTGTGCTGGACTTCTGCCAGAGAAGTATGTCGATGTGGAAGACTATTCAGGTAGTCTCGTTGAACATCGCAAAGAACGTCCAAAAGGCAATGTGGGCCATTTGAAAAGTTCACACGGCAGACGAGGGTATTGATCAAAGGGCCGACAATGTCTTCTACTCCAGGAATGTCTTCTGCGTCTCTTGCAGAGGTGAGATATCCGAACGTGACGTCGGTAGATCCTACATAGGAACTCAACGTAAGACCCCAGGCGGCGTGGAAAATATTTGATAGGGTGATACTGTGAGTGTGGCAGAAATTCTGGAGATCTAGAATGTTGAGGCTGCCAAAGTCTAATCGGGTTGAGAGTAGCTTTCTTTCCGCCGAGACACCGTCATTGAGGACCGGGAATGAACAGATTTCGCTACCGCTGAGATAGGATCGCCAGTATTCGAGACTAGGATTTACAGGCTGTTCCATCAAATATGCAATATAATTGCTGTATAGTGGACCGTCTTCACTAAGAGAGCCATTGTAGGCGGCACGAAGATCGTGGAATAGTAGGCCCATTGAGTGACCGTCCATAATGGCATGGCTGATTTCGAGGCAGCAGAAGAGCCTCCCTGTAGTTGTGCTGCAGAGAGTGAAGCGATGTGGTGGGCTCCGTCTGTTATCATAGCTGACCAAGCATTGCCTCTCCAGTATTTGCATGGCATGTTCCTCGTCATCGCAATCAAATTGAATAACGTTTGGATTAGCTCTCTTGAGCACAACCTGGGCGTATAAGCCATCTTCGGGTGAGACATTTTCAAGAAATATTGTGCGAAGCGATGAGTGCCGTTGAGCGACTTTCTTCCAAGCATCAGCCAGTCGCTGCCGCTCTGGTACAGCATGCGATAACGTAACCTCATAGGTAGTTACGGCAGCATAGAATCCAGCATCCTTGGTCTGGGAGAGGAGTATGCCTTCCTGCATGCTAGAGCAAGGATAGACTTCTTCGATGTCTGTCTCAAAAATACCAAGATTTGCAAGCCGGCGAAGCATCGATTGGAAACGATCCTCCGTCAAAGAGAGCAGGGGAAAGTCACTTAAGGTCGGTTCCGGAGGTATCAAGGCCAGATTTTCAGTCATGTGCTTCAAGACTTCGCGAGAGCTGGATATCCATTGCCGGATGCACTCCTGGTGGCGCATGTGGCGGTTGAATGTGAACGCGAAGCGGAGGCGACCCTTAAAAATGATGGCCGATATTTCGAAAAGGCCGAATCGGGGTGCATGATGTCCAACGTCAGCTGTTCCTCCAGCCTCCCGAGTCTCTCCGGCCATGCTCTCTAGAGGTTGAAGGAGAGCATCAGATCGCTCAAGTTGCTAAATGTGGCGTTAGTAACACTAGTATTGTTTCCACATAGCTGTGGAGAAATTTGAATATTGAATTGTGAAAGGTGGATCGGAGCACGTAGTAGGCTCTGCACTAACAGGCCAGGCTTGAGTATATTCGGGAGGGGGCAGGAGCTTGCTAAATTGGAAGGCAAGTTTTTGAAGATAGAGGGCAAATAGACTGTGCATTTTCTGCAGTAGCATACCTGATATTGGCCGAGGTAGTTAAAAGAGATTTCCATGGGCCAATGATTTTTGAAATACTCCTGGCCCTCAGGTGTGAGGCATCTGCGAGCGAAGTACGGCCGACCATTCGCTGGGATCTGCCTGCGGAAGTCTTTGACACGGCGAACGGTCCCGATGGGGTTTTCGTGGGGCTGAACAAAGATGGGATACACTATGTTCCTTTATCAGCGATTGTTTTCCAAATCCAAAATATTAGGCAATATCTACCAGTGGTGAACCACCCAATAGTGCGGGAGACGTCAATGTCCGAGTTCCACGGTTCGCGTCCGTGTCCTTCGTTGAATATAGCGGGAATTGGACGATCGTTGAAGGCTTTTGGCCAAGCATGAATTAATGCAGCTAACAGGACTTCTACAGGCTCTGTCCGAAGTGAGTTGTGACACTCATTCAGAAACATTGAGGTAAGTTCTGTGTCTAGCTCAAAGCTCTCGTGCCCAGAATTCCCATATGTGTTATCGGTAGACTCGATTCCCCAATAGGTGAGGTCCAAAGAAGGTATCTCAGCAGAATCAGAGGGTAGCAACCGTTTGAGATGGAGTGTGTCAGCTTGATCCTCTTGGAGCCGGCACCATTTCTGGAATGGAATGGTTTGGGGAAGAAGACTATCACCTCGTAGGATGTCCTCCAGTTCCTCCAGTAATAATCTCCACGAGACCAGATCTATCACAAGATGATTTGCAACGAGAAAGGTGTGCTGCTCATCACCGAAGTCGAAGAGATCGGCGGCGAAAAGTGGTCCTCGTTCGGGATTGAGACATTTCTGCGAGTCCTCTATTCCGTCATCTATCTCGCTTTTCGTGGACACCACATGATGCCGAAATCGGAATGAGCCTTGAATATCGTCGGTGACACATTGTTGCCAGCCATTGACATTTGATAATTGAAAACGCGCTCGAAGCATGGAGTGACGAATCACAAGCTTCTCAATAGCCGTTCGAAAATCCTCTTCGGTAGTCCTCGAATTGATTTTTAAATAGAAGGATTGATTAAAGTGGCCATGTCCTTGGTTGGGAAGCTCGAACCACAATGATTGTATAGGTGAGAGCTTGAACGGGATGTCGAGATCCTCGGCTAAGTCGTCAGATGAACTCTCAAATTTCTTGACAGTCGAGGCGAGCTGTGAGATTGACTTGCAACGCAGGATATCCTGAACTGCCTTAAAGGTAGTTAGCACGTCTCCTGAGTTATTTGGTGTTTTCATACTCACCAGACCAAGGCCTCGCTTTCGGCACTGTGCCATGACCTGCATTGCAGATATCGAGTCCCCACCCAGAGAGATCCAAGATCGGCCTATCGTGATTTGCTTCTCTGGGAGGTTAAGAACATGTGACCATGTAAATCTCAATATTCTCTCGACGTTGGTGGCAGGCTCGTGTTGGGAAAAAGATTGATGGAACGCGGGTATTGCCCTCTGGTAGAGTTCAGGTGTCATATCAGCCAACCATTGTGTAACCTTCTTCCGGTCGAGTTTCCCAGATGGGAGCAGAGGTAACGCATCCACGGCGATCCAGACCGATGGGACCATATATTCCGGAAGTCGTTTGTAAAGTCGAGCTCGGATATTCTCGATCTCAGAGTCTTGCACAGCCTTATCTGAGCCTTCTAAAAGAGCCAGCGGAATGCCTTGCGCTGAGAGTTGAGCAAGAGAGAGGACAGAGACAAGGCGTCCTTCACAATACCCACTTTTGGGAAGCATGACAAGTACATGCCTGATGGCAGGATCTATGTTAATGTTGTGTTCGATATCCAGTAATTCAATGCGTTGTCCGTGGTATTTCTAAGGGGTGGGTCAATATGTCATTCGCTAGTAGACTGCTTTGAATGTAACTTGCCACCTGGTTATCTTTTCGTCCCACATAGTTAAAACTACCGTCTAGATTCTGCACTACAAGGTCACCAGTGAGATATCCGCGGAATTGGTGATCCCTGGACCACTTGGGATCGTGAATGAAAGCCTGGGAAGTTCTCTTTTCATCGTTCAAATATCCACGAGCGATGATATGGCCCTCGATCAAGAGCTCTCCAACACATCCAATGGGCAATACTACGAGAAATTGTTAGTTATGGGAATTAGCCCCTGTAGTTCTAGCACACTTACGTTGGTGATAATTTTCAGGGTTCACAACCCATGCTCGGCAACTTATCGGGTACCCGATGTTCTTAGGATCATCGTTCGCGGTCATCCGAGAATGAATTACGGCGGCAACAGAGCACTCACTCGGGCCATATCCATTAATCAGATTAATCTGGGACCATGTCTCCAGATTTTTTCGAGACATCGCTTCTCCCATGAGTACAATTGTGGTCAGGCTTGGAACCATGCTAGGCTCAAGGAAACGCACAAACGTTGGAGTCAATTGGACCCAGTTGACCTGCATCTCGTTGATGACCTTGGCTACATCGTTGAGACGCGCTTGCTCATCAGGAATGCAAACAGTGCCGCCAATCATCAGGGGGGTAAGGAGTTCAATGATTGACGCATCGAACGAGTGTGCAGCGAACTGAAGGGCCCGAACCGGAATGTTTGAATCTAGTCGTAGAGCAGTAATATGGCCTTTGGCATTGGTACAGAAGTTTCCATGCTCGACCAACGTAAGTTTTGGTTTCCCAGTGGTTCCAGAGGTCGGGATGATGTACGCAGCATGGTGGCTTTCCGAGCGCGGTCCTGGATATTGAGTTGGGGGCGATAGCGATTCTAAGGACAGGCAGTCGACAGGAAAAGAGTTCTCAAAGACAGTCGTAAGAAAATCAACGTGTTTTCGCGAGCAGAGAAGAATATTTGCATTGGTGGACTCGACCAGATACTGGAGGCGTTGCTTTGGATTTGCAGGATCAAGTGGCAGGACTATACATGGTAAGGTCAGCTCGTGTTAACGTAAGCAAAGTTCTTGGCAGACTAGTATCCCTGCCACTGCATGGAGATTGTATGGGGAACAGTCACTCCATATTAGCACATATAACGGAAAATGATAAGGGTATCTCATATCAGATATTTGCATTCTGCTAAAATCCTCTGTGATTGCCGAAAGAGGTTTAACAGATTACCTTCACCCAGTTCAAGTTCCATGATATGGACCAGTATGCAGTAAGGATTTTGATGCTTGGATGAAGACTTACAAGCTCCGCCAGCATACAAGACTGAAAGCATGGCAACTAAATTCCATTTCGATTTCTCGAAAAAAAGAGGAACGATCACTTCAGGACCGACGCCTTGGTTAATGAGGTGGGAAGCAATGCGGGAGGCATGATCGTGCAGGTCTTGATACGACAGGGAACCGTCCCAGGATGCACATGCTTCGTTTTCCGAGCACCTCTGCATAGTCTCGCGAATGACCCCATGGATGGTCTGTTTGACTTGTTCCAGCGGCTTTTCGTTCCATTTCTCTAGCTGAAGCCTATTGCGGTGGCTCAGGAAATCAGTATTTCCAACCAGGGTCGCCGAAGAAGTGAGAATGTCGGAGAGTATCTTATCCATTGTGCCTGCGATATTCTTGGCGTGGCTCGTAGGTATCGAGGGATTTCGATATTCAAGGAAAATGCTAATTCCAGATGTAAGAACTTTAACTAGCAGACGGATAATGCACTATTGCTTGTTAGTTTGGTAAGAGGGGTGTAACGAGGGCCTACCTGTTCAGACATGGACGTATTGTGCGCTGTATTGAATGGTAGGCTCCCTTGCGAGCTTGCGAACTTTCCTCCAAAACGGATCAAAACGGAGGTATTGAACTTCTGCGTGCTGCACCCCACATCATCCACGGTACATTGACGACTTTGAGCAAGCTGAACAAGCTGTTCCAGAGTCATGTCTTCTCCAATGGATAGAGCCTCAAACATGTGAGCACTATCGTATTGAGCGCGCACATAGGACGCAATTCCTAAGTCCTCATATCCAAAGCAAACATCATTCGTGCCAGCGTAGCAGCGTAAGAGCAGCGCCCAGGATGCTCTAATAACAGCAGTGAGCGAATCGTTCCCTTTCTCATTCTCGAGAATGTCCTGCAGCAGCTGGCCATGCTGCAATTCAACTCGGACAGACAGGGGTCTTTTGGTCGCTGCCCCTATTGCCCCAGAGGCTGGGAAAATACAATTATTCATGGCACCTAACGTCGTAGCCATTATGATGGAGTACCGAGCTGTACGTCAGTAAAAATGTTGTGCTGAAGAATTCTTACCAAATAGCAGTTATGTTTCTTGAATAGGATCAACCGGCCTTCCGATAGCTTGCGGAATAAAGATTGGGACCAAAGGGATCTAGGTCCAACAAACTGAGCGGACTAATTGATGATCAGGTGAAAGTATAAGCTGATGTACTCGTCGAAGCTAACGAGTAGAAAGCTTAAAGGCAGATTCTAAAACTAGGTCAGCAAGAAAGGCCGTAACCCATAGCCCTCTATATGGGTCTCCTAGGGCAATCTCACATTCGGCACTAAGGAGTTACAACCCTCCTGGTGTGCTCTGAGTGGAAATGATATGCACAGCTTGGGAGATTGCGGCAGCAAAGATGGCTACTTAGACGTTCTATTACAGCTCCCGTATTCATGAGAAAGCAGCAAACTCTGCTAGTTCTTCCGAAATACTGGGGAGGTTACTCTATCCTAGTCTTTGCCTCTCAAACTGAGTTTCTGTGGTCCGCTCCTAAAAAATTGCCTTCTATGAAGTCATCGCCAACTGGCGGTTCTCTTAATGGTTGCGGACTCCGGTAGCAGTGCATATCGCATGCCCAAAGCTCTACGGGTAAAGGACTATCGTGGGGGAGCATGGAGAGGGAGTTGGATGAGTTGGTTGGCAAGCTAGGGGAGCTGCAGTAGAAACGACAGATCGGCATTGCTACTACACAGTATGTAGATGTCAGCCTACCGACCCTCTGTTGATCAGCCGTCGTAAATGCCGATCACGCTTCATGACCATGTCATGAATTTTGTCGAGGGCGTGAGGCTCCGTCGGGCGTTGCCGGCATTATGCCCGAAGAAGGCGGGAAGAAGCACAGTGGGTAGTAAATTAAAGTTAATTGAAGGCGTACATGCATCCAGCGTCGCCTCCAAAACTAGGTGTAGCGCTAAAGAGAGACGCAGTGGAGTTGTTGTGAGCCCAAATGATTGACACACTAGGGCCCGTGCGCCTGAGGGGCAAGGGTTGGAATTCGATTGGTTGGGAGATGCAGCCCACGTGACAGCAATCATTTCACCCAGGATCTCAGCCAAGCTGCCGATGCTAGCCCCAAGACATGCATCGCATGCGGACTGAACGCCTCCGTACGTTGTTAGAATCGCACAACGTCGATAGCTTCGCGTCAACCACCCAGTCGGTCAGCATGACAGCTGCCATAGGCCTCCGATTTCCTTGATCGTCATTTATTCGGAAGCATTCGGCGCCCGCTTCCACTTCCCCTTTCAAGCGCCCGCCCCATTCTCCGCACTCATCCTGCTGTGTCTCGTCCAGCCCCTGGTTTTTCTCCCTTCCGCCACGCCCCCAGGTCCCAATATTCGCAGGACCTTGCCACTACCTAGGAAGGTGCCGTTGCCATGCTGGCGGCTTCACGGGACCTCCGGACTGCCTATCCCTGGTCTCGACACCAGCGACTGCTCCATCAGACAGATCATCAGGTTGCTCTTTTCGGTGCCGACCGTGCACATCCCTCGCCAGGGCCTTGTCCAGAATCCGGCTTTCGAGGCCTCGTATTTCCGGCGCGCTGGTTCCGCTCCACAAATCAATCCCCGGCGAGAATTCTCTGAGATTCATGACCATACAACGTCCAACGCCAGTGTCGTTTGTCATTCCGCTCGCAATTGACACCAAGATGAGATCATCGTTGACTTGTTCTCAAATTACGGCTAGCCTTCGGCGTTTCATTCTGCAGCCTGCATCCACTGTGAAGCTCTTTCAGCCTGAAGAACAATGTTGAATTCCAAGCCCAAACCGGCGAGCCGTTCGATGATTTAGGACGGTCCCAGCACGCCACCAGCATCCACTTTCCTGATGTGTGGCGCATTGTGGGGTGCTTTGTCCTACTCGGAGTTTACCACTCCTAGAGGTGGTGATCCAGGTTTGAGGGACTCATTTTAGCCATATGAACGTGGCTTATTCTTAGATCTCCTCGATTGATTCTTCTCTGAAAAGTCTTCCTGTTGTGAAACCAGGACCAACGCACCATGGCGTCAAGAGATATACTTTTCAAACGTTAGGTTTTTCACACAAGCTGCCATTCTGTGAAGACGGCAAGAACAGCATTGCACTTAGGAGGTAGTCATAAGCTCTTCTGTTCATTCGTCATACTGATCTTGAACATGGAAATCAAGGCCGGCTTGGTGGACTCTATCCTACCATCCTGGGTCCACGAAACAACTCTATGGAGGCCTTTCAAGATCTCAATGTGTACAAAGGCCTATCCCCCACGGGTTTTCAAGTGAGTTGTCAAAGTTTAACTTAATGCCCACGTCAGAGCTGTACGTTTCATCACTCACCTGCCATGCAGGATATGCTGGACCGTTACATGTGGACGGTGCAGCCTATGGGACTCTCTTCCTTTCGAACATTGTGGACAGGGTTTTCAATTCCCGTTTGTAACCGTGCTTTGGGTTTCGCTCAATTTCCTTTACTGGATTTCCGGTTCCCTTCCTCGTAATCTCCGCCAATTCGTATCACAAATTGTTTTTCCTGCCTGCTCAAGCCATCCATCTTGGCTACAGTAGCTGCTTTACAATTCCGCTAGTGCGTTGCTCCTTCTTTCAGATCTTCAATCCAGTACTAACAGGATTCATTTTTCAGTTCAACGTCGATCTTTCCTTGGGTGCCACTGGCCCATCCTAATGGCCAACCCCAGTTTAGGTGGGTAGGCAACGAAGTTCTAAGCAAATGTTTAGAGAGTCCCACCATGAAACCAAATGGAAGTTGAGTTAACTTTGTTGCAGGCTAGTTCCTATCATTAAATATACACACAATCTGTTAAACCTGTTACTATGACGAAAGAGGGCTCCAAAGGGAAGCAAACCCCGACATGCTCCACATTATGTGATAAGATGCAGTAGATCTGTCACAGACATCACACCACAAGCTCCTTCCGATTCTTGCACTCAGCATGGTGCAATGCCAGACGCGGTCATCTGTACCAATGGCTTTAAAATTTTACCTTTCTGGACTTCACTATGACGATCGGTCTGTAGAATACGAGGTCAACTAGCGTGCAGCAGAATCATGAGAGTAAAGGCTGCGAGGGGACAACAGATGGCATCAGACCCCTATTCAGCAATGCAACCTCAATCTCGAATACCTCGATATTCCGACTTCGGTGGAAGGCTTCAACAGAGTTTTCGGAGTTTGGTGCTAGGAGCAAGGCCCTTGGGAGGTCTGGCTCGACGTGATCGACGGTCAAGAACGATGTTAGAAGCCCCATTATAGCCATCGGGCTGGCTGTGTGATCATAGCATAGGCGTTGAGTCTCGGGTTTGATGTTCAAACAGCAGCGCCGATCAGAAGATCAGTTAAAGGATGGCGTGACGGGAGCGCTTTCCAGCAATTAAGTCTGAAATCCACGTTCCTGAGCGGCTCCCCGCGAATCGGCACCTCTGCAGCATGGTAGATGTGGCTGCCGATCCTTACTACGAAAGCGGAAAAACATCATACGGGTCTGTATGAGCAATCAATTTGCGCTGGCCAACGGAAACCTGCCACCATACTTGTTTGTTCTCCACTAGGAGGCGGAATATACGGCACCCACTGCGCATTTGCCGTCGAGTCCCTTCCTGCACATACTTTTTCTTTACCAGGAATTGAAAAATCAGCTGGGCCAGCGGATTGTCTTTTTACCCTTGACTGGGACAAGGGGCAGCCAATCACTTGTGAGGTGGGCGATGCTTAGTGTTGCTCAATCCAGAACTACGAGCCATTACTTGTCTCGGACCGTTAGTGATATGCTCAAGCATCAGCTTTGACTCCTGTCCCCTTCGTCATGGTACGGCAATTTGTTTGTCTATTCATGGGATCATCGTCAGCATGATCCCGGTCGAAACTCTCCGTCTGGGTTTCCAGTTGCTTGCCACCGCCTCTGAGGTTGATGTGCCAGTTTTAATGCCATGCCAAAGGAGGATCGAACCAGCACCGGTTTAACAAGTCAGTCGGGGCATGCTTGAGTCCTAAATTGTGAACCCTCAAGTCCCATAATTACTCTATCTAATGCCCTGTGTGGAGCCTTCCAGAGAGGTAATTGATTTTCTCAGGGCCCCCGATGGCATCAAACTCTTCTCGATCTTGTGTCGCTGTCGACGACAGCTTCGGTCCATACGCCGGGGAGCAGTGTCGTGGAGGATTTGACTTCACCCTACTTTTCGAGGACACTATTTTCTGCATACTTCCCCTTATACTAGTTTTTTGTATGGCACCTTTCAGAATCTTCTATCTCAGGCGAAAACGTACCAAAGTCTCCAAGTCTCTACTCCTACCTACAAAGCTGGTACGTTGTCCCTCAAATAAAGTGTTGGCTCGTCGTTGACCGTGCTCTCCCAGTTGGCATGGTGCTTTCTCGCCGCTTTCGACCTCAGTCTCCTGATCCTCTGGCTTAAGCCGCTCACTAAAAGGACGAGTGCATCGGTAGCTTCAGCCATAATCAGCGTTGTAGGGGCACTTGTTCTCTGCCTCCTATCATACTTTGAACACCTGCGATCTGTTCAAACATCTTTTTTACTCAACGTATATCTCCTCGTTACCGTTGTTTTCGACGCTGCTCGCTCTCGAAGCTTCTCTCTGGATAATAACTTGGAGTCGATATCAGTCGTCTTCACCACACGAGTGGGAATCAAGGTTTTCTTGGCCATATTTGAAGCGAAAGGCAAGAGAAGTATTCTGCTTCCGGAGTATGCTGAAACTCCTCTGGAAGCCACTAGTGGGATCTACAGCCGAGCGTTCTTCTGGTGGCAAATCGGCCTATTTCGGCAAGGTTTCTCAAACACACTTTCGGTGGACAATCTCTTCCAATTGGATAAGCATTTGCGCTCCGGCTTCCTGCTGCAAGTAATTCAGTCTGCCTGGGAGGAGTGTATGTCACTCTTCGCCCTGTTCATGAGATTCTCGCTAACATTTCCCTATCGAAAGTGACCTCCAGGCAAACAAACTCTCTCTTCGCTTTGACGCTGAAAAAGCTCAAATGGCCTCTAATGGCCGTGGTTCCCCCAAGAGTCTGTTTGATTGCATTCAACTTCTGTCAGCCTTTTTTAATTCATAGGGCAATCGCCTATTCTCAGCAACCTGACATGAACCAAACTTCGAACATCGGCTATGGTTTGATCGGCGCATATGTTCTTGTATATGTTGGGATCGCGGTAAGCACGCCCCATCTTTGGATCAGCGCTGATCCACGCTGCCGGTGTCTCTAACGTTTGATAAGATTTCCACAGGACAATATCAGCATCTCACCTACAGGGCCATTACCATGATACGAGGCGGCATGATATCGATGTTGTACAAAAAGGCAATGGACATCGATCTGGCCGCCGCCGCAGATCCTGCCTCATCGCTTACGCTCATGAGCGCAGACGTCGAACGAATTGTTCAGGGTATGCAAACAGCGCATGAGATATGGGCCAACTTTTTGGAAGTAGGCCTGGCGATATACCTCCTTGAGCGACAACTAGGCGCTGCGTGTGCGATTCCTATCGCCGTTGCTGTTGGTAAGTGTATTCGTGAGTTCAAGTAGTCCAGGTGGTTGAGATATCTAACATACTCCGCAGTATCTCTTGTCGGCTCATTGGGTGCTACGAGCCTCGTTATGCAACGCCAAGCACTGTGGCTAGAGGCCATCGAAAGACGCATCGCCGCCACAAGTGCAATGCTTGGTTCAATGAAAGGCGTTAAAATGTGTGGCCTTACAGATATTCTACGAGATGATCTACAACACCTTCGTGTTGATGAGCTAGAGATCTCAAAGAAATTTCGTAAGCTTCTTATCTGGACGATGGGTTTTTGTAAGTTTGCCACAACTTTCTGTTCTGAGCTAATTAATTAAAGCCTACATTTCACCTATTGTGTCACCCATCCTCACCTTCGCTATGTTCTCTGTGATTGCACGCAACAGCAGCGGCCACACAACCCTCGATACATCAAAGGTGTTTACTTCACTGTCGCTATTTTCGCTGTTGTCGGAGCCTCTGGGCTCGCTCATCATGGCCCTTGCTGGATTCATGGGCGGTGTTGGATCATTCCAAAGAATACAAGACTTCCTATCGGCAGAGCCTAGGCATGATGCACGTAAGTTGCTATTATTACATAGCAGTATCGGTTCATCTTCGGATTTTGGGGATGGATCCGACAAGGGCTCGACTGAGTCACAGAAGAGCCGCGTCTCAATAGAAAACCGAGATCGTAGCTCCTCCAGCACCCAAGCAATTATCATTGAAAAGGGGTTCTTTGGGTGGGACAAGGAAAAGCACCCATTAGGCTGGCTACAGTCGATCAACATAATAGTCCCACGAGCCAAACTTACCATGGTCGTGGGTCCGGTAGGGTGTGGCAAGTCGACTCTTCTCAAGGCTGTTCTGGGTGAACTCCCGGTAATGGGAGGCCTCATCCAGCTCTCCTCCTTACGCATCGCATTATGCGATCAGACGCCATGGCACATTAACGGCACCGTGCAGCAAAGCATAGTGGGGGTGTCTGAGTTTGATCAACGATGGTATGCATCCGTAGTCCGTAGTTGCGCATTAGATGATGATCTATGCCAATTACCTGCTGGAGACCAGACCCAAATAGGAAGCAAGGGCATCGCTCTGAGTGGCGGACAGAGCCAGCGTATAGTGAGACACCCCAATATTAACCCCGCCTTTTACCCCCCTTAACATTACTAACATCGCACAACAACAGGCCCTGGCGAGAGCCGTTTACGCCCAGAAGGACATCATAATTCTCGATGATTGTCTTAGTGGCCTGGACACACAAACTGAAAACAAGGTCTGGCATAGCCTCTTCGGACGAGATGGCCTCCTCCGACGATGCCGATCCACTGTTCTCATCGCTTCATCATCCAGTAAGCACCTTAAGTCGTCAACTGCGTTTCTTCTTCACCGAGTCCAGTAACTAATCCACCGCTCAAACTTCCAGCCAAGCGCCTCCCTTACTGTGACCACATCGTAGCCCTTGATAGCAACGGGAGGATTGCAGAACAGGGTGGGTTTGATGCTCTCAACCGGTCTGGAGGCTACATCTCGAGCTTCGACTTGCCGCAGCCTGACTGGGATTTTATGCCTGAGAAGCACTTCTACGAAGCTCCCCCGAGATACACTGAGCATGCAACTTCCCAAAGGGTCACGGAGGATGACATCCAAGCCGAGGCCAATCGGCGCACTGGCGATACCGCCATCTACCTCTACTATGTTAGGTCTGTTGGGTGGATTCCGACGATTATTTTCATCGTTTCCATCACCATCTTCATCTTCGGTATCTCTTTTCCAAGTAAGTTGTCCTATCCCCTCAATTTTGAATATTATGTCTGCATTTGCTCTCATCAGTTTACTGGCCCGAACGTACATTTCCCCGACTACTAACACGCCTTCTACTAGCCATGTGGGTAAAGCTCTGGGCGAGCTACAATGTCCATTACCCTAACGGCCGGCTTGGCTACTATCTGGGGATATACTCCATGCTTGGTGGCATAGCTTTCATCTTCTTGATCGTTAGTTGCTGGTAGGTCTACCCTCTCCTTGAAGCGAATACCCTGCTAACTACGGTTGAGGCAACTGATCATAACAATGGTCCCTCGGTCTGGTGTCAATTTCCACTGGAAGCTCCTTACTACAGTACTCCAGTAAGCATATTTCTATCTCAATTTTGCGAGTTCCAGCTAACTTTCAAGCTCTCCAATGACGTTTTTCTCAACAACGGACACAGGCGTTACGCTCAACAGATTCAGTCAGGATCTCCAGCTGATTGATATGGAGCTTCCAGTCTCAGCTCTAAATACGTTCGCAAGTAAGAGGCCAATCCATGCCATTTAACACCTGAATTGCGCTAAAGCGAAATTTCAAGCTTTCGTCCTTTGTATCGGACAAATGACTCTCATCGCCATCGCATCTCCCTTCGCCGCAATCTCTTTCCCAGTCGTCTTTGTCAGCCTCTACCTAATCCAGAAATTCTACCTTCGCACGTCGCGCCAATTGCGGTTTCTAGACCTCGAAACCAAATCCCCTCTCTACACCCAGTTCACCGAGATACTTTCGGGATTAGCTACAGTGCGTGCATTCGGATGGCAATCTTTCCTCGAAGAGAAAGCGCGCGACTTACTTGATCGCAGCCAGCGCCCCTTCTATCTTCTGTTTGCCGTCCAGCGCTGGCTTACACTCGTCCTAGATCTTGTAGTCGCGGTCATGGCTGTATTACTTATCATTCTCGTCGTTACGCTTCGGGGTAAACTTAGTGCTGGCTATGTTGGTGTTGCGTTGTTGAACGTCATCCTCTTCTCCCAAAGTGTCAAGCTTCTCATCTCATTTTGGACGCAGTTGGAGACTCATATCGGAAGCGTCGCAAGGATCAAGACTTTCACTACGGATACCATGAGCGAGGATTTAGAGGGAGAGGATCAGATTCCTCCCCCGAATTGGCCTAGCGAAGGAAGGATCGAGTTCAGGAATATTAGTGCTTGTTATCAGTAAGTGCGGATCGCTCGCTCCTAGCACATTTCGTGGGCAAACCCGCTGATAGGGGTGGCCAAGTTCTTACGAGCCTGTCATTAAGAAGTTCTCTCTTTCCATTAAACCGGGAGAAAAGGTTGCTATCGTAGGTCGCACAGGAAGGTAAGCCCCCAACTTCTCCCGTCCTGTCTGCCATCCTTCCAAATACTAACAACATATACAGTGGCAAATCCTCCCTCGTCCTGACCCTTTTCCGCATGCTTGACCTCTCCGCCGGTAGTATTCATATCGACTCTATTCATTTGCACCACCTCCCTCGCCAGACTATTCGCACGCGACTCATTGGCCTGCCTCAAGATGCCTATCTACTTCCCGGATCAGTCCGCCTTAACGCCGATCCACCCAAACAAAGCACTGATAAGGCTATCATGCAGGCGTTAAAGGACGTGCAACTCTGGGATATCGTGGTGAGTAAAGGGGATGAGAGTAAGTATGCTCACCCGCTGGATGTAGAGGTCGAAGATTTGCATTTCAGCCATGGGCAGAGACAGTTATTCTGTCTAGCAAGGGCAATTTTAAAGCGGGACAAGGGGAATGTAGTTGTGCTTGATGAAGCTACGAGCAGGTATGTCCAGCGTTATTCCTTCCTCCCATTAGTGGGCTATCACGAGCCCTCGTACATCCCGATTGCAGTTAATTCCAACACTAACGCCTTCTCCTAAGTGTCGACGCTCAAACAGACTCGCACATTCAAAAACTCCTCCGCTCAAAATTCACCTCTCACACTATCATCGCCGTCGCTCACAAACTCGAAACAATCCTCGACTTCGACAAGGTCGCAGTCATGCACCACGGCCAGCTCGTCGAATATGGTGAACCATATAAGCTACTTGACATCGAAGGTAGTTGGTTTAAGGGACTATATGAAGACGTTACTAAGGTGGGAGAGGATGGCTCGGCAATTGGTGACGTTATTAGCGTCGCGCATTGATGCCGGCGTTGGAGGGGAGTGAGTGGAAATATTTTCGATTCGTTATCGTTCTGTTCTTTCTTTGCATTTTTTGTTGCAAAATATATGCAGTCGCTAGCTTACACTCGCTTTCTTCGCATGCTGCTTTCTTTGGCAAGTACATGGACATAAGTTGATAGCCTAGTGGATGACGATAGGATTGTACGCGCATGTTTCCTAGCGTAATATAGCAATGCACAGTTGATATACGCTTTAATTAGTGAGCCCACACACGTACCTGTCCAACAAATTTTAGAAAGCTACCTTTTCAACATCCTACACCATCTTACCAATCTACTTACCAAGCGACCGCTCAGCCAACGATCTCAACTATTACCCCCTTCCCTCCACTATCGGGCTCGGCCTTAGAATTTCGCAGTAAGCACCCACTTCCTTCAAGTCCTCTTCCATCTCCCTTAATATGCCTGAATCAATCGCCGCAGCAATAACCAAACTGCCCTAAATCCAGCGCCGCCATCAGCAATGCTTCCAATACCCCTAACAACGGAACAACCATCGCCAGCCATGCCAGTGCAGCACATATCCCTACCGCAAGGGATCTCCTTTTTTTGAATTTCCAATGGGCACATCAATTGGCATCCGGGTTTTTACTCCCACAGCTTTCAAGAGATCCATAAATCCCATATCTCTAGTTTTTATTGCTGATAGACATACTTCATATCGAGGATTTTATTCTTACTGCAACTGGGAGAGTAATGTTGACTCCAACTGCGAAATCCAGGTTTGTGGAGATTACTGATTCTATTCCTGCCAGGGGAGACAGCATTCGTCGCTTGATTCATATTTTGATTCCAACCCAAGAATCTCAAAGAGCGTCACATACCCTTTCCCATTCAGTTTTATTCCCATTAGGCGAAAGAGCCATATTCAAGATTTGGACTACTCTTTATTCCAGACTGAGCTCTCGTAGACGAGCATCTTGTCTAGTCGCTGCGATTCTATTTCCACCAGGTTAGCCAGCACTTACAGGATCTTTTATTCTAACCCAAGAATCTTAGAGACAACCATGTGTGCCTCCACATTAACTCCTATTCCCACCCCGTAAGAAGAGTACTCTTCTTCTCTTAGTCACACCTTTCATTCCAACGAGAGCGCAGTGACCCATACAATTTTTTCCAGACAGCTTTATTCCAACCCGGAGCCACGCATTCTGTGGTGCGGGATGTTTTCAGCCGATAAAAGCGACTATGTTTCCATCCCCTCATAATTTTCTATTCGCCAACCGAATACAACCCGCGCCACGTAGGTTGTCAATATCATCATTTTTCATACTCATGGACTGTTGGGTTTTTATTTCGGTCTCCAAGACCCGGCTAGTTGACAGCGGTGATAAGTTTTTTTACTCTAGGCGCTTGAAGGCCATCGTCTAGAGAATTTTAAAAGCCGCACTGACTCCGGCAATCATGGGCGCCCATTTTAACTGTTCTTATTCGTGTCGGAAAGGAATACAGCTTACACACCCTTGGCTTACCCTCTGTTTTAATTCTGATCTCCAAGACCCAGCTATTACCCGTAATACATTCTCAATTCTACTCCCGCAGCATTCGGCTCTTGATTATCATTTTTAGAGGAACCCAGTGCAGAGGAACACACTGGAAGCTACCATGCGTGGTCTCCACCTCTGCTTTGTTCGCGTCGATGAAGAAGACAAAAAAAAAAGCCATGGCGTGCAGGTGTCCGGTATTAGTTCCAATCTCCAGGAACGGCCATGGATCCTTTATCATAGGCATCTTTTACTCCAGAAACATTCGCTCATTCCCTCCAATCTTTTAGAGGTGTGCAGAGAAAGGGTACCACAGCATAAATGTTATCCCCAAGGATTTTATGACTCCGTAAAAGAGTATGGCAAACCAAAGCATATGGACATCACTTAAAAGATTGTGGATTTTATCCCGGCGCCCAAGAATGCCATAGGAATCGGCGCAAAAATTTTTATCATACACATATTTTGTCCTACTCTCGACGAATTTCGAAGGAGTGCGGAGATAGGGTGTGTAACATGCTATTCGTACACGACGTTTTTATTACTCCAGAGATAGAACTATACTGCCCGGTGAATTTTCGAGGAGCGCCGAGGACAGCTAAATAACACAGTTTGTTGGGTTTATTATTTTATTGCTCTAGTACTCGCCAGCGGGCCGGCCCGAGTAGCGTCTATTACACTGTCAAACAGAGCAGACCATCACACAACTATCCGCTCCAATTGCTGCAATTTGATTTCTCGCCGACTGAAGAGATAAAGCCATTTAACTCCTCATCTTGTTATTTTTATTGCGAATTAAGATAAGACAGCAATCAGCTAGGATTATTTTTGATCTTAGAGAAATCCAGGTCGAGCCACATGATTGGTAGCGAATGGAATTTTGCTCCAGACAAAACCGGCCACATAAGGAGATCCTCAATTATTTTTAGAACGAAGAGGATTGGAGTTGTGTGTAGAGGAAGAGAGACTTAAGTCGTATGCAAGAAAGGTTTATATGCCCATGCGGAGGGGGAAAGCATGCGCGCTTCAAGGTGGAGGTGAACAACTTCGGTCACGTGGCTTTTGTGCGTCCTTCGCGGAAGCGCTAACTGTGTCACCGCAAGTGCAAATCCGGCTTAGATCTCCCACCCTAGCAAATAACAAACTTATACACTCATTAATTCTCCTTCTATCTCCTTCTCCTTCTCCTTATCTCCTTCTGCACAGATAACTCTTAGGGGTAACTTACTCAGGATACTCCACGCACCTTTAAATACACCTAATACACCTATAAATTGAAATTTTACGTCTTAAAGCCTGGTGAATTAGCCAAAACTTTGAAAGCCCTAGGTGTGGGCTATTGCGTATACCATCTAACTTTTATTTAAATTGTTAGGTGGTATGCTGAGGTTTGTGGTTCGCTTGCAGGCGACGTAGCGACGGAACTCACCACCACCCAACTAAAGAGCCCAGTATCACCTCACTCAAAGCACCAGATCAGCAGACAAAGCACCAAAAACGTGCAAGTGCATTACCATTCCATTCATCATTATCATCGTCATCGATCTAGTGCAAATGTAATGTTATCTCTTATGCACGCACAAACACACACCTTTTACCCTTAAACTCATAAACGCCAAAACACCCATCTCATTCCATCTCACCCCATCTCCACATCCCTATCACTCCCAGTCCTCTCAGATGCAAAACCTAGCTATCCTTCATCACTCATAACTATCATGCAAGCATCCATCCTCATAAGCATATGGGGAGATTACAAGGGTATGTATGTACGAGTGAGGTAGAAGGATTAGGGAGGAGGGGAGGGTGTCGTGTCGGGAATGTGAATGTAAACATTTAAGGGAACAGGGCAAGTCCAATAGAAAACGCCGAAGAATGGAAATGAAAACAAAGAACAGAACTTGGAGGGAAAGTAAAGAATTATGTACGCCAGAAATGATCTCGTGCATGCACGGAGAAGTTGCTTCGCCTCGCTGAAGTTATATATCTTCCGCATCATCTTGTCCTCCACTTCAGCATCATAGGATCTCAGTCAGATATAACACTACCCACCACATCACACCACTCTCCCCTCCTCTTTTTCATAGAAAAGCCAGGCGTGGCTGATACACACGGGGTGGTCTCAATCATCAGATATCCTTTCAAAAGATCTCGGAATCCAGACTACTCCGATAACTCTCCAGACTCTCAATATCTGTTCGTTCTGCACACATAAAGGGTCAGCCTCAATCTTCATCAATAGACTAAACACAACAAAACCCCTCGTGAACAGAACGGCACAAGACAACATAGAAACTAGGGGATACGATGGGTCTCATAATCCTTACCTTGCGGCAGGAACCCCCCAAACCCCAGAACGCCACAACAAACCCCCCAGCTTGCTTCGCAACAGAGCTATATCCAAACCCGCTCTCCCTAATTAACAGAAAAAAAGGCAGCAATATGTTACGTACCACCAACCGGTTTCCTCCTAATTACTGTGCCCGTTTGATCAAACCCTGGATGGCCACTCAATTTCTGCTGTTCACTTGGGCTTCTGCTTCCCATGGGTCTGGGCCCCGTGATCTTGCGCTGCGGGCTCACCATCGCGGCGGCCGGATTGAGATTTTGGTTATTTGTTGGACGAGGAGATGGGGTGGGGGAATACTTATAAACATTAGTAATCTTCAATCATATATAGTAAGCAGGATTCCGGGGAGGACTTACATGATGTCCTGTATCCGTCTCTAAGCTATATCTGACCTCTTGAATCGGGGCCAGCGGCGTCAAAGCACCCTGGCTTCCAAATTCATTCGGCGAGCTGTACATCTGCCTCGTCTGTCCATGCCCTGCGAGCGGCTGCTGCGGGATCAAAGGACCATCATCTCGAACCTTTGGCGGTCGTGGTGGAGCAGCTGCTTGCTCGGCCGCTGAATGCTGGCTATATCCTCCATCAGAGGAAATTGGAGAAAGATTGCCGGGGCCTTGGCTAGTACCACCACCGGAAAGCCGGTTGCGTGCGAGTGAGGGATTACTGCCCCATTGATCATAGTCCGGCGAACCAATGGGCTCGAAAGTCTGAGCTTGGGATTCGAGGTAATTCTGGTGACGACCAGTCGGACCAGGACGTGGCTGAGGGTGTTGTAAGTTTAGAGAGTTACGATGAGCCTGGTATTTGGGATCATCGAGAACGTATTCTTCTGCGTGGTGTTGCCCCTCTGGGACAAGAGGGGACGGTGATCGGATGGATCCCATGCCTTCTTGCGGAAGGGATGTTGTGGAACGCAGCCTATCGTCGTCTCGAAGCTCATATTGCTCATCCTCGTAGTACGCAACATTGATCTGCGAGCCTGACCTTGAAGCTTCTGAGAATGGTCGCTGAGCACCCGAACCGCCACTGTTCCGAGGCATGCTCTCAGGATTGGTAGAGGCCGTAGTCTTTGACCACCTAGAGATCTTAGGGATACCAAAGATGGACGAAGAGTTCGACTTATGCTTTCGCTTCGGCGTATTATCTTGGCTCTGCGATTCGCGGAATGCCCTGGAGGCTTGCGGAGGAGTTTCTTGGGGCAAAGAGTTCTGTCGACGAGCTTCCTGGGTAGGAGTTGTCATTCGTTCGGTATTCTCGTACTGCTGTCCATCATGGTCGGCAAATTCTTCCGGATCCTCTTCGACGGTACTGATACGATGCGGCTGGTGAACTTCGTAGCCCGACTGGAGATCTTGGATGCGTCTCGAAGACGGGTTGGAGAGGTAACCAGAGTGATTAGGTGAGGAGGCGGTACCAGCACGACCTTCGGGCTCATATCCAGGATCTCCGCTAGCCCTCAAATTTTCATACGACGTAAGGCTGTTTGAACGATTTGCATTCTGAGCCAAGGTCAAAGCATGTGCCTGCTTTAGACCTTCTACTTCGCCGAGCAACTGGATCAGCATCAGCTCAATCTTCTTAATATCACTATCGCCCTTCAAGCTCAAGCCTTTGAGAGCCCGCTTAAAGACATTCTTCCTCTTCGTCTCAACGTCGATATCTTCCGTGGAAGATCGAGGTACTCGTGGGGAGCCAAGGGGTTGTGGACGAGGACCACCCAGGATACGTTGCTCGGCAAGGTCGGTCCTCTTATCGTTCGTATTCACGATCATAGCGTCCTGAGTCCTGATGAACTGCTTCATCTCCTCGAAAGAGTTGCGCATCTCAGCCGCGCTCCGCACCAGGGTGACAAGGATTTCTGTGTCGCGGGCATTACGTTGAGCATCACGAACCGTCAAATGATCCATCAAAGCAACGACATCCTTGGACTGAATGCGATCGATGCCTTTGCCCGTAGCCGAATCGTATAAAGGCGAGGACATTCCATGGGAATTACCGCTGGAATGAGGACCATGCCTGTTGCTCGTAAAAATGTCCGCGCCGAGACCGGTATCATCGTCATATTCACCAAGGCCATCATCATCGAAGAGTTTAGAGCGATTGCGAAATTCAGGCGTGATGCCTCCATGAGCGTTAGCAGACTGGTAACCTTCATCCTTCCACAAGGCCGGACTTCTTGACGGTGTGCGATCCCTCTGAGAATAGGCCTGCTGCTCGTATTGGTGCTCACCTGCATAATCATGACCATAGTCATCTTCCACATTAGCGTGATATTGTCCTTCGTGTGTAGGGGACTCGTCATTTCGCACACGAGCAGCAGCAGCGGCAGCAATAGCAGCAGCTCCAACTCCAGCGCCGAGAGCAGCAACCTTGCCACGGGATCGTGAGGATTGTGAGGGCGTTTGTTCGCGTTCTTCTTGTCGGCTAATTAGATCGTCGGTCTGGTCGTGATATTCTGACCCGCCGTGAGGGCCTTTAATGATTGAAGGGTTCGTGTCGACCTCTGACTCATCATCGATGCCAAATCCCATCTCGGGCTCGTTACCCATGGGGAAGGCAGTTGCGTGCATTTTAGGTGGCTCATCAATGGACTGGGAGAGGCTTTGTCGCGGCGAGTTTGTTGCTTGCGCATTCTCTGCCAGTGTTTGGGCCTGGTCACGGATTGCTCCCCATCGCTCTTTGCTTTGTGTGTCATGTTCCGCCTCCTCAGACACATGATGTTCATGGATAGAGTTCATCGGCGATTTAATATTCTTCTTCAGCGGGCTAGATACCGAGGAGCGAACACTTATAGTGGACGGTTCATGCAGAGAGGCAACTGCAGACTCGACGGCAACAGGAGTATGAACATATTCGGGATTGGAGCCAACTGCCCGAATATCTTGCGCAAGAGATAGCTTATCCTCACTACTGTGAAGATACTGCCCTTCCGCACTGTCATTGGTGTAAGCTGTCGAATGTCGATAGTCGACAAGAGATCCGTCCTGGCTGTTGCTCTCGAGCTCCCTGCGATATATCTCGTTCTGTTCGTGATTCTTTGCGAAGAATTCATCCGCATCTTTTGGAGTCTCTGGTTCACCCAAAATCTCTCGCCCACGTTCAAGGGTTATGCCTTGTGGGCGCTTCCGGGCTTGTGCCATCTTGGAGTCGGGCGAAGGTTCGAATGACTGAATAGACATATTGGATGTTTTCCGCTCAGCTTTGCGTCCTGCTGAGGACATAGAAGCACCACTATGGATGGATCGAAGATGATGTGGAGAACCGGATACCTCCTCCCTGTAACTAGCCTCACTCTGAATTGGGCTGAGACCACGATTAGGAGTCTGCTCATCAATCTCATATTGGGAAACTTGAGGTTCAGTACTCTCAAGCGCACGAGCTTTAGCAGCCGCCGCAGCTTCAAGGCCTGCTGTCGAAACTTCTCTTGATCGTGAGGAGAGACTTCTATCACTCTTTGGGGCTGACATGCTAAGATCTCCCTGTGATCGATTGCTGTGCGCCGTTCCAAATGCCCGCTGGAGAGCAACTGGGGTTCGTGTAGGAGTTCGAGGAGACGGGGACATATATCCACGAGGTACTTGATGAATAGGAGTCTCAGAACCTGTGCCCCTAGAGGATCTGGAGCTAGGCCGGTCGCGGGTTTCGGTCTCGGCGGAAAGAATAGATTCTCGAGTCAATTCGGATCCCTGAAGCTCACTCTGAAGGATTGGCAGAGGAGGCACCGCCATTCTGTCTTGACGACGGTCTCCCTCAACACTCTCAGAGATACTCGCCGTACGGCTTCGACCGCTTCGGCTATGCCGTCTCTTCCTCTCCTTTCGATCTTCCTTCGATTCACGAGAGTCATGGTGTCTAAGCGCAGCTGCAGTCAAGCCGGCTCCCGCGAGCCCAGCTAATGCAGCATCACGAGCAAAATGTCGGTCTTTATCCTTGCTCTTCCGGCGACGAACCTTTTCTTTCTCTTCCTCACGCGTGGAGTCAGCATAGCTGCGATCTGAGACGGAGCCTTTGCTCGATCGGCGTTCTCTACGGCTTGAATTGCCGGAGAGAATAGTGCCTGGGTCATCCCCATCTCTGTTCAGGACAACCTTTGGCTTGTTGCCGGCTATATGCGGAGCACTCGAGGACTTGGACACTCGTCGACGGGAATGATCACGAGAGCTTGTGGACGGGATAGACTCGTATGCGCTCTCGCGAGACATGCGCTCGAATTTACTTCGATTCTGCTGAGTGCGCTGTTCCTCCTTCAAGGCATTCAGCTCAGGCAAGATCAGACGTTTGATAGCATCCTCAACTGTCGCAAGGAGCTTCGGATTGTTGATGGACGAAGCGCCTGATGCGCCTGATCGAATTGAATGAGCGTCGCCAGATCTACGATGAGCGTTAGATGACAACACGCTCGACTCGGTGCCACTAATTGCGCTTATTTCTTCATCGCGAGACCCTTTGCTGGTTCGACGATGCGACTTTCGGCTGGGAGTGAGCTCCTCCCTGCTTGTCTTGCTCGTCTTGGCTTTGGAGCCGCTGCTCTCCACAGGCTTTTGTTGCAGCTTCTCCATGACTCGCTGTGTTATGCGCTCCTTGCTCAGGCTTCTGCTTCGCTGGCGGGTGGGCGCTTTCAGCGTATCTCTCGTCTCGGTCTCAACTACCTCTTCTGTCCTCTCCAGACTGCGACTACGACGACGGGCAGGACTCCGAATAACAGGCTCTCCTTCAAGCATGCTATCCGGGGGCATAGAAGAAATGTCTGAGGTCACTGGAATATACCGCCCACCAGGGCTAGACAAGTCACTGATGTTCTGCAAGACTTCGATGTCAACAGGCGGGAGCGAGGAGACGTTAGAGCCTTCTGAATAAGACGGGTCTGTCTGGACTACGTCTTCACGATGCTTACCACCCAGCGAGATGCGGCGGGTGTACGAGGGCTTCCGAGTATTCCTACTCGTCTGCGTGATTTGCAAGTGGTCGCTGGTGGACTTGCTTTTGCGGTGAGACGGCGTGACACGGACGCGGACGCTTGGGCGCGAGTGGACTTTCCCGTCTCCTTTACCGCCTTCGAAGTATTCAATCAACAGCGAAGTCTGCGAGGGATGCTTCTTGGGCCTTCCAGCCTCCTTCTTGGCCGTGTTGATGGTGACGGGGGTGCCGTCTTCGGGGATGGAATACGATGTTTTGTCGGTGCGCGTGGAGACGTCAGTGAGGAGGTCGTCTCGCAGGGTGGTGTCGTTGTCGATGGAGCTCAGAGTGGAGGGTTCAGTGGGCGCCGGAAGAGGAGGTCGTCGAGCGTCCAAGCCCATTGTGGATCCAGGAAGGCTCTAGAAGGCGGTCTGCTTGACGGGAGACATGGAGGCGGACTGATGGTGTCTCGAAGAACGACTTGAGCTGGCGGTTGGCGGGGGTGGGGGAAAGTCGAGTATGGAGGGTGGAGCAGGCGGAGGGTGACGGTTGCGTGGCTGTTTTTCGTTTGCGCAACAAGAAAATGTCGTCGGTGCAGGGCAGGCCGCGGGTCTTGGGGCCAACCAGACGCTGACGTCGTATCCGCAGAGCAAATGCAAAGAATAGAGAACGGGAGTGGGGGAGTGCGAGAGTGCAGTCAATACATGGCCAGATGACGCAGATGTTCCGGACGTCGCAGCGAGAGTGCGACGGAAGGGTGAGGTGATGGGATGGCGGGCTGCGGCGAGCGAGAGTGTTGTGTGAGGGAGAGCTGAGAGGGCGATGTGGTGTTAGCAACCGAGCCGCACTCGCACTGACGACCTCCAGGCCTTGCGCGGGGCACAGAGCGCAGACGTACCGACGTCGACTATCACGTCCAGCAACGACGGCGCTCGTGGCGGTCACAGGTAAAGGTAACAATGGCTCGCGGGGAGCTTACAATGATGGTGAAGAAGACGGTGGATAGATGTGCTCGGTGGAGAGGTTGGTGCCAGGGTCGGTCATGGGCTCCCAGAGAAGAGCCGTCACCTTCTTAGCGCCTCGGTGGCTTATTGGCCAACGACTCTAACAACAAAACGCATGGGCCGGCGAAAATACAAATATGCAGAAATCAGAGCTTCGTCGTCCTCATCGCTTGCTGCTGCGCTGCTCGGAGGCCTGATTTGAGGCCAAGTCTGCCACTGTGGACACGCTGGCGTCTCTTCTCGCTCCACTAGGCTCCACGGGAGATGGACGTTCTGTACCACGCCAGCCTCCCTCTTTCTTGAAACTCTCCCTCTCTGTGCAACCAGAGGCCAAACTTGACTCCATCTCACCTCGTGGCCCTCGTTCTGCTTCATGCAGGAGGGTGCATCAATTCCACACCAGAAGTCTGCAAGACCCACTGCACACGGAGGTAGCGAGGCCCCGATTCCCCCCCCCCCCCCCATCAGCGTTTGCATGTCTGTCAGCCGCCCTGGATTTTTCCATCACCACCCACCATTGGTGCCGAATATGGTCGGTGGCTGGGCTCCGAACCTCACGAAGAGCACGTCGTGGGAAAAGCAGCGCTTCACTCCTCGAATTGCCCCATCATTCACTTCTCGCTCCCTCTCCCCCCACAGACCTTCACTCCTGCTCCCTCACAACCATCCCCATCCCATCCCATCTATCTTTAGCCCCATCCATCCCTTCCACACCAGCCCATCATCGTTCGCCGTCTTCGCTACTGTCGCTCCGGAAACCGCAGGCATTCCTGCTCACTCTAACGCTATCCAGCCTCGCGTCTCTCGTTTGCCGGCGCGGGATCATCCGCCCTTCAGCTGCAAACCCACCCCTCGCCAACGTCATTGGTTGAGACAAATTCCAACTTGCCAACGCAGAGCTGCTGGACGCTCCACTCAATCTGCCTCATGCACTTTCATTCTCGTTTGCAGCCTTACCGGCAAGCTTCTCAAATGTAGCTGCGGGTGACTTGCGTTTGCATTTCATCGAATAACAGTCAAGAAACTACTTCTTGCTATCGGACTTCACTGACCGCAACTTTGACAGCACAACGGCACGCTATATTACGAGCCTTTCAGACTCGTCGAATGGGGGTTCAGAGACCGGATATTATGGAGGAGCATTTGTCCAATCTGGAAAGCTGGAAGATTGATTGAACACGTTGTCAACATACCACACACTGAGTCGTAATATCTTTCACCAGTCCACAAATAACCGTGGAACCTTCATCATCAACTCTTTCACGTGGTACGCTAAACGTCGTGGCCGAAACTCCTCACTCGCGGATACTCCGCCATCCAGACCGCGTACCATCGAAACCTCCACCAAACCATCTCCAACAATCGGAGGATTTCTCTCAACGGTTTCACTCCCAAAACATTGCGGCTGCATGGCGAACTGAATCATGATGCATTTGATATGCCACTAACCCCCACTAGCCACGCCCACGTTCCGCTACTCCTGTGGTCGCTCTTTCCCGAAACGCCAACCACGGAAAGTCCAACCCACAATCATATTTCCGTTCAACCTTCTATCCGTTTCGGCTTGAACGGCCGGTTACCCTGTCTCGGCTGGCTGCCATAGGCTCTCCTGCCCTCAACCTTCTTGTCCCGACTCAAACTTGCGCCCAGAGAGATGTCGATGCGTGGAGGAGTGGAGAAGCCGAAGCTCTTAGAGACTTTCACAAGATCGAGCTTGTGCACGTCGAAGACGGAGCGGAGGCTATGTGAGGCGTAGGCTTGGAGGTAGGACCTATAGCCATCTTTTGCTGACTAAGGGCAGAGTCAGTCTCACTTCTCAGAGACGAGTGGGGCGTGATGTACCTTGTTTAGATAGTAGTTCTTGCCAATCAATGTCTCAAGCTGACTTTGAATATTCAAAATCTTATTCGCAGGCAATTCAAACTCAACCAGTGGCACCCTCGCTTCCTTCAACAGCTTCAAAAATCCTGCCTCAGAAGGCAGGAGAAACATGAGCGAGCGCCCCTTTCCATTTGCCCCTCTCGCCGTCCGTCCCACCCTGTGGATGTAGTCTCGAGGGTCGTCTGGAGGGTCAAACTGAATAACCCAGTCCACTTCAGGTATGTCAAGACCTCTAGCAGCAACGTCTGTGCAGATGAGGGTGCCAGATTGGGCATTACAGAATTCAAAAAATCGATTTGTGCGAGTTTGCTGTTTCAATTTGCCGTGCAGGTCGAGGACTGGGAGGTCGATATAGTTGAGTACTTTCTCAATTAGCCTGTGTTCCCATGTAAGAGGACGAGGAAACTTACGCTCAGCATAAAATTTAACACTATTGCACGAACTAAAAAAGACGAGAATCTTTTTCTTTTGGTGCTTCTTCAGGAATGAAAAGAGCAGCCTGAATCGAATATCGCTGTCGCATATGACATAGCCTTGCTCGAGACCCTCCACTGTGCTGTGTTCCTTGCGGTGATCAACATTGATATACAAGGGACCGGGCCGCAATGATATCCTTGCAAGATCCTCGACCTTTGTTGTCTGTGTTGCCGAGAAAAGCATTGTCTGTCGCTCCTTTGGCAGTATTTTGATGATGGATCGCATCTCATCTTCGAATCCAACCTCCAATATCCTGTCGGCTTCATCAATGATCAACGACTTCAAATTCTTGAAAACAAAACCCTGCGTGTTGTGCAGGTGGTCGAGCAGGCGGCCCGGTGTCGCAATAAGAAGGTTCACGCCCTTCGCAAGTTTTTCTGCCTCTGCCCGCCGATTCGCTCCTCCGATCACGATGCCAAACGTCTGCGAATGTTTTTCGAGGAGTTCACGGGCAACGCCGAAGATTTGGAGGGCAAGCTCTCGGGTTGGCGAAACGACGATCACGCCTGTGCCATTCCTAGGCTTGAAGCGCATCTCGGAAAGCATTTCGATGGCTGGGATCAAAAAAGCCAGTGTCTTGCCCGAACCAGTCTTTGCCGCGCCAAGGACATCCTTACCCGCCATTAGAGGAGGTATCGCCCGTCGCTGGATCTCCGTCATGGTCTCGAAGCCCATTTCCTTTATAGCCTCCGAGGTGCGGTCGCTCAGATTCAGCTCGGCAAAATTCTGTGCTTCATCAACGGTAGGGAGGGATACTAAGGATCCCGAGGGAAGGTCGGTAGGAGGGATCACATGGTTTATCTCGCCCTCTGGCTGTTCTTCGCCATCCCGCTCCTCCTCATCCTTCTCCTCCTTTGATTGCTCGTTGGCTTCGACCTTAGTCACCTTCACTTTTGCAGCTACCTTCTTTAGTTCTTTGTTAAGGTCTTCTTCGTCCTCCTCATCTGCTCCTAATTCTTCCGCAACGTCTGCTGTTTCCTCCATTTCAGGCTCAGGAGTGTGTTCCTTCTTCGACTTCTTGCGGGGCTTCACTGACTCCACCGCGCCATTACTGGGACCGACGGCGGCCTTCTCTTCGCCTTTCTTGCTCTTATGCTTGCGCTTGCGCTTCTTCGACTCGATTTCGTGAGTAGCCATTTTCGTGACGAGGATCGTGGTATTCACAACTGTGGAGCAGTGGATGGAATTTCTTCGCAGCCAGAAAAAAGTTTCGGTGGAGTCGGCAGAGCCGAATACCTTCCCCGAGAACGCTAACGCATAATGGACTAGCGTTTTGCGAACATCATCTTGCCCACACCTCTTCACAAGGAGATGAACGCTACTCCACAAGCACATACAGATTGACGGTCTCCGACAATCTCCATCCTGGCCATGGGGTTGCTAGCAACTCTACGAGGTCTGTCTACCTTGCATTGTACTTCTGAAGACACTTAATGTGGGAACATTCCTGTTTCATCACTGCAACCCTTTTCTATGGATATTATCTAGTGACATGTCAAAAATACCAAGCATACGAACTCATCGAAAAGAAAAAGTTTGAGCTGTATAAAGGCGGAGATTACGTAATTGAGAATCTCAATCGGTGGCACATTGAGCGACACGCGCGTCATCCGGAAAGGTTGGACGGATCTTGTTTCGGACAGAGAAGAGGAACCTTAGCCTACTACTGAGCATCGAACACTCCATCAAGCGTATATAAGATATAATGGGTCTCTTATTTTAAGTATAGATTTTATCATCATCAAACGTGTGACATGCCAAAACCGGCGTAGGCCGAAGAGTGTATTACCAAGCAACTACCGAACCCCAAACCCCTCTCCAACAGCCTCACTGATTTATCTACTATTTTTCACTGCAATTCCTATAACTACCTTGCAGGATCACGTTCAATTGGGTTTAGAAACCAAGATCTCGACTCTAGGACGTAAGTAACAACTACAAACTCCACTTCCTCATGATTCATAGCAAAATCTGCGTCTTGAAATACAGTTACCCTCACTCAGCCTCGAAGACCACGCCGAGGATCCATTCATTTTATTGAAAACTTTTATCCATTCACTTCAATGGCACCAAAGATTTTCCTGTAAGTCTCCCTTCATCCACACCCAACATTGTCGCTTACATAAAGCAGTACGGGAGCCACGGGCTACATCGGAGGCTCAGTCCTCGATGCTATAGTCACCAGCCACCCAGAATACGACATAACGGTTCTTCTCCGATCCGTTCCGCCAAGCTTCTCGTCCCGTTATCCAAACGTCAAAATCGTAAAAGGGCATTATGACAGCTTCGACATCATTGCGGATGCTACTTCTCAAGCTAGTGTAGTCGTCCGTATGCCTCTAATCGAAATCTATTGATCCAAGACACGCTTTAACTAGTGAAATTTGTAGACAATGGTAACTCCGACCACGAACCTTCTCTAAATGCCATCATCACCGGGCTTCTCCGCCGCTCCACCCCATCCTTCTTAATCCACCTCTCCGGGACAGGAATCGTCTCTGATTTCCGCAACTCCACCTACCTCGGTGCCCTCAACCCTAAAGTCTGGTCCGACATCACCGATCTCGACACCATCTTCTCTCTTCCCGACAACGCTCTCCACCGAAACACGGAGAAGCTTATTCAAGCGGCTGTTGCTCAAGATGGCGACAGGCTAAAAGCAGCGATTATGTGTCCTCCAGATATCTACGGTGAAGGGAGAGGGCCCTTGAGGTCGAAAAGTGTGTTTGTGCCGTGGTTTGTAGATGAATCGAAGAAGCAAGACGGGGGCGGAAGAACATTCTACACTGGAGATGGAGGGAATACAAGGAGCTGGGTGCATATTGATGATCTGATGATGCTTTATCTGAAAGTTGTTGAAGCGGCGGTTGCTGGGGGTACGGGTGCTGATTGGGGGAAGGAAGTAAGTTGCATCCCCTGCTTTATTTTCTGTCCTCATTGGTGATTTTGTATAGGGATACTACTTCGCCGGCACCCAGGAGGTCTCCCAGCGTGACATCGCCATCGCAGCAGGGAAGATCCTCAAAAAGCTTGGAATTATCAAGAATGAGGAACCCTTTCATGCTTCCCTTGATCAGATTGATACTATGTGCGCGGAGCGCAATTACCCTGGCATTGCGAGGTACCTGTTTGCGTCGAATTCAAGGACTGAGGCTGAGAGAGCGAAGAAATTGTTTGGATATAAGCCGAAAGCCCCCACGTTGTTAGAGACGCTGGAGGATGATATTTTGAGTGCGGTTGGAGAGAAGTAGGGGGTACCACTCGATTTCTGTACTTGCCCTTTGCGAGGGGCTCGTCAATGGATCTGTTTGACTTGAAAGAAAACCGTAGTCGAGTTCAAACTCCACCCTGCTCAAAAATCGGGGTGCATTTCCACGTAGGACAATCATCTATGGTATCTTACGACCTAACGTGGACTGTTGCCAGGATTAGGTACATGTATTAAACATCCTGCGAGAAACAGGGGTGTTAAGAGGATAGTAATTTCTGTACTAACTACCACTATCATGTTAAGGGACAAAATTCAGTATGCTGAAATTTCTAAAAGCCGGTCTAAACTCAATTATTCAGAATGCTTCACCGTGTCTCGGAGAGCGTCTTGATGGAGCCCTAGATTGAGCGTGTTGAGTCAAGCTACGCTTTTCTTGGGTTTTCCTCATCCCACACTACTGTGTGCGAACTAAACCGCGCGGAAGAGGCTATTTACCGGAAGCAGAATAAAATCGGCATGCAAGATACTATATGTTTTCAGCGATGCCGCTAAAAATTCCTCTTCGGCGCGTTCATGCGTCTTCCTTGGAGAACAGAGAAATTCAACATCGATTCTATGTTGTTATACTTCTTTGCTCACTTTCAACAACAGCTCAAATTCAATCCTCCCTTCCGATGAGCAGCTGATAGAGCCAACCTCCAACACCATTCATGAGGGTTGATCACGCAGATATACGAGCAGAGGGGTTCCCCCGTGTAGGTCCACTGCATTGATAACCCTGGCGCCAAAGTCTCATTAACGTTGTATCGAAAGGCTAGAGTCACCACCCTAACCCCAATTTCTCGCACAAGATGGATAGTCTAATGCGACTTCGATCTTGGGACATGACTGTAAGTTACTGGTGCCCTGTCGAGGGACGTCTGCCTTTTCGGTTTGAACACTACGGATAAACAATCAGAAACAAACCCACAACGACACATAGTACCAGCCTTCTTAAGAGAGTAATGGCTCTCCCACTCGAGACTTCACATAAGATGAAAAATCAACGGTAGAGCTAAGTAGAAAGGGTTTAGCCTTACTATAGATTGAGTTTGCCATGTTACACGCTAGCTGCCTTCTGGATTGACTTGGAAGAAAGAATCAGGAGCCGAACTTGCGCGACTATGAAGACAAGACACAATGACGAAAAGGAGTGAGAGGACTTCTTGACTTAAGGATCATATTTCGAACATTCGGGCAGAAACTACAGGTCAGCACTAACCCACACCGTCTTCTGGTACACTAACGAATCCACCCATTCCCCCTTGCACTCATATGCCTTTTCCGTCAAACTCACCTTCTTGAACCCCAGTCTCTCAGCCATCTTCCAACTCCCGGTATTCCTTGGATCACACTCAATTTCTAGTATATTAGGGCTAGGGAGTACGGGAATGAAAGCTCTCATTGCTTCAGTCGCAAAACCTTTTCCGTGCGATTCAGGTATGAAGGAGAACCACAGGTTAGCGTGTGGTAGATTCAACGCTTCACCATGTTCATCTGTACGCTTGAGCAGAGCTCCTACTCGACCAATGAAGTTGCCCTCGTGAACTACTGCCAATTCAAAGTGGGCTCGGGGCGTAACGCAAGAGTTCTGAATAATCTTCACCACCTCTTCTTTCGCCTGCTCTAGAGTCCTTGGCTCGAAAGTCTGATATCGAACGACCTCAGGGATAGATTCGAGAGCATGAAAAGGAGCCACATCCTTCATAACAAACTCTCGAAGTACGAGTCGATTCGTTTTGATTGCTCCCTGGCGATGGCCTTTTTTATTTACGGCGTGGATCGCTGCGAGTTCCTCTGTCGCTAAAAGACCAGCTTTTGTGAGAATCTTCTGTATGATGCTGCTCTTCGCGTCGATATAATCAACGATATTTAGATCTAGAGCTGCAAGTTGGAGTTTGATTTGACCGTACTCGTCTCGAAGCTCTGGATTCGAGCGGAGGGTATCTCGGACACTGAGGTGATTTCGAGTTTGGAACGCTCCATCGACGCAGACGTATATATTCCTCGGTGGCCGCTGATCCGGGTCGCGGAGCGCATGTCGATCTACAATCCCAAGCTCGCCGAGATATGTGAACTCACCATGCCTGACTAAGGCAGACACAGCATCGTCGAGATTCTCTTTGGTTACGATAATGTCGATGTCGATGATGGGCTTCGCGGCGAGTCCGGGAACGGATGTACTGCCGACATGTTCAATAGAGAGCACGTCAACTTCACTGAGAAAGAGTTTCAACGTTGATTTAATTCTTTCAAAGTGCTGAGGCCATTCCGGATTGTATTGCTCGACGACAACGGACATGTTAAAGAGTCGAGGTAAATTGTGGAGTGCCAAGACTCAGAGATTGGGTTTGGAAATGCCCCACCAAGCTGAATATTCGTATTTCGCGTTTCGTGTCACAAGATTGGGAGGGAAGGTTTGCAGTGGAGAGGACGCTCCGAAGGATCATTGAAGGGCGTGTTTGCGTTTTGATATCTCGCATCTGAGATTATGCGATTCTCCTAAAGAAGTCTTAAAAGCAGCTAGAGCAGTCCTGAGTCATAGGAAGTAATGGTAACATGGCTCAGTGAGGTGACTGAACTAATGCATCCGAGGATACCACCCTCAGAACTAGGGCATTCTGTGTAAATTACCTTTTCCCGGCATTCAAAAGTGGGGTCGAGGGGCCGAATTGATAGATTTATGAAACGCCCTCAAAGTGCTACATTATATACCCTGTTCCTGGGTGAAGCTGAATCAGGAAACAGTTGTTTTAAACGGACGCTTGCTCCTTTGTCCATTTTCCACTTTCAGTGACCTCGATCGGAACCTGGTGGCCCTCCTCTTTTTGCTCTTCCAAGGTCGACACCTCGAAATACTCCGACCGGGAATCGTCATACTCAGACGCCAAAAGGGCAGCTTCAACATCCTCTTGAGTGAGTCCGATAGGTCGCACTCCACGCCAACTAATGATCCGGCGAATGATAGTAACCCCTCCGAAAATGAGGGACAAGGTAATCAGCACAAGGGCATTCTCTTCAAAAAAGGCGGCGGTCTTCCAAAGAACCAAGTGGACTTTTCTTGTCATTGTTCCAAACTTGCCATAATAATCCCATTCTAACGGATTGAATCCAGTCTGGATCATCGCGTACTTGCCACAAGACATCTTGAGGGGCTGTTTCCGATCGTTCCGCTCTATAGTCTGAATGTCCTTGATCATGAGCATTGGCTTGTCGCCAACAAATCCTTTAGCAATCAGGAGTTGCACGATTCTTTGGCCTTTCTTGTCTAATTTCGCACTGGATGGATTGTACTGAGTATGACGTATATGAATGGCAGTGATGTCAAACTGTATCCACTCCTCACCCGGATGTTCAGTCGCGAGCTGGGTATGCTCATATTGAAGCGAGAACCTTCCGTACTTGGTTCCTAAGGTCCAGGACGAATCTAACATCTCTATACTCTCGATTTCGTCCATTATACCAGTGGAGAGGTTCGCTGGGGTTTGGAACGCATAAATATTTAGAGGAAGAGGTGCGAGAGGGGTAATTGTCTCTCCATTGAGAAGAAGGCTAGGTTGAGAATCATCAATCGTGAAGTTGAGAAGCTACTATCAGTTAGTATAGATGAGGAATACGACCAGCGGTATACATACAAGAGAATTGTCCTGTGCCGGCTCCTGCCATGTCTCAAGTACCGGATACTTGTTGCGGACACGAAACGGGCATCCTATGCACTCAAGCTTCACAATATAGCTCTTCTCGTCTTCTACGGTTGTGATTGCCGGCGCAACCTCTGGCGGTATTAGGTCATGCTCCTTGTACCAGGCTGCGGTCTTGTCATCCTCGTAGCTCCAAGTGTAGTCCCTCCAGTCGTCAGATGGTGCTCCAAGGCGAGCGGCAGCACCAGCAACATAAACCAAGCCGAACGCGAAGAGACAATACATAGTAGCTGTTGCTAACAATGAACATCCGTAGGGAATGGAAAATGCTAGCGAGTGACAACTTCTGAAGAATCAAAAAGGTGAGATTGGGTAATTAGTGATCGTCGACACCTTCGGTTGGTACTCCTTACGCTAGGCTGAAATGGTTGGCGGATCTATTTTGGGTAATTGAGGACTTTAAAACCTTAGGCAACAAACGAGATGTCTTCCCAGCTCCCACTGCAGTAAAAGGAAGGATCGCCGCATTTACCATCTTTCAAATCTCAAAAATGACAACCCTTACGTTAGATTTGTGGAAGCTCTCTCCAAAAGCAGTGTAGGGCATAGCACTCAGTTTGCCTGAAATCCCACTGATACGAGATTTCTCAAGGCTTCAGCCTCCACAATCACCCGCAGCTCACACGCCTCTCCCAAAAAAGACAAACGGTTTTAGGATTGAGGATGAGATTGGCCGGTTGCTGACATCAACATGTCTTTAGCTGCCCAGGCTTGGAAAGGGGTAGCCGAATGGCCCCCGAACGAAACCGCACCGGAATATTCTGACCAAACAAATACATGAATTTTGTCCTTCGCCAAGTAATAGTTGGATCCAATGCTTGAACCGGAGCGGAAAATGGGTGTTGCCCCAAGGTTTGGGCTGATGCGCGGCCAGGGATCAGTCCGGTGGGCGTTGGCCCAAGAAACCATCGCGTCTCAGCCTTGAGCGCCATAGCCTCCGGGATACCAAATGTGAGGGGCCTGACGCATTGTCATTTCGGGAGATACATAAGAATACGTGGGAAGCCCGCACTCGCGTGCTTTGAGAAGATTGAGTTCTTGCTTCAACCTTATCTTTCGGGAGAAGCCCTTTCAAGTCTTGTTCATTTAGTTCCTAACGCCTTCTTGATTCTGTCACCTTTCGTCAATACAATCAGTTTTGGATATAATATTTGCAACTTATTCAACGTTCAACGAACCTTGATCACTGCAATTCCTTCTTTTCCTTTAGCGTGTATATTTTCAGTATGTCTAATCAGCGACAAGACTGGCACCATAGTGGTGCTTCTTGTTGTACACCATTCGGTACATGTACGTACATACTCTAAATTATCGTTGACACGGAATGAAGTTGACAGGTTTCTAGGTCTACTGTCTTGGTGCTGTCCATGCATCACGTACGGCCGTACCCATCATCGCGTGAGGTTTGATGGAAGCATGCAGGGCTATTCTTGCTGTAACGGCCATGTGAGTACTTTGAATTGCTACCTCACGTATAACGAGCTGTTCATTCTAACCGTTTCAAAGTGTATGGCCTTCACAGGGCTAGCCTGTCTTGGCCTGTCCTTCATTCTGCCTATGATCCAACGAGGAGATATCCGCGCTAAATACCATCTTTCTGGAAATGGATGCAAGGACTGCCTCTGCGCCTGCTGCTGCCAGCCTTGCGATCTTACACAGCAGGACAAGGAAGTTGCTTGGCGTGAAGACCACAAGACTGGAATTGCCCAGCAGCCCCAGCAGCACGCCCCGATGCAATACCAGAAACAACCACAGGACACGTATGGACAACATCCGCAGCAGTTTCAACAGCATCCACAACAGTACCACCCACAGGGCCATTGATTGAGACTAGATAAGATGGAAGGGGCTAAAAAAAAAGGGTGAGAAACAGGAGGTATTTCCGGTATGGTTGAAACAATTTACAGAGGATTGCAAATTGCTATTGTAGAAGGTACTGGTGAATTCGGTCTTGGAGTGATACCATTTTATTTTCAGGAGTTGTAATTCCAATTTTTCTTTCTTTACGCCTGTATTCTCCTGCGTGCCTCGCTGCTTGTTTAAGATTTGCAGACACTCTTTTAACCTCAAACAGAGGTTCGTCAGTTTTCCGACAACTGGGTTTCCATTAAAGATCAAGCCCGGGGACTGCCAACAGCTTCGGTGCTTGGCCTTGTGTGCGTGAGATTAGCGATTGGGGTGCCCAGAGCGAAGCGTGCGGATTCCCAGTCCAATGGTTCAGCCACTCGCAAGTCACCCCACCTCACTTCGAGAGTCAAGTCGAGGCAATCCTACCGCATTTGCAGGTTGTTGTTTCAGTTTTCACTCTAGATGCATTGCTGTCTCGCAATACTGCGCCGCACGGTTCCTTCCGCAACCCCAGGCGCGAATGTGTCGTGGAGCAACAGTCGCTTAACCCTAACACTTCTGTCTACAAGAAGAAATGGATAACATCCTCACTTTCGTTTGACCTCTGTGGTTATTTCGCTTTTATGCCTGCCACATCACCAGAATCGCTCTCGGTAAAGAATGGATCTTATACCGACGCCTCTGGAGTCAATCCCAGGAGTCAAGGTACCATTAATGAGCATAATCCCCTACGATTTCAAGGATTTCTCTGAATTCCCCCAACGACATGGATTTGAGCTAGAACAGCTACTTGCTGCCGATCAAGCACCTGTATTGATCGCATCTGTTATGCAGTCGTGGCTCTTCTTCGGTCTACTCTCTGAATTCTTTCAGAGACCAGTCAACACTAAGGAATTTTCAAGCCTCGATAATTCATCCAGCTCCAGGGTTATCAGTTTGAGACCTCTTGGGCCGCTCCTCAGATCTCAGCCTCGTAACGTCGACCTTAAAGGTCGCTGTGCCTTAGTAGAGCGTGCTACGGACGGTTTGCGCTTCCTGGAAGATAGCCCTGTTTACCAACAGTATACTCCTCCAATTTCCGAGATCGGCTTGTCTGTTAGGATGCTTATATACGCTCTTGCGCCTGAATCCGGAGGGCCTATCATTAAGCTCAGTCCGCATCCTTTGATCTCAAGGAGACTGAGGGATGCTGGATGGTGTCCTTCGCATATTCGACGAATAGAAGGATTGAAAAATGATTTGCTTGGGTACTACCTATCGCTCCTCCGTCGCCCCAACCCTCGAGGCTTCCGCCATGATGCTTGTCCACCAACGAACTGCGAAGCAAGTAGCACATCGCTATCCAAAGATTACGTTAGCCGTCATACTCACGTCGATGGGGGTCCTTGCCCTCTAATCCATGTCGACCAGAAGCAAGTGAGGGCCATTATTGCGAACGGCGACATCCCTCTAATTTCCATACAATTCTCGTCCACTGGAGCTATTACCTTAAAAACTCGCCCGGCACAATCACGAGATCGCTTTATAGCAATATCACATGTCTGGTCTGACGGCCTTGGAAATCCAAATTCGAATGCCCTACCAAGATGCCAACTAAACCAACTTGGAGCCTACCTACAACAACTACCTCACCCTTCCACTCAGCCAGTGGACGGCGATTTTCGCTCAGTCTTCAGCTACGGCCCGGTTTCCGTCGACCTCGCGAAGCTTAGCATAATTCTTCGAAAGTCAAAACGTCCAACGTGGTTCTGGATGGATACCCTCTGTATTCCTATCTCGACAGACTCTGCAGACAAAGAAACAAAGGAGCTGAAAAAGCGAGCTATTGATTTAATGGCTGTCATTTACGGGAGTGCATCCCAGATCTTAGTCTTAGACTCAAGCATTCAACAATCTCGGATTAGCACCATGGATACAAGCGAGATGCTCGCACGTATTTCTTTCAGTAATTGGATGGGACGTTGTTGGACACTACAAGAGGGCGCTCTCAGTCCCTACGTCTACTTTCAATGCGCAGATGGAGCTATAAACATCCTCAGTGCTTTACCAAGGCCTCGCTTTCCTCAAAATTTGTTTATTCATCCTGCGTCTTTTCGCCTAACTGATTTGTCAGGCACCCTACAATCTTTGAAATGGACGTGGCAGCACAGTACAGAGTTGCACCATTACAATTCCTGTCACATCCGTGGGAATATCGAACAACTGATCTATAATACTCTGTATTCACTGTGTACGACTTCGTTGCACATTTCTGGCCAATCCAAAGCCCAGAACTTCTACAAGCTCCCCTTGGCTCAAATACCCCTTCTGACCGCCCAATGGGTGCAAGAGTTGGTTTCCGTTTGGAACGCCCTATCCATTCGTACAACCACCATGGCAGAAGACCTTCCTGCCATATTTGCCAACCTACTCGGTCTAAACGCATACCATGTTCTCGGGCTTCCTCCTCAGGAAAGATTGAGGGCGATAATTGAAGCTGGTGATGCGCTGCCTGTTTCCTTTTTGTACAACTGCGGACCTCGGGTGCGACCGAACGAGAATCATCGAGGCCGCTGGATCCCAACTGTTCTCAATCGCTATGCTCTTAATGAGATGCCCTTAATGCGTTTCGATGCGGCTCGAAATGTTTTGCTGCGGACCTCAGACATGCTCCATCATGAGGTCCATATCAGTCCAACGTTCCTGCTCTTTCAACGAAGTTTGCCAATCGTCCTCGAAGAGTTCATTGTAAAAACTAAAGATGGGAAACTATGGAAAATCATATGCCATCGTGACGAAGATGATCAGTTGGATTGCGGGCCATTTAAGTGCACTGGCCTTCTCATTAGAAGTGCCTATGGCCAGGGATGCTGTCTCCGTCTTATGCATGGCGTTGAAAATACCAAGTTCGAAGGGATATATGATTGTCCTTGCACAGTTAAAGAACTCCAGGAGGATGACTTGGATATTTCCAGCAGAGATTTATTCTCCGCCGACCAGATCGACTCATGGACGATTAAGCTTCTCAACGGTAAGATCACGCCATCCCAAATGCCTCTGTATTTGCAGTAGTCAGGAGACTGATATTTTCAGACTCGGATCCTGCTATCGCCCTGAAGCCCCGTATTTCCCAGAGCCCAAAAATGACGTTCTTCAATCCGAACGAGAGTGCACACTGGCTCTTACGCTTTCTTTCGATTTGGTTACCTTTGATTCCATTGATATTGGTACCTATGATTCTTCGTATCTACATCGCTGCCCATTCTGAATGGTCTACGCTATCAACTATAGGCCGTGCATCTCTCATAGCTTTTATCGTTCAGCGCATTCCCACTCCACTGTCATTCTTCCCAATAACGCAAGCCCTTTTCATTGTCGACCGAAAACAATCTGTGGGAGGATTATGTTCATTGGATATTGCGTACGTTGTCTTGGATCTGATATGGATTGCATATGTTGGTTTTGCTTTTGCACTCACTGTACAGCAGTGGGTTCAGTATCGCTTTGAATACCAACTTTCTGTCTTAAAGCAGGACTGGAAGCAGGAACCTGATATTGGCAAAGTGTGGACCGTGATACAGAGTCACTTGCCTGGTAGCTGGAGGAGGAGGATAGAAAAGGTTATGTTTAACCCCTGATTAGCACGTCATTACTCTATCCACGACCTTTGACATGGCGGTAGCTTTGTAAGGTGTCAAGTTCACAAAAGAAAACGAGATATCCTTCAAATAGGCAGTGATAAATGGACGAGTATGAACCATCGACTTAATATGTCAGTATCAGAACGAGTGAATCACAAATTTACTTTCCCCCCAAGAGCCTTTTAGGTCGGAAATATCCGTCATTATCGAACAAATCCTCCACCTTCCCATTTGTGCACGGTGGCCAATTCCTGTAGTGTTGTCAACGGCGTACTTCTAAATCTGGATACAGAATTCTACCCACACACGGGACGAACTCTGACTTACCAATGACGAGTCTTAATTATAAAACGCCAGGATTGTCAGAGACAAGAAAAAAAGAGACCTTCAAGCACGCTTTGGCCTCGCACTCCTATAAGGCTTGTTAAAGGCTCTCTCGTTTCTGTGCAGGGATCCAGAAGATTTTAAAAGCGTTCCGTTATAGCTCCGGCCTCGACATTTTGTTCTGTATCTGGGCCAATCTTCTACATTTTCTCGTTCATGCACCCCCTGAAACAAGAAGGGTTATCGGAATTAATGGCTACTCTGATACCGGCCCATAGTAGTTATAATATTTCTTTCCTTCAAATCCTTCGTCACCACGTTGCTGACCGGATAACTCCGAGACCGATCCCGCTCTGCTTGACGAGCTAGATAAGTGTCACCATGGACTATATTTAGTTACACGGTCGATACGGTCGGTTCCTTTCTCGACAATAGCTTACCGAATATGTCCAGTACTATTGTTCTGATCGATATCCCAGCGACAAGTGACCAGAAACCCTTCCAATTTTGCTCTCTTGAAAACTTCCAAGAACTTAGATGGCGGGTTTCCTCGCTCGCCGGGGTCGAGTCCGACATCCAGGATCCTGCCCTTATAGGGTAAAGCATCTGTCAGCGTAGCCATAGTGGGGCCCGGCTCGATATCTTGTAGAAGACACATGCTCAAGCTAGTACCCATGCCTAATTCACGCTCTACTTTCACGATGGCATACCGCAGCTCCACAATGACAATGGGGAATGGGACCCTGTGTGAGGTGAGCGCCTGAGAGTCCGAGAAAAATCCGTATGAATGGCGTTCTGGGAATGGGTTTTATTGAGATAAGCCAAGCAGGTCGATGAAGTCGGATGAAGTCCGTACTGTAGACTGTGACTAAAGATGTGAGGTTGTGAAAGGAATACACATCTGAAGGCGTGTCTAGCGAGCCGATGGCTTCAGGAACTATCACTTGGTTTCGTGTGGCGATCTCAAGGATGAGCGATGGCGTCAATGTATTCTCATGGTTGACATGCAACTCAACCTTGGGCGTGTTGGCGATGACGTTGCTCAGGAAAGCCATGACGAGAGGATTGTGTTCGAGAATGCGACACGCGGAGGAGTTAGCTTTAATGGACGCCATTGCGACATAGAACCCAGCAGCTCAGTCAATCCTTTGATAATGGCAAGTGTGGAAATGCTGGGAGGGGGTGGCTGGTGAATTGCTTGTCGATAATGCCTCCTATCTCTTGCTGGCTCGTGTGCAAACTCTTATCGTGACACGAAAACGCTGGCTCCCTGTTCTCATCTCAGCCCTCCGCCGTAACCCGTTGCCTCGGCGGTGACGGACTCGATAAATCCACGGTTCACCGCTCGTCGGCAGCTACCTCTGAGACGCGTCTCATTTCCACAGGCGCTGGGCAACCCTTCAACCCAGACTTGAGATGGTGACGCTAGCGGTTCGCCCCATGTCGCCGAACGACCCTGAGCAACATCCCCTGCCGACCGTCCTGCACAATCTATGCACGAGATATCGATGAGGACCCACCTTCTTCCAATTTCGACTTTGCGATTCCGCTTTCAGCCTCACGTTTAGGGTCAAGAATGTTCCGTTAAATCTTGGACCTATCTATGGCTTGCCACTGATCTATTGGCTCCGTGCCATGGTGCCATGTTTCTCTCCTCTGTCGTCTCTGCTTTGGTTCGACTCTGTCATCGTTCCAAACATGTTCAACCTAAACGCCAACACGACGTTGAGGCACCAGGTCGCTATATAACTTTTGTCCGACTGGTGACTTTTGCAGTATATGTCACCTGTTCTATATATCTTCGGACTTTTAGAGCGAGTGGTGTTGCCCATCTGCATGACTTTCATTTGAACGTGGCATTCGCTCGTTCTTGCTTGATACCCCTAATTCTCTTCTATATCTTTTCCTTCCATTAAAGAACCAGCCTTTATTCATTAACATCTTGACAAGTCATCCACCATGGTCTGGATAAGACCAACTCTCGCATGGATCTTCCTCGCGTGGTACCAATACGGAGCTGTAGCTGCCCCCACATGGCCCTCATCCATCGATGAGTTGGAGGATATCATGCTGCTGCATTCAGGGTACCGCGGACGTGGCTTTGCAACGGCTGTCACCCCTTGTTCCTTTTCTGCCCAGGGCCCCGGACGCATCACAGCCGCTGAATGGATTCGAACGGCCTTTCACGATATGGCTACAGGAAACGTTTTCTCCGGTGCTGGTGGCTTGGATGCATCGCTGATATTCGAGACGACAAGTGGTGAAAACAATGGCGCAGAATTTGTCACCACTCTCACAACATACGCGCCATTCTTTTCCAGCCGAGCCTCTATGGCAGACATCATCGCCATAGGTGTCTACACAGCTACTCGATCCTGTGGTGGTCCAATAATCCCAGTCAAGGCCGGACGCATCGATGCCACTGAAGCAGGCCCCCTAGGCATTCCTCTTCCCCAGAACGCTATCGGCACATTCACGAACCAATTCTCCAGATTTGGATACAACGCTACCGAAATGATCCAGTTTGTCGCCTGTGGCCACACCCTTGGCGGGGTACATTCAGCCAACTTCCCTGAGATTGTACCGGCTAACACTGCTCCAAACGACCTTGCAGTGTTCGACACTACATCTGCTGTCTTTGACAACAAAATTGTTACCGAGTATATTGCTGGAACGACCAAAGACCCCCTGGTCGTTGGGCCTTCCACTGCAAATACGCGGAACTCAGATTTCAGAGTCTTTAATTCTGATAAGAACGTTACAATCAAAGCCTTGCAAGACCCTTCTACATTTTCCAACGTCTGCAAGAACATGTTTCAAAGGATGATCGAGATTGTACCAAGTGGAACTACTCTTACGGATCCTATCACGCCGTACGACATCAAGCCTTACGCTCTGCAGCTCACTTTGCTTGACGGTGGTTCCCAGATTTCCTTCACTGGAGATATCCGCATTCGAACGACTCAGCTCCCCGCGAGTCAGATTGCATTGGTCCGATTGGTATACGCGGATCGAACTGGTGCAGCCGTTTCGACGCCTATCGATACTACGCATAAGGGCGATGCTTCTGGATTTGACGACACGTTCACTTTCTACGGCTTTTCGACTAAACTCTCGGCCGACACTTCTATCTCGTCCTTCAATGTTGTTATCACTTTGCCAGGGGGCTCCACTGAGGTTCACAACAATAATGGGAACGGCTTTAAGGTCGACGATGGTGTCATTTTCCAGTCTCCTCAGAGCTGCTTGGATGCCACTGGAAAATTGACAATAGTTGCTGCTGTTCGCAATGGAGGATCTGCCCCCAACCTGCAGGTAGTGGTCAAGAACCCGCGAGCTAGTCCAGTCGTAGTTCCAGCATTGTCAACTACAACGGCTGTGATGGCAACTCAATCAGCTATCGGCTCATATCAACTCTACTCTGCTTCATATACTTTCTCGGGCAACCAGGCTCAGTCTGCTGTCTTTGGAGTCTCAGCTGGAAGCTCATCAGACAATAACAAGAACGCCATGGTCTTGCCATCCACTTGCACGCCATTAGGCACATCAACTCCAACCTCAACGCCATCATCATCCGCATTCTCTTTCCAAGGGTGTTACACCGACAGCGGTCCGCAGCGTGCTCTCTCCAGCGCCGCTTCTGCCGACGATACTATGACTGTAGAGAAGTGCTCAGCCTTCTGCTCCTCGTATAAATTGTTTGGCCTTGAATATGGTAGAGAATGCTACTGTGGCAACGCTTTGGGTTCTTCGAGCACTATCTCTGGACAGACTGACTGTAGCATGGCTTGCACTGGTAACTCCTCAGAGACATGCGGTGCCGGAAGCCGAATCAGCCTGTACGAGAATCTCAAGTACATCCCGACGGTCAACCCACAAGTCAATGGCTACAGTTACATTGGTTGTTACAGCGAAGGAAGTACTGGACGCGCTCTATCTGATAGTCAAACTGCAAACAACGCCATGACGGTGGAGGCCTGCGCAAATTTTTGTAACGGTGCGACATATTTCGGAGTTGAGTACGGGCAAGAGTGCTACTGCGGGGGAGTTCTGAATGCAGGAAGCGTAAATCAATCGGCAACGGATTGTTCAATGACATGCGCGGGCAACAGCACTGAGTACTGTGGTGCGGGAAACCGTCTCAATATCTATAAGAAGATTCCTGTCACCAGCTCGTTAACACCCATGCCTTCGACGACGTCATCAAGCCTTGTTATCAGATTGTCCACCGATTCTACGACTACGGTTGTCGCAAGCTCTTCCAGCTCGATCCTCGATTCCTTGAGCTCATCTTCTTCCACCTCTCCAACTTCTTCATCCTCAACCTCCCCCTCTGCTACCCCCAGCCCCCACCTCTCAGGTTACACTTACCTCGGCTGCCTCTCTGATTCAGTAACCTCACGCACCCTCTCCATAAAATCCTACTCCACCTCCAACAATACCTACGCCACCTGCGCCGACTTCTGTTCCGGCTACGTCTACTTCGGCGTCGAATACAGTACCGAGTGCTACTGCAGCGACACGCTCTCAAACACCCCCTCCACAGTTCCAGAATCTGACTGCAATATGGCATGTAGTGGTTCTGAGGGCACTGGAAATTGCGGCGCGGCGAATAGGCTTAATGTGTTTAAATCCACGACAATAACAACGCCGCCGGCGAATCCGGTGGTCGCGGGGTATAATTATACAGGATGTCATACGGATTCGGTGAATAATCGGGTGCTGAATGGGGTCTTTTTGTTCGATGCGAGTATGACGGTTGAGATGTGCGTGGAGTTTTGTAAGGGGACGAAGTATTTTGGTACAGAGTATGGAGGCGAGTGTTATTGTGGGGAGAAGTTTGTGAATCCGACGAGTGTGGTGCAGGAGAGTAATTGTAGTTTTGTGTGTGGGGGGAATAAGAAGGAATATTGTGGGGGGGCGAATCGGTTGAGTCTGTGGGGGAAGGTGGACACAGTCTCTTGAGACATGTCAGAGGAGATTGGGGGAAGGTGTTTATTTAATTGATGGTAATGATGATGTCGATATCCAGGTTTACATAATCCTTTCAGGATAACTAACTAGAAGGGAACTTGACTTGGCACGCCATTCCCTTGGGTCTAATACCCGCTCTGATATTCGGGGGAAGCAAGCATGGTGTTTGGTGTTGCATATGACATTTTCTTCTGGATTCTACGAAACCCTGCATGGATTTATTATGCTTGGATAATTAGATTGGGGATAGCAGTAATATATGTATTCACTCATTGAAATCAGCTTCACGATATCTACTCTTTCTATGCTTCATTATTCCAAACATACTAACTTTCTCGCCCCTCCAACCGTCGGGCGCTTCCTACGTCTTCCGCACTCCCTAGAGTCTTACTCGCGAGTATGATATCCACGGGGCCTTGATCTATGTATCTATCAATTAATTAATTAATTAGCAGCCCACAAATCTCAGCCTCATCTATAACATCGCCTTTGCTGGACCCACTCTCCACGCTAGCAAAAGGTAAGGATACACGGCCGACTCGAGCAGTTTTCCTTCAGCTCTTGGCGATTACCCAAAGGTATGCACGGGACTTGCTTATACAGATTTCGAAATTTTACGCACCCTCCCAGCTTTCAAGCCAAGTCCTTGTGCAAAATTGCTCCTACGCTGGAGGTAAGAAGGAGTGCTGACGTAACAACTCTGGATTGGCGTGGAGGGAGGAAAGGATTAGATATCCTGCTCTAAAAGGTGATTTACTCCTAGTTGCAGATGGTGTTGTATCTCAAAGAGCGGGTTTTTGAGGGAGGGAGAGAGAGAGAGTATGCCTGGTAAAGCGGTGGCTGGAAAGATCTTGCGTTTTCTGGACTAGTTTGTAGGAGAATGCACTGAAGGCCACAGGGAGGGGAAATCCTTGAGTTTTTGCATGCTAGAAAGAAAATCCTAGATTGTGAGTGTAGAGAAAGAGAATGGTAAATTCTACTATATTTCTGCCTTAATATAGAAAGGAGAGTGCATGAGTGCTAGCCCCGAAGGAAAATTCTAGTTTGTGGGGAGACAAAACGATGACACTGTCTGTTATACTTCCCGACATTTTAGCGAAAACTGCTCTCCATGTATGCGGAGTCTTGAGTTTGACAATGGTATTGTACACACAAATATACATCGCTACACCTCATCTTTACACTTCTACATCTAGAGAGTGATCTCACCCTTCCACATGCCCTCGGTCAACCCCAAAGTCCCAACACAGTGCTCCCACCTCGGTCCACCCCTTTCCCTTCTCTTCAAATACTGCAACAACTTCTGCCGCCTATGCACAAGCAACCTTAGGTTCCGCTTGTTGTGTTTGTCTCCCTTCCCCCTCGTCTCGATAAAATCCGCGAGCGTCTTGATTTTCGCCGTGAGTATCGCAATCTGCACCTCGGACGACCCTGTATCAGGCCCAATCCGTTTTTTTGCCGCTTCCGCATTCGTACGCGGCCGGATCGGCGCTGGGGAAGTCGCATCTACAGACGGTAGGCCCGGTGCCCGCGGCGGGAGAAGCAGATCGGTGTTGTGTCTCCCGAACGTGTTAACGCAGCGTGTGATATTCACACGCATGCGGTCCTTTGACGACCCGTTCTCGAGCGAGGTGATGCGCTGGATGGCGATGGAGGCCCGTGCGTGGTCTTCCTGTCGTCGCTTCTCGACATCTTCGGGCTCTACTTCGATCACCTGGGGTTTCTCATCGTAGGAGAATGCGCCGAGGTTGGATGTGGGTTGCTGTTCTACTTTCTGCTCTTTTCGGGGGACGGCGAGGGTTGAGGAGGTGGCGAGGGAGGCTTCTACCTCGGCGGGCTTTAGGGCGTAGTTGAGGTGGTATTCATCTTGCGGGATCTTGGCGTTTGGAGCGTGAGAGAGAGGTTTTCCGGTCTCAAAGGATTCGACGAAGGGAGTTGGGTTGCCGCGGATGGGGTCGCCGAGGTTTTCGGTGCGTTCTTTGAGGAGTTCGGATTGGCGGGAGAGGTTGGCGGCTTTCTTGCGGTTGCGCTGGGCGATGATGTAGGGGTCGTGGGTCATGCGCTTTCTGGAAACGGTCTTTTGGGCCGAGGGGATGGGCGAGGATGTGAAGGGTCGTAGGGGGAGGGCGAATTGGGAGGGGGGGGAGGGAGGGGAGGGAGGGGAGGCTGTTCCACAAGTCAGGTTTGCTAATTGAAGAGTATGGTATTTTTTCATACGTTTTGCTGCCCGAAGGCAGGCCAAGATGGGTATTCGCGGCGGCATTGGAAGTACTGGAGATGCAATGCTCTCTCGGTCTGGTCCCATGCTCACTTTTGAAGACTTTCTCCAAGCTCTCAACACTAACCCTAATCAGGGTAGCGTCAAAGAATTACGCGAATTTCCGCCCACCACAAATTCCTCCCCTCACCTCGGAGCTTCGACATCGCGAACTTCTCTTTCTACACCCGCTATCCAGCCGTCTCACCACCGCCAATCCTTCAAGATGGCCCCCAGCAACCTCCCCGCCATCTTCAACCCCACGTCTTCGGACATCGAGATGCTTCTCGCGGCGCAATGCCATCTTGGCAGCAAGAACCTCCAGGTGCACATGGAGCCATATCTGTGGAAGACGAGGCCTGACGGTATCAACGTGATCAACATCGGCAAAACCTGGGAGAAGATTGTTCTTGCCGCGAGGATCATTGTCGCCATTGACAACCCGGCTGATAGTACGGGTCCCCTCATTAACACTCTCCCCACCCCCGAAATCAATCCTTTTCAAGCCGTGAGACTAGAGATAGACAGGAACATGAAGGCTGATTATTGAGTAGTCTGTGTCATCTCCGCCCGCCCCTATGGCCAGCGTGCTGTCCTTAAGTTCGCCGCCCACACCGGTGCCGTCGCCATCGCTGGCCGCTTCACCCCCGGAAATTTCACCAACTACATCACCCGCTCTTTCAAGGAACCGCGCTTGATCATTGTCACGGACCCGCGCACCGATGCTCAGGCTATCAAGGAGGCTTCATATGTCAATATCCCCGTCATTGTAAGCCCCCCTCCTCCCTGACTTGAAAGATGGGGATCGGAATTAGTGCTAATGTGGTACGATTAGGCCTTAGTTGACACCGACTCCCCAACTGAGTACGTCGACGTCGCCATTCCAACCAACAACAAGGGTCGCCACGCTATCGGTCTGATCTGGTGGATGCTCGCCCGTGAGGTCCTCCGTCTACGTGGCACTCTCGCCTCCCGCGAAACCGAGTGGGACGTCATGACGGATCTGTACTTCTACCGCGACCCTGAGGCTGAGGAGAACAAGGATGCCGCTGGCGTCGAAGAGGCCAAGGTGCCCGGCGCTGAAGAGGTTGGCGCTGCTCCCGTGGATACTGGCTTCGCGAACGAGTGGGAGGTTAGTGGTGCTGGTGCAGGCGCTTTTGCTGCAGCGACTACCACTGCGGCGGTGGGGGGAAGCTGGGATGCTGATGGTGGTGCGGATTGGGCGGCGGCTACTACGACGGCTCAGGAAGGCGGTGCTGCGGGCGAGAACTGGGGCACTGCTGCGGCTACCACGGACACCAACGTCCAGTGGTGAACACCCCTTCCCCTTCCGTTCCCCCATCCACATCATCTCATATTGGCTTTCTTTCCCTTCTCCCTGTTATGTCCTGTGGTACTACCCCTTTAAACCCCTAGGGATAGGAGCTTGCATGGAACGGAAAAGATGTATTCAGAAAATATTCACTTGTCTGTCTGTTATGGAGTGGGTTGGGCTGAAGGAACACATCGTTCGGCACTTACGAGGGAAAGATACTCAGACTCTGGCTCTTGTGGAGTGGGGGAATGAGGGAAAGCCCTGTGCTGGCGACCTGGGTCGACTTGATTGGCGCCCATTTCTTCAATTCTACTTTGCTTTATGACATACATAAAGGTTATTAGATATCCACGATATTCATGTGTGATGCGTGATGAGTAAGTGATACTAGGATGTGAGTGAGGGGGATTGCTAGAGGGGATGATTGAAAAACGACCGGATAAATCATTACCAATGTTTATATAAAATACCCCCATTTCCTATTTCCCTTTCCTACCTCGAATTTGGGAGCATGATTTCATCCTCAGGCTCATTCCTCTTCACTCTCCTCACTACTCGTCCCAGCCAGCCCCTCCATCATCACCTTATACAATGGATCATCTTCATCCTCTTCGACCACTAGACCGCCTTCGCTCATCTTCCTACCAACCCCTGGCTGCTGCTGTTGCTGCTGCGTAGTACTCGGCTGTGCGGGCGGGCCGATATCCATGGGCTCTACATCCCTATCATCGACCCCCTCGTCCTCATCTTCGTCATCATCCTCTTGATCCTCGACATATCCCCCATCTTCCTCATCACTTTCTCCATCCCCCCCACTGGCACCACCACCTAGATTCCCAAAATCAATAACCCCGTCATCATCCCCGCCATCAGCATGTCCATATCTACCGCCAGCTCCAGCTCTGCGACCTGGAATCCTTGAACCCGGTCTTCCTGGCGTGAATCCTGGGTTCGGTGACCCTTCGACGCTGCTCGCAGCAGTCGCCAGACTAATCGGTCCATTGGATGGCGATTTTAAGTATCCTAGGCCGCTGAGACCTAGGTTTTGGCCAAGTCCAAGGGATTTGAGCGCGGAGCGTGAGGGCCGGGAGTGGGAGTCCGGAACTTCGATTTCTAAGGCGCCGGTGCCGGTGTTGTTGTCGTCGGAGTCGAAGTCCCCGTCGGCGTCGACGTCTGGAGAGGAGTGGAGGCGGTGGGGAGGCGGATCATGATTTTGGTTATGGTTGCGGTGGGGTGAGTGTGAGGAGTCGATCGAGCCGTCGGCGTCGATGTCGGATTCGTCTGACGAGTGAACGAGTTCTGCGGATTTGATCTTCGACGATACATGTTGGGATTTCGGGAGTGGTTTGCGGGCAGGCTTTGTAGTGAGGTTGAAGGTAGAATTGGACTTGGAGGTGGGTGTCGGGTCGGGGACGCGGGTGGAGGCGCGGCGGTCAAGGCGGACTGTTGGTGCGGGCTGGGGCTGTTGTTTCTTTGTGGTGGGTTTGCGCTGGACGAATGGGTCGGCGTCTGGGCTCTTGCGTTTTCGCGGCTTAGGTGCCGATGAGGACTGTCGCTGCTGTGTGGTTCGTGGTTTTACTGCGGTGGAGGATATGATCGATGGGGCAGATTTCCGGGGGGGAAGTAGCGGCGTGTTCAACGCACTCCCAGTCCCAGTGCGATAGTCTGGTGAACTCTGATGATACTCGCTTTCGTAGCCGCGTTTCTCTTTGTCCTTCCCCTTTTGTAGGAAATGGCGGAAATCGTACGGGTTGTTGGGATCGGGGTCGTCGTTGTCGTCGCCGACGCCCATGTCGAAAAGGTCGTCAACGTCGCCGCTGGCATCTTCATCGCTGTCTTTCTGTTTTCGTGGGAAGATCTTTGGGTGTGAGGATGAGATGTCTGTGGCGTTACGGGATTGGAGGTTGAATGTGTAGGTGGAGGAAAGGGGCTCGAGGGTGCATTTCTGTGACGAGGGGTCGAAGAGGAGGATGTAGGACTTCTTGGGTGCGGTTTTCTGACCAGTAAATGTGAACAAGTCTGTATCTTTCCGGCCATCTTTGTCCTCGAGGCGTAGTTCATAGGAGTCAGTAGAGGAGGATGTGAGTGTTGCGTTGCGGGTTGAAGAGGCTTGCGGTGGTTTGTGGTTGTCTGGGCTGTGCGTGAGAAGGCGGTTTAGACTGGAGACAAAGAGGGAAGGACAGGATTACATTTCACAGCGCTGTATGTAGGGACTGAACTATCGTTCTTCGTAATTCGATCGCTGATATGTAGACTAAAATGCGCTTTCTTATGCGGATCCAGCACTCGAGGCGAGCGGGAGTCCAGCATCGGGGATGTCATTGCGGCTCCTCAGCCCTACCTTTCGCTGCTCTGCTCCGACACGTTCAAAATACTAATAATCCGATGCGACAGGTATGAAAACGGAACGGGGGAAAGAAGCATGCGCAAAGAGGGGTCCAAGGGTCTGTCAAGCTGTCATGCCCAGTGCTTGTGTTTGATTGAATTGACGGCGAGGCGAGAAGAGTGCGGCTGGTCCCCTGTTCCCGATGATCCGGATGCTTTGCCGGCTTGGGCGGCGTATAGTTAGCTTGGATTCTGATTGCGCGGGCCTTCCCGTGCCTATCGACGAAAGGGAAAACCCCACAGACGACTATTTTTAGGCGGATTTGCTAGTCTTTAGTGACTTGAGGAACATGGTTTTTAGAAGACAGTGGATAGATCGTGAGACTTCAATGTGTCAGACCTAGAGGCGTGGACAAGGCGAAGCACACTCTGGAAGAAGTGACGGCAGGGCTCCATTCTGGTGGGATGACTTTGCTTCCACCCGTGAGGTGACGGATACCAAGTGGTAGGGCAGTTGTTATCGCTTCATATGGCTGTGTCGACTTCGCGTTGGGAACAGGCAGCCGGTATGACCCTTTTGGTGGCCGAAGACCCTATAGCTCACTATTTGTAGCTACCGGGAGTTTTCGCATACCGGCTCTCGCGAATGAGAATTAATGTGGGATCCTCAAAGGACAATTTTGCAATGCAAATTTCAATCCTGCACACTGAGAAGCCATTTCTTATTCACTAGACATTCTTGTGTGCAACAACATGGATCAACTCCGCCTTTTAGACGATTCCGTGACAGATCTGGTGGCTGATGTCAATGCAAATCCCCTTCGAATTTTCGAGTCTCAGAGAATGATGGGTACCTTCCCGTGCTAGCTCTGTTAATGAGGCCGCCTAACACGGACTTTCCGCTAGTTAAAGCTCTGAAAGACAGTTTGAGGCATTATAAGGCTAAGGTAGGAAAGAAAGCACTCTCAGAGCCTTGGCCGACGTTTCGTTCACTCTGAACACTGAGCAACAAAGCTCTGCTAATGGGGTTGGTGTCGTTGGTTTAACCTACGAGGACATTGTGAACATATCTTGACTAGAGTAATGTTTCACCTCCTTCTCTTCGTGGTACGTTCTCATTTCGTCGGGTATGATACCTATAAAAGATCGGAATTAGATCGGCGGCCTTGATTTGATTTGACTAGCTCTATCCTCTGTCCTATCGACAGGATGTTACGTCAATTAAGGCCCACAATCCACCGTCGGGCCACTATCTTCGAAATTCCTCAGAATACCTGCAAAAAGAAAATCGTCGGAATAACGCCCAAATAACAATAGGGCTTCCACTAATCCTCTACCGTCTTCACTGCCCGAAAACGCCAAAACCCACCGCCAAAGCAGGCAAGATAATCACAAGTCTGTCCCTCCAACCGAAGGGCTATTGCAGCAGCACCACTGAGTGCGGTCACGCAGTTCTCTATAACGCTAACATCATCATCAACGCTGACATCAAACAAAATTCCAGGCCTCAGACCCAACTCCAATCCCCCCAAAACTCAAACCTACACTATCTCCCTGGCTGACAATGTGCATACCCCGCCAAAACCTTCTTCCCGCCAATCTTCTTATTCAACGGGTACTCCCAATCCACGCCCCTTGTACCACTCCAACCCGCCGCACCTTTCCCATCGTGATATCCTACATTCGCGATTGTCCTTGATTTAGTCGTAGACGTTGTAGTTATATGCGGAGCAGAAGATGATTGGTAGGTAGACGTGGCTGTGAATGGGGATGCGGTGGTGGATGTGAATGTGCGATTGGGGGTTTTCTGGGAGGGTAGTGAGGGGTCGCTGCGAGCGGCAGCGAGAATGGCATTGGCGATGAGGTGTGTGTCCTCGCGGGTGCGAGCATGGAAGGAGGATGGGATAGCGATTACAGGTCGGGGAGGAGGGGCTGGGAGAGGGATTGGAGCTATTGAGGCGGCAGGGGGCTGGGGGAGTGGTGGGGGAGTTGTTTGTGGGGTAGTGGAAGCCGAGGCAGGTGCAGGTTTGAGTTCTGGTATGATAGGCCTGGGAGGGACCCAGTCAGAAGATGGAGGGCTGGTTGTACCGGTAGCATTGTGGGCTTGCGAACCCGCCGTAGTATGCTGAGCGTCGCTGGGTGGTTGTAATTCAGTTTGCTGTCCAGCCTCGGCTACTTTGAGGAGCGGAGCTGCTTGTGCTTGCTCAGGATCAACTAGGACCTCAATGGCGGTAAGGGGTTCGGCTTCTCCTTTCAACTCATCCACTACCACGGTTGTCTGCGAATTAGGCGTCTCTTTCTTTCCCTTCCTACGTTTCAGAAAAGTGAAGGCTCTGGACCACCTCTTTTTCTTATCCTTCTTGCTCCCCTCCACCTGTTCGTCTTCGTTCGTAGTTGCTGTGACCTGTATGCTCGAACCCGAGACTGCTACATCCTTGCTCTTGAGATGCGGCGAGAAAGACGAAGCTGGCACAACCGCACCTGACGGCGATATATTAGCCATTGCTTGTCGTATGCAGTCGCGTCCGAGAGGGTACGTCGGGTCTCGGGTGCCGACAATATGTCTGTCCAACTAGCGAGCACAATGAGCATCTAGGTCCTCTGAGTGGTCCTACGCAATGCCGAGCTTCAGCATTCTGATGCGCAGCTGTTAAAATGTGCTTCAGAGCAATATCTCCTGCCTCTCGGAAATAGCGAACTGCAATGCGGCGAGATTGCTGGACCGAAAGAGGGGAGATGTTGAAATAGAATCCACCCCACCGCAATACGGAAAGGCATGCGTATGACGACCCTCGTATCGGGCGAACACCGTGACAGGGGTGTTGTGAACCCCGATTGGATGTGAATGCAGATACGAATGCCCCAGCCCATCATGAGCCGTAGTGTCGCAAGGCGTGAAGAATGTAAGAAATGCTTGCTCCGCACGTGGGTGACATCTGTCGTGTACTCGTCGTGTACTCAGTGTGTCGGGCGAAAATTGAAGGGGAATACAAAAAAGTGATAAACCACTCGAGAAAGACTGCAAAATTTACTAAAGCGAAGTCGGCCTTGACCTATAAGTAGGACGAAATGGGCCCGACGTCATCGCATTCAGGAAGCCAAATTCCCCATGGGCTTCCTTCAAAGTCAAGGGCACTTTTTTCAATGACTTCTAGGAGAGGTGGACTGACTTCTAACACCATGAACACTTGGACGGTCGTCTCTACTTGGAATAAAATATCTGAGTCCTCGTAGAGCGAGTGAAGCCTGGCCAAAACATACGGAAAGCAGAACGCCCGTAGTTAGGATCACTTTTAGGCTAACTTCGTCGCTAGTACTTCATTGAGGGAATAGTACGGTGGTGCAGTGCAACAAAGTCGGAATGTGGGGATGCACCCGCAGTGTCGGGATAGGCCCTCTTAGCGACGGATAACTAAAATGCCATGTAGGTGCATTGAAAAGCACCGTGTCGATATCAAGTTGCATTCGGACGAGTGGAGCTGGTTCTTTCAGGTTGCCATGCGCCCAAGAAAGTGTTCATCCGGGCAAGTCTAGAGGGTTAGTGAAAGCCGAATGCCTTGCCGCGGAGCTTAGTCTAAGTGAAGCATCGATATTGAAAGTTCGTGGTGCTCCTGCCTTCATATTAACATTCCATCGGTCTTTTCCGGGTGGCAGTGAGCCATGCTGCTAAACAACTAGATATACGTTTTAGCCTAATATCCTACTCACTAACGAAGGCGGTCGGCGCAAACCACTCGCAGAATATGCTGCTATTGATAGAAGCCAAGAATTTTGAGGATATTGGAAAGCATGTACTCACAATATAGGGAACCGGCACCCAGTAACTTGCGCGGACCTTGCGCAGTGAAAATTTGGACTTGGGTCAGGCCAGTATCGTCTATGCTAAGGTCCGGCGCCTTCTCAACGCCATCTCCTCGCAATGGGATCATTTCCTTAATATGGGATCAATATCGAAGGTACGATCTTCGAGCCTAATCCCGAGGCCAGAGCATCGGGAACGGGCGAGAGTACGACGGCTATGGGGTGACAGTGAACCTGAGCAAAAAGACAAATAGGCTCTGATGCCCAAAAGATGTCAACTCAAGTTCACCAACCTCTGCCCTTTGTACATACTCAAGCTCACCCAAACCTCACCTCTCTGTACATACCATCCATAACGAGGATACTCCAGATCACTCTGTCCCTATCGTTGGCATGCACGCCTTTAAGTTGCTCTTCACACTTCTGGCCGCAACCACTACGGCCTCCGCAATGGCTTTAGAAGGCCGCTCGGATCCTGGAGGCCCATGTTCCAAGCTCTCCGACTGCTACGGGGGAGCGCGTTGCTGTAGCGGTATCTGCACCCTGGGGGATTGTAGTGGGAGGCCGGCAAACGAAGGAGCTTCCTGCACCAAGTACGCCGACTGCTTCGGAGGAGCCATTTGCTGCAATAATCAGTGCAAGTTGGGAAGCTGCCGAATGGACGGGTCATGCGACGCTGACAACGACTGCTTTGGATGGTGCCATAATAGCCTCGATCGTAGATGTTGTGTTCCCAAAGGCAAGACAGAAGGAACTTGCAATTGCGTCGGACCATGTACTTGGTCGTAGGCCTGGGTAGTCGATGGAACTGATTAAGAACGATCTCAAATGCCTTCCAGCCTGTATGGAGAGATGAGAGAACGAATTTTGCAGAATGGAGCGGAAAAATCCGGTAACGGTAATTCGGTTGTGGCTAGAACTTTGAATGTGTGGTGTGGCATTAATGTTTGATGGTGCATTGGGATACCCAGACAGCGATCATACAAATTTGGAGTTCCTACAGTTCTTGATGGCTTGATGTAAATTGCATAGTGTCCTTCTAGTGTGGAGTCGTTCATGTAAACTAAAGGGGGCTGGGCAAAAGCTTTGCAGTCTGCCCCAACTAATGGCATTTCATGGGTGTTTAACTGACATTGAAGCTTGAACAAAGGAGCTGAGGCCAGCATTCTAGACATAATTTGCGATGCCATAGAAGAATTATGGAGGTGACAGCGTATAGAGGTTGGAGTCTTGAGGTGGGCAACAGGATCACAGAAATGACGTTGCGCTATCGATAAGGTCAGCAGCTTCTCTCATTACTCTTTTCTTTCAGGGCCCTCAACCTCTTCAATGTAACAGCGATTAAAGCCTTGGATGAGACTTCTCAACCCCGAATCTCTAGGTTTCTTCATGAAGATACCCGCTCTTCCACCACCACAGCCTTTGACTAGCCTGAGGGATACAAGTCTGGCATATCGACATGGGCAAGCCTGGGTCCCTTTTTCTACCGGATATCCTTCCTTGCCCAGTGCCCGGACGATGCGAATTCCATGCAGCCATTTTTGGAGATGGTCCTGATAGTAAAGTCCCTGACAAGTGGTTTTGCGTCCATTGCCAAAAGCACCATCTGACCGCGCTTGAACCCTGGATCTGTCCGCAAGGTCGGTTTGCTTTAGTCCTCTTGCCAGTAAATTTCAAGCCGCTAACCTAAGACGTGAAGAAAGCATCTGGCCAAAAATTTGCCTTGTTTCCCTGCCCACCGAAATACTGCAGCAAATCGCAGGATACCTTCCAGTCTCGTCACAGGCATCATTAGCTTTCACTTCTCGTTATCTATGCCGCCTGATTGGCACAAGTACCTGGATCAACAGCTGGGCCAAACTCAATCAGGTAGCCAATCGTCGGAAAATCCAGTTCTTGTCTCACCTAGCCCGCGACATGCCCGCATACGCACATTGTAAGGAGTGCAACATTCTCCGCCCTTATGATTCCGAGTGCGCTTGGCCGTTGCTTAGGAACCACCGCGAAGAGCGGGCGATTAGACCTCTAGTATACTCGATATCGGAATTTTTAACTCAGCGCACACGAATGTACTATCGGCATGGAAGGGAGACCGGAACATGTCTGTCGGTGCTTACTTGTTCTGGTACCTATCACAAACCCTGGGCCGATCAGGACATTGAGGATGTCGGATTTAGTCAAGAAGAGCTGAAGCAGGGATTACCGATCAAATACTCCACCACAGCACGGCTGGCAAAAGACCTCACAATAGACCGCCTCATCACTCACGTCAACTACCAAATCAATCTCCCTCAACACTGGAGCTCCTTCTCAGTAGCACAGCGTTATGCTATCCTTCGAGACCTCTACCTCTGTCCGCATACCTATGCATCTAAGATCCAATACCGCGATCCCGACGACCCAACCTATCCCGCAGATTCGTCTATTGCGCACTGGCTCCCATCACGGGGCCAGATACCGGATTCGATATGGAGATGCTCGCAGTGTCCAACTGAGTTTCGGGCTAGGGTCGGCTCAGACTCTGGTTTGGTGTGTAGATTTGAGATCGACGTGTGGCAACATTCGACAGGCAGCTGCGGCGATGGGATGATAGAGATGGTTCATTGTCAGTTGTCAGACTGGGGGAATAGGGTTGGAAGGATTCGGGAGATGTTTGAGGCGGCGCAGCCACTGAAACCAACTATGATGCCTGTCTAATTTTTGAGCAGAGTATTGACCTAGATTCTTGATCATCCGCCGTCCAGGAATGATCCGCCTAGCAGATTGGGGGGTTAGGGCCTCTGAATACGAGGTGGGAGTGGCAGGCGAGGGACCAAGCATATGCAGACGGAGAAGCGACGCGTAGAAAGAGTTGTCTTGAACGAAGGTGATAGAATATATCTACAGAACAGAAGTGAAAAGCCAACAGTGCTTTCCTTATCGTACAGGAAAGTAATAGCTCGTACCATGCCTGCCGGACAAGTCTTGAGACGCAAAGCTCAGAGTTAGATAGAAACTGGCTAGTGTATCGTACTGGGTAAGAAGAAAATCTTGTTCGTGCCTGTCTAGAAGAGAAGGCTATATACATGGCACTGCTGTTTGCCGCTATATGGATACGCGATCTTTCACGCAGTTGCGCTTGGTCGAGGCCGATGATGTCGAGTACGAGTTCGGGTTCGAGTAACGGATTGAACTTGAGCTTGTCCTTGAGTGCACGAGGGGGTGGGTACAAGCGGAGACGCGGTGCCTGAATTGGCTTTGGGAGAGCTGGTTGGTGCAGCAACAGTTGTCACTTCAGCCGTCTCAACGACCTTGACCGTTGACACTCGCGTCGCTAGTGTCGAGGGGGTCTCCGCAACGAGTGTTAACGAAGCCGGGCTAAACAAAGGGACAGATGTCGAGGAAGACATCGGAATAGACACATCTGCTTTACTCGCCGTGCTCACCACAGCACTGGGCGTCGCCGTCGCTGTCGTCGCGTTCTGACCTTCCACCTTCGCAAAGATATCCGTCTGTGCACCATTCTTCCAGCCGCATTTCATGTTGTAATTTGGCGTAACCCAATCCTCGGTTTCGATATTGTTGCCTGTTTTCTGGTTCCAGGCTAGCATTTGCTTGGCGCCTTTTACGCACTTCGTGTCGTCGTCTGCGCAATACACGGGGATTTGCGCCGTAGCGAGGGGAGCGGCCGTTGGAGAGGCGGCGGTTACGTTGCATTTGAAACCTTGCATGTACCTAGATGGTGTAAGCTTGGGATCCAGGGAGTGCGGGGGGAAGGGAGATGAGAAACGAGATCCAAGAGAGAGAGGTGGACGGCGAGAGGGAAGAGAGCATTGCAGCTAGAGGAGAAAGTCATGGCCTACATATTCGGCTGCCCACATCCATTCGGGATCCACAGCCACGCACAATGACACCCACCCTCTGGGCACTCTTGCAAATTCGGAACCCTGTAGGTTGCTAGTCGTTTCCAAGGCGTATGGTCCAGCGTCGTAAACACGACCAAATTTTCTATCGTCACATCTTTGATATCTGAATGATAGCTGATCGCAAAAGCAGTGCCCCCAGCTGAACTCTCGTTATATGTATGCAGCGCCCCATCTTCTTTCAAACACACGGCAGGCGTTCCGTCGGTATTCCATCCACTCCAGTCGTCTGGATGCTGACCACCGTCCGGCCAATCGGAGACGAATTTACCGCCATAGGAGAGCGTTGTTTGCGCGCGGTTGTGGGCAAGTTCAACAGTGAACTCGCCGTTTGCCGGGATTTCGAGGAACTCGCCGGCGGCCGGAGGGGCGGCGTCGCAGCCGCGGTCGTGCTGGAACCACCAGTCTGCTTTGTCAAGTTGGTAAAGCGGGTTTACAGCAAGGTTGGTGTTTGGTTCGTCTTTGGTTGTGTCGTTGCCGCCACGACAATACATTCCGGGAGCCCAGGCTGCGGTGTGGGCGGTTGTCCTTGTTGTTAGGACAAGAGCGAGGAGAGTTAGTCGAAGCATATTGTATTGAGTTAAAGAGCAGGAATAGGATTGAAGTCGAATGTACAGGTGCAGGCCGACGCTACAATTTGAAGATTTGAAACGAATGGATGCCGTCAAGGCTGTAAAAAGGTGACGAAAGGAACGATCTTGAAAGAAGGTAAAGAATGGCTTCAATGATATCGTGGAGAGAAGGACACGAAAAAGGCTATACTACCGTTCTTATATGCCTCATCAAATTTAAGGTTGGAGAAGATGTGAACATCCTCCCGCTCGGACAGATCAGTAATCGAGCCAAGAACTTAGAGAGATTCATCATCGTAGAATAGATCTCAAAGCAGCAAGAAGTCAATCACAAACTGGCGAAGTGGGGCCTATTTCTCGTAATGTGAGACGAATCGGAGTTTAAGCGGGGGTAAATTAAATGAACAAGCAGTGGGTTAACCAAAAGAAGACTTTGTTAAAGCGATGGTATAGGGATGATGTGGATTACAGCGTAGAGAAGACGGATGATCGTCATGACATGAATGAGAGGTTGAAACATCTGGCTCTGTTTCAAGGTGGGCGTTTCATTTGGTGGCGTCTGAGCTTCAGATAGCCACGTGACAGAACTTATTCATCAAGCCTCAAGACGCGTTGGAAGTGAAGATTATTAGCAGAGCTCTGCTCTAACTCTGTGATGTTGGGAGGTAAGTTGCAAATGCAGATAATAAGAGATGGGCTTGAACGACCTCGGGGGCTAAAGGGATGTACAGTGTCTTCGCGCTTTACATGGACAATTGATGGAGAGGTTGTTATCTTCTAAATCTGTCAGTAGAATACAGGAGAGAGCTAAAATGGCCAAAGACACTATTTTCAAATTAGACCCTGGTGCCTGGATGTATGGTCGAACACGTAAAAGATAGTATATCACTTGTAGTGCATACTAACCTATCTCACAAGGAAATCTGAGTGATCTGGTTGCTCCTTAGCGTTGCGTTCTGAGTGGTCCAAATGATATGGGTGATCAAGGGATCCAGTTCTGCTTTGTTGGATGAGGGCTTTGAGGGGCGGGGTATCGATAAGAGACGGTCGAAGAAACATGCCCGAAGCCGCATCTGAACCCAGAGAGAGAAGAGGTTGTTTAGGACTAGGACAATATCGATTCTAGACAAAATGGGTTATTAAATAATCACAGGCCGATCAAATCGAATTCGAAAGAAAGACAGGTGGAAACAACCAGGGCACCCATGGTGAGGAGAGTACAAGTGGTTCGAAGGAATTCCGACCGGACTTCCCTTGCTCAAACCCCTTCATGCTAATTTTGAGATGGGTCAGCTGAAGGACACCTTAGTTGCCAGAATGAAGTGTAACTGAGGAAGAACCCAGATCTCTAGGAAGGGGGGTTGCAGAAAACAACAAACAGGGAGAATAAAATACTAAAGAAAGGGCAAAGGAAAATGATGCTGGTTCCGAGACGAAAAGGAAACGGTGTTGCGGGATGCCTGTATGGAACAGTTGGAGCGGAGATGACAGGACCCTCCACGCGTACAGCACACATCAGCAAGGGGGGGACGGTCTCGTGATGAAATGATGGACAATATATGGCTCAAGATTTTTCGCAACAAACCACGGGAGTGCAACTTGTGGGCGATGAGGCGATGAGGCTGAAGGTGGCAGCCTCGGATAGCCAACGGTGGAGTGTGACGTCGAGCGACATGATTTTACAAAGCAGGGAGGCATCCTGGTCGTAATACTTTTGCCGAAACCCGCGAGGTTCAAAACAAACATGCCAATGACCCTTTCCAAGACATTCTTCGGTGAGATTTGTTTGTTTAGGGAGAGGTGGAAATAGCAGAGAAGGGGCCGGTGAAGATGGGGTTTTGCCCAAAGTGCAGAAATTTCCGTGGTGGAGGCCTCGATGGTCTGCGACAAAAAGGTGTGGCGGCGTTTCAGACCAAGATGGTGCTGCCGAACGCCATCTGTAGATTGGCCAATGGCGAGGCATCGTTTCGGAGAGTGACGTTGGCGATGGCACGTCGCTCGTCTCTTATCGCAAGCTTCTTCTTCTGGTGCATGGCAATCTTGACTTTTCCCTGCCGCGATGCCGCATAGGGTGCAGCTTGTTAGGCCATGGCGATGCGCCTTCGCCAGTTCATCTCTCGACTTCTCTTCCTCCCCAGTGCTGTCTAGGACGCGTGTACCACTGCCCTTCTTGCGGTATCATTACCCTCGCTTTCCCCCTCGTCCTCCCCTCGTTCCTTCCTGGCTCCCTCACTGCCCGGTGCAACTGCCCGAGACGACGGACAATCTCACAATCTGAGGCAGGAGCTTCCCCTCTCGGCGCAGTCACTCGTTCCCCCGGCCAGCTTGATCACAGGAGCTCTCAGTCGTTGGGTTTCTATTCTCTTGCTCCACTCCACCGCTATCTGTATCTCAATCTCTCGCCCAACTGCACAACACGGTACTTCTGAACGTCAACGCCGCTCCCTACAATGCGCGCCTCTTTCTTGACATGCGTCCTCGCTGGTCTGACAGCGGTCAATGCCATTGCCACCATCTCGGTTAAGGGCTCCAAGTTTTTCAAGAGCGATGGTTCCCAGTTCTTCATCAAGGGCAAGACTGCCGCCATTCGAATTCAAATAAATGCACTGACAACGCCATCAGGTATCGCCTATCAGCTGGTGCCCGATGATCCCCTTATCAACAACGACCAGTGTAAGCTCGATGCCTCTCTGATGAAGGACCTCGGCGCCAACTCGATCCGTGTCTACCATGTTGACCCCAGCGGCGACCATAAAGCCTGCATGTCCACCTTTGCCGACGCCGGCATATACCTCTGGGTGGACCTGGACACGTTTACCACGCAGATCAATCAGGTACGGGCGGTGGCTGCGTACTTGACTTGGGGCAGGAGCTAATGGTTGCATAGGAGTCGCCTCACTGGAATGAGACCCAATTGAAGGCCTTCCAGGCTGTCATGGATGAATTCCAGCAGTTCGACAACACCGCGGGTTTCCTTGTCGGTAATGAAGTTCTTACCAAAGGTATGCGTGTCCCTATCTGCACTTGCACCTGTTCGCGTTTCTGCTAACCCTTCATGTAGCGAATGGCTCTGTTGCAGCGCCCTTCGTCAAAGCTGCCGCCCGTGACTTAAAGGCTTATAGAAACTCGAAGAAATACCGTGACATCCCCGTCGGCTACTCCGCTGCCGATATCGCCTCACTGCGCCCCATGCTGCAGAACTACATGGCTTGTGGTACGAATGCCTCAGAATCACTCGACTTTTTCTCCTTGAACGCGTATGAGTGGTGCGGGCAGTCGTCCTACACCCAATCCGGCTACAGTCAGCTCACCAAGAATGCGACCGGTTACAATATCCCTATCTTCCTCTCAGAGACTGGTTGTATTGAGCCCAAGCCGCGAAACTTTGATGATCAACAAGCCATTTTCGGCGATGAAATGTCGTCAGTATGGTCTGGCTCTATCATCTACGAGTGGATCGAGGAAGCCAACGGCTATGGCATCATCAAATATGGAGAGAAAGGTGAAGCTTCCCCGGAGAACCCCGATGGCTACACCCGCTCTGGAACCCCAACTCCTATCTCTCCAGATTTCCCGAACCTGAGCAACCATTGGAAGACTCTGAATCCTACTGGTGTCAAGGAGTCCAACTATAACCCGACTCTAACTCCGCCACCTTGCCCTGCTTACACTTCAGACGTGTGGGAGGTCAACGGTGGCGTTGCGCTCCCAACCCTAGGTCAGACGTTCGACGCTGGCGTTCAGAGTAGCATCACGAAAGGCACGGCGGCGGCAACGGGAAGCGCCGGCCAAGCTAGTCAGAGTGCAACTAAAGGCGCTGCTCCAGGGAGTCCGATACGAGAAGTCCAAGGCATGGGATTGGGTCTCATCGGAGTGTTGGTCGGCTTCTTTTGGTGGATGTGAAACGACACCTGTCCTCTGAAAACGAGGCAAATGTTCTTCCCATCCTTTCAAAGGTTCAGTCCATAAAATGGTCGACAGTAGTAGTGGGTGGGCTTGGAGTGGGATCAGTCAATGCGTCCTTATCCTACTTGAAAAAGTTGGCAAAAAGTTCGTGTTGGGATGATGTTGATGGATTTGGCTCCATCTGTTTTCCCTTCCATTTACATGATTGTAATGCATGCAAGACAGCAAGCATGGCGTTGGTGTGGCCAGCTCTAGAGCTTCATTCACATTATGGAAGATACCACAGATTCTGAGTTTGGGGGATTGTTTTCTGGAAAACCAGAATTGGAGTGGGGAGTTACATGTGGGCGTATAGATAGATTGGTGAGGTGTGGTGTAGTACATATACATATTGGAATACACATTTGTTAGTAGCATGACGAATACTGCGGAGAGAGTTAAAATATGAATGACGGCTTGTCCTCTTCACACGTAGTCTCCAGCGTGACACAAGATCTGGCAATCTCACGCAATGAATTCGGAGCTGTCCCGAAGAACAACATATCAATAATGTCGCAAGTATGGCGATGTTACCACAGCTTTCCCCTCTTTCTGTCAAACCGATGTCCTTGCTACTTAAAGGGTTGAGCTACCCACTGCACCCTTGTGCAGCTGGCTATTTTTGGCCTCATTGGCTAAGACTATTCTCCAAGCAACGGGAATGGATCAGCAGAAATGAGAAAGGTCCGCTAAACACGAGACTGTTGGAGATCAGGTGGCCGCAACACGTGAGGCCTAATTGCCGAAGTTGGACAGGAAAGCGATGGGAGTACGAAAATGGGCGATCTCGCAATACGAAGCGAGGAACTGAATTTGTAACAGGTGGATCGGGCTACGGACAAAGAACGACAAATGGGGAAATTTAGAGATTAGGTTTGAAGGGTGCAGAACTGCTGCTCAGTTCGACACGCTTTTCTCGTGGCGCTTTTTTTTTCGGTCGGACAGATCCATTGTAATGCCCGAAACGGTGTCATGAACAAATATTCCGTAAATGCTGCAGCCGAAGCTAAAGATATCGAATCGGATAGCTCGGCCCAAATCCTCCAAATCCTCCTAGCATTCCTATAAGGTTGTCAATTGAAACATGTATAGACAATCTAAATCCGAGTATAAACGTCCCTGCACCTAGACTTCAACGTCCTAGCGGCCAAGCATTCCCCGCACACAGCCACAACCGTCGCATCTGTGGTAATCTATACGAGTATTGGAAACGGCTGGATTAGGAAAAGAGGACTAAGATTTTGTATCCGTTTGTTTGGGCTAGGGAGAGGATCTGCTGAGGGAAGGTAGATCTTACGTCCTCACGCCATGAATGACGATGGATTTGGTGGAGGCAATGGTTTAGATGGTACAGTGGTAGTGGTGCAACGTAGACAGAGAGCATGATATTAGGGTAAGCTCCTAGTGGGTTTTGATGGGTTAATCGATAGAGGGATACGAGGGGTGACAGGTGACAAGACTACTCAAGGATTGCGACCAATGTCCAGATTTAGGAAGGCAGGACAAGAGAGGCGGCGACGAAGAGTATAAAAACCGACATACCTCTGTTCATGGGAGTCCATTTAGTATCATACATTCGGCAATCAACATTGCAAAACCCTCGGCATCCATTAAACATTCGTTTTCCAACATTCGCTTTAACTACCATCTACAAAGTTCACCTTTCGCTCCCTCTCGAACAGCTTGTGGTATCCGTAGAAAGATAACAACATGCGTTTCACTACCGCTTCTGTAATCGCTCTGGCGACTTCCGTTTCTGCTGTAGGAAATGCAGTTGTAAAGAACAACTGCAACGAGAAAATCTACGTCAATTCTGTTGGTAGTTCTGTAGGGCCACAGTCAACTCTTTCTAAAGGCAAACACCCCAACCTTCCCCCCAACTAAACTCAGCTAACCCCCACCCATCAGGCCAAACGTACTTGGAAGTTCTCCATCGTGACCCCACCGCCGGTGGTATAGCCATCAAAATCACTAAAGTCGATAGCGGACTCTACTCTGGGGCTCCGCAGCAGATCTTCTCATATTCGTTGGATGGCGCACAGGTGTGGTATGACCTTAGTGCTGTTATGGGAGAGCCGTTTCATGGAGAACATGTTACGGTGACGAGTAATGGGTGTGGGACCATTGATTGGCCGAATGGGTCGAATCCGGGGGGTAGCCAGGTGAAGGTTTGTGGGAGTGGGAATGATGTCGTCTTTACGGCTTGCGCTTGAGTGGGGGAGGGGAGAGAATTGATAGGAAGAAGAGGAAAGGAATTGGGGTTGTGGAAAGATTGTCGTCGCTAGTTGGTTTAGCTGCCACGTGAATAATTCTAGCTCTCTGGCGCTCGGCAGGTCATTCACTATCCTGTGAAAAGCCTCTATGAAGGATCAGTGAGCCCTATGTGTCACCATAAAATATGTTGAACGGTAAAATTCCAACCTGTGCAGCGGCTGTGAACGTGGAAGGATCTGAGTAGGATCTTGATAACATCATTAATTAGGCTTAACCCCTCCTGCTCTTTTCTCCAACACAATTCTCCTCTTCAACTCTAGGGAATGGCAGACTAGGTCATCTGCCTTTTTCTCCAGGGGTTTGCCTTTCCTTCAGGGTTCTTCTCCTGCTCTTCCTCTTCCTCGGCTCCGTCAACGGAATCATCATATCCTTTCCGCATTTCGTCATTTGCAACGGGACGTGATAGGTATCTGATTTTTAAGTGGACAGAGCGTCCTCTCTGTGCCCTCCAAATTTCTAGCAAGAGGGCTAGTAGAGTAAATACTGCCTGCTTGTGTCCCGTGTCTATGATGCGCATCCAGCGACAGTTGGATGGATCAAGATTTGAATTTACTCTATGGGGTGTTCTGTGCCATGTGATAGCACGCTCTCCTGCATTTAATCGCCAGGAGTGGAACATGGCTGGAGCTCTTTTAGGAGAGAATCTTGCATTCTGTTAGCGGTCTTCCTAATTCCAGTTAGGGCTGAAACCGACAGACTCCACCCAAGTCATTCTTAGTGTCATGTGCTAACATGCTAGACAAGAAACACAAAGCTTCGTCGTCTGGCAACACCAGTGATGACGTTGTTTGTCTAGGATGGACGAGAGGTGGCGGCCTAAGGCCCACAAGCTAGGACAGAGTGGATGTACCCCAGGTAGGCCTCTTGGGGTGGGGAGCTATTTTCACGAGGCGAGTCCAAATGGCGACAAGCAGCGAAATTTGGAGCCTCCTGCCTGATACAGTAAGTATCTAGAAGGCCTCGGAGGCGGAAAAGTGCGTGTTCGTGAATGGTGCATTGGCGCGGAACTGTGGGTGGCTCGAGCGCCACGATCTACTTGACACGTGCTTCAAGAATCCAGCCGAACACTATGCCGTCCCACTCCTTGCATTTGAACCTCACCCCATCCATCTTTAGATCCCAGACGTAATGAAGCTACAGGCTAGACGGGGTTTGTTGGAATTTGACGGGTGTCAGCGCAGCGCCATGCATCTTGAGCCTGGCAAAGATTCCTTCTATCCGTCCCGATACCGCCCAACTCACCCCGAACTCAGGTTAGCAAAGCGCATGCCCCAGTGGGTCGCATTGCAAGGGAGAGAGCAGAGCGTTGAACGCCACGCTTGGGGTCGCACTCTCCGAACCGACTGGCGCAAAACTGTGCCGCAATCTGTCATGTTGAATCATGATTGAGGCGAGGGTAGGAAGTTTGCTGGATGACAACCCCTGGTCCATCGGAAATGTCCACCCTGTTGCAAGTCATCCCACACTTATCTCTCCAGTGATCGCCTGCCTCCCACGAATACTGCTTGTTCGCATGAGGATGTGGGCACTGAATGACGAGTGATCGGCTGAGACTCTGGAGCCGCACCCTGAAGGTTCAAGCCTCCATCCTTCGCGTCCCGAGCCAGCCTAATCAGCTTCCGTATTTGTGCAACCGTACCGGCCCGCAGTTCACTGGGCGTCCTCTGCAAGACACATCTTCCGGTGAGGTTTGCTGACAGCGGGGAGCCTTTACATCGCGGGAGCTGGCCTTTTGTGCGACTTAGCAATATTTTCTGAAAATGGTCTGTTGCCCTTAAATCCTGTGATATCACGTTTTTAGCCGCCGTTTGTTCGGGTTCAGTGACTGCAGATCCGGCTGCTGCTGACAGCTGGGCGTCCCTGGAGCGGGGAATGGTCTTCCAGAGCATTCATTGGCGTTCGAATTTAGCATCCGACTCCCTGTTCCCACCACTGGCCTGGCTTCATCAACATATCCACACAGACCTTATCATCCCTCAACCTGGAACGCCCCGGTCTCAATTTCACATGGCTGCAAACCTCGGGGCCACCGCGACTGTTTGGGAAAGGGTCCCTTTTGCTCGCCGCAGCGGAAGCCCATTCATCTGTGCCTGCGATCCATCACGGCACCAATGCATGATTGGCCCCATGTGGCTTCAAACGCGGCCAGACAAAGTCATGTATTTCAACGCCATGCCACTTGCCACCATAAGAAGCCTCCCGAATGGCGGAAATGCTCTTGTGCAACAATCTATATGGGTCGATCGTTCAGGCCGCGCTGACATCTAAAAGTATTTGTCTTACGCACTATACTAACTGCTTGTTTCTCACTTTGCGTCATTCACGATCCCCTTCCTCTCCTACACCTTCATATGATGAAATCCGGAGCTCGATAACCCTACCTCAACCACACGAGTTGCACATGTACACAGTCCCATCTATCTGATAAGATGAGTGCAAGGACGCTGACGAATGTTGTAAATGACCAAACGGTTGCCTTGAACGCACTCATTTTTGGATATGCAGGCCACTCTTTAGTGACCCCTCAGCACGCCCTTCAGCAGATATGGTGGACCGACGAGAGAATCAATGAGAAAGTGACAACAGAATTCATAACGTCTAGACTGCGGCCAAACGAAAGGCAATGGTTGGACCGCCCGGTGGGCTTCGGAGACTTAACAAGCGATACCTATATGGACTGGATATTGGAACGAGCGCGAAGGCTGTTCTTGGTATTAGTAGAGGTCGGGGCCTCCGAGAAGATCTTTACTGTCGTAGAGAAGTCGTGGGACGATGACGATCTGCCACTGCAGATGGAAGATATTGAGAAGCTATCGCTGTCGAACAGAAAGAATGATCAACTCAACACCCGATTCTTCCACACGCAATTCACGTTCCTACTCCGAGAGCTACGCGAAGGCGTTCATATCGACTACGCCCCGAATGAAGTGCTGCCCTTAGAATATGTCATGGGCCTTCCGCCTGCAGTCACACTTCAAAACTGGTCGCGGGTCCACCCGCCAAAGAAACCTAATGAGGTATATGTTCGAAGGAAGTTTGCTCTAGGAAACGCTGAGTCTCCCGACGCGTTTGAATCGGACTTCTTAATGGACGTGGAGAGTTCGAGGATGGTGGAGCATGAGCATATCGCGCCGGTGTGGTCTTCGTATACTGTGAAGTGGACTGGATACACCCTAACGAACTTCGTCGGCCAGCACACGCTTAGAACATTCATTGACCACCGAAATCCGGCGCAGTACCAGAGGCTACCTAAGCCTGAACGGAGATATCTACTACTGAATTGGCTTCATTGCTTGTCTGATGCACTTACTACACTCCACCAGAGCGGCTTTACTCATTCTTGCATAAGGCCATCGAACATTCTAATCGACGAACACAACAACATTGCATTCAGCGACATTGGCAGCTTGGAAACGTTCCAGAGGGATAAAAGGCCAGACGCTATGGAAGCATATGTATACGGTGCGCCGGAGGCTCATACATCTGCCCAACCCTTCGATCCCAGTGTCCCAGTCTCTTCACCCAATGTCAATACAGCTCGTCAACCATCGGTCGCAAGTAAAAGCTCTTCGGGTTCTTCGAACAGCAATGGCTCGCAGCGGCAGAAGCTGACCAAAACTCCGGCAAATGATTTTTCCGGTTTCAATTTCGGATTCAGAAAGACCAAGCCTGCGCCAAAACCAAGGTCTCGTATCCACGAAACGGAAAAGGCGGACGTATTTTCTCTAGGATGCGTGTTCCTGGAAATCATAACCTTTATGATGAAGAAGAAGCCTCATGACTTCATCAAGCACCGCTCTTCAAAGCAGAGGGTAAATACAGGAGGCAAAAATTCCCGGACCGATTCGTCGTTCCATGGAAACCTCGAGAGAATAGAAACATGGATGAAGGTTATCGAAGATGCCTCATTCCAACACGACGATGACGCGTTTCGTGCGGTCCCGCTTATCATAAACCTGATCCGAAGCATGCTCAGTCGAGCACCTCATATTAGGCCGTCTGTAAGAGTCGTTCGCGATAGGCTCCTAGAAATCCTACTCCATTATACTGCCATACCCGATATCCACTGTGGCGCTCACAAGCACGATATCGGCGTAGCGACTTCATCGCATTCCGGCTCTGATCAAGCCTCAACCATATCTTCTATTCGATCCTCCTCACTATCGACGATGAGCTCTATCTCAGACATCTCAGACACAGACACGATTCGCTACTCCACAACATCCACCACGCGAGTATCCTCGATTCTAAACTCATATCATGACCGGTGTTCAATGCTCTCAGAAATATCAGAGCTCGACGATAGTGCATCAGTGCGCACAGTTGGAAGGGCATTCCCTTCCCCTATTCATACGTCAAGTAATGCCGTAGACAGAATTGTGCCACCTCCCCTGAGTCCCCCCATTTCCCCGCGGTCCTCAAAACCACCAGTCTCACCGAAATCTCCACAATCGCCAAGCTCATCAAATGTGAATCGGAGTAAAAAAACCGCGCCATGGAACAAACCATTTCTGCTGATGCCGTAAAACGTGTGCCGGGAGACAGAATCCGACTTTCCCGAAGTCGGAACTTTAGCATCGTCTATCCCTCAAGGAGCAAGCCATCCGGGTCTTTTTTTGTGACCCACTTCTGAAGAAAGCTAGGCATCCTCCTATATTATCACCCAATTTTCGGGCTGCGCCTTGGTGATGCGGGTTAAAACCCGGGATTGCGGTTGGAAGTGCTGACAGGCTAGGGCAGATCACTAGGCAAGGCGCGGGGTTTGTTGTAATCGGTTCTTCAAAGGTTCCAAGATTTGCTAGGGCGCTTCAAAACGGGGAACCTGTAGAAGGAGGGCAGCGAGACTTTCGCAGTGCTCTACAGTCCCGTAAAGACTTGCAAGAGACGACCCGCGGGAGAGGGAATGGACTTTGTGATATGAACTGGTCCGGCCGATCCGCTTGTAGTCACTATGGTTTGGGATGACGGAGATGACTACTATCTTCAAGATCATGGATCAACCTTCTGTAGAGCTTATTACTCAATATAGCAGGTGCTATGTCCAACAAGGCACGCTAGGCGGTGAACACAGACATCACGTGCGTTCGGCTACCCTTACTGAGAGCCTTGTTAATTGAGCGTTGTGCGGGGTTTGCATCTCTCACCGCATCCCACATCCAAGCTTCATCCTTCTCCACACCTCCCGCAGCTAACTTCCAAGTGCCTAGGTACCTGCGTCGTCCTTATTGCCAGCGCATCATACGTCACAACATCTAGTTTTCGCGTACAGCGTCTCATTTTGAAGTTACATCTGTCGAATTCTGGAGGGTTTCCCCCTCCCCATCCCGAATGAGCAAACGCCCAGCTAGAGACCCTGTCACGATCATTTCGCCATGCATTTGCATGTAACTAGTTTGTTCTGGAGCGCCAAACGATTAGAGCTTGTGACGACAGGTATTTTGTGTGGATCTACCGTCCCGCGCAGTACCTGGCAGATGTTTTTCATACTACGGACGCGCGTTCGTCACTAAACATTGAAGTTTGTCATTAGAGATCCCAGGAAAGCGAGTCAACAATAGCCCGGATCTCCTTGCAATCAGCTTTTCTATAAATTCGGCTTGAGCTTAAGCCGGGGCATTTACCTGCGGGGATTAATGTGCCGGAGCTATTCTACTGGCCAAGCCGCTATCAATGTTCAGAGGGTGTAGTTTGCCCTGGTCCACTTCCACGTTCCGGTATTCCCATACTTTCCTCTTGCTATCGCGCATGCAGCCCCGGCGTTTTTGCACTACCGACGCCCCCTCACTTCAACTTCCGCACTTTTCTTCAATCTCATTCCCGCTTTTTAGAGGGCTCTGTAGTGGTGTCTTTTCAATTCACACCGCCCTTTGGTAGGTGGTGCGATGCAGGTCACTTTAGCTATTGCACATGATCAAAGCTTTGGGTCACGATCGTGCATGAACAGCCTCAAACTCTAGAAGATCGACGGGGGCGTACAGCCACCAAGCTTGAATCCGCCCCTAGCTCCAGGCCAAGAAACGGCCTGCATGCACCCAAGCCATTCCGGCTCCAACCCTACAGGGCAACGGGTTGCGTGCCTTAAATAATTTAGTTGGCTCTCAGTTTGCACTCCTTGCTTCTCTCTTTCTCTTCCTAGTCACGCTGAGTTGATCCTGTTCTACTGTCAAGATGCGTCTCTCTTGTGCCATTGCCTCCTCTCTGCTGGCAGCAACTACTCTTGCCACTACAAACAGCAGGTTCTTTAGGCGAGCCAGTGATTCAGGCTACACGCTCAAGGAAGGCCCTTTGGATACACCATGGACGAGCAAAGTCGGCACGAATCCATGGCCAGAATACCCTCGACCGCAGCTCCAACGTTCAGAATGGAAGACACTTAACGGAGTATGGCGCTACCAGAATGCGACCAGCTCGGACGATGTAAACCGGCCACCATATGGTGTCAATCTTACATCTCCAGTATTGGTCCCATTCTGTCTGGAGAGCGCGCTCTCAGGTATGAAAAAAAAAAAGTTGGCATAGCGCCCGAGATATGCTTACTTTTAGAAACAGGCGTCATGGCCAAGTGGGCCATCAATAGCTGGTACCAGACCTCTTTCACTGTTCCATCATCGTGGTCTGGCAATCGCGTGCTTTTGAATTTTGGAGCTGTGGATTATGAAGCTACAATCTTCCTGAATGGCCAGCAAGTTGGCTTCCATCGTGGCGGATATTTCACTTTCACAATTGATGTGACCGACCACTTGTCCGCAAATGGTACGAATGAGATGTATGTGTCAAACAAGTTTGGTTTCGCAGTCGAGACTAACTAGCCAAAATGTAGGTTCGTTTTTGTGCATGATCCAACAGATATGGGTGATGTCCAGATCCCGATTGGCAAGCAGACTCTTCACCCATCACATATTTTCTACACCCCATGCAGTGGGATTTGGCAGAGCGTGTGGCTTGAATCGGCTCCTTCCAATCATATTACCCAGCTAGATGTTAGTGCAGACATGAACGGAAGGGGTAAGGGAAATTCTCTAATTGGAATGGTAATGTTGCTGACCGCCTCTCAGTCAATGTCACAGTCCACGCCTCTAACAACGGGAGCACACTTGTGGAGATCACCATCTATGAGCCAAAATCTACGGCTGTCAAGACCACTGCCAAGGGGACCTCTGGTGGCGCGTTCCAGTTCACAGTGGATTCGCCTGATCTGTGGTCGCCCGACCAACCCACTTTGTACAACATAACAGTTAAAATGGGTGATGACACGGTCCAGAGTTATACTGGATTCAGGACTATTTCCAAAGGCACGGTAAATGATGTCCATCGTGTGCTCCTAAATGGCGAAGTGATATTTCCCTTTGGAACCCTAGACCAGGGTTTCTGGCCAGATGGGATTTACACAGCTCCAAGCCGAGAGGCCATGATTTATGACTTACAGGTGTTGAAAGGGGTGGGGTACAATATGCTTCGCAAGCATTTATGTTTCCCCTATCTTTTCAGCATGGCTCTTTTTGCTAACGCCTTTTAGATCAAAGTTGAGCCTGCTTTATTCTACCAAGCATGCGACGAAATAGGTATCATGGTCATTCAAGATATGCCTTCGCTGCGGACTCAAGTTCAGCGACCTGGTTCGACTGCGTGTAATGATGGCGTACCTGTTGGCTATGCAAGCGCACAAGCAGAGTTCGAGAGAGAGCTTCCATTACTTATTGAACAACACAAGAGCTACCCTAGCATCATTACCTGGGTAATAAGGACTTTCTACTTCTTTCTCGACCATAACCCTGACTAAAGTACTCTCTAGATTATCTATAATGAAGGTTGGGGTCAAGAAGTTGACAAGGAATATCCAGAATTCCGATTGACTAATTTAATCCGTTCGCTCGATCCCACTCGGCTCATTAATTCGGTGACCGGATGGGATGATCATGGGGCTGGTGATTTCCACGTAAGAACTGCTTCTACCGGTTGCCTGCACTGTCTATTACTGACTCCCGATTCAGGACAACCACCATTACGCAAATCCACAATGTGGAACGCCATTCTACTCAACTGCGTCAACTCCTTACGATGGAAAACGAATCGGAATTCAGGGTGAATTCGGGGGTATCGGTAATAACGTTTCGATCGAGCAGTAAGTGCAACTGCCCATCCCACTCTTCTTCATTCGCTCTTAGTACCTAAAAATACACGACCTGACCATTCTTGTAGTCTTTGGAAGGTCCAACCATCCATAAATGCCATAAACCAAACTTATGAACTCGACGACACGGTCGAGATTTGGAACTACCGCGCTCACGTCCTGCTCATGGAGTTGAAGGACCAGATCGACCGGTTCGCTTGTTCCGGCGCTATTTGGACGCAGACTACTGATGTCGAGGGCGAAGTCAACGGAATGGTGACTTACGATCGACGCATCAACCGCATGAACATCGATCAGTGGAAGTCTGATATCAAAGCTCTTTATGACGCCGTCGCAGCGAGATCGGACAACTCGAGTATGAGGATGATGCCGAGGCAAGACGGCATCGGAAGCTTGTAGGCCGTGTGCATGATTGATTACCGGGTTTCATAATTCTTGCTTTTGCATGTCAGTGAAAAGTTCCGGATGTTGCGGGCTTACCATTATAGGTGAATGGAGGATTCGGAACGAGACTCCGTTCTATTAAAGGGTGACTACATTGGATGGGTGGGGTTACCACGCTTAGGAGAGCCTTTAGAGAGAATCTCCCATCATCTTAACTTGTAGCCTCGCGCTAACTTTAGATGGTTATCCTAGTGTCTTTCATTCATACATATTTACAACTTCTCTAATCCTATCTTGGCCTATTTTCTCGACCGCCCATGGCTGGTTTCCTGCGCCTGCCTGGAACTCCAACTTTTCCTACATATATACCAACATATCAGGTGTCAAGCCGAAGCGACTTACAATCTGACCATTTCAGCTGGAAAGGAAGGCACAAGTGGCACGCTATCAGAAATCATGCTTCCTCTCATGAACGCTCCACTCCTCCGCACCCAGTGACCAACACCATGCATACTCCAATGCCGTATAGCGCGCTGCTCAGGAGAAAGAGTGGGCGCCGGTCGCTTTGGTTTAAGGGGTATATTGATGGTCTGCTTATGGATTTGTTCTGCGTCTTGCGCTTTCTCTTCTTTTAGCTTTTCTGGTTGCCCTTGCATCATGCTAGAAGGCGACGACGAAGCCGCGGAGTTGACAAGAGGTGATGTAGGAGGTAGAGAGACAACTGTTTGAATTGGTTTGCATCGTGGTATAGATTGAAGCCCGACGGTTGGGGCCGACTTCACCCTTTCCATACCTAAGCCTTTCTGCCGCGACCCGTTGCCAATACGATCAAACGAGCTCGTTCGCCTCAAGATGGATGACCCAGAAGCCTGGTGCCAAACTGAGGGCATGGAAATTTGTCGCTTTAGCTGCGGTTTGGCGGGGTCAACAGCTGAAGGAGGTGCTAGCGTGGGTAACATTCCAACAGGCTTCCGTCGTGGCACTGACTGTGGTTCCACAATCGATTCCAGGTTCACCTTGACTACGTTTCCTCGCTTTTGAGGCAAAGCTTCTCCCGTGAACGAACTTGCCCTTCTCAGGATCGATGGTCCAGCTGCTTGACCTCGTATCGACGGTAAGGAGGTCCGTCGCGTGGCGATGGGATGTGCGACCGGCGACGGTGTGCTGATGAGGAAGGGTCCAGTCCACTCGGACTGGCGGCGCAGAGGCGCACTACCCGCGATAATCGAGTCATTGGGTGCAGGAGTAATGATTTCAGGGTCTTTAGAAAACGAGACTTTCTTTGAAGGCTTGCGCAGTGGCTTGACATCTTCGGGAGCATCTTCGGGTATGGAAGCCATCCGTTCTTCGGGCCTCCACGCCGACAAAGGAAGCACTGATGTGGATGGGCCTTCCTCCAGGTTGTCGTATATGAAAGTTGGTAACCGGGGTGATGATGCATTTGATCTCCTCCTTGGGAATGATGCTGACTCTCCCCAATCTTTTTCACGCAACTCGTCCACTTCAAACATAGGTTTTGACTTCCGTATCGGTGCGCTTCTCCTCTTCTCAACGACTCGCTCTTTTCCTTTCCATCGCTGCTCCCTTGCACCGACCCAGTCTTGATGGACAGCAGGCAAGACTAAACCCTCTAGAGGAGCAGACTTGGTCTTCCAGCGCCTCGTTGATTGCGAGACTTGTCTTGTCGGAAGACCACCAGGATTCGGGTTTGCCCGTCTTCCTTCGTTGCAAGTTGGATATACTGGTGATTCGGTGCGAGCCGGCTGTTTACTCTTGACGTCCTTGAATTCGCGCGATTGCGGTTGAGGCCGTTGTTCTTCTGCAAGATCCGAGAAGGAAGGATCCGAAAGAGTCGAATGGAGATTCACCGGTATCGAGGAGCTCAATAACATAAATGGGAGACAGGCCTGCATGCTAACTTTTTCGATTCCTGTCATAAATTCCTAAATGGGGCCAAAAATCCAAGCGATTCTTCTCGCCTGCAGTCAAGCAACAACACCGAAGAATATGTTGGAAGCGAGATCAGGAAATTCGAGAATCAAACCATTGATTAAACAATCAAAACGAAATCAGCCATCTTACCCCTTCCTCCAACACCGGGGCATTACAAAAGCCTTGTGGTCCGCCACCCTCACAATGCCTCTCCCAACGACGATCTTCTGTTGGAATCTCGTTTTGTCCCGCGCTTACTTTCCATTTTCTCCTCCCGAGAAGATCATATTTTGGATCTCGAGCTCCAGAGTGGAGACATTGGAAACGCCGACCCCTGACTCGGGACCGGGAGCTAAGGCTTTTCTGGAGGAGGTGACCTGGGGCTTGGGACAGGAGTGGGTGCTGGGGTCTGCACAGTCAATACCCATGTGCGTCATCGGGGTTCTGGGAACGGGGAATTCGGCTATAGAAATAAAGAAGCCAATTGTAGATGCTTATCTGAGATTTACGCGGAGTCGGGTCAGAAGTAGAGTTCGGAGATCTAAGACTCATCTTCGGGGTTGGGATGACCGATCGACAATCGATAAGCCCCAGATACGACCACGTGTGGATTCCCACAAATCCTCGAGGTATTCGTTCGAAATTCAGAAAATAGACATCTGTCATTCACGGAAGGGGTTTTGTTTCGAGTGGAGAGGAACCTGAGGGAGAAATAAATAATGGCAACCTGCGACCCCTTCCGCAGCGCCCGCCTCATCTACCGCGCCGTGCACCCAGAAAAAGACAAAGATCTGTTCAACGCCATCAACGACGACCGTATCGGCTTCCAGAACAGCAACGCCGCTAACATCCGTCTCCCAGGCCCCGCTGACGCCGAGAAGTTCTTGAAAGAGATTGCAGAGGAAGTCCTGCTAGGCGCTGTCATTTGCCTTCCCGAAGCTGCAGCCATAAGCTCTGCTTCAGCCTCAGAAAATATCCGTGAAGCCACTCAGCAGCCGCTGAAGAAAGGGAAAGTAGTGGCGAAAGGGAACGCAGGTACACCGATCGGCCAGATCCACCTCAAAGCTGCAAGCCGGCACATGGCGCATCACCGCAACACGGAAATAGGGATCGATATCTTACCCCAGTATCAGGGCAAAGGGTATGGCTCTGAAGCTATTCAATGGGCGCTGCGGTTTGCGTTTGAAAGGGCGGGGCTGCACAGGGTTACGATTCGCGCCTTTGAGTGGAATGATGGCGCTGTGAGGTTGTATCGAAAATTGGGGTTTAAGGAAGAGGGGAAAGTGCGGGATGAGCTGTGGTTTGAGGGGAGGTGGTGGGATGGGGTGTTTTTTGGAATGTTGGAGGGGGAGTGGAGAGAGCTGAGGGCAAAGGAAGGGAAGGAGGAAATTGAATTGCTTTAGGGTTGGCTTGTATGCAGAGCGAGAGAGTGGTAAAGAGTTGTCTGAAGCTACGTTCTCAGTAGGGCCTCCAGCGGTCAAGAAATTGCAAATTTACACTGGGGAAATCTTGTCGTCTAACACGGAATATGACAGGGCTAACTTAGGACAGAAGTGTATATCCAGTTAACGTTATCCTGGATTCTAGGAAGAGTTTTGAAAGATTGACTTCATCCTGGTAATGCTCCATGCTATGTGATAACAAAGTGTGTGGTACAAACCCAGCTTGCTTATCCTCATTTCTACCCTTTTACTCATCCCAACTATCCCATTCCACAGACCTCCCTTAACTGTGCGAGTCTACTTACTAATCAGCACGCATGCTTCCCACAAAACCCCAAGATACTTACATAAGGACACTCGTCACGAAAGTATCTCACACTTATGAAGATCAGGTTTCGGCCCAAAGCAAGCCTTTTTGCAGTTAATCAGTGTGCCTTCCCCCCTAGCGGCAAGGCCAATTTGTGTGGTGTTTGTGTGTTCACTCGGGGCAACTGAGGCCACTTTCTTGGCGTTTATTGGTGCGCCCAGGACGGCGGAGGCGGCGAGGAGGATATAGTAGATTGTTTCGAAGCAATGCATTTTTGCGGAAAGGTGTGGTTATGGGGGAAGATAAAGATAAGTTTTATGATTCTTTGGTTGCGAACTGAAGAGTAGTGGGATTGGAGAAGATATTTGAGTGAAAGAAAGATCTGCTTCTACTCCGCATCATAAGCTGAATTATTGTTGAGGAGAAAGAGGAGGGGTTTCGTGTTGGAAGTTTGGGTGACACTGGATTGCCGGTGGTTCATGCGGTCGGCATCTCCAATCAGGGCCGCGGAGAGGATAATCACATAGTAGCATATTGAAAAGGAGTTTCAGGTGATCGGTAGTTTGCCTCACAAGCATATCTCATTCTCTTCAAAATAAATCTTTGAACTGTTGCGAATGATCTAACTCTTGTGTCTTCAAGGTTACTCATGTTCTTGTCATCCAAGACTTACCTAGCAAACAAGGGAATTCGCTAGCTGCTCGAATGGTTCAGAGGGCGAAGTCCCCGGGCCTGGTAATCCTTAGTCTACACAGTAGTTGAAGACAAAGAAAGGTGGGCTGGGATGAAGGTGCGTCTTGTAAGCAACTCTGGCATAGGGTTGTGGCGCCGTTTCTAAGCTAATAGAGCCTCACCTCAATCTGCAGAGAACGCCCCTCATCGCTTAATCCCCATGGTCTATCCTCTTCCGTTAACAGGTACTAAGGACTCGAGCTCGCTACTAGATTTCTTATTTTAGTTTCCTTGGTCGCTTTTTTATAGCCGCAATGAATCTTTGGCCTATCTTCTCTCAGCGCCTCTGTCCGCATTGCCAGAAGTTAATTCTCAACACAGAATAACCTGAGTATTCTTTACGAGACGAACAACCGATTATGGAGGCGGGGAACACATTCAGTGCTTTTCTGAGATCTTGATCTAGAAAAAGGTTAGTAGGAGCTAAGTTTCGCACATTGTTTTTCATATCGGCACTCATGAAATTTATAGAGGAAACTTTCGATGTCTTGCACAAAAGTCTTACATTCAAGTGGAATGATGGCGAGAAATATGCCACAGCCAATCCGTTCGGCGATCCTAGGCAGTTTCAGTACCACACCCCCTGGATCTTTGACACCCAAAATGACGTATTGCGCGACACCAATTGCGGCGGTTGCAGTCAGATTCCACCTGCACTTTTTCGAGAGCGTGTTGTAAATATATCTGATATGGAATCAATCGGCGGGCTTGTACCCTTACCTTTCGAGCCAACATTCGATTCAGAAATGCCTTCCTGGGACCGCAATTTGACACAAATTTTGCGCTGCGATTTTCATACCCAGTGGAGACATATTCCTCGAAATGAGTACAACCCCGTGACCCTACGAGTACTTGCAAAAGCTATCGTACTTCGAAGTTCACCACAGCACTGGGGGACATGGCCACAGGGCGTGTCTCTTTACACACCCAGGAGGGATGTCTTCGCCTCCCTCTCTTGGTCTCTTCGGTGGTACGCGCTACCTGATAAATTGATCCCATGTATGTCTTGCAGGTGGAACTGAAAATGGAGAACCCAAATAGTCTGGCACAGGAAGGCCGTGGGTGGGGACGCCACGCTGTTTTGTCACTGTCATGGTGTTTAATAGAACGTAGTACTGCTCCTACTGTTCTGATAATAGCAATCTCTTAGCAGTTAGAACAAAAGCGAATTGTCTTCTGTTACTGTACAGTTAATGAGGCTATAGTTACTACAGTAACTGCCCATACTAACTAGTTTCTTAGTGTTTTGGTAACGCGTTTGCTGAGGACGTTTTCGCGCGTAGTAGTACGAGGGCTGTTGTGGAACAGGAGGTGTTAAAACGCGCATAATACACTCAATTTTGCCCTTTTTAACTATCCTATCTATCTTTAGTACAGTTCAGTGAGTTAATTTCTTAATTTACCTGATTTTTGTCTCTAATATCACCTTTAGTGTTACTATTAGTATTCATAAAGGATTGTGTGAAGACTGTTAATTCTGCATATTACAGCCCACCTCTAGCAACGCTCTCAACCGAACGAAACGAAACGAAACGTAGTAATTGACGGACGTCAACGTCTCACTTTCCTGCTACGTTTGTACAGCCCAGGCGACTTAGCTGTCTGTTTTGCTGCTAAACTAAAACACACTAAAATCCTTATACTTTTTAACATTTTATCTTACTTGCTACTGTTAACATTTTACAGTATAGTAACTAGCTACTTTTAGATAAGGTTTATAAGCTTAATTAAGTTGCTCTTTATAACTTAATAACATAGCTAATTCTTCTGCAATTAAAGCGCCTTAATAGTAGCCTTAGAGAGAGAACCTCTATTAATTATAACTGTACGCTAGCCTCTACTAAAGGCTCTCTCGCAGTCGCAGCTAGTAGAGGGTATAGTAAGGAAGTTAAGGGCAATTTTAAACAGCGTAGAATACTATTTTTAACTTACTTTAAGCTACTAAGTAAGAAGGCTAGCTTATAAAAAATAGCTATCTCTTACTTTAGCATTTTAAAAGTCTTTTATATAAGTGTTAAAGTATTACTATAACTTTATTATTTTCTAAGCTTTTTTATAACTTTAGGCTCTAGTAAGAAGAGAAGTGTTAACTATAAAAGCTTTTTAGTAATAAGAGTTATAAAAGCTTATTACTAAAAGCTTTTACTAAAAAAAATCTATATTAACTTTCTTATCTTCTTTAGCATTAATATAACGCTAGAAAATAACCTTTATTAAGGTCTCTGCCTTCTAGTACTAGAATTAGTAATAACGCTAGTAGTCCTTAAACTAAAGTATATAAAGTTATAAGTTAAGTATAGTAGTAATTACTAAGTAAAAAATAAAAAAATTAATAACTATTTTTTAAAAATATATGTTAATTTTTTTAAGTCTAAAAGAGATGCTGTTTTTAAAGTAACTATTATTAGGCTTAGAGAAAAGTTTCTTCTTTATCTACAACAGCTTATTATATAGCACTTACATATTAATAATAAATATTTATAAAGAACTATACTTACTGTTACCTTTTAGCTATTTTATTATTTAATAAAAGACTTTAAGAAACTTAGTAAGGTGTTTAACTTTTTTTTAGTTTTTTTTACTAATAATCTTTTAAAAAGCTGTGTTGCTAGGTATGTTAGAGTTCTTAGTGTTATTATCTATGCTGCGCTACTTCTAGATAAACTTAGTAATTAGATTCTTAAGCTCTAGGCACTGTACAAGCATTAGATATATAGAATGCTAGCAGACACTACTATTCTGTATTAAATTAAGTATGCTAAAGCTCTAGAGCTTATCCTCTTCCCCTAGAGATAATTATACAGCTATAAAGGCCTTTTAGTGTTTATGTAATAAAAAAATAGTATTAATAAAGTTATATAGCTTACTAATAACTCTATGTTTATAATAAAGCTTAAACTAATTTTAGGGAGCTGTGTTTATAAAAGTAGCTTTAAATTATAATAATCCTTTGCTATAGATAACTGCCTTTAGCACTAATTAGATTATATAGCCTATACAGCGTATATAGTGCTCTTTATTAAGGTTAACTCTAAGATATTTAGCTAAAGCGTTAATAGTAGAGTTATTATTGTTAGACATATTATTAGTAATAAAATAACTAAATTTTAATATAATTTTATAATCCTAAATAATTTTAAAGATAGCCTACACTTAGTTAGCCCTTATATAGTTACTATAAAGGTTATAGAAGCTAATAAGTAAGTTTTATTATTAATAATTAACATTTATAAAGTAGAAGTTAGTTATTATTTATTATTAGTTTTTTAAGCTAAGACGCTAAAATAGCTTTTTTAAAGTTTTACTAAACTTACTAAAAAAGTAAGCTACTACTTTAAGAAAGAAAAGGTAGTTTAGTAAAGTTTATATATTAACACTTAACACTACTTTTAACTTAGCTAATTTTAATATTATTTAAATTTTCTTTTTCTAGCGCGTTAACTTTTACTTTATATATAATAATATTATTACATCTAAGCTTAGGATAGTAGTAAGAAGATCTAGTTAGTTCTAAGTAAAAAAGCCTTAGAGTTTAGCTAAAAATACTGTTATAAATAATATATTATAAAGTATAATTTAGTTTACTAATAACCTCTATAACAACTTCTTTTACTAGAGATTGTAGAAAGCAACTTAGGCTAAGCCTACTACTATAGCAGCTGTTGCTGCCTAAAGATTAAGTAAAGCATAAAAAGAATTAAGTAAGAGACTTTTATTACTACTAATATTAATTCTATGCTTTTTTTTAAAAATAGTAGCTAATATAGCTATAGCTGTTAACTATTTTAGTAGTAGCATAATTACCTTTATAATAGCAGAGTTAGCAAAGCTAGAGCTTTACCTTTAAGCCTTCTTTAGTGTATAGCAAGTTAGCTTTATAGTTCTATACTGCTAACACTTTTTTATTACTTTAAAGCTAAGAAGAGTGTTTTACGCAGTAACCTAGCTTCTCTGCTTTTAGCTTTTTGCTAGCAAGCTATATATTATTTTACTTTATTAAAAATATAACTTTTAGATTAAAAAAAGAATCTCTAAGGTGTTCTTTTATATAAAAATTATATATAGAAGCTAGAGAGCTATTATAGAATAAGGACTTTAATAACAATAATTATAACTTCTCTAGGTAATAAAAATAAGTGTAATAGATTATATTACTACCCTAGGTTAACTAAGAGCTCTAAAAGCTCTATAACTAGCTAGTGCTCTGCATAGAAGCTTATTAACTAAGAAAATTACGCATAGTTAACATAATATTAAGATATAAAAAAATTTAGTAGTGTTAATTTAAGTAGAAAACACTGCACTTAAGTTATTAAGTAATCTTACCCCCTAATTAATAACTAGCTTATTAAAAAACTTGTCTAACAGTGCTACAGGTCCCTACTTATTAATGTCTAAGCTAATAAGTAATCTTTACTTAAAAGTTAAGCTTTTAAGACGCAGTACAGTCTGCAGCTATAACTTACAAGACAAAACAAAACATACAAGGACTATACTACGTTTGCTACAGCTCACGTGACAGTACTGAGACGAAAAGTATGAAACGTAATTCGTACGGTTGAGAGCGTTGACCTCTAGACACTAGATCTACGTGTGAACTAATTAGCAAACTACAGAACTTTGTAAACGCAATAATAGCCTTACACAAGCGGAGAGTGCTCTTCGCTACTTTCTAGCATTAGGTACTTAAAGAGGACTCTCTCTAGATGTTCAGTATGCTTAAACTGGGTAGGATGGCGGGATTAGATGGAATTCTACCTATCGCTTTCCATACTTAAGGCTATATAGCTATAACGTAATATTTAGAGTTGAACAAACCCTGTGACTATATTAGGCCTTTTAGAGCCATTAGAAACACTAGTTACTGTAGTAACTGTACTAAATAGTAGTTTTATGGCCAATTAACTTAGCAGTAACTGTTATTGCCTGTAAGTTCGTTTTAATTCCCGCCCTCTGTAGGAACAAAACTCTATTACTGCTAGTAACACCTTAAAAACACTACTGGCAGTAACAGTTACGTTCTATTAAACACCATGGCCACTGCCTGGTCCTGGACTTGTTTTGGGACCTGGTCTAGCGATTTTTCGCGATTGAAGAACTGGTACATCGCAAAGCTGTGGCAGGAACTCCGCCATGCGTAAGGGGTCGCACCAGACTGGACATATTTCCAAGTTATTCATATACTCTTGGAAGTAGTCGTTCACCCACTACAGTTAAAGTACAGTTCTGCAAAGCCAAGTAGTCGCCGCAAATCTTCTTGCATCACCTGTATGCTTACATCCAGTCATAAGAGATGTTCACGTCTTCTTCTAGCAGTTGCACTTATCTGGTTCTAAGCCAGGCCGATACGTCCCAAACGCCTTTGATATAGCATAATCAGGTCGCGAATGCACCCGAGGCCCGGGAGTTTCATAGGGTGTCAACCTAAAACAAGCTGGACGTGAGGTGATCCCTTTCTGGCATCCTAGATCGGGCTCGTTGTACTTTATGGGCTTCCATTTTTGCCAGTCATGGAGCTCTTTGTCCTTCAACCGGCGTCTCTCATAGTGCAAAGTCTTTCGAGGGCGCATCCCCTTTCTTGCGCGTATTCTAGAGTAGGAATCTTTTCGTCCATGTCACAGAACTCTGGTACGTTTTCAAGCACTTGCGGTTTCTTTGCTGAGATACACTGCCACAGTTCCGGGTTCCGGGGCACAGTCAGTCTGCAGACGAAGTCCCCAATGAGAGTTTGCCCTTGCTCCCGAAATAGACCTGTTGCTCATCCGCTCTATTTCTAGGGAGGTAATGCCTGGGCACTGTGGAGGGATCCATGTGCACTGCATAGACCATTCTGGTAGCTTCTGGACAAACTGCTCTTCAGCACGACGAAATCAGCATCAATATCATCAAGAATGAAATGGACACATACTCATCTAATAAAAATCCTTAGTCTTGAAGCGGTAATTTCTTGCAGGTTCCGGGTATCCTACACACAGGACGAAATATGGAGGCCTTTTGCTAAATGAACACGGAGTTTCAATCCTCTCTGTAGACTCGCTGATGAAGAAGGGTGTCTCTAATAACTCTCCTTCCAATGCAATTGGAGCATTTCCCCCCCTTTGCCTTGTCCTGGTTTGCTAAATTGTTTTAAGCTCGAGGTAATATGGTCAATTACACCTGGCATAAAAAAGACCGGGTGCGCAGTCGAAGTGCATGCGAGTCCGGAAAGTACAACAAGTGGTTTATTAATGGAGTGTGATAGAGTAGTTGTTTATAGTTGTTTTGAGTAGACAAAGTCAATCGACAGAGAAGAAATAAACGGCGACGAAGACAGACGAAAAGCCCCATCTGCTAACTTGCCTATCGAATCGAATAGGTAAGACAGAAGCATCGGCTGCAGAGACAGCTTTTGCACCGGCCCATAGTTCTTGGAAATCTCTGGAGATCTACCCATAAATACGCCTATAACTCCTAGATCCTAATGACCCCATCACTCCATGTTTCTAGCCAAGTTCGTTCCGCCATTACTGTCCCAACAGTCTACCGCCGAGCCTGAACATTAAACGCGCTCTCCTCTGCCGCCTTATAGGCATCGAATGTGAACAAGCTTATGAAGTATAACCCCACAAACCTCAACAGTACATCACCTAATCCACCATTCCCAGAAACCATCCGACTCAATCCTGTAAACGGACTCTCCCCCACAGGCCTGCTCGGCTGCGTGGCTGATCCGAGAGTATATCCCTTCGACTGGAACGACACACCGGGCTTTGCGGGGCCACGTGCGGCATCATTCGCGGCTTTGTTGACGGCGGCTGTGAGGGCGGAGGGGTTTGCGCCGCGGATAGTTTCGACGACCGAGTTGGATTTTATGACGAGGAAAGTCGGCATTCTAAAAAAAATCCGTAGTTAACACTCAAGGTACCTCACTCCGAGCTCCACGCATCGGGGTACTTACGCAGAAACTCCGTATTTCTTCGCCACATCCTGGCAGCTATCCACATTGACTTTCGCAAACTGAATCCGTCCTGGCTTACTCTCCTTTTCCGCCAAGCTCGAAAAGATCGGCGCTATCTGCTTGCATGGTCCGCACCAATCCGCGTAGAAATCTACGATTGTGTAGGTTGAGGATGAGAGGATAGTGGAGAAGTGGGAGGCGGAGGAGACGTGGACGATCTTCGACATCTTTGGTTTGGTCCGGAGGGTTGGAGGGTTGGAGGGGAGGAACGGAGTTCGGAGGTCACTCTCGAAGGGCGTTTATTAAAAATTGGAGAGTTGCAGCGTTAGTGGTCTTGTTAGTGAAGATCGTGGTGAGAATACGGCGGGGTTTTGTGAATGAGAACAGCTTGCGACAAGGTTCGTGAGATGGTTGTCGGGGCTTCGGTTGGGCCGATATTTCACCGATTGGATTATCCACAGGACGGATAATTCGCACATGCGGACCAAAAAATACGCATAAATAGCTCATATGGATAGATATGGGAGATTTGTACTAGCAGCAGCCTCAAAGGCACGAACATGTTAAAGCTGACATATGTACTGCACCTCCTAACATAAATTGATTCCCACGTGCCTATTTGACATCCTAAAAGTGATCATTTCTCTTCACTCTAGCTACCATAATCTTATCCGTGTTTTTTTGCGATAATGTACTATGAGATGTAACTACTTTTCTCATGCATAGCAGAAATGAATGATTAGGCCCTGCTGGTTAACAGAAAGCCTGTCGTCAAAGGGGTATTTGAATAGGATGTGATTGCATCAGGAACAGCTTTCGGTAACATTTCATTCCTTACGCAGATCTCACGGCTAGCATGTATATTATCAGGATAGATATATGTAAGGAGAGGAAAATGATGTGCGGAGAACGGAGGGTTAGCCCCTCACGTGCCTCTGGAATGGTGCAGGTCCGTGTGTGCGAATCTGCCCCCCCGCATCTGTCCACGGGCCCTTCACCACAGCCACCGCCATCGGAACTCATCAACCTTCATAAGCTATATGCAATGTCTCCGATATTGCCCTTTCGAGCAGATGTTCGGATCAAGGCCCCAGCAGAACACGTCTGAATGGAATTTGATCAACACCTGTATATGGCCTGAATGGAACTCCTTTCTATCTGCCGAGCCCATGGATAAAAGCGACGATCCGAAGATATTTAAGCTAAGAACCTGTCGCCGCTTCCTTGTAAATATCCATGACAGGAAGATACCCTCCATTCAAAAGGTAGTCGTCTTTGAGATCCCTGACGACACTACCGATGGGCCTCGGGTTTACCGCGTCTGTTAGGCCACCCAAGGCTACCCGCACTTCCTCTTAAACACTCTTCGGTTCATTGAAACTGATGAAGTCCAGACGGGTGATGGACCCGAGTGTATTTATCGTACGGGAGAAGAGCAAGATGGAGCTTTCCCCCACATGATAAAAATGGCGTTTGGCAAACATATCGAGAAGGGCATCAACAATTGGGCGAACGATCTAAAGAACATCATTAGAATCTTGAAAACCTACGAAGTATCGGCCTGTCGCCCGATTCGTGGAGAATCACCCTTTTCCGGCATCGAAGTACGAAACCCGCGGAGGTTGCGTCGCACGCGACGGCGGCTTCAATGATGCTCCTGATATCTAATCATGCATCTTGTCCATCTGTTGCGGATGTCCTTTCATCTCATAGTGTTCCAGAAATGGGAGACTGCTCCATGGAAATCAGCTGTGTTTCTTCCGACGCTACCCCACAATTTCATTTAATTGGGATGCGGCTCAGATTGGTTTCAAGTAAACAGGAGCACGGGCCAGGTAGCCACGTTTCCTCTCGCCACGGATTATAAGTGGAAATACTTCCTCCGCCTGTGGAATGGTCACACTGCCGTCTCTAGTCCAAGGTGGAACGCTCATGGTGGAGATTTCCAAGCTCCAACGACGCAATTCTCCAGATTTTCAGAAACAATAGTGACCACATCGTGGAGGTTGTGCGGGACCTTGACAGGGAATTCTCCGGCCGACACGAATGTACTAGGAACATCACGGTGTTTAAGAAGGCGTCCTGGACAACGCATTGGCATCATGTTCGTCTCTCAACCTTGCTTCTTATCAGGTTCTTTAATTGCTCGACCCAGTTTGGACAATGCAGTTCGTTCTAGCATTGTTATATTTCATCTCCCTAGCACGAGCTGCTAGCAGGACCACCGCCCCATCTGGGGCATTAGTAGTTGCCAAATCCGGTGGGCAGTATACTAAGATTCAGGACGCTGTCAATGCTCTAAGTACCTCGTCGACCGCTGCTCAGGCGATTTTTGTCAATCCTGGAACGTATGACGAACAGGTTTACATACCTGCGCGTTCAGCCGCTCTCACTATCTACGGTTACACGGCTGACACTTCTTCCTACGGATCCAACCAGGTGACCATCACACATGGATTCAGCCAAGCAACAGTTAGCGGAGGAAATGACATGACCGCTACCGTGAGAGCTTGGAGCTCAAACTTCAAGATGTATAACATCAACATGGTCAACTCATACGGAAAAGGCTCCCAGGCTCTTGCGCTGTCAGCACAAGCAACCAATCAGGGCTATTATGCATGCCAGTTTAAAGGTTTCCAGGACACCATCTTGGCCAATAAGGGAGCTCAAGTATTTGCCAAATCCCTGATAGTGGGCGCCACCGATTTTATATTTGGACAGACGGCTACTGCTTGGTTTGATCAGTGTGATATACGCGTTTTGGCTGCAAGTCTGGGGTAGGCTTATGTTTTCCATTTCGATGATATTTTATGTCGATTTCAGTGGCTAAAGTCTCGTTAGATACATCACTGCAAACGGACGGGACTCTTCTTCAAACCCCAGCTACTACCTCTTCAATCGATGCACTGTCGCTGCAATGGACGGCAATTCTGTTACAAATGGCGCATACTATCTTGGTCGGCCTTGGAGAAATTATGCCCGAGTGGTCTTCCAGCGAACTTCATTATCGGCCGTGATTAATGGCGCAGGGTGGCATATCTGGAACACAGGCGAAGCGAACACTGATCATGTTACCTTTGGGGAGTATAGTAACACGGGGGCAGGTGCGAGCGGCACGAGGGCTAGTTTCAGTACGAAATTGTCATCACCAGTGAGCATCAGCACGATTCTTGGGTCTGGGTGGTCAAGTGCATCGTACGTTGATAATGCCTATTTGTATGGAGATTCATGAGATTGAAATTACCCAACTGAACGAGTTGAGCTATTATGCTCGTCGTTCACCTCCCTCCACCCGTTGTAAATAGTTGCGACTACATCTTTTAAGGCCTGCACTTTCTCTTTGATCTTCTTGATGGCGATGTTGTCATGGAGATTTGCCTCACAGTATCGATGCTCGGTTTTGAATTTCTCACTTTCCGATTTCTGGTTCCTAACAGTGTTATTGTGAAGTGCAAGTTTCCCTTCCATTGTACGATAATAGTTAGCACCTAGCTGAGGTGGAGCGTGGGTGTTCTGAACAGAAGGCATGGTACTCTGTGCAAGGAGGGGTGGTAAACTGGTTCGAGACACGTGCGGCTTGAAGTTGTAGAACTAGTAATTTTTGGTGCGGGAGGATTCCCAAATTGGATGAAAGTGTCTGGAATCAGACGCTGTGAGTCCATGCCAGCTTAGTCATTTATATAGAGATGTAGTTAACTCTCTTTCTAGATCCTCGAACAAATGAGCCAGTCGGGAATATGTTTGGGGTGACATATCCTATCTAGAGGAACATATTGAGGAGATTCAGGTCATGGAATTGGTTCTTCTTCTATGGAACGGATAGAGGAATGGCGTATATTATTGGATCAGTCGTATGCGATCCAGAAATGGCCAATTTAGACCCGAGATAATGCTTACCCGTGCTCTGCTTGATGTGCTAATAACTATCGAGATGGATCAGTCTAAAACTATAATTGTAGATCTTCGCTTCGCGGCCGTTGGCAGCTCTGATACCAAATACGAACGCGTAGAGATATCAATAGTATTTCTACGCAGCTTAGGGGAAGAATGGATGGATCCATTCAAGATGTTCATGCAAACCATCCCTGATATGGTGGTTCCGAAGTCTGTAACGCTTCGATGATTAGCTTTGTCCTGGCGGCTCAAGAACATCCATTGGAATATGAAATGTTGTTCTGGTGAGCGATTCAAGCCATACTATGATAATGCGTAAGTCTTAAGGTCGTTTTTAAGAACTTCGCTAAATCGCTACAACGGAAGATTGCGGGGAGTGCAAACCACGCCACCACGGACGTCCACAAATTTGTAACCACTGCTGTTCTAATGATTAAAAACCTCCACTAATGGACCACCTTCGCAAAGCAATCTTGAAGCGCCGCACAAAGCCTCCATGGCTTACGAGCAGCGGATGTTCGGTTGGTGGTGGATTGCAGTGCTCGCCTGGAGACAGATTACATTAGATGCAGACGCATGGGGCAGTGCTACGCCACAGAGGCAAGAGATATAGGTTTCTGCATGAGATTTTCAATATCAGTAGCTGGGTGTTGACATGGAGTAATTTGTGGCGTCTGAAATAGTATCTGAGCAAGACCAAAGCAGGCTTTTGCGGTAGTATGAATCGGGCCTACCGAAGGATACCGGCAACTAGTTTCTTGTAAGTTGTTCGACTCACATTTGCTCGACGAGGCAATCGCACAAGCTAGAGAAAGGGCCAGTCTACAGCAAATCTGTTGAACATTAACACGCGCGCCGCAACCTTTCTGCACGAGATTCTGCACATTGGATGGGGCAGCGTGTAACAATGTCAAGGGCTGGAGATCGAGGCCGAGATCAGATGCGATGACTGCTATCTGAATCGCCACGGAAATAAGCATAGAAGCTATCGGCATAGCGAGGCTTCTTGCTGGAGCCATCCCAACTTGGCCACTACTGATACCGAAAACCATGTCTACATCACGGCGAGTTTGGCGGAGATGGCCTTTGGTGTATTCCATGATATCCAGCGGTCTGACGTGCCCATAGGTTTTACGATTCTAACCCTTCTTTGAGACGTATGAGTGTGGACATTCAAGCTCCGCTGCTCCCCTCCGCCCCTCCTTTGGATTGTGGAGTTGGTGGAGGTGATATATTCGCGCTAACGAGACCTCGATTCCACATCTGTACAGGAAATAGGGAACGGAAGGTTGCACCAGCAATTTCTAGCAGCGGATTTGTACGATAAAGCGGTGATGTCATACAGTAGCAAAAAGGCGTTTGGGTCTGTGTGCGCCGCTGAACAAATTGTTCTGACTATGCCCTAAATTACGTTAGCTGTCTTTTCGCTTGATGAGTAATGTCATGAAACAAGAGTTAGCACAAGAGGCGGAATCATTCGTGCTTCTTTGAGATTGAAGGCAATTTCCCTCCGAACTCCGTCCAATGCTATGCAGAAGGGTATTGCCCATGCTATGCCATGCTATGCCATGCTATGCCCGCCCACAAAACGCCATCTCGCCGGCTCCTCGGAATCAGAAGGAAACATTGTTCCCGGCGTAAGCCATTTCCTATTAGGAAGATTTCTTGATTACGAACACTCCCACCTCAACTCCCCTGGAGGGGCCAGATCCCTCGTACTCCCTATGGGCGACCCCATCCAAGACCTCGCTGATCAGATTCGTCGGCGTGATTTCACACTCCCCCGGGAGCTTCTTCGCCTTGCGAAGAAACTTAGCGACCACCTCTCGCACTCGAGGCTTCTCCTGTTTGATCCACCAGTCCTCAGCCCAAGTTGATCTACCAAGCAGCATCTCCTCTTTCGCAGCATGGATCAGCGAGTATTTCGAGATCTGATTACTACTCGGATGCAAACTGGCCTTCCCATTGCTCAGCTCATCACAGAAGCGCCCAATGGCAGCGTGCAGGGCTTCATATTCGGACAGGCGCTCGACTGAGGTCATAGTCCCAAGAGTTTTGCCAAGATCGGAGGAGAGCTCGTGAACGACTGTGATTGTTCGGAGAAGGGGGTCGAGAACAGGACCAAGGTACTCATTCATGAAGGTTCTTGCGCCAGTTTTCGTTGGGTAGACAAATAGAAGTGTACCGTTGTGCGGTGAGAGCTCGATGAGACGGTCGTAGAGGAGTGAACGGCCATTGACGGTGAATATCTCTGCAAACTCGTTAATATTGGTCGGTGGAATATAACGCTCCACAATTGAGATGTTCACTGAGCCCGGCGGTACTACGGGACGTGGAGATGGTGGGAGAAGTTTGGAATCCAGCTGGTAGTCTGGTACGGCAACCGCGCTGTCAAAAATTTTGCTGGTGAAGTATTCGTCCCCGCCAACAACAGTTCCTGGCGTGGAGGGCGGAGATTTTGGTAAGTCAGAGAGAGTAAAACGGCCAGGAACTGCGTGGAATACATTGACCCAAGCTGTTGGTGTATTGGTTTTCTCATGCACAGAGGCAATGACCTGCGCAAATATGTGACCTGTTAGCGACGGGCAAGGAAGCGCGTGTGAGAGCAATTTGACAGATTCGAGGTTCCAGGACTCGAACTCAGACGCTAAGCAAGCGATATTAGTCTAGTTATATAGCGATGATGAGAGAGGGCTTACTGAGAGCCTCCTGTGCCGACTCCACCCATTCCACCATGTTCGTGGTGTCGCCAAACTTAGTGATTGCAGGCCGGGAAGGTAGTGGCATGGAATTCGGAGTTGGGGCTGCTGAAGAGGCGTTGACAGCGAAGGTCATGTTCGGGGAAACCCCGGGATCAGAGCTTGGCGGTGAGCCGATGGCAGTAGTCTTGACCTTCACGATAGATCCCCAATTGAACGTGCCGGGTTCTGTGGGAGGAGTGACGGTAGGGATCAGGCCCACGACTTGCGCTTTGAGGGTCTCCGGATTCGCCGTCGAAGGTGTGCCGTCCGCCCCAACCAACTGAGCCCGACTCAGCGCCGGGCTCAGCGCATGAAGAGGGTCCTCTGGCTTCGACAAAGGCCCAGCGCCCAGTGAAGAGAAGGAGTGGGTCTGGCGAAGCGGAATGCGGTCGGGATGCGGAGCAGCAATACCTAACAGCTCGAACGAGGGAAGCCGTAGATTGTGTCCAGCTTTGATGATGGATGGTGTGGGAAGGGACACATTTGTGGAAGGGAGAGCACTTCCCGCAAAGTTGAGACTGAGATCCAGCTGATGCTCTTGGTGTGGGGTTGGTAGACTTGGAGAAGGACCGGATGGGAGAGGGAAAGGTTGTGAGACGGCAGATTCGACAAGAGAAGGGTACCGGTTCAAGGGCGCCGGGGCAAGCCCAACATGGACCACACCGTCGGCGCCAGCGTCACGAGCGTCTTCGTCGGGGGATGAAGGCATTGCTGAGGGCGAGGCAGCATAGTTGGGGTTCTGCTTGCCTGCATAAAAAGAGGGCCGCGGGGACAGGTCGGAGTCAACCATTTCATCGGGCAATGATGCTAATCGGTCCTCTGCTCCCACCAAGCGCCTTCCAACGATGGTCTGCCCACAGGGAAGGAGGGCCAGTGGTCACACAGCTTGACAGATAAGGTTGACAGGACTCGGAAGGCGAGGTGGCTGTCAGCGATGGCGTCCAACAGCGTCCAACCCTGGCCTCCGCGCTCGCATGCGCTGATCGCGATGCAGATGGTCAGAGGGTGGGATGTGGCAGCCAAGACTTGGGAATGGCGGGGCGGGCGGAGAGTGTCGTGAGTCCAAGAGTGAATGCGGTAAGGCAGGTGGGCAGCGTGTGGATAGAGGTCAGGGGGGGCTAGGTGTGATGAAGGGAAGGCAATCACAACGCGCTCAGCAGCAGAGCGGCGTGTCTGCAGACCAGCAGCCCGAGGTGTCTTGAGGAGGGCCGCACGGCGTTCATGGTGGGAGTGATGTTTGCGAGAAGACGTGCGCCCGGCCAATCGTGATGGAGGGTGGTCGTCGTGTTTAGGGGTCCACATGCCGCTGGGCAGGGGATGAAGCCTGGACTGTTCTGCTGCGTGGCTCAAAGCGCACCCCAGCTGCAAACCTCGCCCATCATTTGCTCGACAACTGCATCTCACAAGAGTCACAACCTCTGCGCCAGCACAATCGCCTGATGTCCACCGCAACCACGCACAGTCAGCCGCTGTGTCAGTTGTCGGGCTTGTCTCCGCCTGGCAGATGTCGACAGCTGTCGATCCGCTCCTTCATCCACGATGCGGCCCTGCATGATGCACATGCCCCTTTGCGACGCCTCGACACTTGAAACACATCCCGCAGCTGCAATACGCCCGATTAGGCCACTGCCTGTCTTGGAGAGGAAATATCTGGTGGCATGACAATCTCTTTCCAGTGTCCTCTCGGCCGTCATTATTAATGTCAACTCTTTGTCGCTAAAACGGTTTGTATCTCTCGGCAATCCGCTCCATTTTGTTCTTTGCGGGCCCCAGAAACGGGCTTGCGATCTCTCTGTCGTTCGCATGTTGTCGAGGGTGCTATAATTGGTGCGTTTCGAAAAGTCTTCGATTTTGACGGCCGCTAAGGGTCCCAGTGTTGCGCAACCCATCCCTCCCAACGCAATCTTCCTAGAACGGTGGGTCTCGAGGCCTGGCCATCAGAGTCTCGACTCGGAAAAGATGGGATTCTGCCAAATTTTAGCGGCCACGGCTGAGTGAGGCTGCCCTACCCGGCCAACGTGCAACTCGAGGCCTAGATGCGGCCTTTTCTCGAACTCATTGTACATCTTACCCGTCACCGACCTCATTCTTCCATAGGTATCTTTTAAGTGCCGACTGAATCGGAGACAATGGGAAAATGAATCGATTTCGCGTGCTAAGAATCATATGGACACTGCATGAAGAACGACTGGGTGAGATGCTGTGTTTGTTCTACTCATATGTATGTACATTACATACAACAAAGCGAGTGAAGCGAAAGACTGCTGCCATTTCCGATAACGTTTGTGTTTGCGAGGTTACGACAGGGCTCGTGCAATCTGTAGCAGCGAATGCAACGTTCTCTCTGCAACGAGTTGGGGATTAATGCGAAGATTCGGCGGAGCTGCTGGCGAGACTCGGAGAAGAGGATCCATTGCTGATGAGGCTGCAGGTGCTGCTCTTCTCCGAGCAGACCGATCGAACGGTATTCCGAGTTCGCCCCGAGCTTTTCCGCGTGAATTAATAGATTTCCGCGCAAGGAATGAGCTCCTCCCAAGATCCTTTGACTTACACTCACGGGGTTGTGGAAAAGAATTTTTGTTCTGGTTTGCAGTCCGGGATCCATTTTTGACTCCCTGTGGGGGCAGGAGGCCAGAACGATGGCTTAGTCGAATCTAGCTACTTAGACTATGCAACAGCAGGCATGCCTCCTTGCTGTTCAGATATAGGATTTTATCCGCAAAGACAGAGCTAGCTGTGTGGAAGAGCTTTGAGAGACCCTCGGGACGTTCAGAAGTCGGATGCCAAGCCTTATAATAGGAAAATGCAGGAGCGACTCCTTCCTTCAACTTCTCAGTCTCATCGTCAACCAGTTGACCCCTTCTATCAAATCTCCCCCCCCAAAAGAATCTTATTCGTTGATTTGTACCTGCACTAGGCACTCACACATCCCTCCATTTTCCATGGTGTGACTCGTGCTAGGAAGATCTCACCGATAAACAAATCAAAGACACACCTCGCCTATCTCTGCTCCGTTTGGAGGCAAATCAAGATCCGGTTGGATCAAACGCCATGAATTCGGTACCGATGCTAAGGTTCGCGTATTCTAGGAGGATCCTGGATGCAAGGTGAAAAAGGCTCCGCTGGAGTGGAATGATATTCGCGTGGAGATCGCCACAAATGGGAAAATTTATAACGACTGGAAATGCCCCTTTCCAAGGTGACCAAGCGTTACCTGAAAGCTCTATGTTGCATAACGCTTCTATCTTCATCAGTAGAAGGAGGTGCCACTGGCTAAAATGCAACTCTGAATTTCACCACGGCTCATTCCAAAGGGAATGAGTAAGGGTTAAGAACGAGGAGAGAAACTGATAGACTGGATGTGAATCGGAAGGATGTATTGACGGTACGCCAGCATATCAATAGTATATCTTGAGCGAGCGTTCAACTTCTCAACCATCTGCAACCGGGCAGTCCATTACCTTTTGCTCAACTCTCAAGTGAGTTGTGATAAGAGTAGAGTGGAGGCATTAAACCCTCTTGAATAGCAGAGACTCAGTGCCATTAAATTTCATCAAACTCTCCTCAAATTTTGTTGATTATCACGTGACCAGAATATTCCAAATGAGCAAGAGCTGAGTTTCCACCATGCGTATCCTCCATCCCAAGCAACTCCTCTCAGTACGGCAAGTTTAAGACCATAACGCCAAGCCCCGCACGGGAAAAATTTCCTTCCCCTCAGGCTCCCTGATTCGCCCCACTCTATCTCACACTCATTCACTACACGCCTCACGCGAACAATACATGTCGGTAGCTATTGAACTTTTGTTCAAGGTAAAATAGTGCAAATTCGTCAGCGCTAACTAAGCGATTGCAGGTATGTATCTCCGCATTTCTTGACCCCTTGGTTGTTCATTTCCAGTCAATATCCACTCAAGTTCGTCGCCGGGTGCACCTGCTCGCTCCCCTCTCTGTCAACTAAGTCTTTATCATATAATTAAGCGCTTCTTTTCTGCTAGAGCGCATACCTTGCTTCGGATGGCTCCTCCTTCAGGTTGACTATCTTAACATTCACACAGTTTCCTAGCCGCAATCGCTGAACTCGAACGGCTAGACTTCGCCCTAGTCAATTTTCCTCTAATCTCCCAGCTCAGTCAAAAGGCCTGGAAGCTACCCTGCAGAGCATTTCAGCAGTACCACAGACGCATAACCCATGAAGGTACATCCTTCAACCTCTTTCTTACTTCCCCCAACACTAGACCATTTCACAGATCAAAAACCCGCAATCATCCCTCCTCACAAACCATGAAGTGCTTCTCCATATGCGCTCCGAAAAAGCCGACTATGACAATCGATATGGCACGAAACTCAACCGTGAGGTTCCTTCCGGCTTGAACGCCATGCTGCGAGATGTAAGACTCCAGACTACAAGCTGCCCTCCTCACCCCAACCGAAGCCAAGCAACACTCCACCCCACCTTATCCCTTATGACAAGAATCTAAGAAAATCCAGGGACTAGCTTACCTAGAATCTGCCGACCATCCAATCATCGATCTCGCGTCATCTCGGCCATTCCGTCCAATGACTCTGTACAAAGGCCCACATTCATTGTTTCGAGCTCTTAGTCCGAAGTATCGGTTAAACAAGGCGGAGTATGTGCAGATCTTCAATTTGAGACCAACGAGTGAAGTTATGCTGGGGCTGATTCTGGAAGAGGTATGCATTGGTTTGGACTTGTGCGGCCTTGTTTCCTTCTCTCCTCTCCCCTCGCTATTTCGTATATCCCAGTCCCGTCATCACACTCGGCTTCCCTATAGCCTCCGTATCTCTCATATCCGCTCCTTCACCTCATGTCTCTCCCCTACCTCTCGTCCCATTCCCACATCATCCCACCTAACCCTTCCTACAGGCCGACACCCGTTTCTCCCGCCGCCAACAATCCGACATCCTCGCCATCATCCAGTCCGTATTCGAAGAACAAGAATCCTCGATCCCGGCCGGCGTCGAAGACATCGAAATGCCCAAAATCAAGAACAAGCTCGAGGGCGCTGGGAAGAAGAAGCGGAGGGGGATTAAGCGGAAGGTTGGTGGACGGGGCTAAGCTAGGGGAAGAATGGCGTGGGTGGGAGGGAATCCTTTTGGTGCATCACATACATGCACAATTCACTTCAATCCTCAGTGTAGTGATAGTGGTAGTAAGATACTTGCTAGATAGAGCTGTCAGAGGATGGAGATGGGCGGGAGATTCACTGATGGATGGTGAGGTGAAGGATATAGATGTAGGTAGAGAGGTTTAAGTTGATAGTGGTGCGGTTTACCTTGATTTTACCTAGTCAGCTGGTGTGGATGAGGTATCGGGTACATTTCATAACGGAACATGGGTTTGAACTTTTCAATGACTCTTGTCGTTGCGGGTATTCCTCTACACACACCCCCTTAATGCGATACCCTCCCTCTCGCCCACCTCAATAGAGGGCTCAAAAAGAAATATACATCAGATATGCAATGTCCCAGCCCACCAGCCAAGTTGTGCGCCAGTCGCCAGTAGATGAGCAAACAGCACGCCAAACTCCGCAACTTACCATTTTGACATTGATCAAGGAAAAGATCAGCCGACAACATAGCAACTACCCAGCGACCTTTTTTCATCAAGACTTTACTCTTTGCTCTTCTTCTTCTTCTTCTTTTCCACCTTCTCGCCCTCATCATCGTGCTTCCTCTTCTTGTTATCCCTCTCTGACTTCTTGGCCTCCTTCGCAGCTTTCTTCGCAGCCTTAGCTTCTCGCTTTGCCGCACGTTCTGCTTTCCGTGCCTTCTTCGCCTCCTTCTCTGCCTTCTTTGCGGCTTTCATGTCAGCTTTCGCTTCGGGTGCCTTTTCCTCGTCTTCAGATTCTGTCTCCTGCGCTCCAGCGTCCGCGTCAACCATTTCGTCGTCCTCGCTATCAACCTCCTGTACGAGTTTATTTTTCGGCGCCACGCCATTCGTCATTGCCGTCTTAGCTTTCTTCGCAGCTGGTTCATCTCCCGTCAGACCATCTGCATCGGGGTTGTACTTCCGTGCCTCCTTGACCTCCCATTTCTTCTGGCCCGCTAGTGGGGTTTGATTTGCGTTGACCAAACTCTTGAGTGGCTTGCCTTCAAGCGCCTTGAGCCTTCTTTCGATGCGAAGCTTGGCGTCTCGTCCCATGGCAGATTTCTCCTCTTCGGCGGGCTCATCTTTCGTGCTCTCAGACGAGATGCCCCAGTCGCTGAGTGCGTCGATGCGGAGACCGAGGGCAGTTTTGGAGGCAAGCATGCGGGCAATTTTACCTTTGTTCTTTCCGGTCGCTTGGCCGATGAGGGAGGCGTGGTAGATCAGTCCGTATTTTGGTGTGTCGTGCTTCGTCTTCAATGCTCTAAAGAGTGCCTTCTCGGCTCCCAGGATTTGTATTGTAGAACCAGGAGCCTTGGCGAGGTTCATGAGAGATCCAGCGTGGGCAATCAGTCGAGCGCCAACCAATTCGCCAACGAGAGCGGTGAGGTTGGGGGCGAGAGCGTGCATACGAGTAGTCAGGTAGCTGGATAATTGCTGACGGTATTCGGAAAGGTCGACGACTTGCTCGGCAAGGGTGGTGATGGTGTCCATGTCCTCGTCTGTGATCTCTGTGCCCATGGAGATTTCGGCAGCGGCTTTCACAGCGGCTTCGATTTCTTCGGGAAGTATCGACTGCATCATATCAGCGTAGTTGCGGGGTGCCAGGAGTGCGGGACACTCACCGAGAGATCTGCCTTTCTAGAGTTTGATCGAAATCCCATAGTCAGGACCACACGGGCATACGCCAGGTTGTCGTTCAGAATCTTGGCCAGTTCTGGAAAATGCCAGCCGTACCACTCCTTCACCCTCATAGCGTATGTGTTCAATTGCTTGTCCATTACGTCCAAGCTTCCAATTGCCTGAACGATCATCGTATCCACCTTATCCGGCGAGAATTTCAACTTGTAACGGGATAGCGAATGCGCCAAACCCAGGTTTGCGCCATTTGCTTCAGCGGCCATGTCTGGAATGAGTGATGCAATGTGCTCGCGAATGGCACGATAAATTTCCTGGGTCGAGGAGTCGGCGACGGGCTTGATGGAAAGGCCTGGGAGGTTCGAGATGGCGTTGCCGAGCTTGGGGTCTGCTACGGCGAGAGATCCCTTTGTCTCGTCTTTGAGCTCGTTGAGGAGAGAGGTCAACATGGGCGTGACCTTGCCGTCGATAAGGGCCGCAACCTCGTTAAGGCCAGTTGCTGCACTTTCAAATTTCTGAACGAGTGTCAGCTGCGAGGCCCAAATGCAGCAGATAGATAATACGCGCCATAAATTTTTTGAGCTTCAATGCGCTGACGGCGCCGTGGACTGAAGAAATGTCCTCAGCTAGGGTTTCGCTCTTCAACAACTTCTTGTCCTTCGCCTTGAAAAGCGCATAGCCGGCGCTCGAGTGCACGGTTAGCTCCATATATTTTAGTGAAGGGTGCAGCTTCCATACCTCGTCTCTGCTAGGATGAAAAGGCCCATGACGGCAGTCGGGTCGTGGTTTCGTCCAGGTGCTGCAGTGGGGATTCCTGCTCGATTACAGGGCGGTCGCTTAGTGCGCAGGTACCTCAATGAGCAGTCCCAGAGTCGTGAATTCAATTGCGGTCGGTCGCGTCTTGGTGGTTTGCTGGTGTGCGGGAGGCGTGGTCTGGTCGAGGGAATGTGCGAGGTGGGAGCTCCAAGCAAAAATTGTCAAAAGTTCGACTACGCCAAGCCGCTAGTGGGGGGAGCTAACTGCAGCCCAGCGTGCCCCCCCCTAGGTGGTCGAATTTGGCCCACCTTCACCCACCACACCTGCTAAGATTGCGTTTCCTCTCTTCTTTTTGATTTTCTGAGACCCATGCTTCCTATGCGCTGAAGATACCTCTCCATTTAATAATGTCGATTTGATTTCTAGTATGGCGTCTAGCGACCGAAAAGTTTCCGCCCCCTTGAGTCGCTCTATTAGAGGTACCACACCGGCGCGTCTCCAAGACCTTGCATCCACTCCCGAGTCTCCTCGAACGCCCATCCGGGCCACATCGTCCCTTTTCGGCTCTCCTGGGGGTGGCTTCCGGACCGAAGACGAATATCTGGTCCTCGAACTCGGATCTCGATTTGTACGCGGAGGATTCCCTGGCGAAAGCGCTCCGCGGTGCACACTTCCCTTCGGCCCTGATCAGCAACGAAGAGTCGGAGACTACAGGCAATGGGACCCCGAGTCTACACACAGGAGGAAGAAGCGGCGGCGAGACCAAGACTGGGGTCAGGACCACGAGCTTTATCGGTTAGATTTGACCGAGGTAGATCTGGGCCTTGTCGAGGACAAATTCGAGCGGGCAATGAGGGAGGCATACAACAAATACTTCTTGCTAGACCCAAAGCCAAGGCGTATATTGCTGGCGCTGCCGCCGCGGACACCCCACCCCTTGATGTCCACTGTCCTAGAAGTGCTATTTGGGAACTTCCAGGCTCCGAGCATAATGCTGATGTCTTCTCCTATTCTGTCCACCGTCGCTGCAGGTCTGCGGTCAGCGCTGGTAGTGGATATTGGGTGGGCCGAGACGACTGTCACCGGTGTATGCGAGTATCGCGAGGTCCACGAGCAGAGATCTATTCGGGCCGGAAAGCTGCTAAGCGAAGACATGGCGAAGCTGCTGAATGCTCAATTCAATGAAAACGTGGAAGAAGGCTCCCCGAAAGTTGGTGTGTCTTTTGAAGAAGCAGAGGAGGTCCTTACGCGAGTCGGTTGGTGTAAATCGCGCCCTCGATCTGACCGCAAAACTCTGTATTTTCCCGCCCGTACCTCTCCCGTGCTTGAGGAATTCGAGGACGCAGTCGAATTACCAGAACCTACTATTACCATACCATTTACACATTCAATGCCGCCAACTGAGCTTACCGTTCCGTTTGCGTCCCTTGCGAAGCCGACCGAGAGCGCCCTATTTGCTCCAGATACACCATTAAATGAACTCGACGATCATGAGCTTCCCTTGCATCATCTTATCTACCGCGCCCTTCTCTCCCTTCCAATGGACGTTCGCCGCCTATGCATGTCCCGTATCATCATTACAGGCGGAGTTTCTAATCTCCCAGGCCTCAAAACCCGCATCCTCTCGGAGCTAGAAGCTCTAGTCCAACAACGCGGCTGGGACCCCGTCCGCTCATACGGATCAGCAAGCGCAAGACATGAGCAGATACTTCGTAAACAAAAGGAGAATCTTGAACTTCAAAGAGAAGAAGCAGACGACAAGGTCTCGGAATCCCTGGATCCTGACACGCCATCCGCGCCTCTCTCCCCTGGCTTGCAGGATCCAGAAGTCGACCCAATCGATACGAAACTCGCTCATCTAGCATTGACGGGTGGCCCGCCTTCCACCTGTTGCGTGGGCGGGACAATTCGCGGTGTCGAGACTTTGGGTGCTTGGGCTGGCGCAAGCCTAGTGGCACAGCTGAGAATAAAAGGTATAGTTGAGATAGAGAGGGAAAGGTTTCTGCAGCATGGACTGTTAGGAGCTAGTCGGGAGAAGGAGGTTTCAGTTGTTCCACAACGACAGAGTATGGGTCCTGGCGTTGGAAGAGGAGCCGGTGAAAGAGCTAGCTGGACATTGGGTGTGTGGGCATAGTTGGTCTGGGAGTAGTGTCTAAAGTCGTGTGATGTGATCAAGGCCTGCGGTTTTGATAATATCTGAGGCCGTACCGCCCTTCCAACCTAGTTATTTAGATTAGGCCCTTGTCCTTGGAAACCCAGCGTCGTCTTCCAAACTTTACATCCACTCTTTCCTACAAGCCACCCACCCGTGTTGAAACCGCGGAATTCCGAAAGATAGGAGATCTCCCAGGGCGTAGGTTGCCAATGGGAGAGTTAGCGATCGGGATAGGGGGTGTATTCGGATGTCTATGTCGTGGAAGGGGGATTTGAGGAGTCAAAGTTGACATCTTGCCCGTCAGGAAGTAATCCAAGCAGTGCTTGAATTGTGAGTACACCATTTTGCGCCTTACTTTTATACCGGCGCATGGATTTCTAACCTCCACAATTTTGGTAAACTTTTCAAATTAGGCTGCACGTGGCTGTCATATCAGGTCCGTGCACTCGAAGTTTCTCTCTCTTTCGACATGTCCTGGAAGTTGTTGTCCTTCGAGCCTTCACTTCTCGTATCCGTTCATACGTACCTCCCGAAGTAGAGCCACTATCCCTGTAGTGTCATCGTGCTAGTTAGTCAGGCAACAAGGCATCTCGACAAGTAAACAAATGTACAACTTAACAAGGCAAATTTCAGCCCAAATGCATGTTTAGCCAATCATTCGGCATCTCGAATCGTCCTTCTCGACCTCCATGATCAGTGCCTCCTGATGTAGTAAGGCCATCATATATCTATACAAGTCGACAAATCAACAAGCCTGCATCCCAATGTGGAGGATATCGGTCACCAAGTCATCTCCCGCGAGCAGTAGTCTTGGCTAGGCGTTGTGGGTCTTTTCCCCCTCAGAGTATCGAAAAACTTAAGAAAACTGAGTATAAGGCAACAAGGCATCTCGACAAGTATACAAGTCGACAATACGACAAATCTACAAGTTTTAAAAGCCCCAAATCCTAAAAATCGCCTCGCCGCAAAGAAGTAATGGTGCGGGTAGCCCGAGTGAGGGTTTATATTTCTCTTGGTCCCCTTCGCCCAATGTCCCTCATGGTCCTTCTTCCACCTTGGTTGGATCTGGTCCTGCTTTTTGCGCCTCAATGGATCAGGAACGCGATCCCTTCCACCCAGAGACTTGCTGGAGTCCTCGGGATTCTTACCCATGGCACCCGCCACTTGTCGAATTCTCTCTAACCTCTTCGGCAAATTCATGGTCCCTCGATCTCAGCACGGAAAACTGTCCCGTAGCACACTCCAGTTTTTTTAGTGATGTTGAGGAAGGACCATTCTACATTCAACCTGTACGTTTTCTTCCCATGCTAGATGAGCCCTCTAAATTGGAGATGCAGAGGGCTGGGATTAATCCACAAGGGGAGAATGAAGCTGCGATTCCCGAGAGTAGTGCCAGAGGCCAGCAGCCAAACGAGGGGTCTCAAGGCCCAAAAGCTTCATCCAAACGCGAATTCTCTTGTCCCGTATTCAAAGCCGACACTGTCCTCGGGCGCAAACATTCTTGCCGAGGTGCTAGAGCAGAGCACATGTCCTATATTCGCCGCCACCTTACTTCTGGGCGTGCACCTCACGTCGCATTTCTAAAGCTGTGTGGGACGTGCAATGAAGATTTTACGGACCAAAAAGAGTTCGAAACCAATCACGGATATGACGGCGAATTCTGCAATAACCCTCAAAAACAGCGCCGAGGCGAGTCGGCGGAGGAGCAGTGGTACACCTTATACACTAAACTCAGTCCTGGGGCACCTCGGGTCTCGAGTCCCTGTAAGATAAAATTGGCGAATGTGAGGATATGGCTAACACTTGTGGAGTAGATATTGAAGGAGAACGATCGTCAAGAAATACCCCAGATCCTCGAATTCCGCAGATGTCTGATGCCAACTCGGAGCGGGTGGCAAACCCCCCATCACCAGGTGTGGGTTACCATGATTACCACCCGAACTGGGACTCATACAATGAAAATTTTCAGCCCTCGCAACCGTCTCCGAAGTCTATATCAACACCTTTCGAGCTTACCATGTTTTCAGAGGACGATGAATTTCTGCAAGGTGACCAAACATCGACGTAAGCTACTTTCACTCATGTTGCTGAGCTCGTAAACTTGCAGGCACTAACTCTTGATAAAGTTCCCAGAGACGTATCGAGTCCGATGCTTCCGATGCTTCCGAGCTTAGAGTCGTCACAAGCATCAAATCCGTATCTTCTATGTTTGGACTGGCCGGAGGCATCGAACCCGAGTCTTCCAGATTTGTAGGAGCTGAAGGCACCTTAAGAGCCCATTCTAGATATGGTATGGCGAGGAATGCCACTGGGGACAGCGCCGACGGCGTAAGTTTTCTCCACCGGAAGCGGAAGAGGTCCTAATGATACGCGTCAGTAGAGTCAAATCGCGTCCTCTTGGATAGATTCGGGGAAGATTCCACACAACCGTTCATATTCGGCCCTATGCGAGTATTGTGGCAAAGTATTATATGGGCCTCATGCAGATGGTAATCTCAAACGCCATCAAAAGTCATTTGGATGCGCCTCATCTGAAAGACGTAAAGAATGGCCCTGCGATCAATGTCAGAAAGTGTACCAAAGATCCGATGGCCTTCTTGTTCATAAACGGAAAAGGCACGGTTATCCTCCTGCTGAGCAGAAAGTGAAAGAAACCCCTAGCTATAAATGAGAATTATTACCGCAATCCATATCTTAATACTGGTTCTCACAGTACTATTATAATAAACACAGGAGGGGCCCTTACAAACTCTCGAGCCAACCCTTCATACACACCTACAGTGGATACGTTTACAGCCACAACGACGCGGCCTTTCTCTAGGTAGCGTTGAACGCTGTGTCGGCCTTTACCGTCCCTTTGACCTCCTTTCCTCTCCTCCTAACATCAGCCCACAAGAAGCAGCGTGTCGTAACATGTGTGATAGGAAATATGTGGAACAGTTGGGCCAAAAAACCCTTCACAATACAAAAGAATGCGAAGCACGATATTATCAGGACGGCTGTCCGAGTGACTAGTACGTTAACGCGTATTATTACCTTCGCAAAGACAATCTTCTGTTGCTTATGTGAAAATGTCACTGAAGAAGAGCCGGGCCTCCATTACGACAGTAAGGTTTAAACAGAGAGAAGACTAGGATGTCCCGCTCTCTGCAGAAATAACTATTACTTAGTAATTGCGCCTCAGGTCTTCCCTAATCAACCTACTGAATCACAGAAGATCAGCATCCAGTGTTTCAATATTAAACTGTCCTTCTTGGCTTCAAACTTGCAAGTATATCCAGTGTGATATCGGTGGAGTAATATATTATTTCCTTTGACGAATCTTCCCTAACCCGAATAGAAAGCAGTATAAGAGTTTGAGGGAGTTTCTCCAAGAACATACATTGTTGCCTGAGGAGCCAAGCATCCCGCCCAGAAGCCACGGTTACACTTCCCTAATCTGGCTCTAGGAAACGGTCAGTCACGTGATACCGCATTCAGCTCCCGCTTACAATTCATCATCTAGAACGCGTCATGGTGCGGGCTCTGACAAACCCATACTCCATACTTCCAGATACTTGTTCTTCTGGACAGTTATAACCGCCTCTTAGTTCCTATAATCAAGGCCAAACACCGTTCCTCGAAGGCCTCCTCCATCTACCTACTCGCCACCAAAAAGTGTGTTAAGCTTCTGAACCTCTCCAAGTCTACTTTTCAAGACCGGAATCTACTCGTTATTCTCGACTATACTAAAATGAACCCAACGCTCCACTCTGCTCTCCAAGCCCTCTGGACCCAAGTCCACTCTCCCGCTGGCCTCTCCTTCCCCCTCACCCTCGCCAAACTCTCCGACCTAAATGTAACCCGCTACCGCGTCGATTACATCACCCGAACTATCACCACATACACCTCCTCCGCTCTATCCCCCTCATCCCAGTTGCCCTCCCCTTTCGACATCTCCCCTTTCCCCCAATCCGCCCCGCACACATACCCCCTCAACAAACCATGGAACAAAGACGGCGTAGTCAAAGCGATACGGAAGGCGCAAGCCGGTGAGGGGAATTATCTGGGGTTTTCAGAAGAGGTGGTGCAGGCAGGGGTTACGGATTATACTGCGTATGTGGAGGGGAAGAGGGTTGTGTATTGTGGTGCGTTGGGGGAGGTGCATGTAGAGTGGTTTCCGGGAGCGGGACCGGAGCAGGTGGAGGAGTGAGATGGTGGGATCGGGAGCTGGGCTGGGGAGTATGGGAAGGGAGAGGAAAGGAAAGGAAGCGAAGGGGGGATTGATACCAGGGAGCTTGGGTTCTCTTGAGGAAAGTTTGTGATAGGGAAATAAGTGGGAGCGAGGCAAGGTTCGCAAGCTAGAGTCCAGTGTAAAAATACGTTGGTAGGCAGATGCATGGGTGTCTGTCTGTAAATGGAGATTTAGAACTATATCGAAGATTCCTCTCACTTTCAGGATTTGTAGTAAGGATATTTGATCTAGAATCCTCGCCTGGAGGTCCTCTACCAATGCCTATATAGATACCTCTCATAAATCGTTGTCTCGTACATACTAGTATAAATGGAAACTGACGCACAAGTACCCCTTAAGTCCTTGCACCAAAATTCAAACGTCTTCTATATTTGCAGGTAGATACCCAAAACCACGTGCTGGAAAATTCTCACTGTCGTGGGGAGGCTTAAGTGAGGAAGATTCAGATCGCTCGGACGAAGGCCCGCTATGCATACAGCGTCGCCTCCCCTCATGACCGCTATCTCTGAGAGAGGCGTCGTATGCGGAATAGAGTAAATTTTGGTTGGGTGGCGCCCAAGAAGTTTCGAAGGATGCTGGTGACCCAGATCCGTATGTTGAATCTTGTGAAGAATTGCAATCATTTAGGTTAGGTCCACCAAAATGATCCACGGTCGAATCTTCCCAGAAATGGCTAGGATCTATAGACTGAATAGAAGCTGTAAAGTGAAGGTAGGAAGACAAAGAAGGGTCCCTCTGGGGTTCGTACTGAGCAAGGACCGTTTCTCCTTCCGTTCTACTCGGAACGTATTGGGTAGCTTTATCTGTAGCGGTCACTCCCGCCAATCTACCTTGCATGGGTTCTGGATGGGTAGCCGCGGTGTTCATCAAACTCCAATTGTCTCCCAGCAATACACCTTGCATGGGTTCTGGATGGACAGCCGAGGCGTTCATCGAACTCCAATCGTTGTCCTGGTTTCGTGTGGGTGCTGGCCCCGGAGATTCCTCCTGGAGAGGAATATGGTACGTTGATTGAGGTTCATTCCCGTTCGAGCTCGGTGTCTCTTGAGGCGACACTGCAGGTTTATTCATTCCATGTTCCGCTCGCAGTTGTGTCAGGTTTCGGGTAAAATCCTCCTCGGCTTGATCGGCCAGTCGCTGGCACTCTTCATGGGTTAGCATAGTTCCAGCTTCGAGCAGGAGCTGTGTGTATAATCGTCTCGAACTGTCCAGAAGGCTCATAAGTACCGCAGCTTCTCTAACCTGAACTTCTTGCTCAGTTGCGCGTAACGTTGGTGTGATTGCTTGAATCTCATCCTGTGGCTGCATTTCTAAAAAAGGTTCGCGTGTAGGTGTTGGGGTTCTGCCGGGTGATGGAGAAGATTGGGGATCTGGACTGAAGGGTGATTGTGTTAAGCCAGAAATTGCCGTCCAGCTGTTATCGCCGTTATCTAGGAGAGGGAGTTAGCTAGATCCTAGGCTAAAACGTTTTGGAGACATCACTCGAGGGACTTACATGGGCTAGGAAGTTTTGTGGAATCCGGATAGAGTTTCCGGTAGAGCAGCCTCCATTGTGTTGCAAGATTTCCTCTAGCTTGAGGGCGAGAGGAACAAAGTCCCCTTAGATGAGTGACTGTCCACTCATTTTCATCAACGACATGCTCATTGCAGATTTGACAAAGGGCAACGAAGGTAGGGAAATCTCCATGCTTCCGAGACCGCCCAGGCTGAAGATGCTGACGAACTTCGGACATGTATTGAGCGTTGACCCCCCCGCAAGGTGAGGCTTGGCTATGCACGATAGAATGCTTCTGTACTGGGCAACCCAGCGTTTTTTCCGGTGGCAATTTTCGCTTCTGCGCTTTAATCCTCGTTTGTAGGCTCTTCTGGATCTTTCCACTACTAGGTTGGTTGATTGGCCGTGCGCCGCGTGAAGACGACGAAGTCGCCAACCTATCGTCTGTGAGATAGCGCCCTTGTCTAGATCGATCAATTGGATACGATTCTACGTCTTTCGGTGTCCCTGGACTGGATGTTCGTGGTTCCTGGGGGCAACAGGCCTCTTCTAAATGACTCAGCGCTTCCGTGAATTGAGAAACTAACCCCCCCCTAGTCCTAAAATGATGAGCTGGATCGTTCTGTCAAATACATGGCGATGCACTCACCTCGATTCTCTCAGGTTTTGCAGTGCCAGGTCCCAGATCTGGAAAAATCTATTTACAAATAAGGGTTGGGACTGTGAGCTGAAAAAAGAAGTGAGCTCCGAGTAATCCTGAGGTGATATGTAAGGATGTTCTAATATTCTGATTGAATTGTACGGTGACCTAGTTTGTGGCTTAGTACTCGAGGGGAGTTCCCCTATGGCTAACCTAGGAGAAGAGGTAGAGCTATCTTGAAATTTTTGGATGGGCGAAGGGGATTGTTCCTTTTTGTTGGATTTCGCTGGAAAGGCAGGCTCCAAGACAGGCTCTCTAGCAAGCTCTAAGGCAGGCTCTCTAGCAAGCTCTAAGGCAGGCTCTCTAGCAAGCACCAGACGAGGGTGCAGCTCGTCCTTTACTCTTTTGCCTTTCCTTGGAATGGGTGGCTTAGTGGCCAGCCCTGGATGACATTTCCGCTCGTGTTTCAATCTTGAGTCTTCCCGCCGAAACAGTTTATCGCAGTGAGACACGAGGCATGGTAATTTTCTAGGGCCGCAAGGCGAATACCCATGAACATTTCTCCTGTGTCTCCTAAGGTTTCCTTTCGCATACCGTCCATTAAAGGAACTTTCGCACAAGTTGCATGATAGAAATTGCGTGGATTTAGATTCAGGTGAAATAGGTAATGATGCCATAGCTAATGATACATCCGGGAATGCGGCTCCAGGCGATTGTGCTACAATGTGTGCTCCCTGCAGGACGGAGGAGGAATTCGAACCGGTTGCATATTCATTATTGGGTACGGCATCAACCCTGTAAGAGAGACCGCTTAAGTTTTCCAGTCGTAGTTGATTATATAGCCGTGGCCGCGGGTCCTGGGTGGTAGAATTCAGGCATACAGGCTCGACTAGTCCCTGAATGAGCCCATGCGAACTTAGCATAAAATCGGTGCTGCTGTCGTCGCGGTTGTGTGGCTGGAGCACCGATTCATAGTTTTGGAGTGCATAATGGCCCGCTCCAGGAATCTGTACGTGGTAGTTATCACTTCTTTCGTCGTCGTTGTATGATAGGGACCTCGATTCGTCAATTCGAAATGCATTAATACCCGAAAAAAGACCCTGGTCTCCTTCAGGGCTTTGTAGGTGGTAGCTATCGCTTCTTTCGCCGTTGTTGAATAGAGACACCGATTCGTCGTTTCGAAATACAGGACTAGAAAAGAAACCCTGGTCTCCTTGAGGGCTCAGTCGGTAGTAGCTACTGCTTCTTTCGCCGTTGTTGTATAATGGAGACCCCGATTCGTCGTTTCGAAATAGAGGACTAGAAAAGAAACCCTGGTCTCCTTGAGGGCTCAGTCGGTAGTAGCTATGGCTTCTTTCGCTATTGTTGTGTAATAGAGATCCCGATTCGTCATTTCGAAATGCATGATGACTCGAAAAAAGATCCTGGTCTTCTTCAGGGCTCTGTCGGAGGTAGTTATCCATTCTTTCGTCTTTTAGCGTGGAAGGGCCCCCAAGAGCGCTCTAGGATCGACAAGCTAAAGGAGAACTGAGAGCGTGATCAAGGGTTTAAGAACCTGTTGGAGCAGAAACAACTGTATGGTCGGACCCACATGCGGCTCTCATCGCGCAATTGTGCAATTGCAGCGAGCCAGTTACCAAACACGAGGGTTTTGGCTGCCAACACCTGCGCTGATTGGATTCGCTAGATTGCGTCTGCATATTTAAAAAGTGAGGCGGCTGCTGTACAGTCATGCAGCTCGACATGCAGGAACGGGCTTGTGTGGCTTGCGAGAAAATCTAAGCTGGCCAGCAGCAGAGGACATTGGGGTTTTCTTGCATACTCCACCGATATAGTAACACCATGCAGAATACTGGGAAAGAAGTTGACACCGGCCAAGGGTAAAGAAGAAACAAACAATATTCGAACATGACGAGCACCAATATTTGGCTTATCATGGTATTCTTCGTAAGCTGCCATAACTTCATTGCCATCAAGCCATAACACATACTCCCTTTGTATCCATCAGACAATATCGAACGCCATATTTAAGAGGCCCGCCTCTTGTTATCTAAACTTACAGGATCATTGCGGAGGAAGAGATCCGTAACTATGAGACCTAACCATCTCGAACTGGGATGTCATCGGAAAAGGCCTAGCAGCAGCAAGATTGAGACCTGGACTGAGGCCCGAGAGTTCGGGTGGAATCGTATATTCTTCTGGACGGAAACTGGAAGACGGAGGCGCACTCGAGTGTCGATCGTTCTGCAGCGGAAGTTTCAGCCAGCTGCCGTATGTGGAATCCTGAAAGCTGTCCGGAGACGACTGAAATGGGGAGGCTGCACAAAAATAGGTCGAGTCGTCGTGGGTGAAATGCGGCAGATCCTGCTGAGGGCGAAGCTGTAACCTGGCCTCGGCACTGGTCCGCAGTCTTGCAAGAAGATCGCTCGCTATATCTCTGAAACGATCGGACAGTTCTTGAAGGTGGGGTGACTCCAATGGTCTAGCCTCGCTCATCAATTGGTCCATGGACTGGTAAAGGGAATCGGAGCCACTCTGGAATGAGTTGCAAAGTCGTTGAATGACTTCCATGGCAGCTGCTTCGGCGATTTGGCCTGCGCGCTCTTCCTCTGGGTTGAATATCATTCCATTAGGTCTAGGGGCGAAAGGAGTAAGGGTCAAGAATGGCGCAGTGTCATTCTTACCCAAGCCATCTCCTAAAAAAGGAAGGTCGTTCTGTGGTTGTGTTAATTCTTGGACGATTACGGAGTTAGCAGTGGTGGAGGGGCCGGCTTCGGTCCACCCTGGGTCGTCCACGTCTGGGAGGTGTTAGTCTAGCTCAATGGTTTTACCAGAGCATTGAGAGCCTAACTCACATGGATTGGGGATTCGAGCGGATTCCGGGTAGATTTCCCTGAATAAATCTCTCCAGTGCTCTGCAACCCTGGGCCCTCGTGGTTGAGGACGACGTTTGCAATTCCCAGATATGCACAAGTTCTGACTTGAACCTTCATGTGTCGAAAATTTCCAGCACATTCGACAAACAGATAGGGAAGGGAGAAAATGACGATGGTCTCGGGATCTCAAATGTTGCATCACTCCCCACATGTTGACTGCGCCCTCGAAACGACATAGCGGACGCTGACCATCGGCTTCGCAATGCTTCTTATTTGGACACGCTAGCAGCCTCCTGCTGTCCGTCTTCCTAGGGTGGTGGCTTCCCAAGCCAATACTGTTCTGGGGTTTGTCCCGACCCGATCTGCCTTTACCTCTCGAGTTCGAAATACCTCCCGGAGGAGAGTAGGGGGTTTGAAGTAGAGAGGAAGATGGGTGTGGTGCCTGTCCGGGTGATTGAGTAGATTGTACCGAGCCATTGGCGCAAGAAATTGCCCCAACATCACTGGAGGCCAATGTCCAGTGAGTGAACACGTTGGAGGACGACGACGAAGAAGCAAAGCAAAGTTGAAAACCGAGGTCCGTTCGTCTCAAAGCCTTGATGAAACCAATAATCAGAGGATCGTTCGGACTAATCCTCCGTTAGCATACGGCATCCATATCCAATGTTTTTGGCGTCTGACTTGGTTTAGGAGCACAGGGTGCTGAACACCAGAGCCTCCAGAATTTCTGGTTGAAAAGTTCACGAAACGAAAACGATATAACTTACAATCGCTCAAACAAATTTCCGATAACAAGATCCAAACCATTGAAAATCCTGTTCGTAAAGGTCGGGTCGACTCGCGGGTCTAAGAGACGCAGTATTCCACTAACCATGTCTTTTGGGATGTACGGATTCTCCACGAAGATCATCGAAGGTTGCAAAACAGAAGCGACCGGTGAAGCTGAAGGTTCACCAGAATACACCAGACGTGGATCTTGTGAGTTAATCCATGCACCCAGCGCAGTTCGGTCAAGACTAGCCTCCGTTGGGATGTCTGGATGGCTCGATGCTGGATTGCTTTCATTGACATGAGTCATCCTGGGTGGGCTCTCACCATGATCTCCATGCTTCTTGCGCTGATGTTCTTTCTTTGCATCTGACCGGTGGAACCATTTGTGGCATACTTCACATTGTAAACGTGGGTCCTGTTGAGGTGGCGCATGTTTATGGCGCACGTGACGAGAGTGATTGCCTTTCTGCCATTCTCCAGTGAATGAAGCTCCACACTCTCTGCATGATATTCCAGGCAACTAGACGATATCAGTTCCTCTCTGAGTGGACAAGAAAGACAGTCATACCCTTAAGTTAAATTTTGACCACGGTTCCACGGCCTTGCCTTCTGCTGATCCAACAGAAGACCACGAGTCCTGTCTATCCTCGATCAAGTCAGGAACGGACACTGTAGTTAAGCCCTCAGAGGAGTCATCTTGAAGGTCAATAGATGAACTCTCATCCAGTTGATGATCTACGACAACGTCAGGGTGGGCAGGAGCAGGAAGCATTGGCCAATCTCCATTAAAACGGAAACCGGGTATGCGAGTGGAGTTTTCATTCTGAAGGTCGAGGTTGAGTGGTGACATGCGAGGCTGAGACCGGCAAGTTTCCGGGCTCTCTGGAATGAACGGAACAGTCGCATTCGTTGGGCTGACGTCCACACTGGCCGTCTCACAATAGATCTGGTCGGCCCCCCAGGGAGTCGAGTGCTCGTGTTGCATGATGACGGTCGAATGGTCTTGAGAGTTTGAATGGGGTGTAACAGTGTCGATGAGATGGTTGAAGGATCTTGTAGGTGAGATGTTGGGGCCATTTCATAGTTTTGCTGCATCGTGCTACCATGTAAATAGGAGAATGTAATTCTTTAGAATAGCAGAAATGTTTGTACGGAGCAGCTTTCGAAGAGGTTTTGTGCTGCGACTGAGGGGCCGTTACTGATAAGCTTAGGAGTGATATTGCAATGAGTGGATGAGAACGATTGCCTTGCTACAGAGCCTGGCCAACCAGCGCTTAAAGGTAACTTAAGAAGGAGAAACTCCCCTGAATATCTCACACAAGAAGCGCAATGTTGAGCCGCATTTGCAGTTCCCGCCCAAATTTGCCCAAAGTGTGTCACAGGGCAAAGAGTTCATTTCATCTCTAGCCAAAGGGCGTTTCTCCTCGCTTGACCGGCTTCTCGTCCTGCTGCAAGGCTTTGTGTCGAACGTGTCAGCCCTTCGTGGATATGACGCGGACTGAACCCGTATTTTTGACATTTCTACGAAGTTTGGGGTTTATGCAAGCAGAAGAAGGCGACTCTAAGGATTGATGGTCTTAACAAGGGACATGGCTGAAATGCGTAATTTGCCGAGGTCCTCTGTCTTGCAAGCACTCGCTTCTAGAGCCAATAGGATCTCGGGGGGCCTTTCACCCTAATATTCCCCCTTAAAGCTTGCTGCCTAATCGCATTTTCTTTTTCGGCCCCGATCCTATTTTAGAATCCATTCTCAATTAGTGGGGTATTCCGGGAAGAGTCCGAATCTTCGAGGGAGATTAATAACGATTCCATCAACCGGTCAACGCGCCGAGAGAAAGTCACTGTGCGCCACTAACCTTCTCTCCATGAGCGTCTGTTCCAACAACAGCTTTCATTCATCACGACTCCAGCGTCGCCCCTCTACTCTAGGTGGCTCCGCTCAACCCCATTTCTTGGACATTCCCACTCACCGAATAATAAAACCTCGCCTGTTCAGTACTAGTCTCATCCATCCATCCTATACCACCAATCGCACCGCCAGCATCATCTCCGTCTATCCATTCCTTTACACTATTCCAAGTTGTAAACGTCGATTCGCCGTCAGAGGTTATCTTAACTGGATGTTTGTCACTCGGAATAACATTGGATCGAGTTGAGAAGGTTAGGTCGGAGGTCGACTTGTAATAGCCCGATGTGCTGAATGCGGCGTATGGGTCGGTCGTCGAGGTGTTCTTCACCGAGATGGAAAGAGCTAATATTAGGAACAACGTCAGTTGTTGACGACTTGCACTCGCCCAGGTAAATCCTTAGACTCACGGGGATTCGTTTTAAACCAGCGTCGTGATCTCTATAGTATACCTTCAAGGTAATCGGCTCAAACAGCGCATCTACGGTGGCTGCCATTGGACTTCCGGGTGACGCGCTTGCCAAATCCCTGCTGACGGACCACTTACCAGAAGAATAGATCACCTCGGTAACTCCTCCTTTTGTACTCTCGTAGTACACTCGAAGTTGGTTGTTTGACGAGACAGAAGAACTACCTCGGTGCACGGCAGCGACACTAGAGATTTCTGAGATATCGGTGGAGGCAATGACAGTGCCTAAGTTCTAGGAGCACGTAGTTCCGTCCCCGGTACACCGGCGCGCTAATCCAATACGGCGGTTTTTTACTGTTAAAATGATATACCCTTATCTTGCAAGTCGGACTCGTCAGTATTCGAACTAGCTAGAGGTTCAAAAGGCTGGGTGCAGCCGCAAACCTACCTCATCACCGCCATTGTCTATCCAAGATACAGCGGTTATCGCTGATGCTTCCTTTGGACCCAGAGCTGGCGTTACATCTCCCAAGGACTTCCAATCGTTGTCTCCAAAATTTTTGACTTTTAAGGTACTCGATTCTACATGGAAAACTTGCACATGAGTAGGTACTCTACAACGAGCAGCAGCAATGCTTGCAAACTTGAACTTCGCCCGAGCCAAAGCAGTCAGCGTCGCGATAGTGCTCACAGTTGCAGCATCGGTACTGCCTGATGGCTGAACAAGTGACCGTTACCGCACCCGTCGGCCCTGGCGCTGTCACAGTTTGGGGCTCCGAAGTCTTGGACTGTGATTTCGAACCAAGAATGCCCCCAAGAACTCCCCAAAGTATAACTGCCAAGACTATGAAGGCAACCAGGAGGAGTGCCCACAGCGGAAACCCAAATACCCTCTTCGCTGAGTATGATGGCGGTTGGCTGGGTGTCGCAGGAGGTTGCCCAAATCCAGGTGAGGCAGCTTCTGCGAGATACAGGTTTACGGTCTCCTTAGGCTGGAAGAGTTGCTGCGGTAGAGCACAGTATGCCGCTTTTTGGACATTCGAGGTCGGTTCTGAGTTTGGTAGGTGATAGACCTCTGGGTGATCCGAAAGATAGGGCGCGTCGTATCTGGGAATTGGTAGATCCTGGTCGCGAGATTCCTGACAATCTCAGCCTCGCCTTGAGCGACTCCATTTTCGACGTACCATTGTAGCGTTGAGATTTGTATCTGTCCTGGCCTTTTACAGCCTATTCCTTCCACACACGAGACGCAACGCAGGATTTCCACAGTAGACTCAATATCGTATGCAGCTCCTAGTCCCGCACTGTTACGACTGACTTGCGCAGCGAACAGTTTTAGTATGGGTGATCCATGTCCGAGACCAATTTAATGCAACACCAAGCTTTAAAAAGGCTGGGCCTGGGGCTACTTCGTATGAGTAAGGTACTATGTACCCGAATGTGGTCATTTTGAGAGTTCGGTGCATGAGCCACAGAGAAGCCTATCGGTTACTTTACCGAGTTCAGGAGAGCTTCGACTGAATATGAGGACAGGCTTGCGTTGCTGAAGCCTGCTAAAAATCCGAATTGCTTTCGAAGGTATCATATCTCGCTAGCCTGTCACCGACGAGAAACGAGGCTGAAGAAGATCAGACGAAACTCATCGGATAAGTAGGAATCTTTAAGCACGTGTTTTACAGCCTAAGCTATTCCTTCTAAATTACTGCAGCTTCTCACTTAACTGGCGCATGACTAGGGCTGAGTCTACAGTGTATGTGTTGAACCTCCTGCTAGAATTACAGGGAACATAAGTACGACGTAAATTCCGTCCCGAATAAGCCAACTCTGATGTTCCAAGTCAGGTGATGAAATTCAGGACTGGTTCTGTCGAATACAATGCAGCTAAGCGTTTCATAATAAATTCCTACGGAATCTCCCTACACTCGGGCTTCCTCTAATACGCTTTCTATGGCATATTCTAGGCTCCAAGAGTCGCTACCCCACGTGACCTCCCAGCTCTCCTGACTTTCAGGGTCCTGTTCTCCCCCAACCCGAACAACTCATCTATCTATTTCCCCCAGACCTTAGCTATGTCCCCCCAGCCGCTTCAACTAATAATCTACCCCTCCCCACTCTTCGCCGCCCATTGGGCGCTCTTCCTCCCTTCCCCCAGTGATCCCAACCAGAAAGCCGGAACACGCATCCATGCCGACGGCAGTCCAGCGTCTGGCTTCGAAGTCATCTTTGAATCCGAGTACGATCTAAATGACTGCACGCAATCGTACCGGATCATTAATTTGGGGGAAATTGAGGCTGCAGAGGTAGAGAAAGCGGCAAGGGTGGTAGAGGCACCGAAGAAGACTTTAGTCGCAACTAGTGTTGGTGGAGAGGTATGTAAGACTTAGGGATATATTCACACAGTCGGAGGGGGGGTGGAGAGATAGTACAAGGCTGATTGGGTTTTAGGGTCCGCGGCGAAGAGTCGAGTTAAAGAATTGTCAGACGTGGCTTAGGGACGTTGTAGAGAAGATTGTGGAGAATGGAGCGCTTGGGGAGGAGGTGATGAAGATTTTGGATAGTGCGCCGAAGAATTGAATGAGAGGATTCGAGGGGGGCGATCTCACTTTAAACGGAGTGGCTACATATTTGGAACCGCACCTGTAGGAAAGATACCGCTTTCCTTTGGACGCTTGACTCGGTTTCGAGAACGGCGAAGTGAATGCCTACTCTTCCGACTCATTAAAAACGCTCTAATCCGAAGTTTTCTATCATAACTTTAAAATTGCACTTGGCTCTTATCTCCGAACCCCTTACGTACTGCAAACTAGATTTAGATCGTGAAAGCTTATTTTCTAAATACTCTCTACTATTCTATCCCTGATAGAGCATCTTTCTAGCAAGCCCCTACTACGTATCCTCCTAGCTCTCATTCGCATTTCGCCATGTTATCCACCCTCATCAGGACATCTAAATGCCCTTCTCCTTCCTAGCCTCAAATCGGTCTCCGAGCAGGGCCATTCTCCCTCATTCTCACCGACATATATCTCTCTCGTCATGGGAAAAATTCTCCCCCCAGCCATTCCTTCGCCTGATCCACGTCACGGCCGGCCCACTGCTGCATAGCATCTATCATATGCTCATAAAGCCTTATGTACGGGCTCTCCGTCTTCGGTTCCAGAGAGCTTCTATAATTTACGCCAACTTACTTAACCTTCCGCACCGTCGAAATACCAAAGTCGATAAGCATGACCCTGAGATCGGGGCAGCTGAAGTCAAAGCCCTAGTCACAACAGATGGAATAGTGATGGAAGTGTGGTGCTTGAGACATAATGGCAATTAGCGGTTGGTAGTAGTTTGGGATATTTGAAGAGAAGGCGAGGCCCGGCTTTTAGTGGATTTTTTATTTTATTTACTTGATTTTTTTTGAGGGGGGCATGAAGAGTCCTCTGGATTACTAGATTCCTTCTCGGAAGTTGATTCGTGCATCGTTCTCGAAGTCGAGTCTACTACTTTTAATAAGGTTCCTAAGGAACTATACTTCCAAATATTAAGCTGTATTACAGAGAACTGGTGACGTGGCGTTGCATGTGGGGACGGCGGGAAAGCCTGGAGTGGACTCTGAGCAGGTGATACTCCATCCAGCATTCCCTGAACCACACTCAGATACATCCCATCGCATCCACCTGTCTATATCCATCTATCCAGCATATTTAGTTCATTCCAACGCCTTGCAATGCATTTCTCCTAAAATCGCGCTCTCCCAGAAGTACATCACTAATGCCACGCTCATGGCAACGCCGCTCTCAACGCCTCCAACCTCTCCACCTGTCTCTTCAGCATCACCACGGCACCTAGACTGATCTTCCTCAGCCCATCCCTCTCTCCTTCATCACTCTCCCTCTTACTCCTCTCTAAAACATCCCTCGCCGCCGCAATCGCCTTATCCAGCAACCTTGGCGCCGCCTCCCCTGTACCCCGATACAAAAAATCCAACTCCTGCGTGAAAGGCACCACCTCATTTTCCAATACATGTACAATAAAAGCTCGCGCCCGGAAGTATGCGCGTTCAGTATACAGCGCACTCGCGAGTTTGGTCTCGGGGGCTGAGCGATGCACATCATACCCCGCTTCATTGTAATATGGTTCCTTGACCAATACCAGTCCCATGAGTGACACTAGGACTTGCAGCAATGTGCTCTTTGCCGGAGACCACGACTCATTCCGCTCATCTGCGTGCCAGGTGCCAAGCAAACTCAGACAGATTTTCCCGTCCTCGTACAGGTTGGGGTTGACGGGGCCGTTGCCGTGGGTCCAGGAGTGGAAATATGCGCTGGGCGCTGTGTTAGGGTAGGTGGGTGGGAGGTGAAAATCGATGATGAAGGGGGCGTATTCGTAAGGAGTGTCGGAGGGACCGATGATTAGGATGCGGAGAAGATCGAGGCGGGATTCCCAGGTTCGGACGAAGATGCCTGAGGGCAAAGAGGAGCGGAGGATTTTGTGTTCTTTGGCGATGCGGCGGGTGAGGGTGGTGGAGGAAGTTGGGTTTGTGGAGAGGTAGTGGTGGTTTAAAGGCGGGGCGGCGTCGAGGATGAGAAATGGGGTTGGGGTTAGGGTTTCAGATTCTACCTCGGCGGGGGCTCCTTGGGGTATGGGTATTGGAGGATCCATGGCCATAGGGGATGTACTGCGTGGCATATCTTGGGACGAGCTAGAGTCATCAACAGATCTTGAGTTTACAAACACGGATGATTTTTTCTGCTCGCCGTCTGATTGTGATTGTGGAGTTGTTTTTGATGTATCATCACCATTCCTAGGAATGATATCTGGCATTTCTTCGTCTTCGTCCTCATCGGCATCTTCATCTTCTTCCTCTGTAGACCAGTCTTCCTCGTTACTATGACCGATCGGCTCTCCGTCAAACCCTTCGTATTCCACCCACATCTCATTGAACGAGGCAGAATCAAAATCCGAATCTTCTTCGTCAGACCCTATCGACTCGCCTTCCAGGGTTGGCATAATGTCGAACTGGTTGTCCATATCACTGCTGTAAACAAGCGTTATTCTTTCGGCAGGGACCTGGACGTCAACAACAGGTCGTGCGGCGCCAAGCCGCACCGTGACTTTGCCGTCAAGGCCAAGGTCAATGACCTCTCCAAACCACTCGTTCATAGCTGGACGTACGGGGCTCTCGCTGTCGAAGGCGTCCATGTCGACCTCGGGTTGGGTCGCGGAAAACGAATGTATTAAGACGAAGTCTCCACGGCGTCGCGTCAAACTTGGCGTCGACCGTATGTCGTACAAGCTAACATCTTCAGTCTCGTCTCGGAGATTCCCGGTATGTGATGGCGGTATTAGGTCGTCGGCCAGAAAGCGGATGCTGGGGCCTTCGAACCACCGAACTGTGGCTATGCGATCGCGAGGCTTGACGGACTGAACGACTCCGACCTTTGCAGGCTCAAAGGTCCAGGTCTCGTCAGAGCTCTTATCTTTTCTCTGCTCTTTTGTGCACACTATCTCGCCGGGCCAGACCTCGTCGTCGTCTTCCACATTCGGGTCCGGGATTAGTGATGGACTCCTGTCTTCAGTCATGGTGAGATCTTGCCACATGACTGTGACCTGTGATTGGGTTTGCATGACGAGGTAGACATTGAGATCATATCCCAAAGTCTCTGTGCGTGATATCCGCCTTAGCTTGCCTTGGGGGTATCCATTGGAAAGGGAGTGGGTCCCATCATACTTGGCAGCGGCTCCGGCCAAGTCCTTGAATCGGACGCGGTCGCCAACAGCCACTTCGGCAACGTGATAGGACCGATCGACGCCGTTAGCCATCATGGGGAGAGTGCTTGAGGCTCCTCGAGAGGCATCATAGACGGAGAAGTTTGCGCTTTCCAGCTCATCGGTGTATAGCTGCGTAGGGGGCTCCACGCCATTCGCGCCATACGGTGAGCCAGCGGAGCCAAACTTGCGAGCAAGCCACTGCACGTTGATCATGACGGCCCGTGTCTCCACAACAGTGCCCTCGGGCCGCACATGGGGATCAAAGGCCCCGTACCTCCAACGGCCGCGCCGAAGATTCCCCTTTTTGGTCTTCACGGTATCACCAACGCTCAGACGGTCCACGAGTTGGTCGTCGGGCTCCAGATCCTCGGGGGCCTCGACCACAACGACTGAGTTGTTGGACAGTTTGACGGCCACCTCGTCGTAGACGTCCTCGATGCGGCCCACCCAATCATCGTATATGACCAGGGCGCCCTCTTGGTAGTCGTGCACGTTGATGAGTTCACTCGCGGGCACCGCTCGGAGCGAGAAGTCCTCGGTCATGACAGTTGTGAGCTGTCCGCCCTGGAACATGGTGGCGGGGAACAGCGTGCAAACCGCCTTGGTGCCAATAACGGTCCCACTCATAGGATCCTGGGCATGCCTCTTGACCACATCGCCCACATAGAGGGCGCGATCCAGCAGCTCCAGCCGGGACTCTGGGAGAAGCTCTGTTTTGAAGGCTGTTTGCCACGAGACCAGGACGGCGCCCCTAGGCGGGATGCCGGTCTTCATGAACTTGGAGAAGTGGTCCTTGGGGATGTCCGGGTGACGCTCGATGTCCTCGCTGTAGTCGCGCTGCGGGCGGGGCTCGTGTGAGTCGACGTCGCCGAAAGAGCGGTCGACGACGCCGACCATGAACTTATCATCCTTGAGCGAGACGGTGTCCTCGACGCAAAAACGGACGCCATCTCCCGCCATGAAGCTGGAAGGCAGCGGGCTCAGTGGCTGCTGCCGGTGGCGCCGTTGGTGTCCGCGATGTTCTGGGGGGGTCTAGACGGAGGGTGTGGCGGGGTGAGCCGGGGCACAGGGGAAAGACTCCGTCTTGTAAGATGCCGGTGATGAAGTGGCTAAGGAGGGAATTAATGCGGTGAGAGGAAGTGCGCTCAGGTCTGGTGTCGGTGTCGGTGTCGGTGTCCATGTCGAGGGCAAAAGTTTGGCTCTGCGGGCTGATACAGAAGGTGACGGGGACAAGCGAGCCGACGCGCATGTGAAGGACCCATCTTCTTTCTTATCTGCTTCACCAACGAAGCCAGTACACGCTCAAAATATGGCCGACCCTCTATATGAGCTACTGAGCCCCTACTTCGACGCTCAGGATACCGCCCAGCACTCAATTGAGCGCCCGGCCGCCAACAATGCCATCACCACCACATACCTTGCGCGACTAACAACACTGCCCCTCGCCGCCCTCGCATCCTCAGAGCAGCAATCGCTGTCGCAGAGCTCGCAGTCAATCCTCCGCTCCCTCCAGGCCCTCTCAAAGCGCTCGCACACGTCCATCATCAGCTCCACCGACCACCTAGAGCATCTGCGCACCACCCTCCCCAGCATTGGCCGCGATGCGGGGACCATCCAGGCGGAGCTCCCCAACCTGGACACTGCCGCCCACAGCTTCTCTGAGAAATACAGCAAGAGTTCCGAGAACCCAATCCTGCTGCAGAGGAGGAAGGCAATGCTTCTCGCCCGGAATATCGATCGCGTGTCCGACATGCTCGACCTCCCCACCCTGCTCTCCTCCGCAATCGCTTCCTCGACCGCCTCGTCTCAAGCCGCCGCAACCACGACGTCTTCCGCAACAAACGCAAACTATGCCTCCGCCCTGGACCTGCATGCGCACATCAAGCGTCTACATATCCTCTACCCACATTCCTCCCTCGTGTCCAGCCTCGCTTTCCAGGCCGAACACGAAATGAAAACCATGACCACAAACCTCATCACCTCCCTCCAATCCCAAGGCATCAAGCTCGCTGCCGCCATGCGCACAATCGGCTGGCTCCGTCGTGTCGCCCCAGAACTCGACGACTCGTACTCGTACTCGAAACGGAACATCACCACCAGCTCCGGCGAAGGTTCCCTCGGCGCCCTCTTTCTCGTATGCCGATTACATTGCCTCCTCGGCATGCTCTCCGCCCTCGACCCTCTCCGAGAACTCGCAGACCAGGAAACCGAGCGGCGACAGACCGCAAAGTTAACTGGGGGTGAGAAGGCAAGTGGATGGGCCGGCGGCCAGCAAACCGAACGCTATCTGAAACGCTACCTCGAAATCTTCCGCGAGCAAAGCTTCGCTATAATTTCTATGTACAAAAGCATATTCCCCTCTGCGCTGCCTGCGCCAGGTTCGGATCTCGATCCCGAAACCGCCCCGGCCGTGAAACCCGTAGGCGAATCGGAAAATCCTCTCCAGCCTATCCCCTCCGCACTCGCAACTTTCCCGCTGCATCTCACCGATCTTCTCTTCGACACCCTGCGAACATATCTCCCGAATGTCCAGGATCGATCATCCCGCGACTCCTTACTCACCCAAGTCCTCTACTGTGCCGGCTCCCTGGGTCGTCTGGGTGGCGATTTTAGTATGATGATTGCCTTGTTGGAAGAGGAGCTAGGAGAGGAGCTTGCGGATGGAGATCGTGTGGAAGTAGGGGGGATTGAGGAAGAATGGGTTGAAATTATGAAGAAGCACAGAGTGCAGGCTTCAAGGTTGGAGTTGTTGGCTTCGGGCGTGGGCACAGGGCGAACGAGTAGTGCGTCGATCGAGAGGGGTGGCAGTCCGGGACATTGAGAGTAAGGGTGATAAGAAGGTTGAGCTGCGGTTGCGAGGTTTAGAATGGGGACTGGAAGAGATGAAACGATTTCATGAAGTATGAGGACAAGCCTTGAGAATTTATTTGAGTGAGGGATAACGCTGTGTGTCTCCCCAATTCTCTTCCCATAGAGACTAACCTGGCCCCCGAGTCTATTTACATGTGATGCGGTGCTCGTAGGTTTCAGGTCCGACTACCTCTTGGAGCTGAGTCAGATTGCGCTCGAGACGTACACACAGCATCTCCCAACCGAACGCAATGGTCGATCGCAAAGGTTCCATCATCCTTGAACTTTGTCTACCTCACAATAATCAGATCGCTGATGAGTAGTGAGTAGAGACAGCTGTGGTCTATGGAGCATATCATCACATAGAGTAGAAAACGACTAGTGTGGAGTCTCTCCGTTAACCCTCTCACTAGAATTAAAAAGGGTGTTTATGGAATGCGCGCTTCCGCCCCAAATCATCCTGCCATGTTCCACGTTAAGTGGCATAATTCAGTAGTCACAGTGCCGTCTGTTGCAGCTGTTTCTACCAACTCGCTCTACAGGCTTGGAGATTGATATGGTTTATGATGTGAAAACGGCATTGGAGTAAATCTCAACAGCAGGACAAACTAGACTACTTGACTTGGGCCATTTCCACAACCATGGGTTCTTAGTCGCCTAACTGAACGAGCGGGTAACGAAAAGGTGTGTGGGATACATTCATTTCACAGGTGCGGGCTGAGGTCGGAGTATGTGAAAATTTTTGGAAAGAGGGGCACGCTGGGGATTGTAGAATTGCGCTTAGCTAATATATAAAGAGAAAATATTAGGGGAGAGCAGTCATTCTCTGAGGTTGCGCTCAAATCATGACGAAAATCGAGAGAAGAGAATGAGCTGCGGGAAGCCGCCTAGCTAGAGGATCGGGAGAAGGGACTGGTGTAGATTGGCTGTTTAGTGGGCTTGCGCTCAGGCTAAGATAAAACTTGAGAGCAAAGAAGGGCCGTGGGATAGATGATTGAGGGGAATCCGAAGGATGTCTTGCTCGTGCGTGAGGAGAAAGAGTCGGCAGATTGGCTGTTTAGTGGGTTTCTACCGTTCTACTTAGGTTAGGATGGAACTTAGAAATGGAGAGGGTAGGAAGGATGACTAACTAATAGATAAGAAGAAGGAATGAGGGTATTGTTGTTATCTAGTAGGCTTGCTCTCAAGTGAGAATAACAATCCGGAGGAGAAGCGTAATGTATATGCAGAAGTTACTTTTCCTGTAAATGCGGATATCTGTCTGAAATTAAATTAACTTTGGAGGCAAATTTTGAAAAGTGTTTGTTTCTACCTGTAAGGGATGATGCTACCTCTTCCGGATAGGGCGTATCCCACCAATAGATAATCCTATGGGGAAATTTGCTCCCCACTCACCGAGATTTCCTTAGCAGCCCTGGCAACCTTAGCAACCCTACCTAGCTTCCCTGACAGGCTTGATATCGTTAGTGTAACTCGGTCATTCCTAACCTTCTACCTTCATATGCCTACCAGCATTTATCTGTATCTCGCTCATTTCAGCTGGACGCCTTGCCGCCTGTAGGGAGGAACATCTATATGTAGTACTTTCAATAATGCATGATATCATGTGGTGGGTGCAGAGCAACCAGTTAGCTTGTTGAGAAGACATGAGATAGGAGGAGAGAGAGTTGGATGAATTGAAGGGATCTTGGTCAGGCGATGAAGATAGGAAGATTTCGAAAGCAATTTGATTCATTATCTATCAATTTAGTACGTTAATATTTCAGGGATTAACAGGCTGCATTCCGCCAGCGTTATAATTTCCTGCCCGAGGGGGGTTTTTCGAGTGCAGTTCATACACACTGTCAAAGCCACCATACCGGCCTTTCCCGCCAAACAGCCATTTCGCGCCGCCGCGCTCTCGGACGAGTATCCATGCAGAGAGCATGACCAGAAAAGAGGATAGAGAGAGCGGTATTAGGATCCATCTGCCGGCTTTCTGCAATAAAATCTACGTCAGCATCATGCATCTCGCTCTGCTCCTGGAGCATAACCGTGGAAGATTGCGCGAAGCTACTCACCCCAAAACCACAAGCTGCGCTCGCCCAATCCTGATCTTGATTTGGAAACCATCGATTCACCATACACGCCCAATTCTCCTTTGTATGCTTCCCATGTTCATTTGCAACGTCCTCATATCCCGTCCACTTCTTCTCCCAGCTCTGTACCGCGCTCGAGTATACACACGCAGTGATCGAAAGTACAGAACTCAGAAACGAAGCTGCTAGAAGAGTCCAACTCCAACCACGCTGATGTCCAGACCTTCCTTCGACCCTTCGGAGTTCCCAGATCCCACAAACGCCGAGAATAGCGACTATGTATCCGAAAACACACGTGCCTATCGTAACAAAAGTCGGGGTGTTATTGATTCGGATGTCAATGTCGAGGTACGAGTTTTTAGTGTTACCCAGTGTGTAAGGGGGTTCGAAGGGTCCGTAGAGTGTTAATGTTTGGCTGCCATCGAAGTCGTGCGGTGTTTGGCGGGAGAGGATGATGGAGGATGTGCGGTCCAGGTAGAAGGCTACTATGGAGAATGGGAGGAGGATGAAGAGGGGTGGCGTGAGGAGAGCGAGTGTGCGGAGGCCGTTTGAGTTGCGCATTTTGGGTTACGAGGGGTGCGCTCGAAGACGGCGGTCTGAGGCAGGCGATTAAATTATACACGGTTAAGATGAGAGGAAGAGAGCTCAGTCAGCAAAAGACATTTTATTAAACGAGTGAGACGTGCATGTTGCACGCAGGTGGACAGCCAGGTGGGCAGGTTGCAAGGCTGAAAACATGGGCATTTGAAGGTGAGGTTCTGGAAGCACTAATGAAGGATGAGGCGGCGAGGCGATCCCGATATCTTGATTGGCTGTTTCTAAAATTTCCAAAGAGTGTAAGAGAACCAGTGGAGCGTGGTTCTTAACGACGAATCTTGCCTGGGGAAAGGCTTGCAGATTGTGCATAATTAGACCGAAAATTACTATGTTGTTTTAAGATAATGTCGTAGCCCAGTTCGAAAGGAAATGCGAGACAGACACGAATGCACGTGACCTTTTACGATGTCTGTGATATTAGAGCCTGGCTAGAATCCAGCTGATTCATTAATACTTAAGCAAGATACGTCTTCAGAAGACGAGTCGTAAGGTTCGTCCGACATGTAATCTCCGGGTAAGGTCGAACCAATGATACATTGGCGCCGGGAATCGTACTCCAATCTTTCCGTAAATGTCTTTTGAAGAAGCTGCCACTTTTCTGCAGGTGGCTCTGTGCGGACGTGAGAATCAAAGAGGCAAGAGGGCGTCTATTATAATGCTACTCACCTAGCTCAACTGGTGCTATAATGGCAAATATATCGAGGCAGATATTGCAAGCAGCGAAAGCAGCACTATGTGCCGGAAATGTCTCAACAAGTTCCAGAGTCGCCCATCGTATCAAAATATATCTCAAGTGTGGGAAACGACCTCGAACGCAAGTTTCGCACAGATCGTTCAATTGTCTTTCAAAGCCCTCTGGCTCTCCATCTGAGGGGAACGCCAGAATGAGAGTCTCAATGCTAGATGGAAGACAATCCGGAAGCCTAGAAGGGGCTTCTTGTGTTCCAACAAGCAAGCCGAACGGAATCCGCATTGTCTTCAAACGGATGAGGGTTGAAGTTGATTTGAGCTCTCCGTAGTGAAGCCGATCTTGGCGATTATAGAACGGTTCTTGGATATCAAGCTCTTCCAGGCTTTTCGAATGGGCTAGAATTGCGTCGGATATTTTCGTATAAAGTTCTTCATCCTCTCTAACGTCGCCCCAAGCGGCATCACGACACTCGAGTCGCTTCAGGGCTTTACAGGCTCGAATTGCATGGGAAATAAATGAACCTGTTAAACAAGGGGCCGCCAGGGTCAGCTTTTCGATGTTAGCCAATCGAGATGGCCATTTGTAGAAAGTTCCGTGAACAATAGGAGCCGGACTCGACCCAAGGTAACGGCCATACTGGTCGTACTCTCCATCCCAATTGTGAATTGTGAGGTCCTTCAATGATGGCATCCGAAAAATGGAAATTGCTGTAGCTGGAGGTAGGTAGCTAATATCGATTTGGAGCACCTTGAGGAACGAGAAGGCGTGCACCAAACCCAACGATCCACCTCCGGCAGCTTGAGTTAATACATCTAGCCACATGGGTGGGTGTTCGGAGCTTTCGACTTCTGTGGAAACGTGAAGGTGCTCCAATTTGGGGGTTTGGGAGATCAACAACCCAAGATCGATATGAGGAGAACCCCATGACTGGAGGGTGTCTTGGATATGTACGAGTGAGTAAGGCAACTGCAAATCGAAAGCTGATTTCATTTGTCGATCCTTGACCGCCGCCATTTCAGATTTATCGGGTCTTGGTTCATAAACGCGATCGATGTACTGTATTGACTTAATACAAGCTTTGAGCTCTGGGTGCTGGTGTAGAGTCGCTAAAAGCTTTCCTATTTTGGGTGATCCAGGCTCACGATTGACCTTTGAATACAGAACGGCTGTAGCGATTTGGTTGAAGCGTCGACATACCAGACGGAGCTGGCGTAGGGGGAGCGTGTCATCTTTGCGGTACTCTTTCCAGATTATTGGCTTTTCCAGGAATTTGAAGATCTCAAGGATCAGCTCGTCCGGGAGCCCGTCGATGGTCCCGAACCCATCCATTAGGGACTTCAAGATCAATATTGTGGAAATGAGTAAGTTTAGAATGAATTTAGAATTTTGGAGCCTTAAATTTTGGGGTGTGGGTTTGCAAAAAGGTTAAAAGGTAGCGAGTAGCAGATGATTGTGGTCGAGTGTTGAGCGGGTTAGGTACACATCCACGGATGCGAGGTGAGGGCTAGTCAACTGCGCTAAGCCCAGGGCGGATTAGTGCCATGCTCAACCCACTGCCTCATCTATGTTACATCGACAGACTCATACATGACTGCTGTCACCGTCTTCTATTTCCTTCTCCATATCATGACGCCAAGAGGCATGCGGCTGCATACGCGCATATGTATAAACTATAACCCCCACGAAAATGTAGCCGTGAAGAGTTCTGTTGAAGTACACCGTATAGAGCCCTTCGTTGTAATAATATCGAATACAGAGGATATTAACCAATTTACCCACTATATGTATATGCCAAACACACTGCAGCGTTTTATGACCTAGTATGTTTCAGTTCATCGTAAAGGCGGGCCCTTCTTGGACAGTTTCCGTGTTCTTAGCAAAGACATGCCTACAGGCAGAGATCTTGCAAGTACAACGACAACTAGAGAGAAAACTTACTGTCGGATACAATTATCTGCCTATATATATCCTTCTGCTGTACTGGTTGGAAGGTTGACCTTTTGGCGACGCAACACTTACTTTATGTAGATTATAGTCAAAGTTATCATGCTAACCAAGATAGAAACAATTCTATACCCACAAGGCGGCTAGGAACTCGAGCCAGAGATCTTTGTATGGAGAAGCCGTATCCCAAGGCAGTGTTAGGAAAGGCCGGGGTCTACATCCTCGATATTTACACTCGGGCCGTGCTCGGCCGTAAGTCATGAAGAAAAACTCCACAGACATCTCATAATCGCTATAGAAGTCAACATCGTCTAAAACGTCACGTCCTTGGGCCTCCGCAGTAGACTAGCTCTTTCATGCAAGCAATGAGCACAAAGCATTGGGCAGCCAAATTGGAATCCAGGTACAGAGTCGCGGTGGCTTAAGAATGGCTTTCGGGATTAAAGAAGGTCCGTGGTCGGTATGCAATATAGCCCAGTAGGCTCAACCATGACAGACTAGTCGAATGCCTAGTACAGCCATATATGGGCAAAGGCAATGAGAAACAGCAAGAATGTGGCTGCAGGGAACCAAGTGATAGATATTGGTGTAGAAGAGAGCATTTTGGATTCTGAATTGGCAGCGAGAGCAAAGGGGTTATGTAAAGCACACGAAGAGGCGACCGGAAACATATCCCGAAATGCTGTTCCAATCCATGGGTTGGGAACTGAACAATTTCACAAGCAACCGCACAGCTTGGAAGAAAATCTTTTCAGTTGGCATAATGGTTGTTTATTTAATGGATTGTCGGTAAACGCTAGTACGTCACTTCTCGTTAGGAGGATGTCCTGCTCGCTTATTGCGTATGTTATACTAGAGAATATGAACAATGGCTAGTGTATTTTTTTTTAAGAAAACTCCAAGTTCTACTCGAACCTCTTTCCTAAATCCCCCAGTTGCGGCAGTATAAATCTTCGTCGCATCTAAGAGCCGCCGAACGTGAACTGGGGAATCTTAATAGTACTCACTTTCCACGTTTTCCCCCCGTCAGAAGTCGTCATGTCGCCTGTGACGCCCTGGCCCTTGCCAAGGGTCTTGATGTAATTTGGATCCGCCTTGTCCATGATAATCGTGGTATTGATCCACGCTACATCAATTCGTCAGCCGACAATGATAGTCTCCTGAGAGGAATATGAGCTATCTAGACTTACAGTGAGCGGGTACGGTACCACAGTCATTCGCAGCGCACTCGACCGCACTTCCCCAGCCTTGGGCGTGTCCGTCGCTAGTAGAAAGTGTAGCGACCTGTTTGCCGTTGACGGACACTGTCTGTGTGTAGTTGCCGCTGGCATCGTCAAATTTATCTGTATATCATCTGTGAGTCCAGAATGTCTCATGCCAAGAGCCATAAAACATACAATGCATCGTCACCTGATTGCTAGCTTGAGCAGGAGTACCTGCGGTTTGGACAGGCATCTGCGAATTCGCCCCAGTCTTCATAAGCGTGTACGCAAAGATACTCCACTCGCTAGACTGCCAGTTGTCCGCGATGGACTGGATCAAGTCGCCATTGGAAGTACCCATCCCGACCCAGAGGGATGTGTCGCCCGAGGAACCGCTTGGGGCTTTAGGTAAGATGAGGGTCGAGGTTGCTTCGCGGATGAAGGAGTTCGCCGCGACAGGGCCAGTACTGAATGCTGGGCCCATTGCCGCTTCGACTGAAGAGGTGAAGGCAACAGCGGCGAGGACGGAAACGAGTTGATATGAGAAAGGCATTTTGATATTTTTGGTAGAGTGTGTGAATTGGTGCGATTGACAGGCCTTCTTGAATAGCAATGAGTGCGAAGATAGAAGCTGTAAATTGGACAATGTCGGGCAGTTTAAATATGAATGAAAGTGTGCTCAAATGTGTTTCCTTACATTTAGGGGTGTTTGATTGTCCTCAATACCCCGCTATAAATCATGACAGTCATACCATACCTATTTCCTATCCTATTCCAAACTTCTCCTTCTCCCACCCGCTTTAATCTCAAGCACGGCGGTTCTTTTTCACAGATTCCATCCTCAATATTGACATTTCAGCGAAATCCGACGATTAGCCTGCGAGACTGGGGCAGGTACTCAAAAAACTCTCTTTCTGTTGGCCGAAGGTTTCGAAACGCTGGCCGATCTACGAGGGAAATCCTCATGAAGTAGGACTGATTTCCCCACAAATTTTTCCGCCGGGTCCACCGGCGACGGATTTTCCCGAATCAAATTTCTCCGATCAAGGGAGTGTCGCGAGTAGATTTTTTGTCTCATATGCCATCATTTCTATTCGTAGAGGAATATTCTAAACAGACATACTGTGATAGACTGTCGCACGACTAAGCGAAGTGGAATCAGGCTCAATTTCGCAACAATTGTCAGCCCATCAACAGTGCTTATAGGCGCGGCGCCCACAAGTCGCCCAAAGAGATGCATTACAGCTGCGTATTCCATACTTTAATAACCGCTTTAGTCAGATATAGGCATGCCGTCTCTGTGATGTTGCGAGTCAGAGAGTGGAGTGAGAGATGCTGGTGGAAGATTAGTCGCCACTCAACTTCCAGTGGTGGCCCGTCTCTTTTCGTGCTACGTGCATCATAAGAGAGGGTAGCGATAGACAAAGATTAGACAAACATCATGCTCCATATATGTAATAAGATGTAGCTTGCTAAAATTTCCCCTGTTGAGGTTAACGGATGGAGAATAGTACAAGGCAGTATATAGATGATCCTACTGGTAATTGGTGCCCTGGTCTGAAAAAGTTACGGCAGTTATATTTACCTCAACTCAGTTAGCCGCACCTTCGTCCTTTTATATATAGGATTCTACCACGTAACGTGGATCAGGATTAGTGTAGAATCTGTCTGTCAAATCACTGGCTGGAATCGGAGGGAGTGTCATGAGGACGTCACTTTCTAACCTAAAATACAACTACCATGTTCCACATTAGGTGAGAATATGCAGCAAATGAGCACCAGTGCATACAGTTCACTCCTTAGCCTCGCCGCTTTCAGGTAAATATAGGGTTAACCGGGTATGTATCAATACGTTAGGTTTTCCCTTCCTTAAGTTCATTACACCAGAGAGTCCGATATAGGTCGATTTGTATAAGCACTTATTGAATGGACATCCGACTTAGCTCCACCTTGATTGCACTGAGTTCCAATGTTCTAACCAGCCCATGTGCATGGTCATGGGGTGCAGTAATCACTTTGATAGTCGACGCCCACAGCCGTCCCAACATTTTCAAACGACCTTCAATAGCTTGTTCTTCCTTGTCGAACCCTCTATACTGGCCATGAGCGTTGTTATCAAGCGCTCACGCGCTCGCACTTCTCGCCACCATCGCCGTTTCCGCAGCGCAGGGGTAGCAGACAGCAGCCGTCATCGGCAAATTGTTCTAGGCCATTGGCGCCTTCACCAAGTGACACACAATCAGGTCCGTCAGGGAAACCGCAACTATTCGTTTTGTTATCGACCTTGATCGAAACTGGGGCCATATTGAGATTGGGGAGCAACTATACCCGTTTTTGGCGAAAACGCTGGCAGTGAAGAGCGCAAAGACAATGGGGAGGAACTTCATTCTGAGATGGAAGGAACTTGGAAACCCGTACAGCAGGTGGATGAAAGAAAATCACTGATCGAGTCGGTCGGAAAAAGTTATTACCAATAGAATCGAAAGAGGGAATGTTGCTGAAAACGTCGACTGACTGTGGGATAGACCGATCTTAATAATTCTTGAGTTCCAGCATGATTCACGATCCACAATGCCCTAGGTGCCCAGGCCGTCTCGGCTTCCAGACATCTTGACAACTTGGCTCTGCATCGAGTTGTTGTTTTGTAGGGTTGGACCTGTCGCTTGGTCGGAGAATTTCCTTGGTTACAAGGGTCAACTAAGAATGGACTGCTAACGTGCGGGGGAGACAATCTATGCAATAAATTTAAGTTTTTTGCCGTTTATGGGGTGAATTGTACCATAAAATCTCTAAACGCTTTGTTCAAGGCACTTACTATCTGACCCTTCGTTCTACGCTACCTCTTTCATTCTTTGCTTTCCCATCTTGGATGAGAATCAGTCTTACCAGAGTTTCGCTTCAGTCCAGTCAACATAAACTCCTGGCAAGATGCGCACCTAGTTTCTGTTAGAATTGTAGATCACGCTTCGGGCCGTTTATGGACTTACCCTTGCGCAAAATACGATGAGAACCACCGTGATATCCCCACGAAACCTAGCTGCTTCGTCCAGTGTGTCGCAACGGAGACACGACTTAAAGCCTCCGTTTTCGGAGGCGCAAATTGCACAAGCCGGCACAGTGTGCTTAGATGAGATACCAAAACCAGGGAGTTGGCCATTACGCATTTTTAAGCCTATCAGCAGTTTAGAAAGGTGTATCCTAGTTTTCTTCTCCGGCTGTGGAAATGCGGCTCGAGTGCATGCGTCACTTCATGTGGGAAGGTCTTAAGCATCCAAGGGCAGATTGAGGTCTTGTAGTACGCTGTGTGAATGAGAAGAGGCGCATTGAACGATAAGGGTGCTGGGAAGGAGCAACCTCTATGCAGGGTCCAGACGTCAACCGGTGATGCTCTTAGGTCAAGCTCACAGATCTAAATCAAGATATTAACATATCTTTGCTAGCTGCAACATTCTTTCAAACCGATCCGTCTCATGTATGCTACTCTAAATCAATACCTCAAAGTCATGTCCAACGTCCTTTCAATCCAATCCCTCTCGTGTAATTCTCTTCCCCACCACGAATTCATTAGTTCTAGTACTTAAGGGTGGTCATCATCTCTGTTTCACAATCCCATCGTCTCAGATCGCGCACTTACCAGCCTGAGAAAATCCTCACGATCCCACCAAAAGACAGCTCGAACAACCTGAAGATACTCCGTACTAGCGTATCCAGGCAACAGGCTTGGCAAGGCTAGGCAGGTCGATTGACAAAACCCTCGACGTAACGACTCCGTACATCTCTCCGTCCGCCAAACTGAAATGAGCTGTCTGAGAAGGTTTTTTCATTCATTCTCTCTGATCGTCCAATTTCATAAAGAAACCCCAAAGTTGATGTGTTCATTGCGAGATTGTATTTATAGTACGCGCCTCGCCCCACACTAAAGGCTTTGCTCGAGTGCCAAAAACGCTGGATTTCTTGAAACTGCGCCTTATTCAGGATCTTAGGTGTCGTGGCTGTGATGTTTCATAGCCTGCACGGATCGCGCTGCTTACGTTGTCACGTGACTGGCTGTCCTACACTCCAAGGTCTATTGAAATCTGAAGTAGCTTCAAGTAGAAGTTCTCAGACTGAAAATCACTGACTGGTGGGGAGGGACAAGATATGGTTAGCAACTGGGATGAAAGGTCTATCATACCTCAAGTGTCTTTAGACTTCACATTGCTTCAGGCACATAGTAGGCCTAAACGCATAATTCCGCAGCGCAACAGCCGCCCCCTCACTCATACTGAGGCTGCCACATCGAGGATTCCTTCGTGCTACAGTCCAATGGGGCACAGCACTTGCCAGATGATCCATCACACAAGGCTCATAAACTATTCACCACGCCCCACTTCACGATGGCTGTCTCCCTCCAGCAACTTCGCTAACGCTGCCCAATTCCTCAATTATTTTCCCTCTAGAGTTCGACTATGCCGTCTTCCAGCCTCCTCCGGGTAACTGTTCTCTCATATCTAATCTTCATTACCGCAATAATCATCCTCGCGCTGTCTCTGGCCGAAATTGTGATGGAAGCGAAAGTCTTAACTGCCTTTTCCAGCGGTCTACAAGTCCAGCTACCGGGGACAAGTTTAGCAGAATGGTTGTTTATCCCATTGCGTCCGATGAATCTGGATACCGGTCCGACAGAAGCGATTTTTGTGGCAGGTGCATTCGGTGTGGTGTGTGGGTTGTTCGAAGTGGCATGGTTGCTGGCTATTTGGTTTGGAGTTAAGGGAGTTGTGGTTAGTATCGTCTCTTTCTCTACCTCTATAGTCTACGTATTGTGTAGTGTTTGACTGGGCTAAATCAATGTTATGGTATTAGATCAGAATCCTGGGCCGCATTGCCTGCATCATCACCTTTGCTGCCACAGCCGGCGACCTGGCTCTCTTAGCGTACGTCTTGGTAGTCGAGTCGAAAAACAAGCTACCAGACCTCTTCCTTCAATGGCGGGATTACGACTTCACGAGGGAGTACTGGGTCTGCAAAGCCCTCCCCAGTAGAATCGTGAATGCGGAAGACTTGTACGGCTTTCCTGTATGCCAGCACGCTGTAAGTAGTGGCCAACATTTGTCGACTAGAGAGAGAAATGTAGTTGATGGGCACTTTAGAGAGCTGCGAGATATGTGCTTATTCCGCTTTCGATACTTTTAACCGTGCTGTGCGTGTTGAGTGTTGTGCAGGCTTGGAGAAGTGGAGTTTTGGGTTCTCTGAGAGAATCGAAGAATGACCTCGAGAAAGGCAAGGGGGATGTTAGATATTCGTACGGTAGAAACACAACCGTGGCAGCAGTACCACAGCAGAGATCGCGAAGAGAAGGGCCAGCACAGGATAACTTACAAAGAAATCGTTTGTCCCTTTTAGGGTTTTATGCTAGAATATGAAGTCACGAATTTAAAAGTTACCCTTCCGCAGATTTCAATATTTCTATCGAAACCTAACATGTTCCTAATTTGCGGTCGGCTGAACCAGGTTGTTTCCTGTAGGTTGTTAGCACACAAGAAGAAGAATAATTGGGGATGAGGTGACATACTTCCACTAAGATGGAGGGTATGCTCGTTGTAAAAGGCCCCCCTGAACCTGTGAGGGAATAGAATAGGGGCAGTCATATCGAACCCATTCGCTGGTCTTCCGACTGGGTCTGACATTTGCTTGTCAATCACGACTTTTTGTGTCTACCTAAACTCACCAGTCGTCATCTAAAATCTACTGGCCTGAAGCGTCTCTCGGCAGTCGGGTATTGGAACAGCTGACTTCGCTTGGGAATATTCTAGGCGCAATGCGGTTGACACGAACCTTCGTCTGCACGAAGTTATATGCAAGCATCCGGGTCAGCTGTGGAAAGGTGGCCTTACTCGAGGCATCGCAAATTGAACCATGCTGTTTCCTTCCTACACCTGGAAATCCTCCACACGTTTATAATGGTGGAAGTATATTTGGGGTTAACTTCTCTTCCCTTTGCAAACCTTGACAGAAATGTGACAGACATAAGGTACGCTCTTTCGACATTGGTCTTGAACGTATTAGCCCAGATTTCGGGGATAGACTTCCAGAAATGATCGGAGATAGCTTGCGGGTCGCTAATTCTAGGATGGCCTGAGCCTGAATATTTGGTAATGTCATCTCGAGCGATGTCGGAGTTGTTGAGGAGTAGCCAGATGCCCTTCAGCCCTTTCTAGGAAATCTCGTTATGCAATTGCTCGATATCCTCCTTATCGCTAACATTGCCTTGGAGGCTACATGTCATATTAACAATCGTCCAAGGCAAGGAATTAAGGTGCGCCTAAGGATTTATCTGGCCGGGCCCAGTGTCATAAACCTCGTCTGATATTTTGAGGACTTTGTCTTGTCTCGAGGATGTGATGTATGTGCACTGCTCCATTAGCTATGAGAGCCTAGGCGATCATCAATCTAATTCCTGTGCTACCACCTAGTGCTATTGCAGCGACATGGGGCGTCGAAGAGCTTCGAAGCTTTCAATTACTTATTATCCGCCTTACCTAAGCTTATATTTCTAGCGATAGTAAATAACGATCTCGGAATGAAGGAATCGTGAAAAGAGGGAGCTGCACGAGAGAAGAGGAGAAGCGTGACAACGAACTATAATGGAAGAGGAGGCCTAGAGAACCACACTGCAGGAACGACAGAGCGCCGAAATGTGAACAGCATGGCATCTGAGAGGTGGTTTGACTAAAAAGAAAGGGGCCAGTCGCGTCGATGCTCTTTCAGATTCCGATCCGACTTTCCCGTGGCGACGAGTATGGAGAAATGGCATTCCATACAAATAGCCGAGAGTGTATACATGAGCTAGGTTCTGGGCAGCCGAAAGGGATGCGGCGAGAGGAAGTGGGTGTTGCGACCTCTCGGTCAGGACGAGAGATCGCAGGACATGGGTCTAGGCGTCTGCACACATGTTTACGAACCAAAGTTACAAACCGAACGAGAATTGAGCCCAAGGGTAGCCCATATTAGATAGAAAGCGTGCTCAAGGATGATGAAAGGGGCCCAGTTGCGGCAGGTGTTGTGTGACAAAATCCGAGCTTCACCCGCAGCGGGTCCGAAACACATCATTTCCAACACAACTCCAGGCTTCTTGGACGAAGAGAAAACAAGAACTCATCAGAACCACAGCTGGCAGGTCAATAATTCCACGTCTTGCGCCCTTTGCAAGCACGCAATGGGATGTTTTTGTCAGCCGTCGGGATTTGAACGATCTGATTGGCCAATGTTCGATTAATAAACCTCGGGAAGAGGCGATGGCATCATTGCCCATGCGTGAGGGGATCGTCGGAACGACACCAGACAGCTTGACACCATGTGTGCAACCTCCGCATTTCTAATCCTCGTGAAGCTATATAAGGCGACCGAGTGCGGATGATGGATCGATATCTCAGCTCTCAAGCAGCTCACCTTTTAAGCTATTAACAGCTAGCAAGCAACAAGCATTCATACAGTTCCCTATCTAACAAACGACGACTATAGAAACTACGTTCACGCGATCGATACTTCGGAATACCTCTCGGCCATTACCGGCTAGACTGCAGCGCAGAACCTCCACACTCCGACCCAACATGACGACCGCCGCTCCCCGCCCAACCCCGGCTCACGAGCTCTCCACCTCACAGCCGGCCGTCTCCGCCTCAAAGTCCACTGATGTGAACTTCCAAGGGCTACCAATCCCCCGAGGATCTGTCATTGCGTCGCTCTCCTTCTATCAAGCCCCTGCCGATGGCTCGAAACCGTACAATTTCGTCGAGAAGCAGCCCGAGGGTGTTCCTCAGAGGAACTTTGGGGAGGCATGGAATGAGGTGAAGGTGGACGATCTGAGGGGTCAGGAGAACAAGTTCAACATGGAAAACAATGCCTTTGCCACTCTATCCAATATTTCCTCAGAGGAGCACGAATTTTTGAGAGATGAGAGGATACGACAGGTCTACTACCCGGAGGTCGAGAAGCTGCTGCTGGACACCGTCCCCGGTGCGAACCGGGTCTTGCTCTTCGACTACACAATTCGACGGTCAACGCCCAACGCCGAGCGGGCACCCGTCGTTCGCGTCCACATCGATCAAACTCCCGCTTCCGCTGCCGCCCGTGTGCGACACCATCTCCCAGATGAAGCCGAGAAGCTCCTGCAGGGCCGTTACCGCATTATCAACGTATGGCGTCCACTAAACGGTCCCGTTATGGCCCATCCTCTAGCTGTCGCCGATAGTGCTACCGTCAATGACGCGGATCTCATTGGTGTGGAACATAGGTATCCTGACCGCACTGGGGAGACGGCGGCTGTTCAATACAACCCCGAGCAGAAGTGGTATTACTGGTCTGGCATGACCAACCAGGAGAGGCTCCTACTTAAGTGCTTCGATAGTGACGAGACAGTTGGCGCATGGGGCAGAGTTCCACATACAGCATTCGTCCATCCTAATACACCCGAAGGCGCTATTGGGCGAGAAAGCATCGAGGTGAGAGCTTTAGTATTTGGCTAAGCTTGCATTAGAGGGATCTTGATGAATTATGAACCAACATGTCATTATTTTAGTATCTATATTCTCTCTGGTTGTATATTTACCTCAAATGTCATGCTTCATCAACTTGTCTTTGCTCCCTAGGTTGCCTTGTCTTTCCTCGTCCACCCAGCCTGATAATTTCCGGCGCTTCGAAGTCCAGACGCATTCCTGCGCGTGTGGTTCCTACTGTAATTTGGTCCTAGGTTTCGTTAGTTTTCAATATCCAGTCAGACTCATCCGTCGACTCCAGCACTCACCGCTGGTGGTGGCTGTCTCCACCTCCAATCTTGCCACGCAAACATGACCAAAAGCGCCAAAGCACAAACAAAGATAGGGATTGAAATCCATCGTGCAGCTTTCTGTCCATTTTTCATTGTCAGTCAGATCCTTCATTCACCTATTACATATCTCATCGCCATCCACGCCATTCTACCGGAAATCTGTGCATACCGCTTCCACGCAAGCTCTCCCCGCCCACACTTCCGACCCCTTCATCGCCACAGGAAGCATACGACAAGCCGCACTCTCGGTCGTACATTCGAAATTGCCACCGCCCTTTTGTGAGTAAGAACACGCTACCGCTCGGCCCACTCCATCATTGCAGAATCCGTATATCATTACTACAAGGCTAGAAACCATGGTCGGGCCGATGAGGCCGGTGTAGAAGGCTGTCCAATGCATTGGCATTTTCTGAGGACGTGGTCAGTTGAGCGCATGGCGGGATCTCGGAGGTCAGCGCTGGAGGAGAGGGTGGGAGGAGGTAGGGGAGGGGGAGGAGGGAATGGTTTAGTATACCACATGAACATTCCCCGGTATCCTCCTCCATATCAACCACCAACCCGCCGTACAAAACACCGTCACTAAAATCGAATTACTAAATGTAAAAAGCATCAAGTCCCCAATAGCACTGTCCTGGGTGAGGCCATAGTGCTGTGGGCTATCTGCCTTAACACCTTTTGGCGTCATGAATATATCAAGGCCTAACCGTGTGTTCGCTCGGATAATAGCTTCGGCGTGCGAGGATAGAGCCACGGAAGCGATGCTGAGGGTGAAGAGCAGGATGGTTGGGATGGGGGTCAGGTAGAGCAGGGGACTATGGTGGAGTATCGTGGGCTGGAGAGGGCCGATCCAAAGGGGTGGGGAGGAAGGGGCGGCGGTGGTCATTTTTGGGAGATAGGACAAGAGATCCTGAAAACTGTGGATGACCTCGCGAAAGCTGTCTGCTGGGTCCGAGTTCTACCATTCTTGTGTATGTTGACGCCTGGATGGATCTGATTGGAAGGATTCAGACCCCACAGCCCCATCCTTCCAAGATTTCTGACCGGAAAATGTGGAGCAAACTCCCCTCGTGTGAGGCTGATTTCCGGTGGAGAAAAAAGAATTCGGGAGGGGTCAATCATATTTGCGTAAAGAAACTTTGGCCGGCGTGTTCTCGTACTCAAATTTCTTGTTTCGTCTCAAGTGTCCAGTACCAAAGGGGAGTAACTCCCTCCGGGAATATTCCCGTTTCTTTTCCAGAAATACACAAGATGCACGATTAATAGCGTCAGGGATAAAGCCAGGATTCCGATTGTGCTTCCGCGTGCGGTTTTCTTTTGTGGATAATGGTCAGCGAGGGGGGCGCGCTTTAGTATTGCAAATCACTTAGTAAAAGATAAGTTGCAAACAACTCACAGCTTCAAAGCAAAGGAATCTCCAAGACACCGAGTCTTTAGGCCAATGCTCGGGAAGGAGGTTGCAGACTGCAGATTGGTGTGTACAGGACATGCTATGTTTTCCTGCAGCATCGCGGATGTACTGACACCCGGATTTCATTTCCTGGCCTCCCGATGAGGCCCAAAGGTTAATGAAGAATGAGAGTACGACTGTTTCTAGAGATATGAAAACGCAGGCGGTGGAAATGGCGATTGCCGCCGTTGTCCAGAAGCGCGGTTTGATCTTTGTACAGACGATTCCGTCAGTCATTGCTAATAAACATGCTACAGAAATATTGGGGTAGGAGTGAGCGAAGAAAGATCATTGACATACATCTTCGGCCAGACTATTTTCTTCGCTGCCTCTCCCATTCCCAATACACCATGCTAAACCGGTGACTGTGGAAGCTAGAATCCCAGATGCCGCGGCGGAGATGATGAGGTTTGAGGGGAATGAGGTATATTCTAGAGGGATTTTCGAATAAACAGGACGACCGTCTGCCCATGGTGGGTAGGACACGAGGTCGATGTAATGGTGAGGCCATCGAGATGTTAAATCTATGCGAACGTGGGCTTCGAGCGAAAGACTTAGGATGGAGAGAAGAAGAAGAGAAATTGCAACGGTTACGATTAGCGCACCGTGGATATTGGACAGCTTAGGCATAGTGGAGGACGGTGCAGGGAAGAGGTGAAGGAGAGTCGGTGCCGTCTGAAAGGTGGAAAGAATGGCGGGCAGACTTCGTGCAAAACAAACCCTTGAAACACGCGAATCGCCTGCTTCTGCTGCGCCTCTCTGATACGAGGCGAGGCATCAGCTGCGTGGTTGTGGTCGCGCCATTTGGGGGCCACAATGGATTGGCGCGTATTTGCCTTAGTATGATGTCTGGTGAGGAGCACATAAATTTGGATATGGTTGATTGGAATATCCACGCGTAGGCATGAAGTATGAATGAGTGGAGTTAACTAAGGCACTGCTTCAGAAGGCTAATTCCAGGAGCCTTTCTTCGCCTCCCTCTCAGCCCAGGCCCTGAAATCGATTGGCTTCTTGCCAGTAACTTTTTCGAAATTATTCTCATATGATGCCTCACTACCCTCCTTTGCGGTTATCTCAAGATAAGGTAGGAAGTTGGCAAAAAGCTCCTTGACGCCGACATTGAGATATTGCTGTACCATCTCTGACTGTGATTTGCGGACATGCTTAATCGGACGGTTGAGGATGTTGGACAAAGTTAATGCGACCTAAGAAAGTATCAGCTCAGATAAGAATCCGTATTAGAACTAAAGGAAGAAAAGTGTACCTGATCATGAGTCAACAATTCGGGACCCAGGATAAGGTAGTCCTTATTCTCCATCTTAGCCTTCCCCGTCAGAAAAGCGCATGCGGCCTCCGCAATATCATCTGCGGACACGAATGGGATTTTGCCGTCTTCAGCGGCGGAATAGATGGTCGATTCAGATTTGATAGCGTCACAGTGCAGCCACTCCGAGAAGTTCTCTTCGCGATAATATCAGCAATCGTCAGATTGCCGTCCCGTGGATTAGACTACTCACCCATGAACCATGTCGGTCTCAAGATAGCAAACTCCACCCCAAGCTCTTCAAGATGACTCCACACCTTCCCAACATACATGCCTCCTTTCTGTGCAGACGTTCCACCGCAAAGAACAAACTTCTTCACACCATATTGCTGGACCGCTAGATCAATGAACGTGTTCATATGTGGTGCGGGTTCCATGGTCTCGGGAGGAACCAAGTAGACTGCGGAGATCTCGGCTTGCTTGAAAGGGTTGGAGAAAGTGCTCTTGTCGAACCAATCCAGTTTGGTTGTTAAGAAGCTCTCTGGGAGCTCTGACACAGCGCGGCGCGTTGCAAGGACGTAGGGAACGCCGGCTGCCTTCAAGAGTTGCGCTAGGCGCAAGGAGGTTTTGCCAGTGCTTCCTGTGACTAAGATGGCCATTTCAAACGTGTAAAGATAGCCGGCGAGTTCTCCAAAATTCAATTCCTATGAAGAAATAAGGAACAGGCTGACTTTGAGGGGTGGGAACTGCTCTAAAGCCCAAGCTGGAGGTGGATAATTTTCTTTCCCAACATCTTGAAGTTAACATTTATACCATCAAAGGCCGGACAACTTGTGAACAGTTAAGTCCGGAATAAAGAAACATCATTACATATAATCCGGGCGCTCGCAATCGTAAAGACCGACCTCATACCCATCGTGGATGTAAGATATGAACGATGAGTAATAGGAGAAGGGAGGTTCCAGTAGGTCCGACCGGCCGACCTCAACTCCGATGTTTTGAGGACCGACGGGCCAATGAAAATGAACTAGTGAATAACAAGCAACCACGACGCCTGCCGGAAGTCTTCCGCTCTTCTTTTTGACTTGTACTCAGCAGTCTACTTCTCTCAAACCGTACTTTAGGGTATCGTAAGCAAACATCATCTCCGAGAGACCCGCACAAATAAGCCTCCCTTCTTTTGAACAGGACCTTTAGTCTCCGTCCTGTTAACCAAGGAACTGTAATGACCTAGGTTTGCCCTATTTGCCACAGGGGCTCGATCTCCAGGCACATTTATGTTTTCATGCAAAGGAAAAGACTTTGAGCCACGACACGAAGAAGGGAACCAGAGGGAAGTCCTCGAAACCAGGAGATGTCTTGTCGATGCAACCAAACATGAAGGTGATAACAAAGCTTACTGTCCGTACGCAGCAGCAGCGTTACGGTCTGGATACTAGTTATCGCGCGAGAAGGATCAAGTAACTATGCCACGTAATGCTCGTGCGCGAACCTCCGTGCGCGAACATGTAGATATTCTTCTTTTCATCCGTACGCAAAAAAGGAAGACAAGCAATGACCAGAAATCTGTTGCCCACCCTACCTACTCCGTACGCTGTGCACACCGTACACTACTCTTACTCTTGCTACTTAAGTGCTCATACCATAAGCAGCTAGCTGAAAGAGCCCATTCAACACTTACCGCATCTTCGGACCCGGCCACCTTAACTCGCTACCGAATCGTACAACTTTATGAGCTTCGCTCCACCGAATTCCCCCACCGCCAACAGCGTCTTCACTCCGCCATGTAGATGTTAGCCGGGAACAAGCGCGAACTCTTCAATGATGCCCTTCAGCTCCTTACTTTCGTAGCTAACCTTTGCTTCTTAAACAACCTTCACATAACCGATCAACTTTTGCAGGCCTGGATCAAAAGAATAATGTTGATCTACATTCGCATCCATGATGCTCTTGAGCTCCCCTGCTTCTTGCGCAAGCCTATCGAAGTTCAGTAACAATAACACCTCTTCGAAGTGATGATGGTGCTGAACCATGTCGCTCTATGCCTTGACATACAGTACGAAGTCGACAACATCCTTGGCGTTCTAAACTTTTTCGCATTGGAGATAAATTGCGTTTAGCCCACGCAGAAGAGTGTTGTGGACATTGGTCATATCGCATGCAATGTACAGAACGCCAGCATTAGTGGTCTACCGTTTTGTCAGGATCACGATGCTTTTGAAGAAGATAACGCTTACCGTAGGCGCTCTAGGTGTCCTAAGAGCTAGCATTAATCTAAAAGGCTGGTCCACCCATTGCATCGCCGTGTCTTAGAGTTTATCAAAGCAGCCGTTCGGTGGCAGAAGATGAATGCTGGATTTGAAAGAAAGCTGCTGCTCTCCTTGAAGATGGATGAAGAAATATATCTACCTCCTGAAGGCACGCAGCAAATATATATGCCTACATCGTTCCGCTGCTCCAGTCACTAAATCCAAACCCCCCGACAGCAGCCCCTTTGATGTCCACCACTACGGTTTCCTTGGATTTGTGCGCGCAGCCTCGTTATCGTTATGGTTAGCTAAATTCTAATATCGCAATATTCAAAGCAAATGAAGTTCCTCGATCCCGCCAACTCTCATTCTGATGTCCAAAAATAGCATACGGTGCTCTTGAACGAGAGAATGGGCAAATGTTGATGACGATGTTGGAAGCGAGTTGTTCGGTGCGGCTAAGGAGGGTTGGTAGACCTTGGTATCGCTTAATTAGCGGTTTAGTGTCCACGTTAGCGGCTCATTTCTCAGTGCTAAGCTCTTTACACTCCACTCTCGGCAGAATCTCCGCCGCAATCCAAGCATCGCACAGTGTTTCACGATGTTTGGGATCCAAATCTCTCAGAGAAATCCTCGAAGCCATCTCAAACTCCTGAGAACGTAGAGATGACAGATTCAGCTCTGGTACTCTCTTGTTCACACCGAAAGCGGTGCCACAGCTGCGAAGGGAAGACTGCAGTTGAGAGTGACACGATCTGGCAGGCACAGATAGCGATGGGCGGCGGGCGATGAATGAAGGACCAAAGGTGATGGAATTGAGTTACCACAGGATTACTAAAGGAATCACTGCAACAATGAGGCGGGTATAGGAAGTAGGCAAATATTTCATAGTCACCAGGTCAAACATTTCGTATAAGATTGAGAGAAGTGTTCCTTTCTAGCTTGCGTGCCACCCGCATCCTCCCGCAAATCCACCTCTGCCTTATCGATACTATGTCAACTATGATAAGCATGTGCTTTTCGCGTATCGCATGACGACCTCACTCCAATTCTACAATAGAAACTCGTTCGTGCAACCTGTGTCCCTCCATAAACAACCGTCCGTTTCAAAACATCTTGAACCACGATCCCGGGCAAGACATCACCCCTCATTCGCCGCCAACACCACAATTTCCTCCCTTCAAATTTCCGACTCCAATCTGTGTCGCACATGGCCTTCCTTTCCCAGCTTATTCTGTCGCGACTATGCTGTGGCGGGGTTCTCAAATTAATTTATTAACGACGTCATATGTCTAATTCGAGTGGTGCGAAACAGCCGGGCACGGGCGATTCAAGCTCCCACAGGATGCCGCTCTGCGCACTGCAATTCCAGGCAGAGCAGACACGCCATGCTTAATGAATAGCAAGCCTGACTTCTACATGCTCTTATACTGCCACGTCTCGCGATTGCTGTTCTGATGATCTGTTCTGAGGGTCCATTCTTGAGATCCTCTCAAGTCAAATCCAGTGAGAAGATTTCTTTCCAGTCGTTACTATTCCCTTCCCGGACGAGTTTGTCCTGCCACTCTTTTGTTCATCTATCGATTTGGCAGTCCCTTACTTGCTTCTTACCAACTGTGTCACCTGGTCGCTCCTTCACTTTCTACAATCTTGCATTTGATCAGATCTATTTACCCTTCACCTCGACCAAAACGACCAAAACCTCTCGCATACCTTTCCTACACTCTCAGAGACACCTCACCAACTACAATTACGACACTTCAACCACAATGCACGCCCTCACTATCCTCTCCGCCCTTCTAGCCACCGCCGCCGCCCTCCCCAAGCTCACCGAACGGGCCAGCAACTGGGTCCCGGCCCCAAACTCCACAGTGACGTGCACCCAATCCGACAAAGTCATATCCTTTGTGGTTGGTCCACAGGAAGAAACAGTTCTCAACGATGCCTGCGCCGAAATGATGCCGCCTTGCGCCTACTCTGAACGTCTCAACGACACCAACATCGCGTGCTCCCAGACCATTTCCTGGGAGCTCCGCGGACCCAAGACTTCAACCCAGAACGCGAATGTTGAGATGCAGGAGAATGGGAATAAATTGAGTGGTTGGGCGGTGAAATGTAAAATTTTCCTGTAAACATTGAGATGCGGCATGTTGACCTGCATTAGTCTCTGTGACCCCTCCAAAGACAGATCCCCCCAACCAGATCATGTGGAGCAAATACGACTGCTATGGTTACTTCGCGCAAATAGTCGAGCCAATGGCTCCCCAAGGTTGCCACAACTCGATGGCATCAGGTATCGGCAGTATCAAGGTCGGAGGGGGCTCCTTAGCAGGCACAATTTTCAATATCGACATCGTAAAAGGCGAAGCAGACCTTAGCATTTGACCCTCATGCCGTTAGGGATTCCCTCTTAGAGCTGTGTGCACTAGGTTTTCAATTTCGATGCCGATGTGGATGCGAATGCATCCAACGGGTTGAGATTTACCCCACTCCCGGAAAGGGAGTATTCAGGGATCCGACGGAGTTGATTATGAGGTGTGCGCTAGGACCTTTGGATACCTCTTAGCCCTCTGGAAGGGTGTTATCTTCCTGTTCATATCTTTTTTTTCTTCTTGGAATACCACCGAGACACGATGCAAAATTCAATTGCTCACACACCAAATAGATTTTGAGTTTGAGTGCAAGTGTTTCAACGCTAACTCATTAAAGTTTCACTGACCTAGGAGAATGAGATGGTCTTGAAATCGTCTACCACAATTTAATCACTTTCACTGTGCATGATTTAGTGGGCAAGAGCTCTGCTCCTTTTAGAGGTCGAAGCTTTCAGTTCGATAATATCTGGGTATTCAAAGTGCCCTCTCAATGTCAGCAAAGCCACGTAGCCACGAGAAGTAAAGCTGACGCTAGTTAGAAGCTGACACTTCTAGTTTCCAAGACAGTAAGAGTCATTTAAGTCATTTCCCTGACCCAATACTATTAGGTGAAGAGAAATTCGATCTTCCATTTTGTTGGCACATAAGAGCTTGAGAGTTGGCCATCTAATTAGCCACCTTATCAGTGCCTCTAGCGTTACCCCACATCTGATATCATCCCATATTTCGTAGGTTGAGCAAAACCTAACGATCTCAATCATTGGCTTCGGTGTGGTATACTTCTTACAGTGCCGGAAGTTGTTCCGTGCATCCCAAACAAGGCTAATGTCCGTACGCAGCAGCAGCGTCGCGGCCTGGATACGAGCGATCGCGCACGAGCAGGATCACGTATCTATTATGTGCAAAAATCGGGAAATTTCTTAGCGTTCCTCAGATCTTTTTTTTCCTTACTAAAATTACATAGGAGATTATAATCTTAATAGAATTTTTAATATATTAATAAATCTTTCTTAAATATTATTAGTAAGTTAAAGCCTTAAGTTTATATAAAGATACTGCTCTTAGCTTAATTTTTAGAGTAACAGGACAACAATAGGCCTAAAACAGAAGGCTAGAGCAGCCCTAGCTACCTAGATGTGTTAAATTAACCTTAGTAGCAACTTACTAGCCTATTCTACACGTGTAAGGGCACAGGGCCTGTTAAGTAAGCGCAAAAAGACTGCTAGTAGTACTAAACTAAAGTTAGCGCGTTATAAGTTAACCTAATAGTAAGAGTAAAGTAAAAAAAGCTTACTATATCCTAGCGCCTACTAAGAGTAAGCCTGCACCTTAGAAAGTAGTAAAAGTAACTAAATAATCTGCTTCTTCTGCTCTAGCTTAGTAAGAAGCTATTCCTATAGTTTCTACTTATTACTCTAAGCCTAATACCTTATTTAATATACTTAGAGATAACTTTTTTTTACTACTAAAAAGCTTCTTTCTAACTTTTATTTTATCTTAGCCTACTCTTACTCCTACAGCTGCTAGGGAGTCTTCCCCCCCTAATTAAATAGTAGAGTTTAATGTTGCTGTATAATATTTAGTACACGTAAATAGTAATAAGGCTAATAGTAGGCTAGTAAATAAGGTTGTTTTTTAGGTGTTTTTCTTACTCTTACAAGTAGAGGATTAAGTTAATGCTATAATTAAGGGCCCTTTTATATAAGAGCATGTAAAGGCTTAAGATTTCTATATTACCTTACACACTATTTAATATAGGGCTAATAAGCAAGGGGCTAGCTAGCAGCTCTAAATAATAGAGGACTTTAGGCTTAGTAAAAAACAAAGGCTGTTCTTTAGCGTTAAACACTATATAAGGCGCCTTAAAGGTGCAGATAGAGTAGATATTAAAGTAGAAGTAAAGCTTATATATAAGGCAATAATAAAGGCCTTTCTACATAACTAGTTAATAAATAAGCCTTTATCTAATTCTCTTATTACTTTAGGCTATAAAGAAAAGTTACTCTAGCGCATATAGCAGCTATTAAATAAGAATTATACCTATTAAAGAATTTAAAATCTTACTACTAGTATTAATAGCTAGAGTTAGATCTTTTATATGTAAGAGTGCTAGGTATTAACTTATAATAACTTTAAGCACTTTTACTATATTTACTAGGCTACCTATAAGCACTTTACTATAAAAGACGCTAATTTAGAGTTATAAGCTTAGGTAATTTTTAAAGGCTAAGCATATATAAATTAGCTACTAATAAAGCTTATATAATACTAGTAAACTTTAATAGGGAACTAGCTAAGAGTAAACCTACATAATATGTAAAAAAAGAAGTGTTATAGCTTTTTATTATCCTTAAGTAATAAAGATAAGCTTAAAAAGATAATAAAAGTAGCTAAAAAACATAAGATCTAAGTGTCACAGTATCCTCCCTAGATCCCAGACATAACTGTATTAGACGCGTACTAGAGTATTATTAGTGCACGTCTAACACAAACACAACACAACATAGACATAAACTTAAGTATAAACTGCCTTAACACTAACTAAACCTAGAATAGGCTTAATTTATACCTAAAGCGCTTAGACTTCTAAGCTAAGTATTTAATTACTAATTTCCTTCTAAACCTTTTTATTTCTTACATAATGTCTTATACCTACTATAATACCTTACATAGTAATTAAACTAGACCTTTATAAAGCTCTATAACCTTACTTATGCATAATTATAACATTATATTGTGTTAAAACTTTAGCTAAGAATAGCTTCTAAATTTAATCTAATAAGCTTAGTACTTGCATAACTCTAAGCTATTAAAGTAAGCTAAAAAGCTTTTTAAAAAGCGCTTACTTTATAAAAAAGCTACTATGTTATAAGCTTTAAAGCTTTTTAAAAGAACTTTAAAAAACAGCTTTGCGTTATTAAGTAGTCTATTTCTGCCTTAACTTTTGTTATAGTAGTAGAAACTAAGAACTTACTAGCCTTAAAGCTTACTTAGAAGTCTAGAGATAGCTTAACTTTTTTTACCTAACACTGCCTATAACTTATAACCTTTTTAATTTAGTAATAAAATCTAACTAACTCTCTAATTCTTTGCTGTTTAATAGAAAACAGAAAGACCTACCTTCTTTTCTACACAAGCTTTAATATAAACTTAAAGAAAATATAAACTAATTTCTTTCTAAACACTTTTAGTTACTATATGCCTACTTTTAACTTAACTATAATATAACAGCCTTAATTAACTTACTAATAAATAAAAATATTATTAACCTAGATTAATTTATAGTGTTCTTATAAGTAACTTATAAAGACTTAAATAAAAAGTTAACAGCCTTAAGTTACCTAAACACTTTATAATAAGAAAAAAAAAGCTTTACTTTACACTTTACTAAGTTCTACTAACTTACATTTAATATAGGCCTAAATAAAATAGGTCTAATTATAGCTTTATATAACTCCCTCTTAACTAAACTATAACGCGCTATAGTAGAAGAACCCCTTCTAAACAACCTTAACACATATGCAAACCTAATTACTACCTATAATAATAATATAAGGTTCCTCCTTATATAAGCCTTAATACGCCCCTAAACTAGCGCAGTTACAAATAAAGACTTTAATATAATAAAAATTAATTTAAATTATGCTCTAGTTAGTTCTAAAAAGCGTAAAGATTATAAAAAAAAAAAGTTAATGCTTTAAGTGTAGTAAGCATAGTTATATCTTTTAAAACTACTTTATTTTTCTTTTTTAAGTCTATGTAAGTAGTGCTGCTAGTACTTATTAAAGATTTTTACTATTTTAATTTTATTTTTATAAGGGCTTTAACTTATATTTAAGCCTTAATTTTTCTTGCTACTCTTAACATAGCTACAGCTATAGTAGTAGGAGCCTACAAAAAGGCTTGTCTTAGGGCTAAGTTGCCCCCTAGGACTAATTTAACACTAGATCTCTGCTAACCTATAGGCTAAGTCCCCTACTAATAACTAAAAGTACTAAGTTAATATTTCTATATATTTATAATAAAAAACTATATTAGCCTTAATATAAGCTCTTATTAACTTAGAAGTAAACAGCATAAGTTATATTAACAAAAAACTAGCGTGTAAACTAAATCTTTAATTAATACTGCTTACCTAAATAATTTACCTAACTAAATTTAATAGAAAATAACTTAAAAAAAGTTTTATTTTTTATACTATAACTATTATAATTACCTACTAACACTATAAGAAGCAGATTAAGCTTTATGTAATAAACATAGGACATTATAACCTAATTCTAGAATAACTATAGCTGTATTAGCATAAGGTTGCTTTTAATTACTAAAAGTAAGTTCTAAACTTTAACTCTTTCTAATGCTAAGATATATGCTTATGCTTACACTTAAACAACACTTAAATAGCACTTAATATAGAAGGTCTCTAGACCTACTTTCTAATAACCTAGAAAAAAACTACTTAAGTAAGGCTAATAAGCTAGGCCTTTTACTAAAATAGGCTATATAAAATAATTTAATAACTACTTAAACTTAAAAAAAAAAAAAGCTTTTAAAAAACTTTTACTTACCTAATTTAGACATAAACTAGGACTTAAACAGTAAATAGACATCTGCTACATAGGACCTGCCCTGTTTATAACTCTAGCTTAATAACTAGATTATAAAATCTACGTAGTTATAATTTCTAATATAAACTAAGCTTTAGCTCTCTAAAAACACACTAACTTAAAGATAATAGTCTCTTAAGACTACTATAACTTATTACATATTTTCTTCTAAGATAAGTCTAATAAGCTTTTAATATAATGTCTGTATAATTACTAAATAACTCTTAAGCCTAGTAAATAACCTAGTTATAGGCTACTATATAAGATGTTACTAAACAAATTAAAAGTGCTCTAAAAATACTTTAATAAGAACTTAAAAAAAAGGTTTATTTAAGCTAGCTTTTTACTAGTAGTGTTACTTATACTATTTATAAAAAAACCTAAAGGTAGGCTTTAATTTTATGTT